AAGAAGGCTAGTGTATCAAGAAGAGAAGGGATCGGCACCAGCTGCACAGAGGACGAGGTCTGGCCAGGCCTTCGACCAGGCTGCATGCAGTACCGCTGGGGGAGTTGGAGTTGAAATCGTAGAAATCGCGACTCTTGAACGATGCGAAGGTCCTATTTATTTTAGCGGGAGAGGGGGTCGTCCGTCTACTGAGAGGAGTCCATAGATGGCCACCACCAACGGGCGATGGAAAGGGAGTGGCAAGAGTAAGCTCTGCGGGCCTTCTTTATCATGACTTTTCTCGTTTCTGCCTCTCTTTGACTTGTCTTCGCTCAGTTCGGTATCCACCAAAGCTGTTTTGGGTAAGAAAGTCCCGTCATAGCTTCCCCAATCAGCTCGCTCAGCCCTTTCAGCACGGCGAAGAGGGCTAGTTTTGCAACGATCACGACCACTCCCTTGGACCATGGTGGCTGTTTGGTGTTTGTTTAGTGGCTGTTGTATGGCGCGTGTGTGGCTTGGTGCCGTCAGGAACAATGCATAATCCAAGGTTAATGGTTGCAACCTCTTCAGATTCGTAGTTTAAGGTTGCCCTCATGGATAAAGCCACTGGAAAGATGAGACACAGGTTACAAAAAGTCCAACGGACGGGTACTATGGCCAGGACCGTACTGACAGTAATTCGTATGAGTGTGCATGTTGTTAGAGACCGGCCTCCCTGCTGTATGGCCTTGTCGTTTCCCATCTATGTATCTCGTCAAAATTCCCCCCCCCCCCCCCCCCTTTTTTTTTTTGGCAAAGCTTTTCTGTGACCATTTGCCCTTTGTTTTGGCAATTGACAGAGCTGCGAATTTTGTGAGGCAAAACCCAATACGAATGAAACTCAATCTTTGTCGGTGTTTGCCGTCGGCAATCCTGGCCTAGAGAGCTCTGGGCGGGGAAGACGCTGCCTTTAGAGCTTATAAGTATTGAGCGCCTGACTATGGTAACAAACCGAACGAAAACAGAAAACGAGACAAAATTACAGGGAAGATCTCGCCGACAACCCCTTCGCCGTCGGCGACATAACTTGACTTTTTCTCTGCGGCCTTGCAAAAACGGAGTAGAGTAGCCTCGTGTACTGAGAAAAGTAGTCCATTCGCAATGCAAAGCACTGTGGGATGGTAATCATCTTATTACCCGAATGGGAAGGGGCGATCCCTGCAGGAATACCGTTCCGTAATAACATTTCACAAAGTGTTGCTGTCCAGGTACTGGGGTCGACCTTGCTTCGCCCCTTCCCAGCGTTACCAAAACGGGCCTCTTTGGGTGCCGGCCGTGCTACTCTCTCTCGTCTCTGTCTCACTTGTTGCGTTGCCAGCTGATCTTACGGAGTAGTACTGTCTCTCCCAGCGGCCAGTTCCGCTGCATTGCGGAGCAGTGCCCCTCAGCACACCATTCTTAGCAGTGTAACGCTGTAATATGCCTTGGCGCCCTGTTCGCACAGGACACCGGATCGTCTGTGTCTGTGTATTTGATTGTGTGATTGCGTAACGAGGGAAAGTGCGAAGGTCGAATGCGGGTAACTAACAACATACTCCGTATGGCTGTGAAGGTGCTGCTCTTGCTCATTTTACTTAATCTTCATGGTTCGTTCTTGCCCCCATCACATTCTGTCTCCGTTCATCGCTCCTTCCTCAACCCCCAGAACTTGTAAAAACATCACTCGGCGATGTTGGCCGTAAAGAAAAATGCGGCCTGTTCCCACCCCTTTTCTCTGTCACACCACGGAGTACGGAATGCTTCGTACAAGGACATCCCAAGTCCAGTCCCTGTTCTCTGGCCGCGCTGCAGCTGAAGCCATTATGCGACTCTAATATGATTTACATCGGCTCCATGGGTGCGTTTACACCGGGCGCGGTCGCGTCACTCGCTTCTTGACAACACGACCTTCTGCAAGGGTTGATGGCAGTGCGCGAGCTCCATCGGGAGCGGCTGACAGCTAGGTGGGGAGACAGGGAGAGACAGGTAAAGCCCATTGCGTTTTGACCTCACTTTATTTTAGGCCGTTCCTTTGCCGTGTTTACGTGCGCAATGAAATTGCAGAGTCTAGCCCGCTCATGGATAGTTTTTCTTTTCCAAAATTGCGGCTCTCCATCGGCTTCGTTGTGCGTGGCCATTTGCTAAGACCGACAAAAGAAACCAGGAAACGGGGCGAGGAGAAGACGGCGGCTCGAAGCTGAATACCACGAACCGCGTGCAGGGAGCAAGACCCGGAAAAGAGGACCCATCCCAGCGTCAACTCTCCCGCCTTTTCATGTCGTATCCCGAGTAGATGGCTCAGACATGTCAAGGCGACCTTGGGCGCTGTGTACGACATAAGGCCCAGCCAACAAACCTACCAAGTTGGTTCCGGCTTCGAGCACATCAGATCCTCTGTCCGGAGAGGAGAACCCAAAAGACAAGACGAAGGAATCGCAGTTCCGGCTTGAATCAGCACAGAGAGGCCCCTACAATCGCTATGTTCTCTGGCTGTCCTGTTTGCGTTCCCGATGCGCGGACACCCAACAATCCGCTCTTCCGACACTTACAGATACTCGTTTGGTCAACGATCTCTTTACATAGCCAATTCAACCGAACTGGTAGACATGGGATGGAGAAGCTGACGACCGGGACTCGTCTCTGGTCGTGGTCTGTGTCTTGAGACCCCTGCCCTTTCGTTGCCTTTTTCACCTTTTCCTTCCCTTTAGCGCCACTTGCCATGTGCTCTGGCAGGTAGCTGCTGGAGAAATGAAGCAATGATCAACACAACCAAACCGACCAAAAGCTACAGTCCTGCGCTAAGAGATCGAAGAAGTGTCTGAACTGTCTTGCCATTTTCTTCTCACGGAGCAGTGAGAAATGGCACCTAGTCTCACCGTGCCTAAATCACCAGCATCACCAGCACCTCCAGGATAGCATAAAGTAAGATATCCCATGGTGGCTGAACATTGTGTTCCCAAGAGCCTCTGCTGCTCTCTGGGTGGCCCTGCACTTTCTTTTTTCTGTTCCCTGTTTTACTCTTTCATTTCATTTTCTTTTTGGGGGGCGTGGGGTCTCTTTGTCTCTCCCTTTTTTCCCGAATGCCTTGCAATCCTGGTGTGAAGGTCGCCGAACAGTCGTTTTGCTTGCAGCCAAGTCACCCCTGCCAAAGAAACAATACCCACTCACACCTTGGGTGACTCGCTTTTTTTAGTCCATACTTTTCTTCCCTTCCGTTTTCTGTGCGAGGACATATGCAGGCACACACCACCACCGATGTACAGGGACTCGACAACTCATCTGATGGTAAGGACGAAACGCTTTACCAACACACGTTTGGGTAACGAACCGAAAGATGGCCCAAGAACACGTCCCATCTCGCAGCTTTACGTTTTGCGAGGACCTTGCGCAGCCTATTCCTCTCTGAGTGCCGCTCGTGCATGCACTCTTGACTTCGGCATTATGAAAACATCAGGTGGAAGGAATGTCACAGCTCGCACATTTACCTGAATTTCTACCCGGCACTTTACGCAGTACACGTACACAATTGCATGATGAATATCACGCTTGTGTCCACACAATCTTTGCCTCTAGATACCCTTCTCTCTCCGCCTTGAGAGGTAGGGTACAGTGGGCCACATCGACTTCCACCTCCCCCTGGTCGATAAGAGACAGAAAAACGGAATGGCGCGCGAGAAATGCAGGAATCAAAACGGCGGCCTATGAAAGACAGTAGGTGAGGAATGTTTGAACTGAGGCATGTCTTCTGTGTTCTCCAGCTTTTCCCAGCTCACTTTACTCCCTGGACATGAAGCTTTTTTGGCTCTCATGATCACGATATTGCCCATGGCCTGCTCTCGCTTGTACAGTCAGCACCCGAATTACTCTCATTTCTCCGTCATGTTTTTCATTCCCTTGCTTCTGCTGTTGTCAAATCAGCATCCTATACCACGCCCTGTCCGCTCGAACCTTTGCTGTGTCAGATTGACCTAGACAATAACCAACAAGCTGGCCATGTCTGGCATATCTTGTATCTGATCGTACATTCACAGAGAATGAAAACGAACAAAGAAGGTCAGCGAAGCAAAAGACTGGGACAGTTCTTGAGGTATGCCCTTCTTATGAGACTTTTGCATACAAAACCCGTTCTGACTGGATTCGCTCAGGGTCTTAGGGGCCGGTCAATCCGCCTGACAGGACGTAAACCTCTTGGGCCGGCAGCATTTCCGCTCTATCCTTTTTCACCCCCCCCCCCCCCCCCCCCCTTCAATTCACCACTCCACATTACTCGCGCGCTTGTTCAAAAATTCACAGTCCACGCCCCTTTTGTTCCGTTTTCCTTTCGACTGGGCTAGGGTCGGGGGCTGGTCCCTGTCGTTTCTCTCTCAGTTTTCTTGGAGAACAGCTTCTCTTTGTTTGTCTCAGCCGCCCGTCTCCCCTTTTCAGTCTTTGCTCGTCAAAGTGCCTTGCTTTGACGACCTCGTGAGTCCACTTGGAGCTCAGTAAGGAGCGTACACACCTTGCAAGACCTCCACGCCTTCCCACGAGAATTCTCGTCCCATCAAACACGCCTTTCTGTTCTTAAACTAAGCTTCGTCCACTCCCCGTCTGTTCCTCTTTTCTCTTCTTTTACTGCTTGACCTCTCTTTTGTCTTTTTCGTATTTCTACTTCACTTCCCAACTCTTTTGCGTCTCTTTCCAACTCCCCTTCTACATTTTCAAACACAACACAGCATTACGCACTCCCTCTCCCACGCCGTGACAACTCTTGCTTCTCCCGATTTCACAAACGCACCGCGCCTCTTCTTGCTCTTACATGACCAATCTCTCTCGCCCACAAAACATCACGACACGACCACGGCCAACTTGGCACGGCTTGAACAACGCAAATTCATTCTGCCAGCATTAACGGTCGTGTGCGCGTGTGTGCGCCATACACCACAAACCACCATCCTGGTGCCCATTTCTTGGAATCATTACATTACCTCAGTAACGAATCGAACAAGCGGCACGCTTCTTTCGCGATGAACTATACGACGATGCTTCACGGCATGCCACAGGTGGGCATGCCGTTCGCGGCTGTCCAACGGCCAAGTGACATAAACCAACCCCGGCATACGTCGTACCAATACACGTACGGCGGCGAGCCTCTCTACCTCTTCCCACACATGCACTCCCAGCACCGCAACATGACCGAGGCGCAGATGGCACTTGTTGCAAAGCAGGTCGACCCAAAGCCGAGACTAGGCAAGGACGAGGTTCAGCTTCTCGAGAACGAGTTTCAGAAGAACCCCAAACCGTCTTCGCTGCGGAAACGTGAGATCGCCGAGCTGCTCAAGGTTGACAACCCGAGAATTAATGTATGCTTATCCGAGCTAGTCCATTTCCCACGCGCGGTGTCTTGAATGTCTGTTTACTGACTTTGCTTCGTGAATAGAACTGGTTCCAGAACAGACGTGCCAAGGCCAAGCAGATGGCACGTCGAGGAGATGTGACGGTCCAAGAAGACGTGTCTCCGTCTGAATCTTCGCCAACCGAACAGCCCGAGGAATCGTCCATGGTGAACGAGTACCTTGGGCCGCAAACCCAGATCTTGCCATTGCGGGCTTCCTCTGCTGCATTTCCCACCGCCAAACAGCCTCCTCTCGCCATCTACCCACTAGCCAACGACGGTAATACTGCAGCTGGTCAGAGCGCATCACCTTCTGCGCCATCCATTGAGGAATACCCTTCCCCAAAGTCGCTCACTTTTCACACCACCACCGCCACCATCACGGACGGTAGTCGTGATGCTCCCCTGTTCGTGCCTGTGATGAACGGCGCATACCTGGCCTCCTCTCACCATAACAATGGCAGCTACAGCTCCCATACTTCACCGCAGGCCATCATGGATACCGAGCATCTTTCTGAGCATCAGGGCTTCGAGCAGTCTCTGGGCGCCTATATACCCTTCACGACGGATATGGGCGTGGACAATGTTATGGCCAACGTGGACGTTGACTCTTTCCAGGCCGAGCTCCTGAGAGCGGACGACGTCCCGCAGCTTGACGAGGACCTGGTGGTTCTGCCTTCATACGAGGTCCCGTTGCTTGACGACACGCTGTCGCAAAATATGTCCGCTGCGCCGTCACCTGGCTCCGCCCACTCGCCGGCATCGGCCATCTCTGATCTTCGCTTCAAGTCGCCTCCGCCGCCGGCAAACATTGCGACCCGGAGGAACAAGGGCATCCCGGCAATGCTGAACTCAACGGCACTCCGCAGCTCAGCTTTCGGTCCCAAAACGAGTGTTGATACTGGCAACAAGCGCCTGGATGGCAGCACACCTTCCATCCGCCGCATTTCGTCGGCCACTGGCCTCATGGCGAACCGCATCCAGAAACCGAGTATCCCTGCGGCTCCCCGCTCGCCACTGTACCTCGAGCACAACCAGGAAGCTCTTCTGCAGTCTCTTCAGACCTCTGCAGCAGTGGAAGCAAGTGGTGGCCCACCTTTGGTCCGGTCGCTCAGCAACAGCACGTCCAGCGTGTCACCGGGTGAGGCCATGGTCTCAACGAACGGCATGGCTAGCTCAGGCTCGTCCGATGATGAGCACCTGATGCCTTTTGGCAGCAGCGCCGCCAACCACAACCCTTACTTTGCGACACAGTCCACGCTCAAGACCCCGCCTGGCACGCCGGGCTTCCATGGCTTGATGCACGCCGGCGCCGGTGAGCATCAGCATATGATGGACAGCCACTGGAGGTTTGTTCCACAGGACGAGGCGTTGTTGACACCGAGCCTGGGCAGCTTCGGCTCGGAGGACTTCTCCATGCTGCAGGCGGCACCGCGCTACGTCATGAACAGCCAGCCGCCAACGCCATCCGTTCATCAGTCACTGGGCCACGGCTACTTCCCGCTGCAGTTGCAGACTGGCGCCGTCAGCGGCGCCGCGGGCGTTCCGAGCCAGGCGCAGTATACCTTCCCTGGCGAGGCTTACATGATCCCTGGATCGTCCGGCACGTTGTCGCCGGGTCGCAGCAAGGTCAAGCAGTTCCAGTTCACTCCAAATGTGACGCCGCAGGACTACAATGGCGAGAAGTGAGCACACATTTCTCCTGCTTCTAGGTCTATGAGGGCGCTCAGAACTTTTGTCTTATTTCTTTTTGTCTGTAACAACATCTTTCTTTGGCGTTTTGGCTTCCACGGGCCAGAATGGTTCTCTTTTGGGGTGGTGCGTACGTTTTGTTTCGCACGTTTATGTTTATGAAATCATGTTGCATTTGTGTTGCTCTGTTGGAAACGTCTGTTCACCTATTTACATTTGTTTTACTTTATTTGTTTGCTCCTTCTTTTTGCGATGCTGCGGACGGCCATGGAGTTCCATGGCAATGGATGAACGTCACGGAGGGTTTAGCTCTTAGCATGGCGCTCTCGGGAACATAATTGGGGTAGTGCGCTTACGTGCTTATGTGCTTTCTGTTTCTTTTCTGTTGCTTCTTCTTTCATTTTTTTTCTATTTCCGTTTTGGAATCTCGGCATGGCATTGCGGGACGAGTCGATAGACATGACACTGGCGGAACGAGTTTACGTGCGGACAGCGCAAGAACAAGATACCCGGAACAAAAATATAAAAAGGACAAAACACGCCGACCTCTCATAGAAACGCAGGAAGCAATCTGGAAACGATTCTACCAAAATATTTACTCTACTTGTTGCTGCACTGGGACCTTTGCAGAGTATCATTCCGAACGAAGGCAACAATTGACGTCAATTCGCAGTATCGTTTTTTGTCTTGGTTGTCGCTTTTCTACCAACTGCCGAGGCCTTGGGATGTCGCTGCCTCTTTCGTTGTGTACGGCGACGTTGCATCGTCCTTTCGCGATCTGCAAAAAAGTCCGGCCAAGAAGGGCCGTTAGGGTGCCGGGTTAATTCCCGGCACCGTGGCTTCTTTCCCCAGCCGTCATCTTCCCCTCTCCCTCCTCTTCCTTCCCGCTGATCCCTCCGAGGCAACAGATTGCGGGGAACAGTTACAAAGGATCCGGATAGAAAGGAAGTGACGCCCCGGAGGATCCTTCGTTTCTCATCTCGTGCAACTTTTCGCGAGAAATCTCAAGGAAAGCGCAAACGATACCGCCATATTCTGCCTTTCTTTCACGAACCAGCACAAAAACGGCTTGCAAGGCTCGGTGCCCAGCACACATCTCTCGCACACGCGCCACAAGGCTCTGATGATGGTCCATCTCCGGCACGCCGTTGTCTCCTGGTTTGGGTGCTACTTGGGGCTGGCTTCACAAAATGACGGTCCGTCCACACGCCGTAGCCCGTCTACCGCATACGTCGCGGCGCTGTTGTCGGCGCCTACGGTGGCAGTAAAGAACGGGTCGTACTCGGGCGTGTACAATCCAGAATACAAACAGGATTTCTTTCTCGGTATTCCGTACGCCCAGGTTCGTCCGCTGGCCGACCCGTCCACCACCACCATTTCCATTTGCCTCCTGTTTACTGACGGATTGTAGAAACCAGTTCGGTTCCAGCAAGCGGTGCCTCTCAACAGCACGTGGGACGGTGTCCACGAGGCGGTGGCGTACCCGCCTCATTGTGTCGGGTACGGCGGTGACGATGTGGGCTACCCCGTCTCGGAAGACTGCCTGTACCTCAACGTCGTCCGGCCGGCTGGCATTGACTCGACGGCGGGGCTGCCGGTCGCCGTCTGGATCCACGGGGGTGGCCTGACCATGGGCGGCTCGGCCGACAAGCGCTACAACCTGACGTTTATTGTCGAGAACAGCGTCGAGCAGGGGACGCCCATCATTGGCGTCAGCATCAACTACCGCCTCTCGGCCTTTGGGTTTTTGGCCGGCCAAGCGGTGCGCGATGCGGGCTCGACCAACATTGGCTTCCGCGACCAGCGGCTGGCCTTGCATTGGGTGCAGGACAACATTGCCGCGTTCGGCGGTGCCCCGGACAAAGTTGTCATTTGGGGCGAGAGCTCCGGTGCCGAGAGTGTCAGCGCGCAGACCTTTGCCTACAACGGCCGGGACGATGGCCTGTTCCGCGGCGTCATTGGCGAGTCCGGTTTTGGGGGCTTTATTGCGCGGTACCCGGGCAACCTCAACACCACGGCCAAACAGCAAGAGAACTACGACCAGCTTGTGCGCAACACGTCTTGTGCGTCGGCGCCGGCGGATGCCACACTGGACTGCCTCCGTCGTCTACCGCTCCACGAGATCAACGAGACCCTGGCCCATGGCAACGGCTCCTTCTTCCCGGTGCTGGACGGCGACTTCATTGCCGACTACCCGCACAACCAGATTCGCAACGGCCGCTTTGTTCATGTGCCCGTGCTGATCGGCTGCAATTCGGACGAGGGGTCCGGCCAGGGACGCAGCGTCGGCCCGGAGGGAAAGGGCGTGAGCACCGACGCAGAGTTCCGCGCGGCCATTGTTCAAAAGTTTGGCCTGGACGGGAGCACCTTGACGGAATCTGCTTCCACCTCTACGCCCGAGAAAGCAGGGAGACTGGTCGATGAGCTGTTGCTACTGTATCCGGACATTCAAGCCATTGGCGTTCCAGGCCTCGACAAGTTCCCAGTGATCGTTCCTGGGGACAGCTTGGCCCGATCTGTCGGTCTCCAGTTTCGTCGGTCGGCGGCACTCCTCGGTGACAAGTGAGTTTTGATTGATTGGACTTGCCTTTCTTCTATGAATGCTCCTGTTTCTCTTTTCTGACAACAGCTCACTCTATTTTCAGCTGGATGCATTACCAGCGTCGGCGGGCCAGTCTTGCCTGGTCGGCGTTTGGCTTGCCTTCGTGGAGTTACCGGTTCGATGTCCTTGTCAATGGAATAGCCCGTAGGTCCAGCCCCCATGGCAGCCGCTCTTTGTTCGCCCCTCTTGTCTCTAATCTAAATTGGTTTATGACAGCCCAGGCCGGCGCCACCCATTTCCAAGAGGTCGCATTTGTCTTTGACAACATACACGGTCTCGGCTACGAAACGAATCCGTTTGCAAATATGCCGCCGTCGTATACGGCGCTGGCCAAGTCCATGTCCAAGGCTTGGGTCAACTTTTTCGTCGACCTCGACCCCAACGGAAAGTCTGGTAGCGGTGGAACCACAAACGGCAGCACAAACAGCAACGGTCTGCCGACGTGGCCCGTGTACAATGCAACGGCCGGCGGTGGTGTGGGACACAACATTGTCTTGCAGGCCGGTAGCAGCCATGTCGAGCCGGATACCTACCGTGCTGAGGGCATCCGCTGGATGATAGACCATGGATTGGATGTGTTTGGCATCTGACCCGGGGGAAATGACCCGCGGTCTACACTGAGCATTGTATATAAGGCACGAAAGAAATGTACGTGATCCTCCAAATATAATTTTTACATATGCCAACTCTGTTTACGGCCCTTTCTTCCGTTTGCACATGACCAAAATTGCCAAATTGTCTGGGGTAGAATCTCGGGTAGAATCTCGGCACATGGGAGCAGCGAGTAGCAATCTAAAGTATGTGCTTCTGTGAGGACACGCAGCGGAAAACGGCAGGCCACGTCCACTATAGTCGACCGGCTTCCTGCACAGCCTGATTGCTTAAAATGGAACCGTATGCTCGCAACATACCGTTTTTGGATCCAAATTTCCTCGTGTGCTCGTCGCCTGCCGTTTGTAGAATCCAGTCATAACGGTGGTCGTATAGTTACCTGTCAACTAGAATCTTTCGTTTCCGGGTCCCCCAAATTTATCGTTTATTTTATTCTTCCGGCAGATGTTCAAGATCCGCCGCAGCTTGGTGTAGGATGACGAGGGGTGGGTCAGCCATCAGTTTGTGAGCTTCCGTCTGGATGCCTTGACGTTGCTTTTCGTCTCTTGTAGCCATAAAAAGCATCGTTTTGCCGACGGCCCACATGTCGTTCCGTTTCCTGTCCTCCAGAGATGCAGCGAGAGGTTCATCGTTTTCTTCCACGACTTGACTCGCATCCGCGGCGAAAGCCATTCCCGTGTGAAGCCACCAGCACCCCCAACATTAACTAAGACTAAATTTCTATTCTCGTTAATGACCATGTTGGACGGTTTTAATATCTATGTGCGTAAATCCATGGTCGTGTAATGCCGCCACGGCGATGTATAACTACGATGCCTATCGTACTAAGGGTTTCTCGGTTTCGGTTTCCGGTTCTGTTTTCGACACGGCTTTTAGTGTGCCGCCCGGATGGTATTCAAGAATGATTCCGTGTAACATAGTACAGCTCGCCGTTTTGTTGTCGCCGTCCGCCGCGCCAACCGGTGTGTTACTATAGGGATTGTCCGAGACTACGGCGGCGACGAGTCGGACAATATGGTCTTGGCCACCCACCTATTTGAGAACACGGAGCTCGCTCTCCAACGCCGGCGTGTCATGGACAATGTACAACTCGTGCTCTATAGATTTCAGTACGTATAACTGTTCTTTACCGAGTATTCGGACCGTGTACGAAGCCAGCGTCGGTAAACGGACAACCATTTAAAACTGGTCCCACGTAACAAGTCGTCTTACTGGCGTCGTCGCTGTAGTACTACAGTCTAGTACCGGAAACCGATACCGCGCCGGGTCTTCGCGCGTCTCTGCCACGACCGACACACCGTCTGGATTGAATGCGTGGCCGTCTGGGAGCATGCGGTGCGTAAACGGGCACCGATCCGATTTTAAGGGATGCTCCTTGGAATGAATGAGTACCTCGGTGAGCGTATCGTCCAGGAGATCCAGCGTGCCGAAATCAATGGCGCGGCAGAGCTCCTTCAGTGCTGCGCTGCGCGCACGCGCGGTCGGCGCTGGGAGGACTGCTTCAGTGGTAAATAAAACAGCAGTCCTGTACAGCTTTACAGTGGGCAGTCGCTGGCTTAGTCATCTCATGTAACCACAGGCGCCTTCAAAAACCTTTCGCACTTTATCACTTTTAATTTTAACTCCACTAACATCTGATTCTTATTTTTTATTTCTCTTTTAAAGCCTTCTCCTTTCCCACTCTCCTCACCCTCATTACGTTTTTCTTCTTGCTATGCATTCGCGGCCATGCCAGAACACTCCAAGATTAATGTCGCCGTCCAGACCCGAGTGGCGTTGTTGAAGAACCGGACCATCCGATGTTTGTACAAGACCACGCTCCAGGCTGAGTCGCGCCTGTCGGCCGTCGTTATCGCGTGGGCTCAAGACCGTGTGGAGAAGTTTTGTCAGGCGCTGATGGCCGGGATAAAAGCGGCCGACCAGGGAGAGGGGGCACAACAGCAACAACACCGAGAAGGCGGCGAAGGGCTCAACGAACTTAATGAACAGTTGAACGAAGAGCGGAACGAAGAGCGGAGCGGGCAACGCAGCGAAGAAAAGCGCGGTGAAGAATCCGCCGAGCTAGAGCAACCGCAACATCACCCTACTGAAGAGCCGCAAGAACCCACTAATGAAGGGAAACAAACAACGGGCTATGACGTGCAGATGAACCTGGTCAGCCTCTCGCGGCGAGATGTGCTTCTTTGCTTTGACTTGTTCCTCAAAGACTGCGACGCTGCCATGCGCAGCCGAGTCGACCAGAGCCTCGAAGAGCCTATCCACTTCGTCTTCCGCAAACACGGCACGTACTACGTCCAACCGAAACAACACCTCGACTCGGAAGTGTCAAGAAAGTATCTTTATGCCCGAAGCAAAGACAAGGGAGCGCGGCCTCTCTACTCGGACCTGGACAACCCGCCCTTGTACGACAATGGCAGGCGCGTTCCCGACGAGGAACGCGCCACGTACGGGATGTCAACGTTTTTCGAGACGACAGGCCGACCGCGGCACTACGCTAACGTCTGAAGCGTCTGGCGTTATGTGAACAACGTGTATAGCACTTTTATAAACAACGTGCGGAAATGTATAGTTTCTTAAAAGGTATTTTAGGTATCGTGGAGCGGCCGCCTTCTTTGTGAACCGTTAGGTCGTATGCGGGTGGCATTGGAAACGGGAGACAACACGATGGAAAGCAGCCTGTGTCTTTGAGGCGAGGTGGCCGCAAGAAGCAGCGGACAACCCACGTGGAATAAATAACCAAAAATAAAAATAAAATAACGAGGCCAAAGGCAAAAAGAGCACGCGAATAGCAATATACGCTGACGTGCTTAGCCGAGCTCGGCATATTTTATCACGGGGCACAATACAATTCGCGTACGCATCAACGTGGGAGCAACAGAAACTACAGACACCGGCAACGGGGAGAAAAAGTAGGGAAGGCAGTGGTACCTTGGAAAATATCATGAAGGTAACGATAACAGGAAACGAAACAAGGTTGGCCGGGGCATTTAAATTAAAGTTTAAACATCAGGGCAAAAATGGACAAGAGCGCTCTTCAGACGACGGCACGTCGACTCCTTAAAATAGAACGTCAACACAAAACAATAGTTCGAACCCACATTACTGTGGGGGATCGCACTACGCAGTGAACCAATCGGCAAAGCGATATTGACATTGCCAAAGTTGAGTGGTCGCGTAGAGTACATACTATAATGTCCGGTTTTGCGGTGTCGTATATTTATCCATAGATTTTACCCCGGGCTTTCCGTCCCAAGCGGCAACGAAAAAACCATTCACGCCCATGAGTATATAGACCTCATATAAAGGGGGTTTTGCTTTTCTGTTACATGTCAGAACGCCCGCCAATTCTGGCTTACAATGGAGAGAGTATGTCTACTCAGATATTGTCGCGTCTGAATATCTTTGTACTTCGATTTTTTCTTTATGGGAAGGCACGAAAGAACGTGAAAAATAAGATAAAATACTTATCAGGACGTGGAGACCTCCATGGTCGTCGTATTTACGGAGAACGCTTGTTCGACGTATCTGAGAAACTAATGCTAGACGGGCTATTTTCCCTTCTTTATGTGAGCGTCCGCAGACACACGTTGAAAAACGAAATAGCGTCAGTATCTCGACGCAGCAACAGCCGAAGCCCTTTCCCACGAATACGTAATGCCAACACATTTGTGTGCCATTTTCGAAATGTAGTTCCATCCTTGTATAAAGGCCGAATGTCCCTTATCCAATCGTGGCGCTCCATATATAGCACTGTTGATGTGTGGTGAAATTGTCTGTCTTGGATTCCTCGTTCTTTGGGTGGCATACACACTCTTCGGCTAATAATACCGAAATGGCCAGGTTAGCACCGAGTGCTGCGGTGCGATAATTTTGTTATAGATGAAGGACAGGGTGAGGACCGCGTTGGCGTTCCGTGTTGACCCATAGCTTTACATTCTCCGAGGGCCAAAATACCCGAATAGAGATTTAAATATATAGACCGAGTCTGGTCAACCGTGTCCACGATTCTTCTATAAATCGAAGACCCAAACTTCTCTAGTGAAGCCAGTTTGGTGGTTACGAGAGACTGACCGGTAACTAGGCCTCGCTGTTCGGACCCCTTTGTCTTCCTACTTGTGGTTTGGTTTCTCCTTTTCCCGCGTCCGTTCACCAATCACAGCCATGGTGCAGTTTGCGCCGTTTGTGCTCCTGGCTACGGCTGCCAGCTTGGTCGCCGGTGCACCTGCCCCGATTCCTGATGTCGAGGCGAGCACACCGGCGGCCGGCAGCGGCTCCGCGGCCGCCTATACCGACGCCGTCCTCGATCTGCAGCGCAATGGCCGCAAGCAGCTGGATGAGGCCCTCGCCAAGTCGACGACTTGCACCAAGGACAAGCTGGCGATCCGGCGCGAGTACGGCGACCTGACCAAGGAGGAACGCAAGAGCTATGTCGATGCGATGCTGTGCCTGATGAGCAAGCCGCCCAAGCTGACGCAGTTCCCCGGCGTCACGAACCGGTACGAGGACTTTGTTGCGGTGCACGTCAACCAGACACTGTCCATCCACGGCACGGGCAATTTCCTGTCGTGGCACCGATACTACACATGGGCATTTGAAAAGGTACGACATGTCGAGCGGGCGCTATTGTTTGGACACACATACTGACATGTATAGGCCTTGCAAACTGAATGCGGATACAATGGGACTCAGCCGGTTCGTCGTCGCGCATCCTCCCTTTGTCTCGCTTCTCTCTTCTATCTCCTCTAACAAAAGTAGTACTGGGACTGGGGCCGCTGGGCCAAGGATCCCCTGTCGTCGCCCATCTTTGACGGCAGCGACACGAGCCTGAGCGGCAACGGCCAGAAGATCGCGCAGCACAAGGGCCAGAGTTTCGGCCCGGCCGGTGACGGTGGTGGTTGTGTCACATCGGGCCCCTTTAAGAACATGTCGATCCACCTGGGCCCCTTTGCCGCCGAGACGGACCCGACGCCGGCCCGCAACCCGCAGGCCGACGGCATGGGCAAGAACACGCGCTGCCTGCGCCGCGACATGTCCAACTACCTGACATCGCATTACGGGCGCACCGAGGACATTGCGGCGCTCATCACCAACAGCAAGACCATTGGCCCCTTCCAGGACACGATGCAGAGCACGAGCCCGACGGGCGGCATGGGCGTCCACGGCGTGGGCCATTTTACGATTGCAGGCGATCCGGGTGCCGACTTCTACCAGTCGCCCAACGATCCGGGCTTCTGGGTGCACCATGGCATGATTGACCGGACGTGGAGCATCTGGCAGACGCAGCAGCTGGCGAACCGGACGAACGTGATTGCGGGCGGGACGTCGTTGCTCGGCTTTGGCCGGCTGCAGTCGCTGGACGACATCATTGACCTGGGCGTCGCCGGCGTGGACGGCAAGACGTACAAGATTCGGGAGCTGACGAGCACGGTCGATGGGCCGTTCTGCTACACCTATGAGTAGGCCGAAACGGGACGCATGTTTCCGTACCATAGTTGCCAATGATACGCGGCTTCCAAGATATGTCAGGGGACGTGCAAGAAGCAAACGTGTCCTTATAATAAAGGGAACATGCGTAGCTACGATCAAAGGACGAAATGTCCGGCACTGTTTGAAAAGCAGAAGGATGCCAAATCTTATGCGAGGAAACAACACCAGAAAATACAGAGCGAGAACTTTATTGTTTGATACGTTATGGTTGTTGCTCGACGTTCCTTTGTTTTACGTCGAACAATTTCATGCAGCAGAATGGTGTGCTTACGTAACGCTGTTACCCTTCTGTATCACATACGAAATAAAAGAAGTCGCCAGGCTCACCTCTCCCATCGCTCTTTCCTCGCGGTCTTGTTTGCTCTTTCCCGTTCTCTTCTTTCCCCTTTTTTTTCTTCGCCCGCCCACTCCCCCCTCCCTCTTGCCCGTCTTCTCCGACACTCACTATGCCGCCGGCACCGGCTCCCCCGCTCGAGCCCCGCTTTGTGTCTGCCGTCTTTCCCCTGACATTGGAACAGCGGGAAGCCGCCCGTCGAGCCTTTATCGATGCAGTCGACCCCGACGCTGTTTGTCACCTAGCCTCACTCCACCGCTCCGGACAGCCTTGTCGTGTCTTCCGGCCACACGTCCGCGGCAGCTTCAACGTCTGCTACTTTGTCGAGTTCGACGACGGCGCCCGATGGGTCGTGCGTTTCCCCATTGTGTCCAATGTCGACAATGTCTGGGACAAGCTTCAGAGCGAGGTCGCCACGGTGCGGTGAGTCTATCGTCGCCGTTCCGGTCGGCTTGGTTTGCCTTGGCTCTCGTGGCTTGGCTCTTGTGGCTGGGCTTGTCTAATACAGCAGTAACTATGCCCAGCTACCTCCGGCGCCGCACCAAAATCCCCGTGCCCGCCGTCCATGGTTTTGGCAATGCCAGTGACCCTCCTGCCCCGGACAACCCGACCGGGCTTGCTTTTCTGCTGCTCGACTACGTCCCCGGCAAGATTCTGCCGCTGACCGAGCTCCTCGAAAGCCCGGAGGACACCAAGGTCCACTTTTACCGCCAGCTGCTGGACATCTACGCCGAGCTCTACGCCCAGAAATTCGACGCCATCGGCTCGCTCATGCCCGGCCCTGCCGACGACGAGCCCATCCTCGGCCCCTTACAGTCCATCCAGCAAAACGACTTGCACATCCACGTGAACTGGGGCCGCGCTGTCTCCCTGTGCATCGAAAGCGACGCCGACCTGGCGACGCCCACGTCCTTTAAAAACACCTACCGCCGCGATTTGGCACGCCGCGAGCGCGAGAGGAGCCGTGCCGTCAGCGCCCATGACGTGGCTGTGCCGCCCGCCCGCATCTTTGCGTCAGCCGCCGACTTTGTCCACCACCAGTACGCCCTGATCTTTGAGCTGTTCAAGATGCCGTCCAAAGTCATGCAGCCCGGCGCCGCCGAGGCCGAGGTCTTTGCCTTGCACCACCTGCGCAGCATCGTCTTCTCCAGTATGCGCCCCTCTGAAAACCTGGGGCCCTTTGTCCTGTCCCATCCCGACTTGCGTTGGTCCAACATTATCGTAGAGGACAGCCACGACTGTACCGATGCACCCAATGCGTCCAATGCACCCGACGCATCCTGCATACAGGGTCACAGAACCTTTACCATCCGCGCCATCCTCGACTGGGAATTTGCGGGTACCGTCCCCCCGCAGCTGTTTCTGCCTCCCTTTTGGCTCACAGGCTTGCCCGCCGAACTTTTGGGCTGGCCGAGCTACGAATACCGGTACAGAGAATGCCAGAGGATCCTCGTATCCCTCGCTGCGTCGTCGGCCCACTGCCGGGACCTGGCCCAAGCATGGACCGAGGACTTGGCCACGACGCTCGAGTTTGCTGCAGCGTCGGTGCTTCGTCACCACAACGAAGCGCTCGAGCTGCATTGGAAGCTGGTGTACAAACTCTGCCGCTACAGCATCCAGCCGGACGAGGCCAAGCGCGACTTTGTCAAGATGCACGGGCAAAACAGCCCCTGGGGACGCGACATCGAGTGGCGCATGGCCCTCTCGCAAATGTACAGGAAGTATCTCGTGGAGAACAATCTGTGGACAGAACCAGAGCAGCCCGAGGTATTCGGCAGTGCTGCTGCACTCTCTACCACGCTTCCCAGAACGTCGGAAAGCCCCAACTTGCCTAGCGCAGATTGAAGACATGTGTAGCCCCCAGCCGGCTCGCCAACGTCGGCGGCCGTAGTGGGCATAAACCCAATCGTGACCATTCGAGCCATCGACACCATCCAAAAATGTAGCATGTAAGCAGAGGCTGCCAAGTCAGACAGCATATTTACGTCCGTGGCAGGGCACGCCTTAAGCCAACTATTGGCATAATGCCAGGCTGAACGATGGTGACAGAATCAGCGTTGCTCGTACGCTTAACAATGTCCTCGCCTAAAGAGTGTTTCTTCGCTTTAGATTCTTCGCAGAAGAATATGGCCATACGCTTATCCCATGATATGTCTTGACAGCCGTTCACGTAATACCCCGACCAGACTGTATAGTTTCGGTGCATATCTTCTTACGACGGCCGTTATTTACAGGAGACATAAAAGGGTTCGCTTTTGCCAGGCTGGATATCAAAAAGTGTGTGTATCGTTAAAATCTATGATAAAGACGAAGCGCCTCGAAATCTCTGGAAATCAAAGTTTTGGCTGGATATATGACAGTAGCTGCGAGATGAATAAGAGAGTAGATGAGGATATATAACAGAAAAGACGGGGAGAGAATCAATAACCAAATTGTACCCAAACGTACGGAACAAAAACGCTGCAAATAAAAATTGAAAAATGCAATTTTATGAGGACTACGCCTCCGGTATCTCCTTGGAGACCTGCTCCGGCTTGGCGGCTTCCTCGCGCGCGACGGCCGCAGCCACCTCGTGCTCCTGGCTGGCCAGCGTCGATTCGACAGTTGTGCTGTAGCTGGGTTTTGAGGGCTCCGCGGCGGCGTACACCGGCTGCTCTGGCGCACTGTAGTGGCCGCTGCTATCAGGGAATGGCGTTCCGGGATTGGCGAGCGCCGTGCCAGCGTGTGAATGTTGCTGCTTCTCGGCATCGCCCGAGGCTGCATACGTCGGTTGGGCGGGCGCCTGGTAGCCGGCCTCGACGTCGTCCTGCCGCTTGTTGGTGGCGTTGGCACTTGTGCCCCAGTTGGCCCACGGAAGGCGGCGCTCGCCGACCAACGGAAGACGCATCTGCACCTGCCAGGTAGCCTCGTCGTACATGGTCAGGTCGGCGTCTGGGTACTTTTCGTAAATGTTCTTTTGGAGCTCGAGAATGTCAAGCGTGTTGACGCTGGCCAGAGGTGTAAACTTGAGCACGAAAAACACCAGCAGCCAAGACGCGAACGCGACAACAGGGATGATAATCGCGGCGCGCACCGAGATTGTAGACACATCGCTGCTCCAAACGACAAACTCATCGGCACCAGACAGCGGCTCGTTATTGTCGCCATAGATCATATTACCAGCGGCGGTCTTGGAGCCCAGGTACGATGAGGCCAGGGTAGTGTCGGTCAGCGTGTTGGCGGTGGCAATGAACGCGGCCAGGACCAGGCGCTGGAGATCCGAGAAGGCTGACGAGCTGCCGGCATCAAAGATGGTGCCAAGCGCCAACGTACTAGACTGCAGCGCGCCCAAGCCGAGCTCCGTACCAATGCTCTCGATACGTGGAGCGCCCAGGTAGCGTGCAAAGATCAGCTGCAAGGCCAGGGGCAGGTCCAGTCCGGGCAGAGCCGTGTTGTTGAGGCCGATTACGGAGCTGTTGGCGCCGTTAAAGGACCAGACATTCGACTCCCAGCAAGACAGAACAGGGCGGCCGGGCTGCACAATGTAGTCCGTATCAGCCAGAAACGAGTCCTGCTGCTCGCTCGAGCCCGTGTAATAAAGCGCATCGGTGCCAGGAGTGAAACTGACACGGTCCACCGACGAGATGAATGCAGCGTATGTCGTGTTGCCAATGCCCGGGCCATCTTCACCCGTGTAGAAGAACGCAGTAGGACTAGGCCCGTCGTAGAGGGAGAGCGAGATGTGGCCGTTGGCGGCGGCATCGCCCATGATGGCATATGTATCGTTGGTGTAGCCAGAGGAGTTGTCGCTGGAAACGAGCCAGCCGTATTCGGTGCGGCACGAGCCTTGAACATTCAACTGCAGAGTGGACTGGTGCTGCAGGCCAAAGTCATAGCCTGTGACGTAATAGCTGTAGTCGATCTCCTGGATGGGCTCAAACGTGGCGGTGGTGCCAATGTCTCGCTGTGAGATGGTGACGCGCTCAGCAACGTCGCTGGCGGCCACCAGGGCGCCGCCGACGGCACGCAGAGCGGCCGGCACGTCGAGCGAGAAGAGCTGGGCAGTAGCCGAGTCGGAGGTGCCGGAGTTGGGGGGAACAACAATGGAGTCGATGTTGACGGGCGCGGCAGTGTCGATGAAAATGTAGGGCGGGATGATGATGGACAGCACGGTCTCAGCAACCCAGCAGCCGACAATGATGCCAATGGCCGGGTAAACCCACCAGCGCTTCCAATGGGAGGCTTGCTTTTGCATGAGACTCAAGAGCGAGTCGGACATGGAAGCACGCTTGTTCCAGAGGTTGGACGACAGCGAACCAAGCTCGTGGTTGTGCCGCATGATGTAGAAGAAGCCCAGCGCAAAGCAGATGCACCATACGTTAACGATCATGGCCGTGACCATAATTGTGTAGGCGGAGCTGAGCTGGTCGGCGACGTAGCTGGGAACGGAAATGGCAAGGCGTTGGCCGCCGTCAATGGGCATTGTGAACTGGTGCCATAACCGGTACGTGGACGCCAGCTGTGGCGCGGAAGAGTAGACCATTTCGACGACCAAGGGTGGTGAAGATGAGAGAACGACAGAGGGATGAGGAGAAGTGAGGCAAACGGAATAGTGTGAATATGTAGATTCCAATGAGAGGAGGATAACAACAGGACGCAGAAGGAACAATCGAGGGAGCAATCGGTGCCCAGGAGGCACAACCCGGCCGATAACCTCGATCAACAAGTCGATCACGGATGACGATCTAGGTTGGGAGAAGAGTAGGAGTTTGGAGAAGAGAGGAAAGCAGATGACAGAGCTTGAGAAGGATAGAAGAAGAGCAGCTGAGCCAAGACGAAGCGAAATGGCGTTGCAGCGTTGTCTAGCAGAAGCGTCAAGGCCGATGACTTGTCATTGAATGTTTCGTTGCAAAATGTCACGACGAAGAAGCTAGGCCAGTTTTGTAGACAACATTCACATGGTTAAAATAGGGGTAGCTATTTGGAGATGTAGGAAGCTAAGTGTGGCGAGTATGAAAAGACAGAAAGCGCGAGCAAAAGTGCCTAGAATAAAAAGAGTAGGAAAGGGAAGGAGTCTTGGCGCCTCCGGACGGAGCATTGTTATGCAGGGCAGCTACGATCGGGACTGAAGCGACCAGTGTGGAAGGGGTGGCAGTTCTCCCCACCAAAAAAAAGAAAGAAAGAAAGTGCGAGGCACATATGACCGGCATGTACTTCGTACGAAAAAGCTGTATTGGAGAGGAACGCTGAGAAGGATCGAGGCCATTCTCAGTAGCACAGAATAATGCTCGAATAGCAAGGTTAGGAAACTTGGCATCGGTTCTCTCCCTAGGGAACGGACGAACATGTCGAACATCTTGTGGATTGCCAACTGGGCCTCCTCAATGCATCGTTTCCCTGGAACCGTTGTCTACCAGTTCACCAGCCGACCTCTTCCCTTATTTTGACTACCTCCACAGGCCATCTCTGCCCCAGCTTTCTGTCTTATACGCAATACTCGAATGGAGATATTTTAATGAGGACCTGTAAACAGGCAGCTGTCAAATATCTTCAAGCATCATATGTCCCGTCTAAGAACACTTGGACAGGGTGCAGTCAATAGCTTCACGGAGCGCCCGCATTATGAAGAAACATTGTCTTGGTCACATGTTCCCCTTCCCCTTCTCCCATCTTTCGTCTTTTCCATCTCTCATGTTCGAGGTTGTAAGCTGCACTCTCCCCAACTCGCTTGCCTGTCTCTGCTTTGCACCCTCTCGCAATCTCGCAATCTCGCAGTCTCGCAGTCTCCTCCCAGCTCCCCCTTCTCATGGATTTTCCATTTCATTTGTTTACTACCGGCAGGACCCTCTCACTAGTGGCCGTTAGGGGCGGCGACTTGCACTCATTTGGGCGAACCAACGCTGAGACACGGCCGACAACTCAGACCGCCTACTTGACGCTACCTAGTCGATTGCGCTCTTTGTCGTGCTCCCTATTCTATTCCAATGTTCCTAGGAGAGGCATGCATGTCGTCGTCGCCAACTAGTCAATACATATACGAATGTATGTTGTATATGCGACGTAATTACTACGTGTCTAGACTCGACAAGGCCGGTCTAGGCCACTCCCGTCTCTTTTCCTGTTCTGGGTGCCAATATTCCTTTTCTTCCATGTGCGTGCTCGTGCTCGTGTCGTGCCACTCCATCTCTTGTTGCCGCTGCCACGAGCCTTTGTTTTGTCGGAAACTGGCTGCCGATCTTTTTCTTTTCACGATGGAAAACTTGCATGCTTCAACGCATGTCATATTACAGGGGTCCCCATGCCCTTACAATGTGCTGTGTCGTTCAGACACCTCTTTCGCCGAAGATCATGTCCATCTTTCGTCCTAAGCTGCCTTTGCGGCTCTGTTTTGTGGCTTTCCTGATTTTTTGTTCTTGGTTTTTTGCGTCTTACTTTTCTTCTTCCCCACCACCCCAACCCCCCCATCCTGCAGGTCGTCACGTATCCCTTGCAGTGCAGCTCACTCGTTATGTTCTCGTTGATTCCGTCACCTGGAACACCCGGCATGGCTTTTGCTGCTTCCGTGTCCAATCGTGGACTCTGCGTGTCTGCCCACCTCGCCGTCGTCGTCATGGTGTCGTATCCGAATTATTTTTCTGTACGTGGCTTGAGAGGAGGATGTGCCTACGACATCCAGAATCACAAAATAGATTCTGTCTAGAATGTCCCGGAAGAGTTTAGCTCCCCAATATTTTGTCCATCGGTTTGGCGCCGCATGCAAGCTGATGTCCTTCCAAACAGAGCGGTAGAGTCGCATTGGTGGGACCCTTCCAGCCCCCAGATAAAACATCGTACAGCGCACTTGTGGTCGGTCGCCATCCAGTTTTGAAGTAATAAGACGGGACGGCAAGCCAGTAGGAAGAACCCGACGACCTGGGCGGGACTACCGTGCTGGTAGGTGAGCTGCCTGGTGAGTATCTTGGCGAACTTGGGGCTCTGACGCCTTCGCACGTTTGGGGCGCACCACCTCTAAGATACCATGTGCCATGCCGTGCATTATCGACTTGAACTGTCAGAAGAACAAGCGCCCGCATGGACCTCATTGGCGTCGGGGACGATGTTTGTGTCGAGCTAGGAAACGAGACGGGACAGAAACAAGTGTCTCGATTAGGAAAAGGGCCAAGTGAGGAGGAGGAGCAAACTCTCCGTTGCGATGTAAGTGTGCTCCAGCGCAAGACATTATAGAGAGACGGCGAAAAGACAAGAGGCACGACGAAACTAAAACGTGACAAAGAAGCGAAAAGAACAGAAGCGAGAAGGCGAGCCCTTGTGATTGACACTGAATATGAGCAGGTTCGGAAGCTAGAAAACAGAGAGGAGAGACAGTGTCCAGCCTCCCCGTCCGGATTGGCCCCAGCTCTGAAGAAATTCAGACATTGTGACGGGACCACAAAGAGAAACAGGGAAATCTCCAGAGTGGTCACCAAGGCTGCCAACGATAAAAAAATGACAACTCACAGATCAGCTCTGTCCAACCCGCTCAGCTAGAATCTCGCAAGTGGGCAACGGCACCATTGCCTTTTGCAGGAGAGTCGACATGCACGTCAGGCGGGCCATCTTCTCCGCCACCGGTTCTTCTCTGTAGAGAGTGTCGTTCATTTGCCGAAGGTTTTCGTTTTTTGACACAGGTCGCACCACGTTCTACCCGGTTGTCTTAATGCTTCTCTCTATTCTGCTCGCTTTCTTCTCTTATTATCTCTCTCTCTCTTTTAGTATTCTCTCCGCTTGCCGTTCGCGGATTGTTTTCTTCGCTCAATCCACCAAAGCAATGTCGTAATGGGTTGTAACCTTGCGAACTACTAAACATACCCGAGCTGAGAACTCAATGTTACCTTGAATACAGAAGTACTCCGTACACAATATGATCTGCCAGATATGCAGTCATGGGTGGAACACATAGCCTGTCAAGCTGCGCAAGTCGCATTCTCTACCCACGGCCAGCAAGCAATGAAAGGTCCCCAGTCAGATGTAAAGAAAACTTTTTCTTTGTATTTGTGATCCGGTCCGATCCAGAACCTTGTCTCTCAAGAAAGACACGCTCGTACGGTAGTGTCTTGGTATGCACAAAAAATGGAAGGAAAAGAAAAGAAACTCCAGGGATGGTGCACCGTAGGCTGTACATTTGCTCGCTTTCTCTATTACCTCTGCTCACCTCCATGATCGTCCGAGGTCGGGGACAATCGAATCTGCACTTCGTCTCCCAAGAGAACACGCCGTCTTCAGCGACGTAGCAATCCTATATTTTGCCAATAATGTAGACGAAATGAGAACAGTGCTCCGGGTCTCCGTTCTTTTTGGTCTTCTTGGTCGTCCATCACGCTGTCGTTTGTTTGGTAGCAGAGAAGAAACTGGTGCTATTACTAGTCGTAAATATTGTGTCTCTTTTGGACATCCCGGCCACGGCCCCTCCTTGGCCACACTGGAGCTGCCGCTAGCTGTCTGTTTTCCATGTGCTTCTTTTCTTTCTGTTCTTCTTTTGGCCCATTCTGCCACCCTTTTGATAACTTCCCATCTCTTCCCTTTTTGCCTGCACTCCTGGTAGTACCATTCTTGTGGCCGTTTCCACCAGCCGCCTTTCTCTCGCTTGCCTCTCGTACAATTACGAATCCCCACAGGTTGCCCATCGCCAGTTCACAAGTCAAGCTTTTTTTGAATTGCTTCACATATCACCTTGACAACACTGCAAATCATTTCATAAGTAAAATGCAGCGTTAGAACAGAAGGATCCAGAGGCTACTCTATTGCTCCTTCCGTTCTTACAAGTCAGTCATAGTATTTGGTGCTGCCGAACCAGGATCAATATTAGCACAGTATCGTTTATCGGCCATCGTCCAACCGACCTTTGCGCCTTCCTCCATTTCGTTACTCAGGTACCTGCAGCAGGATCGACCGACAAAAAACATCTCTCCCAAAAAGGTAACTGCAAGGAGGGCAGGAAAGTTCCGTTATCCTCGTCGTTCAGAAAAATCCGAGAAGTTTCTCTTCCGTTTCTTTCTTTCTTTGTCCAATTTGTCGTGTGCCTTTATTTACTTTTCCTCCTATTGAGTTCTTTCGGCCCATCCCTGTCGATATCAACAAACAACACCACACTCACAGTAAGAGAGGACTCTGTTCTACTCTTTACCTCCTTTCCCCATTGTTTACACCTTGAGAGGCCTAGACAGACTATGCATTTCGCTGCCTCGTCGTGAGACTTCTTTCTCTCTCAGTGTCGTCCTTACTTCCCCCCTCCCTCCTCTTCCTCCCCATCCTACACACACACACCAGAGAATGTGGCTATCACGGCCGCCAATCCGGCGTATAGCAACTTTGGCTGCCCTTGTTGCCTCGCTGCCGGCTACCTCTGCCTGGCCGACCTTTCCCTTTCTTCATCCTCGCGAACTAATCGGTGGCTTGGCCGACGACGTCGCCACGGACGTCGCAAGCAATGTGGTCGGCGTTGAAACCACAGCCGGGAACAACGACGCGGGTACCTATGCACCAGCACCGACACCTGCAACTGCACCCACCCATATCAACCTATACACTCCAGCGCCGACACCTGCCGCCGACCCAGCTGAAGCCACCGTCAGCGTCGGTGGAGGAAACACGCATCTGTCGGCAGGGATCGGTGTGCTGGACGGTGTGCAGTTGGGGTCCAACAACCTGAACCCCGGCTTCAACGTACTATGCTCAACCTTCACAATCTTCACTGCTGTCACCGTCACCACCGTCTGGACCGAGACAATTCTCGTTTCCACAGCCTGCCCAACGTCACCAGCGAAAACGACAACGTCTCCGGGAACGGGCATCACCGTCACCGTGCTGGACATCGAGCTAGGTATCAGCGGGCTCACGGCGACGGCTGAAGCTGAAGTCGCTGCGAAGCGCCGGCGCTGGGGTATGCCGCGCCTGCCGCTGTTCAATTGGCAAACAACAGGTACGGTGTCCGGTCTTGGATATACCACAGAAACTGAGCGTACCCTTACGACAGCATCGCAGCCAAGCAGCCCCGTGCCTTTGAGCAGTTCGGTGGACAGCATGAGTAGCAGTGGCACGACAGCTCCGCTCTCATTATCAGCTGGTCCTCCGACTCCATCTACACCGGCCTGGACTTCGCATAGCACAGGACATGCTTGCGAGACCAACTCGACGACTGTATTGACTTCTACGTTTATCTCGTTTGACCCAGTGGTCACTTCGGAGTGCATCACTCTGATTGCGACGACATCCACCACGCTTCCGACTTCGACAACATTGTCGTCATCAGTCGAGCCTTCCTCGAGCAGTTTTACATTGACATCAAGTCCGCAAAAAAGCCCTTCGTCCTCGACCTCGTCCAAATCAACTACGGCGCCTCCGAATACCTCGTTGCCGAAGACAACATCAACTCCCAAGACTACGTCAACGCCCCAGAGATCTACAACACCCGAGACTACATCAACACCTAGGACGGTGTCTCCTCCCAACACTACGCCAACTCCTGAGAACAGTTCGACTCCCCAGGCGACTTCTTCTCCTAAGCCAACAACATCCCCAAAAACGACAACTTCTCCTAACCCTACCACACCAAATCCCACATCATCACCGAACCCTACGACTTCTCCCAACCCAACATCTCCTAACCCTACGACGAGCCCTAGCACCTCACCGAACACAACACCCAGGACGACTCCCAATGCGACTCCCAGTACTACGCCTAATACCTCGCCTAATATCTCACCTAATACCTCGCCTACCACGTCGCCAAACATCTCACCTAACTCCTCACCTAACTCCTCACCTAACTCCTCACCTAACACTTCTCCCAGCCCTGCCCCTGCTGCGTCGAAGACCTCGCCCGCATTCCAGGCTACCTCACAAGCGTCGAGTGCTGCGGCTGCTGCAGCACCTACGGCTAAAACTGCTACTAGCCCGGCTGTACCGAATGCTGTCTCCAACTCGCCAACAGGTTCTGCCCCGGGAAACAATGGTGGCACCGGTGGTAGCAACTCCGGTGGTGGCTCAGGAGACAGCTCAGGTGGCAGCACCGAGAGTGGGTCTGGAAGCGGTTCTAGCTCTGGTTCTGGTTCTGGCGCAAGCTCCGGGTCCGGATCAGGTTCCGGGTCCGGCTCAGGTTCAGGTTCCGGCTCAGGTTCAGGTTCCGGCTCAGGTTCAGGTTCCGGCTCAGGTTCTGGCTCCGGCTCCGGCTCCGGCTCCGGGTCGGGTGGCGGTGGTGCGGCGACACTATCTACAGCTGCCTCCTTGGATGATGCGCTGATATTTGCAGGCTGTGGCAACTTCTTGGATTTTCTCAAGTCCGACCCTGATCTCTGGGCACTGTACAGCTCTGCGTCTGTACAGACCATCTTTGCTGTTGGCGACAAATACTTCAACGGCACTATGCCCACTTCACAAACCCCAGCAGTCAACCTGCACCGTCGCACGCTCTCGCCCGCTGACGTGCAAAGAGCCCAGCTGGCGGCCGGAAAGGAAGAGACGAATCTCGCACGTCTGCGCGCGATCCCTGGTGCCACAATCTCGACCAACGACGCGGCCGCTGATCTCCATGGCTCGACCCAGGTGGTAGTGTCCGATTACCGCCGGCTCAACGCCCAAAACTCCCTCCACGCCCGCGACAACAGTTCGGTCAGCACCAACACGACTTCAACCAACGCCACTGTCATCCTCTACTCGGGCCTTGGCGAATCCGTCTCGCTCTACAACCCCGACATCTACTATGCCGGTGGTGTCATCCAGGTGCTTGACGGGTTCTTCACCATTCCGGCCACGCTGTCGCAGACAGACGATATCCTGGGCTACTCCCAGTTTGCCAACCTCGTTGACACGGCCGGCCTCACGGATACTCTTGACAACACCTCGTCCATCACTGTCTTTGTGCCAAACAACGCCGCTGTGCAGTCGGCGCAGCTATCGGCATCACTATCGGCTTCGGACATCCAGAATATTGTTGAGGACCATGTTGTGGTCGCACTTGACAATGACACTGTCGGTTATCTGCCGAATCTCAGTGACGGGCAGGTGCTGACAACCAAGAATGGCAAGAAGCTGTCCATTACCGTCGACGGTAACAACAACTACTATGTCAACGGCGTGCTCATCACCACATCCAACATCGTCCTGACCAATGGTGTGGTCCACATTGTCGATGATATTCTCGTGGCGTCAGCGTCCTCGGCCGCCGGCTGGTCGCTACAGCGCGGTGCCAACACGTACGTGGCCGTTGGTGTGGCCGTGTCCACCGTCATCTTTAGCCTTGTGGTCTTATAAAGAGGACTACACGGATTAAATTATCGCGTTTTTGCATTTACATTGTTGTGCTTTTGGCAAACTTACATTTAAAGCATGCATTGTGCTTGGACTGTTTATACCTGTTTATACCTTGTTTGCCGTTATTTGGTCGTCTGAAAAAAATCTATTCACGGCATTGAGCGTTTTTGATTCTCAACTTTGTTATGCATATCACGATGTATTTATGTAATGTACACACGGCCGTCCCGGCGGAAGAGGAGGGCGCAGCATAGAGACGCAATGATAATGAAAATTAAAAGAGAAGCGAGGACGGACATCTATGGTATAATTTGTTCCAAATTTCCGTTCAATAGCTATTTTGACTTGACTACTTACTTGTCTGTACTTACTTTTTCGACTTCAGATGTTCCCTCGAAAAAGCCCCGTATAGTTGATACGGTTTCTGATTTCACTTTAAGCTTCTTAGCCAGGAATAAATAGCCTCGTGTGTTGTCATAGCATCGTCATTGCGCTTATAGTCTACTGTATATACAGTGCCCAGCAACGCTTCTTTGATTCCCAAAACAAGAGCTCCTCTACGCCCGGAACGCTTGCACAAACTCGTGCAGCCGGTCAATGACCACAGGCACAATGGCATTGAGGTTGTCGTCAATGACCCGTTCAAAGTGCCGGATCGCGTCCTCCTCGTTGAGCTCCAAGTGGAACCGCTCCTGCACCTTGAGCACCGTCTTGTCCGGCTCCCACAGGATGTCGGGGATGTTGGCGTCCACCATCAGGCTGAACAGGTTCAGAATCAGGTTGCTCGACTTGCGCAGCGCCGTGTACGCCAAGAAGCAGTACTGCTTGAACTGCCGGTAGTGCTCCGATCCGCTGCCGCCCATGGCCTCGACCATTTCCTTGCTGAGCTTCATGGCCGGGGCAAACGGTTTGGGATCGCGGCCGAGGATGAAGCCGAAATCGGCATGGAAAAAGTGCCCGTCGGGCGCCAGCAGCAAGTTGTCCAGGTGCCGGTCGCCCACGCCCAGAATGTACGTCACCACACAGTAGCCGGCGCACGACTTGACAAACGTGTCGAGCGTCTCGCGGCGCAGGCCCAGCGGCGCATGGGCGTCCGGGTTGTTCTGCCGCAAGTAGGCCAGGGCCGCATTGGGCGCGCCCTTGTAGCGCGCCGCCAGGCTCTGGAAGCTGACGGAGGGCACGAACTGGGTCAGGCCCATGCGGTTGCTCGTGGCCAGGATCTTGTAGGGCGTCAGCTTGAGGTCGAGGTTCTCCTTTTGGAGCAGCTGGTCCATCAGCGTGATGATCTGGATCACCAGCTGGTCCTGCCGTAGGTCGTCGCCCATCTTGAACAGAATCGGGTACTTGCGGCCCTGCGTATCCCGGAAGGAGACCTTGATCGGGTGCAGCGACGACTTGAAGACGGCCACGTCGTCGGCGCTCACGCTCGTGACTTCGATGGCCGGGTCAAGGGGAAGAGGCAACGGCGGGTCGATCGTGACGAGCTCGTTCTTGAGATCCTGCACATAGTGGCGCACGCGCTCGACACGCCGTGCAATGGATTCGTGTGCCTCTTTGACCTCGCCGGCAATCTTGGCCATGACAGCGACCCACTCGGCCTGCCGCCGCAGCGTTTTTCGTGTCTCGGAGCCACCGGGCCGCAGCTCCAGCTCGGCCATGAAGTCGTAGGCCACCTTGCGGTAGACGGCGCGGTACTCGGCCGACTGTTCCACACTGTGGTCGTCGCACTCGACCATGAGGTACCAGTAAAAGTAGTTGCCCAGCATGAGATTGCCGGCCGCCCGTGTGATGAGGAAGCGGGCCAGGGACGAGTCGTGTATTATCGTGGCAGCAGCGGCCGCAAACTCGGCTTCTCGCCGGGTATGTCCGGTAGCAATCACTGTATTGTCGCCATTGTCACGCCCAGCAGCGGCCGCGGCCGCATCAGCTTCGGCCTCAGTGGTGGAAATGTGCTCAAATTTGAGGGCCTGCACCAGCTGCAGCAGATACAACAGCAGCTCGCTGTCACCCGACTTGCGCAGGCGCTCGACGGCGTAGGCACGCACCGCGCGGTGGTCAAACGTCGGGCCCAGCAGCTCCAGGGCGTCGTCGACGTCAATGTTGGTCCAGCGGCCCAATACTTGCACGGCCTGCTTCGCCTCGGCTGCGTCCTGCCAGTTGACCGACTTGACAAACTTGGTGACGGCCTTCTTCTCGCGCGTCAGGTGGTACCGGAACTTCCACACCAGGTCTTTTTCCTCAGACGACAGGGCCTGTGTTGGCGGGTACGATGTGATGACGTTGAGCTCGTCGCGCACCTTGGCGTTGGGCTTCAGGTCCTTGTCGAGCGTGCCGTGGCGGTGCTGGCTGCGCACGAGCCGGCGGTGCTTGCTCTCAGCCGGGTTGTCGCGGGCGCCGACTTCTGGGTCGTAGACGCGGACCAAGCGGCCACCCAGAGCAGAGTCACCGACAGCACCGTCGATTCCGGGCCCGAGGTGAACTTCCGGTGGTGGCTTGAGGACGATGCCAGATTGCGACGCCGACAGGTTTTGGAGGGAAGAGATGGGTGGTGGCGGGTACTCGTGATCGACGAAGACGACGGGAAAATCGAAGCGGGGGAACTCGACGTTGAGCAGGAATCGTGATGGGCCGGGCCGGCGGTTGGCGGTCCTGCCGTTGGCTTGACTACTTGGATCGTCGCCTGATGCTCCTCTTGCCGCTGCTCCCGTGTAAGCCTGCTTCACCTTTAGCGACGAGGCAGCGCTGCGCATAACGCGCTTCTCGAAGCCACGGAAGACCAGCTGGTCCAGCCATTCAACCCGGGGAATCTCGCCCATCTCGTGCTTCTTGAACAGCCGGTCCATCCGCTCGATCTCAACCTCGTCTGGATCTCGTAATGGCGATGCGTCGTCGCCGGTCCCATCGACACCATCATCCTCGCTGTCGATTCTATCAGCATCGTCGTCGTCTTCGTCGTTGTCGTGGACGGTGCCGTCATCGCTGCCGCCGCCGCTGTCCCGCTTTCGTACTTTTCTTGTCCGTCGTCGGCGGCGCACCGACAACTTGTCCGGAAACGCCGGTGTCGTCGAGTTGTCGTATCCATCTGCTTCGGCCAGGCGATGCACCAGGCACTTGTATCTACCCTTGTGCAGCTGGTTGTCCTTGTCGAAAAGTGGAATGGTCGTGCCGCCAAAGGGCACGGCGTGACCGGGACTCGCGGCGGTCCCCGAGCCCGAACCGGCGGGCGAGATGTCCCACACCGTCACGGCCACGGTCGCATTGGCCGGCAGTCCCGAGTAGCGGATGGGCAGACGCAGCCACTCGTTCCATTTGCGCTCAGACTTGAAGGGTCGGTAGGCGGTCTGGATGGGGACGGTCAAGGGCTTGGAGCCGGCCCAAACCTGGGCGGTTGCATAGAGATCGGAGCTGAAGCTGGTATTCGAGCCGACGTGCCGGATCTCGGGATGGGTGATGATCGTTGAGTCGAGAAAGGGCGTCTCGTCGCCTTCGAGGCTGACGATGCGGATGCTGACGGGCAGGTCCAGCGCCTCGGAGCTGGCAAACGAGAAGGGCTCCATCAGGCGGGGAAGTATTGCGTGTTGTCTTGAGCGGGTGGTGGCCGCTGGCTGGGGTTGTTGTGCTCCTCCTCTCGATCTCTTCTTCGTTGTGCGATTGATGGGAGTCGGCGAGGCTCTGAGCTTCGACAGTGAAGATAGGCAGCTAGCAGCTGTAAGGCACGGTGCGGCACTACAAGTACTGCTAGTGGGGCCTGGTGCTTAATACGACGTGCAACAGAGCAGCTTTGCGCTTATCGATGAAGTGTTACGTAATCTTGCAGACTGCCGACTTCCCCACCAATTTACCACACGCGGCACGCACGTCGCGCTGTATTTGTAGGGTCCTTTTAGGTACGCGTCGTTAGTTGACTAATAAGTAACGACAAAAGCGACAACGAAAAGGAAGACCCGGCAGCGGCGAGCCAGCTATGAACGACGGGCCAGCTTCTGGGCTCTAGCTTTAGCAAATGACGGAGACTTAAAAAGCGAATCAACACGACACCCAATAACAGACTTTCCGAGTACACATCTCGGCATGTCTTCGCGCCGTCAGTCAAGTACGGCAATAGCGACGCCCAATTCTCGAAACATGGTCCATCGGGGCAAGGACGGACAGAGCTCGGCGAGCGGAAGCAATGGTGTCGGTAGCGCCAGCAGAAGTAGTCGTGCCGAACGGGCAGAACGGTCAGAGCCTCGGTCTGCACCGGTCGATCTCTCTCTGTCGCAAGCCGAGGATGTCCAGTGGGATGAGGTCGGCTACGACGATGATGTGGATGCACACGAGGCGGCGGCACACCGGCGGATGCTGCAGCGCGAGATGCGGGGCCTGATCAAGCAGACGACGACCGACCAGGCCGCCTTTTACGACCAGGACTCGCACGCCGTCCACGACTTGCTCAACGAATCGAGCCACCTGCTCAGGCAGACGCGGCAAACCACCGAGGCCACCATCGACGCGACGCTCGTGCTGCGCGTGTCGGAGCTGGCGTTCAAGCGCACGACCAATTTTCTGGCCGAACGCCAGGACCACACCGGCATCGACCTCGAGGACTTTGCCACGCGATGCCAAGACTACATGCGGCTGGGGCGGGGCATCAAGAACATGCACGCGCGGGAGCTGTCCCGGTCGCAGCGCAAGCGGCGGCGTGGGGAGGCGCTGGCACACGCGGACGACGGTGCACGGCGGGCGATTCGGGACGCGCGGGCCCGGGCCCAGGCAGCTCGCACCGCCGCACGGTCGGCGGCTCGCGCGGCCGCTGCGCGCACAGCGGCCGCCACGGGCGCGGAGGCGGTGGTGGACGAGCTGTACGACATGAGCGACGACAGTGGCAGCAGCGGGGACGACGTCGACGACGACGACGACGACGCTGCTGAGGACGAAGCGGGTGGTGCCGTGCAGAGGAACAGGCGGGCAGCATGGGAGCCGCTGGACTGGGAACACTTTGGCCGGTATGCTTGCCTGCCGCGCACGCGGCGTCCCGCGCTGGCACGGTTCTTGCCGCGCATGGCGCCGGCGGACGGCGACGACAAGGCACGCGTGCAGCGCAAGCGGACAGCGGCGCTGCGGCTGGCGGAGCTGCGCGAGGTGCGGCCGCAGGTGCTGCAGGCAGACGAGCTGGCGGCGACGAAAAAGAGCGACAACATCCTGACGACGTTGGCAACGGACATTTTGCAGCAGCTGCGGCGCGCGGTGGCGCGTGGCGCAGAACTGGTGCGGCGGATCCAGGCGGCCGGTCTCGACGAGGACGACAACGAGGACGGGGACGAGCCCGGCTCCGCAATGGCGGCGGCGATGCAACAGCTGCTCGAGCAGGTCGGCATCCACAGCAACGGCGGCGTCGACCTGATCCGTTTCGCGGTGAACCCGCTGTCCTTCTCGCAGACGGTCGAGAATCTGTTTTACATCTCGTTCTTGGTGCGCGACGGGCGTGCAGGTCTAGCCTACGACCACACGGGTCTGCCGTCCATCTTCCCGACGGAGGCTGAGGACGGCGGTGGTGAGCGCGTGCAGGCGATGAACGAGGAAGGTGGTGGAGGGCGGGACGAGCGTGAGCTCGGCGGCGGGAGGCGGCGGGGCAAGAAGAGCCGGAACTCGGTACATGATGACGAGGCCGGGGAGAACGGCGGAAGTGCGCCCGAAGACACGCAGCGGCACCAGCTGATTCTGGCCATCGACATGGCCATGTGGAAGGAGATGATTGAACTGTTTAATATCACGAAACCGATGATTGAGCACCGGGAGTCGGCAGAGCCGTCACACCCGAGTGGGCAGACGTGGTTTACATGACGTGGGCGGTTGGACGGTTAGGAGAAGGAGCACAACGGAAGGATAGGCAAGATTTTCTAAGCATGTTTAATGTCCAGTAATGAAGAAAAGCTGATGCATTTTTATTTGTGTTCTACTAAACACAAATCTATATTCAAAAGAAGAAAGCCAACAGCGCTACAAGATGCGAATGGCTATGCAACGAAATATAATATACAGTGGTGGGGATATCTCTGAAAGGAACAAATAAAGCTGTATGTATAAATGTAGTGAGAAGACGTTGTTGGGAGGTAGGGCCCCAGAGTGGAGTTGTAACAAGGTGTAAGGAGTGGCGAAGTATGTTGTGTCTCGTTTGCTGTTCAATTGTTTGGTCGGGACGTCGGCTTGGTCGGTCACGAGTTGTTGTTGAGCTTCGCCTATTTGCCTTCCGCATCCTCGGGAGCCGTTTTCTCCCCCGCCTCGCTGGCCTTGGGTGAAAAGTATGCGACGATCTCATCAATGTGCCCGACCAGTGAGTAGTGCGACTCGCCCGGGTAAACTTTCAGGACGGCGTGCGGCATGCGGTCGGTAATCTGCTGGATCCAGGGCAGGGGCGTGTTGGTGTCCTGGTCGCCGTGCCAGAACATGACGGGGTCATATGTGATGTCCTCGAACCGGAAACCCAAGTCGCTGCACAGCACCTGGGCGTCCTGCACAGTCGGCTCGGCACCCTGCGCAAACGTGTGAAAGAGGGCGCGGAACATGGCCTCGCGCCGTTCGGGAATGCTGCGCTTGGGCTCACCGTCCTCCTCGTCTTCGGGGTCAGCCTCATGCACACCATGCACATCGTCATCGGCAGCCTTGGTCGACCCCGGTTTTGTCGTGGCGACGGTCGACAGCGACTCGACCGACGCGGCTACGGCGGCGACTTCTTCAAAGTCGGACCCGGCAATAGAGCCTTCGCTTTGCGTGTCGGCCAGAGCGATCGCCTTGGCTTTCGCCGCCTCTTTTCTCTGTTTCTCTTCCGTCTTGTGCTCCGCCTGCTTCTTGTCCATGGCCGCAAACCAGTTGTCGATCCACCGCGAGACCATCCGCGTTCGCACCACCCACTGGATCGTGCCCGCCAGCCCGGCCACCATCACGCGCAGCGCCCACGGCCAATATGTCGCAAACCAGACCGTCACGCGCGACCGGCGAGGGATCACTCCCGCCGCCCGGGACGCCCTGTCAAAGGCGCCGCCGCCGCACATGACGCCGACGTGTGTGAGCACACCGGCCGGCAGCTTGGACGCACACGCCAGCACATAGGGACCGCCCCCGGAGCCGCCCAGGACGCCGAACTTGCTCAGGTTCTGGGTCGAAGCAAAGGCCATGACATCGTCGGGCCAGTCGAGCATGCGGCGACCGGGCTGCAGCGTAGACAGGCCGTAGCCGGGGCGGTCGAGACACAAGAGGCGGACCTTGTGGCGCTTGGCAGATTTGTCCATGGCCTGACCCTCGAGGCGGTTGGAGGGAAAGCCATGAAAGTAAAGGACGGGGGCACCCTCGGGCGCGCCATACTCGGCAAAGCCCAATGTGCGGCCGTCCGGCAGGGTGACGGTCTGGCTGTCGCGGTCAGGTGCCGGTGCCGGCTGGGATGGCGCTGCTGAAGACATGGCCGAGGTAGTGTGGATGAAGGAAGCGGTGCAATTGGGTGAGGCGACGCCGTTGCGGTTCAGCTTGTTCTTTGTGTTCGAGGAGGCAGCGCCAGATGAAAAGGCGGAAGACAAAGGGCGGCGGACAAGGGCAGTCGCCATGACAAAAACGGACGGGGAGGGGCAGGCGCGAATAAGAGAGGCGTGCCAGTGCTGGCAGGCGCAGAATATTGAGGCACGTTGTGTGCGGGCCGGGTTGGGCCTGCCTTCTACAGCGAGTTAGGGCTGCAGTCCGAGTATGGTGCCGTTTGCAGTCAGTCTGTAGACCAATGAGGCAGGCACGACGTCCATGGAGCATCCGTTGTTGTGCCCTGTAAGGTTCTGAGATATTGTCCCAACTTATTTGAAAATAGAATTTGGGCGAATCAATCCCTTGTTCAACACAGGCGCAGAGAGCAAAATGCAGTTGACAAGGCTTTCTGGCTCTTCCATGTCAGATCGGGGTGTTTGCAGCCGACTTTGGGTTTTGTGTGTCCTTAGGTCGTACTTTACTGTCTTATTTTGGCTTGTCAGTCGCTGAAGTTAGCCTCCTTCAGGACATCTTAGTCCAGAGCAAGAAAAGGAGAAATATGGAATGCAGGAAATTGCAAGTCTGTTCACATGATGTCTGAGTCAAGCTTTGTTGTCGGCGCAGCACAGCGCATTGGGCATTGCCGTGTTCCGTGGTTATTCGATACAGAAGGACTCCGCTGCCGCCTGCTGAATCCCTTGCAATTTTAGCGTCTACGTGCGCTGAGCCACGGTGAGCTTCCTATTTCCCCCGATCACCACTTACACGCTCCGCCAAGCTTTTGTGTCGGAACGATCGACGCGTTCCGGTGTTGGTTGCAAGTCCGACAGATACATATTCTCGCCCTGTCGTTAATGTCACATTATGGATGGTAATGATATAGTCACTTGTAATTTCAGTACGATGCTACATTCTTCGTCTCAGTCCCCTCCCACCCATCTCACGACGAAGACTTGCCGCTCTCGACAAGCTCCTTGCCAATTTTGCTCATGTCCTGGTGCATAAGTGTGTCAGTCTTGGCGCCGTTGATTGCTGCATCGAGCATGACCGACGCAAGAACGGTCAACGGGATGCTGGGTACACCGGCAACAAAGCCAAGAAGCGGTGCCATAATCCAGTCTTGGACGACGCGGCCGCTGGTGATTAGACCGGGCTTGACGATAATGGCCTCGACGTCGGGCTTGTGTTCGGCCGCGTAGGCGAGTACCTGGTTTTCGGTTTCGCCCTGGGAACCGTGTCAGCATGTCGGCGATGAAGAAAGGGCAAAATCGGGCGAAGCGACCGCAGGCAGGACGAGAAAAAACTCACTCGCATCAGAGTGTACTCGGGCTTGAAACTCGGCGTCTTGGTCTGGTCGCGCTCGGCGGCAATGCCGCTCATGTACATGAAACGGAACGGCGAGGTCTTGGTGCTGCCACCCCGCGCGGCGTAGATCGCCCGCAGGCCGGCGAGCGTGCTCGTCTGGCAGACGCGGCGCACCTCGTCGAATGGATAGGCCGACGACTTGGACGGCGTAATGGCCACGGTCCAGATGCAGGCGTCAGCGCCGGCAAGGGCTGTCTTGACACGGTCGTCGGCGTCGTAGGGGCCTTCATAGTCCTTGACGACGACACTGGTGAACTTGGCGGCGTCGGAGCTGCCGGGGGCGATGTCGCTAGGCACAGGTGTGGCCTTGCGCGCGAGAGCGACGACGGACGTGACTTCGGGCCGCCGCAAGCTCTGGCGAATGAGCTCGGTCGCGGTGTAGCCCGTGGCGCCAGCGATGATGAGTTTCATGTTGAGCAAAATTGGATTGTTCTGGGATAAAGTCGGTCGATGGATGATGCGAACTGTGCTCGGGTCGACGAAAACAATACCATTTCTACTCCGCAGTTGTCTAATTGAATCAGGTTGGCCGGACTTTAAGTCATAACACCGCATCTACCGCCGGGACGAGTTCGTCTGCGCGAGAGACCGGTGTACCAAACGACGAACACGAAGTGTCGTCTTACTTTGAGAAATGGCCGGGAACAACTTCGCAATCTAAAGCAGGGGGATCAGGTAGTGCGAGGAAGGGAGTGATCTGCGCTCCGCCGCCTTGCGCCTCGCTGGGCCAGACCATTCGCCTGGCAGGGCTAGACGGTGTGCATCGCTCTTCCCGAGCAGTAGTTGTCCGTACAAACAACCTCTGAAGGCCGTCGCCGGCACCTTCCCTCGTTCGCCTGCACGGCAAAATTGCCGAATTCGGAAGCATCCAGCAAAAATAGAACATGGCATGGGAGGTTCGCCAGTCCGACTAGAACGGCAGGAACGCACCAGCCGACTTCCCTCCCTGGCTTCCCCTTTTTGACTTCCGTTCTCCTTTCATATGCACGGCCTTTTCTTTCTCCAAACAAACTATCAATACAATAGACACTCACCACGCTTTCAACTCTTCGACACACTTCTTTGTCATTTCCGCATTTTCTTTGTTGTCGCAAAACGCGACATGGCCGCGTCCGGTCAAGATACCCTTCTGTTGGGGCCAAAGACTTCGCAAGCCAGGCACAATGCAGGAAAAATGGAAGAAGTGCGTGAAAAGAGAAAGCGAGAGAAATAACATGAAAGGAGAAAATGCAAGGACATTTTCTTTTTGCGGTCGACGAGCAAGTGAGCTCACGGGCTGTTCTTCCTAACATTGTCAACTCGAAAAACAGCATCCGACGAAGCTTCATAGCGATACAACACCACGTCAAGCTTACCCAAGGTTACGATACTTGACTTTGATTAATTTATTTCTCGAAACAAACATCCGCAAATATGGACGAGCCTGAGAAACCGAAACAGAAGGAGGTGCGGCGGCCTTTTTGGGAGCAGCCTCCACCGCTGACAGAAGCCGAGCTGGCCGAAAGGAGGGCGCGGCGACGCGCTGCAAAGCAGAGAATTGCCGAGCTGGCAAAGGAAAAGGAAATTTTGGAAGCCCGCTTGGAAAGGCAAGCACGGGCGTTGCAACCACCGAGGCGCCCGGAAGGCAAAGGCAGACCGATCCGTTTTGCCAGGAAGCTGAACGCAAATATGCCTTACATTGAGCGCAATGTCAAGCCTGTCGTCATACAAAAACCGTCTGTGCCGGCTCTTCCTCCAGTTGAGCCCGAGCCCGCAACCGAAGAAGCAGCGCCAAAAGACAGCAAGCACGACAAGGCCAAGGAGACGAAGCGACCGCCGCCGCTAGACATAACCGTCAACAATGCCGCTGCTGCTGCCATTGCCACGGAACGGCGGCCTGTCTCTCCACCAGACCGGCCACCACGGCCTATGCGTCTCGCCGACGAGAGCGGCGTCACACTCCATCACATTCTTCTTATCGTTAACGAGGCTCTCCGGGTCGAGATGCAAAAGAACCAGGACGTTCACGATGCACTGTCCCAAGACATCCAGGGCCCAATGCAAGTGCTCGGCGATCTCGGCAGGCTCGTGAACATGCTGTTCTGGTCCATGGAGCAGCACCGGAAGGAACTGTGGCGCAACAGAAGGGCGGCCATCCAGGCAGGCCAGCCTAACGAGCCTAATAAGCCAGCTCCAGTAAAGGAACCTTGGCGCGGCGCACTGGCAATATTTTCGACACCCATGCGTTTCTTTACTATACCACCTCAAGACACTGGCCGAGACGTCCGCGAAAACTCCCATCCATCTGAGAACGTTGACGTAGACGGCGAGGATGGCGGGGACGAGGGTTACGACGACGATGATGACGATGACGACGACACTCTCTTCTCCATCATGGAGGCCGGTATTGCCAGGCACTGGGCATTTGACTCGGACAATGATGACGAATACGACCCCGTCGTGCGGGCTTTCCACAACAGCGCCCAACGCGATGAACGCATCACGCGGGCTACGCGTGCTGTCAAGCGCAGCTACGATGCCGTTTTCAACGACGACGAAGATGCGTCCAGCTCCGAACTGGAGTCGGCCGCCGAGCTGCACGACAAGAATCTCCTGGACTACCTCAACATCCGCTCTCCTTCGCTTCATCCCAAATTTGGTGCCGACGAAGACAGTGATCACTCGTCCGACCCGCTTAACCCGCATCGCCACAAAACATACGATATTCAAGAGCAGCCCAAAGAAGAGGCAGAAGAAGAGACGAACGAACGACAGGAGGCCAGAGACGCTCGCCGCAGAGCCAGGGCCGAAGCCAGGGCCAAGGCGGCCGTCTCAAAGGCAGAACGTGACTCGCTGCTTAAAACGCTTCAAGAGGAAGCTCATGAAGTCGCCACGGCTGCCGTCAAGAAACAGCTGGCCGATCTCGAGGATGAGCGGGACGCTGCGCTACAGCTAGCCAAGGAAGCGGTACATGAACGAGACAAGATGGATGCGGAGACGGAGGACAAGGCCAGGGACATGGACAAGTTGCGCACTCTACTGCGGGAGCTGATTGATCGAGAGTTTCCACACAAAGATGAAGAGGTTACGAAAGAGGAGAAAGATAAAAATGAGGTGGTAAAAGGCGAGGTCGCAGAAAGTAGAGAAGGCGTCATGAAACCCGAAGGCGCGGAAGAGGGCGGAACGGAGATGGAGACGAAAGAGGAAGTCGAGCACAAAACAGAGAACAGCAAACAAGACGATGAACAAGAAAACAGCAAGGCGAAGGGCGAGCACGAAGAACGCCCCTCCGCTACAGAAGATAATCCGGCGCAACACTCAACCGAGACAGATCTACTCCCGGAACTGCCTTCCACGTCCGACTTCATGAAGAGAGCATCACGCCGATCTTCTCGCCATTTCACCCGTCCACCGGTATCACCAATTCCGATACCACCCTTGACACCATACCCGCCTCTAACCCCAACACTCCCAATAGTTCCAGCGACTCCATCAACTCCCATGGCCAATTGGGACAGGCAACGGCTTGTCAATGAGGTCCAGCGCATGCTTCACGCAACAGCACCACCCCCTACGCCTCTAGTTCGACAGTTCAACCAACGACCACCGCCTCCATCTCCGGCACTGTCGCTGTTCAGTAGCGGCACCGCCGCCTACATCATCCAGCGGGCCCGCAAACCGCTCGGCACGGGTTTTTTCGCATCGATACTCGACATCCTGTTGACCATCCTTCTCATGATTGCGAAGCAAAAGACCAATGTCGAAACGGTTGGCCGGTGGATCTGGTCTGCTTTCATGGTGCCAGCCTACCTGACTTTGACAAACATCGCCTTGCGGCTGTGGAACCGAAGACAGCGCCTGAGTCTACCACCGCTGTCAAACAGGACTCGCAGCCAGACAGACATACCAGACGATGCCACTGGCGTTGATCTACCTCTCGTGGCTTCGCCGGCATCGCACAGGTCCATTGCCTCGTTGCAACTGCACGACGCTCGCACGGCACTCGCCTTGGCCTATCGCCAACGTATTCGCCACGCGTACATTCTCTTCCCCAGAGATGCCCTCGCCGAGCTCACCATCTTCAACTTTGTTGTCTTTAGCATATTTCTCCTCTTCAGCGCAATCAGCGAGCGCAACCTCTGGCTGGATGCCAACAACACGGCCGACGCACCGGCCCAGTACTTCCAGACGTCTGTGCTGCGGTACCGACACGACACAGGCTCCTGCTCCACCATGCCGCCCCTCGTACCCGGGCCGTACCATTTCTGTGCCTGTATCCCAACGCTCTTTGATCCGCGTATCATAATAGGGCCGCTTGTCTACCTGATGGCCGTGTGGAACGACAGCGTTTTGGATTATCTGTGGCTCGTGGCCCAGTGGCTCGTGGCCCAGAGACTCGTATGGGGATTGAACAATGTGAGCCAGCTGTAGCCGTGGACTGAGTCAGTGGGTCGACGAGGGGGAGCCTGACTGGTTGCTGATTTGGCATTGTTTCATACGATTCTGAATTTTAAATAATTATTTTAAGCAAAAAATATTCACAATGTTTATTCGATCCAAGGTTACTCCTGTCATCTCTTCAACGTGAGATTGATGTCTACTCTAAGTCGAGTTCCTTTTAGACCCATAATTTATCACGTGATAATAATGTTTTCTTACATAATCTTCCTACACAGCAACCCGCCTAGTCTCGCTAGGCTGGATTCTCTGTTCAGTTTTCGCCCTAGTCGCGATCCTGTCACCAACCAACCCCTTTGCTAGCGATTTTTGATTGAACTGTTCGGGACGCGCGACGACCCTCCGCGACAACCAGCCCATCTTCCGGCGCCGACCACCCCGAAACGGCCCCCAGACCAACTTTCATTTGCGATAAAAGCGTCGCGCTCCCTTGTTTGGCGCACGCGATCCTACTTTTTTGGTCTATTGTCAAATTTTGGGATGCATCCCAGTCAAATCGATCACCAATTTCGCCAATTGACAGCATTGAGCGTCCATCGCCATCGTCGCGTTTGCTCCATCCGCGCATCGCCCCAGGCTATCCTACCACGTCTGAGGCCATCGATTACACAAACGGTCGAAGCGATCATCACGGAAGAACATTTCTATCACGCGAAGCAATCATCTACTTGACCATTGGACGGCTGAGGCGACGCAGCCAACAAGCTTACAACGGCGACCGAACACGGGCGCTGACAGGACGGCCTCAACGCCTCTCTTCGCCATGGCTCCATCTGTATGTCTCCCTTTGCAAGTCGCGCGGCGCGACCGTAACTGGCACGCAATCCTGCGCTCCTACTAATACTACCTTTCCCCCCTCTCCAGTATAGAATAAGTACGCAGACGCGACGTGGTGTACGCAATGCCTACCCGGAGCACGATGACTTCGAGGGCCTCCCCGTCCGCCAGTGGCGGCACGAATGGATCAACATCGAACCGCCCGTGACCACCCACACGAGCGAATCTAAAAGCAACAACCGGTGGGCCATAGACCTGCCTCACGGCATGCCCAAGGACTGGCACCTGCTGCCACCCCATACCCAGGACCTGCTGCGCGCTGCGCGCTCCGGCATCTTGTATAAACGGCGCGCGCCCGTCGAGGAGGAGGAACCGGAAGCCGACGGTGCGGCTGCTACGGCGGCTGGTGCAAACAATGCCTCCAATGGGGCGTCAGGCGTGGCTGGCAAAACGGCTGGTACAGGTACCGCCGGCCACGGTCACGGTGCACATGGCCAGGGAAGCAACGGTGCTGCGGCAGGTGGCGCGACGGGCAGCAGTGCACATGCAAACGGCGCTGCCGGTGCTAGCGACAAGAAGAAGAACAATGCCAGCAGCAACAACACCAAGGACAAGGAAAGTGGCTACGCTGTCAAGGTGTGGAAGCAAATGGCCCGCGACATCGACTCGCCGATGCCCTCTCATCTTGCCAAGCGCCGCAAGAACACCATTGTTCTGCCGCCCAAGCAGTTGACTGACAGCAACGGCATGCCGGCCAGCGCCAGCTTCGCCATGCCCATGGTTACCGTGGCCAGGGTGCGCCGCCTCGATGCCGCGGGCAACGCCTACGAGCAGTCTGTCACGCTCGCCGATGGCCAGCAGCACGTGGTCGACGGCGAAATCCTGTCCACGACCCTCCTGCCCGCCACAACGCGCGACCTGCCGCCGACGTTGCAGCAGCAACAGCAGCAGGGCGACCTGCAGGGGACACCGAACCGCAAGCGGGCGCCTCCGCCACGTCGCAAGCCGAAGGTAGGCCGGGGTCGTAAGAAGGGCGTCTTGCCCCCGGGTCTACATCGCGGCCGTGCTGCCGCTGCCGCTGCTGCTGCTTCGGCCGCGGCAGCGGCAGCCGCTGGCAATCCAGGCGACCCCGCTGCACCTCTGGCTGACGGTGTCGAAGGTGCGGCGGCTGTGGCGCCAGTGGACGGTGTGACCGCAACAGAAGGAACTCCGTCGCTGGAGCAGCAGCTGCCTCTTCCGCCGGTCGGTGACGACTACCTGCCTGCAACGAGCACGGAACCCGAAGGAGTTGCCAGCGAGAGTGTTGTTCCCAAGGACGATTTCGAATCGTCACTTGCCCCTGAGCCAAAGGAGGAGCCCCAGGACGAGGTGATGACCGACGTGCCTGAGCAACCGCAGTTAGAAGCAAAGCCCGGCTCGGAGCAAGAGCCAAAGCAGGACATGGTTGGCGAACTGCCGTCGCAACAGGAGTCAGCACAGGTGCCGTCAGCCGAGCCGGAGAGCAAACCAGAGCAGGTCGAGGAGCGGCCAGACGAGCCGATGTTGGACCAGACGGCAGAACAGCCTGCTGCGGCCGAGCCAGAACTGCAGGAGACGCCTGCAGAGGTGCCCGAGGATGAGGCGACGGCCGACGAGCCGCCGCTACAGAGCGCACCTGAACCCACACATGAAACAGCGCCTGCTTTCGCAGAACCCGCCGTGCCGGAGCCGGCACCGGTGCCAATGGCTGTAGACTCTGCTGTTGAGCCCACCACTGGGCCTGGGCCTACTGCTGCAATTGCGGAGCCGGAGCCAGGACGTCAGCCAACACCCACCGTCAAGGAGACAGCTGCACCGGTTGCTGCTGATCCGGAGCCCGAGGCGGCGTCGGCACCACCTGCACCAGAACCTGCACCAGAACCTGCGCCAACAGAACCTGCGAAGCAGCCTACGCCCGATGCTCCGGCAGCCGCGCGCGAGCCAAGCCCAGAGACGAAGACGCCCGAGTCGGCGCCGGCACCTGCACTGGAACCTGAACCGACCATTGCTGCTGCGCCTTCGGCCCCCCTCCGGCGCCCGCTGCTGAAGAGCCTGATGCGGCCCCAGCGCCTGTTGAGGAGCCGCCCACAGCCATGCCCGAGCCTACCTCGACACATGCTGAGAGCGCTCCTGTCGAGCCAACCCCATCTCCACCACTGCCGGCGGCAGAGACCGATGCACCTCCAAAGGAACCCACGCCTGTCTCGCCTCCAGCAGCAGCCGCTCCTGCTGTCGACGACACACCGGCAGCGCCATCGACGGAGGAACGGACAGCAGAGCCTGATGAGCCGGTTGTTGCTGGTGTTGCCGAGTCTGCGGCTGCAACTGCGCCGGCGGAGGCGAAGGACGCAGCCGGCGCATAGAGGCACAGGTGCAATTTTTGTACGAGATACGGTGTATACGGCTTTTAAGTCTTTCATATTGGCTGATGTATCTTTTTGTTGTTTCTGGCCCAAGACCATTTGAGGAGTGTGGTATTGTTTCTGGGCTAAGGCGCGTCTTGTGGTTACCTCGATTATATAGTGTTTTTGGTGTATATCGGTCAGCTTTCTTGTTTTATTATTTTCTACCACCATTATGTTACTGTCATATGTATTATCTGCATTTCCTACTCTACTACAGACGACCTAGATTCTCTGACTATTAGTTCTAAATAGAATCTAGCGTTTGTACTGTTTTATTGAACGTCTTTTCGTCAAAAATTTTTTCAAAAAAACAACTGTTTCGAAACAATTAAAATAAAACAATAGTTTGTTTCTCAAAGAAAAAAAATAGCATTTCCACTAGATACCACGAATGTGAAAAGTCGGACACCACGACCATCCTCGTCCAGCGACATCATAGCCCCGAAAGCCTCTTGACATGTTCCACCGCCAGTTTCTCTGTAATCATCCTAATTTCATGGCCTCCTTCGACACCTAGCCCATATCTTTGACCTATTACACCATCCCGTTAAGTTCATTCGAGCCGCCGGTCCAGCCGACAGGTGACATTCAATACTAATGCGAGTCTCGGAGGGTTCCAAAGAGACTGTTCAGGCCGACGCCACACGGGTGGTGCCAGTCAACTTGGGCTGTCTGTTAGCGGCGCTCAACATGGTAGACAAAAACGAAACAAACGAAACAAACGAAACAAAAACGAAATGAAAGACCTACCAGGACTGGCGCCGGCGTGAAAGCCGAGCCGCCCACACTGCTCTCCTCGTCCATCTCCTTGACGTGCGCCGCAGTTGAGGTGGACGTGGCCGCGGCCGTCTTGGCTTCTTGGGCACGGCGGGCCTGTTCGCGCAGCCGCAGACGGCGCAGGACGACAACGGAGCCGACAACGAGGACGCCGGTGCTGCACAGGAAGAACCAGAAGAGGAACATGGTGAGGGCGTTCATGTTGCCATTGTTGGTGGTGGAGGTAGAGGTGATGGCGGTGTTGATGGTGCTGGAGCCGGGGTGGGCATCGGCGCCGGAGGCGGCACTGGCCGAGGGCGCAAGCACGTCGCCGGTCGTGGAGGGGATGATCATTGTACAATGGGTATTTCGTAGTAGTTGATGTTCTTTTTGGTGAAGAAGCTGCGGAATGCGACTGCAAACGAGTGCGTAAGTGATATCAAAAGTCGCGACTCTGGTCAAGGCGAAGAAAATTAACGAGAGACAAAAAGAACATCAAGAGAGCAAAAGAAGTCGCAACTGAACGATAACAGCTACATTTTAACAAGAAGCCCAAGTCACTCGTGCGTGGAAGGTATCGCGAGGCAAGGTGGTGGCCGTGTAACGACGACTCGATGTTCTCCTCTTAGCATTGTTCTCCGCGAAACGCGCGAAGTATGTAAAATCTTACGATTACCTTTGCGCACTTTACACGGCCATCCCCACTCTGCTTTGCCCGCACGTATCGTATTGTTCTTGTCAGGCAAACACGGCACAGAATGCAAATGACAAAAGAAATTAGTATTTTGTAGAATCGCATGTAGCGGGACGTAGTGTAAACCCAAATCCAAAGCGTATCCGAAAAAAACAAAGAACCAAGACAATGGAGAAATAGGGCAAAAAAAGTCCAAAAAGCAAAATAGCTTCCTTTCGCAAGGGCTCCCCCGCTGTCCTCCTCTCACCGCCTCGTGGTATAATTAAGTGCATTCCAGCGAATAAAAACAATCCGTCGTCCTCGTCGTCTTCCCCCTCCTATTTCGCGTGGGCGCCTGCCTCTTTACTTCTGGGGCATGACCATGCCCGGCTGGGCCTGGTAGCCCTGGGCCGGGTTGGCGACAAGGTGTGCGGTGCGCGTCTTGACCTCGTTGTCCTGCTGGATGAGCGAGCAGCACGGGCACCAGTAGGTGGCGCAGCAGTCGGCCGTGCCGTCGCCCTGGATGCCAAAGCGCTCGCGGATCTCGCCGCGCTTCATCATAATGTAGATCCAGCCGCAGCCGGTGAAGCAGTGGATGGCGAGGAAGACCATGCAGTCGGAGTTCATGGAGTCGGCGCCCTGCATGGTGGGATCGCGCATGCGGTCGGCCGTCTTGCCGAGCAGGACGCAGGGCAGGAAGGTGCCGAGACAGCACGAGTCGCACGGGCTGCAGTCCATCAGGCTGTGGTTCCACTCGCTCTTGTTGGCGACGCCGGGGCCGGCGCCGACGACAGCACGCTGCATGGGCTGCTGGGCCGCATACTGCTGGGGCTGCTGCTGGATGGCGCGCTGCTGGGGCTGCTGGGGCTGCTGAGGATGCTGAGGATGCTGAGGATGCTGTTGCGGGTGCTGCTGAGGAGGGTACTGCTGCGGGTGCTGCTGGGGAGGGTACTGCTGCGGGTGCTGCTGAGGCGGGTATTGCTGAGGATGCTGCTGAGGAGCAAACTGCTGAGGGTGCTGCTGGGGAGGATAGGCCTGGGCGTGTTGCTGAGGCGGTGGCGTGCCGTACTGGACGACGCCGGTCTGCTGAGGCGGGTAGGCGTGGACCGGCTGAGGCGACGGACTGCCGTACTGAGGCTGGCCCTGGGGCGGGTAGACCGCCTGCTGGCCAGGCGGCGGCGTGCTATACTGCGGCGGAGCCTTGTAGTCCATTGTGTGTAATGTGTAGTTTGTGAGGTGGTGAGATGGTGAGTTGTGGGTCAAAGAGACGTGATGCGTCGATGATGGGACGGAAGGAAGTAGGGGAGACGAAGGAAGATGAAAAGAAGAAGAATAGGAAAGAGCCAAGAAAGAAGAACCAAAAGAGAACGGATGGAAGGAGGGGGCGCTCAAGTAATTAAGAGTGGAAAGAGCTTTGGGGGAGCCGGGAGGAATGCTCGTGTCAGACAAAAGAAAAACAGAGCAAGGAGGAAAGGGGGAAGGGTGTGCAGAGTGCGCCTTCCCGTTGATGGACAGCTTTGGATAGGCTCGATGGAGACAGGGGGCTCGGCCGCATGTGTATCTTTATGACACTTGTGAACAGCGCAAAGTGCAAAGGACCCAAGAAAAGGGACAAACTAAGCATGGGGCACACCCGGACTACCAGAATTGGGACACTTGTGCGGTGATTTTTTTTATTTGTGCGATTCGACTGGGAAGGATGGACAAGATGGGCTGTAACTGGGCTGAGTCGCTGGGGTTGGAAAGGCACACATCAAGTTCACCAATACGGAACAAAGAAGGGATTGAACTACGGGAAGCAGCTACACAGTACTGAGCCACAAAGAGATAGCAAGGGAAAATAGGAGAAAAGCTGCCAGGACGGAGCAGGGCCTTGGCAAAGCCCAAGATCTGCAGCGTCCTTGAGAAGCCTTGGTACTAATCTTATACACGTGCATTTGGTGGACATGAGTACGAAGCAGCTGGCCAGATACGTCGTACTTGTGGCAAGCTTCGGACGCAGATACACACAGGAAGGGACTGCCACGATTGTCGGAGTCAAAAGACAAGAGTTGCCTGCTGCCCGTCTGACTCGTACGACGATCGCCTGGATGTACATGTTGCTGCTCAGATGCTGATTTCCTGTTCTTTCCCTGCTCCGCTGTCGCTTTCTTAGCGCGAAGCTATTCTAGCCGTTGCCCTAAGGAACCTGCAAAAACAGCCTTGCCGAGACGTCATGTCCTGGCAAGTCCATCGCTGCTTCACTGATGGGTGGACCGCGTTACAGACGATAGGCGCGTTTAGGACTCGAAAGTACAAATGTACATGGCACCCCTCCCTCTTTCGTGGCAAGAAAATGGAATGAGAAATGACAGGATAATGGGTGCCGAGAGTTCGAAAGCGGCTTGTCTCAATGGCACACATCTGCGACGGCATGTCTGCAGGTCCTTTGTCTTTGCGTGTCCCGATAGCCAGGCCACCTGGCCGCCACCACATGAGACCAGCAGCGCGGAGCGCAAGGGCCCAGAAGCAGCGAAGAGGACGGCGGACTGAATGTGTCGAAAGATCCTGAGCTTGAATGCTGCTTGAGGTTCGTTGTCATCCTTTTCAAGACGCATGTCGTCCTGGAAGATCATTTTCATCCTTTTACGTTATATTAAAGCCGGCCACAATGGGTTAGAGACCTTGCTGACAAGCGTACTCACGTCGTAAGATGCCGGGGCTGCGTTGCTTCATTGCTTCCCTGCATCGTTTTGGTTGTGAAATGTGACCTTTCTTCAAAGGACTGTGGAGCTACTCTGGGCGTTTTGCTGTTAATTTTAGATTAACTTTTTTTTCTTCTGGGCTGAGCCTGCAAAGTGGCACCCGCTAGTGTGGTGCGGCTACTGGGAAAGTGGACTTGCAGGGACTAGTCATGGTGTGGGGCCACTTTCCTGTCGGTTGTTGACTGTTGGCACTGCCCTGATGGCGCGATGGAGACACCTCGATAGGCACTGTTGATGCCACTAACAGTGATGGCTCTCTCCAACGCGACACTCACTCTTCACGAACGCAACCCATGCCTGGAGACCTTGCCGCGTTGTAGTGTTTCATGGGGCTACCAGCAGTACCCGAAGGGCGTGTTTGCGTCTTTTTTTTGTTTTTTTTTTTTTTTTTTTTTTTTTTTTTTTTTTTTTTTTTTTTTTTTTTTTTTTTTTTTTTTTTTTTTTTTATTTATATATAGTTCCATCCTCTGGCCCCCATCCTTTCAGGGCTGAGCAATCTCTTAACGCGCCGTCCGCGACCTGTTTCGGCGGGTTCCAAACGGATTGTCTTTGCAAGGAATGGGCATGCAAGTCACTGGTTAGGCATGGCGACTGTAATTGCGACGCACTGAGAGTTCGCGGTGGTGACCCAATATGGGAAACGAAGTCGGGTGTGGCACTAATGAGTAAACATCTCGTCTCGTGTTTGATCCCGAGCCATACTGTGTAGGCCGTTTCTATCCATTGCATGTTGCTTGTTTACATTGCAGACACAACGCATAAACATGGAAACGGCACAAACCGCAAGAGAGTGTAAAACATACTTTTCACACCGCTTTCAGTGCTCGCTGTGCCCCGTTAACGCGTCGTGATATGACTATGCGACGCGACTCTTGGCCTGGTTTGTGTATGGAGTATTACTCCTCCGAATTGCTATTTCATTCTTCCGCCTAATCTGATGAAGGAACCCGATCCTCTTGAGAATTACCACCATTTCGAGGGTCGAGCCAGACAGCCAGAGTCCTTTTTGTTCTGGACCTTTGATCATTCTTCCTTGTTTTCCTTCTTCCATCCTATCCATTTTGGATCTGCTTTTCCCACCATCCTGTCTGTGCTCTGCTCTCGTCGTGTCGATCGGTAGGCAATCTTTCCTCTTCAGTCACCATGGATAGGCTGACTGCACCACGTCGTTTTCCGTTTTTGGCCGTGACTTTTGGTCATCGATCCAGTACTGGACCTACGTCGTATTTCTCGTACAATTTCGCAACTGCTAGAGCCGCAAAGTTTTGCGTTTTCGCATCTCACTGGTCCGGCCAAAATTCTCCGTCCAACAAAAGGGTCGATCAACGTGGAGACTCGTTTTGGGTCTCTCGTACGAAGATTGCTTGTGTGAACTGCGCTGAAGGGATTTATCTACTACGAAATGTCCTAAGAGCATCTATAACTTTCGTCAAGAATACATGTTTATCCCTTCATTGGTTTCACTCTGCCTGAGTTCCCGAGTTTCTTTCAAGGACTTTCAGTACAAAATTTTGGAGAGAAGCGGCAAGATGGAGACCCGTTGGACGCTCGATAAAGCTGCCTGACCCAGAGTTTGCCAGTGCGTACCTGAGGTGGCTCGAGCCTGCCATGGCCGGCAAAGATCTGCGTTGTCCCCCAAATGGTGCACAGCCACAGCAGCTGAACCGTGGCCTGGGAACCTCATGGTCTCAAACAAGCACCCTGTCACTTGTCCTGGTCTTTGTCCTGGTTGGCCCGCTCTTTTGAAATGCCGTGACCCTTCCAACTGCGGCAACCTATTGCAACGTGCGGCCGTTTCTACTGCACTGGCAAGGCATGTGCCCATATGATATAAAATGGAGTAAGAACGACGTAAGATACATGTATCGTAATATGTAGTGCTTCGTTCTCCTTCCCACGCTGAAATCATCGTTGCCGGCCACGGTAGCACACATCACCGCTCCACTGCCTTGCTCAGAATCGTGTAGTCCGGCACAAACGTCTTGCCGTGCCGCAACCGGCGCGTCTTCGGCGCCGAAGCGTCCGTCGCAAAGCCCTCTCGCTCGTAGAAGCGGAGTGCGCGCTCGTTGGACAAAAAACACGTCAGCATGACCTTTTCGACCGGGGGGCCCAGGTTGTGAGCCACGATGCTCTGGAAGCCGAGCAGCACGCGGCCGAGGCCGGAGCCCTGGAGACTGGGCGCCACGTGAATTTCGAAGCAGTAGACGACGGCAAGGCCCTCTTCGTATGTCGGCATCAACGAAGTGAAGGCGCATACGTCCTCTGCCCTTGCTGCGGTCTGATCCGTGCCTTTGATGCCGTTGTTGCTGTTGTCGCTGTCATTGGTAGCGTCGTCAGCCTGGTTCCCCTCCTGGGTTTCGCTGACACTGCCGCCGTGCCCGACGCGCCGCACAAGAATGTATCGCAAATCTGGCAACCGCATCTCCTGCCGCTTGTGGTTGGGCCGCCACCTGAGCCTTGAGCCCTCATAGTCTCCCCGGCTGGTCGTCTCAATGAGCGTGTAGCAAGTCTCGAGCGTCGCCTCGTCCAAGTTGGCCGGCCGTGCCAAGCGGATGCTGTATACTTCGTTGGTGCCCGGGCGTGTCCAGGAGGTTTTCCACGGTATTGAGTTGGGAACCCTGTGGGTTAGAGGTGGGAACGAGTGCATATATATGATAGAACGAGTGCAAAAATATGTAAGCCGCTGGACTTACTCTGGCTCGAGGTAGCTTTTGACAAACTCGGTGTCAGATTTCTTGTTAGCCGTATCGATTGGGCTTGTCACGGCCCGCCGGCGTTTTAAAATGGCCATGCCCGGTTTGAGGCTCACGGGCCGTGATTTCTTAAGCCCAGCTGGGCCCGCGATCCAGCCTCGATCGCGAAACGCGACTCGACACGATGTTGACTTCGAACGCGACTCGGCGTTGTCCCGTGGCCGCGCCCGAGACCGTGTGCCCCGCTAATCCCACCCTTCCCAATTGACAGTAGGGTATGACACTCAGTCAGAGAAGGTGACAGTGGCGTGATGGGCAACCTTTCGCAGCCTTGTGTTGGTTGCTGTTTGTGGTCGCACCAGTTTGACGCTCCAACAGGCCGTTGGATATCGCAATGGTGTGTGGTGTGGGGCGCCGTCACTGGAGCCGGGTGTAATACAGGGCATTTCCACACTACCTAGCGAGCTAGCCAACCACTACCGCTCGAATCCAGTGCATTTCAGCCGAAAGCGAAAAGGCTGAGAAATGCAACGACATAAGTCGACGACATAAGTCGACGACATAATACAGCATACGGCGACAATAAATGACGGCCAAAATCAACTGCAAGCCAGGATAAGTCAATGACGCCCACGGACAGCACAGAATAGCACCGTCAAGCTAGACCTGGGCACACAGCCGAGCGCCATGCACCGCCTCGCCGGCCTCCGGCTTGCGATACGAACCATCTCCGTCTCGTTTTCGGTGCCGGTTTCTTCCACTGCCACTCGTGCGTATGCCACGGGCGCTGCCGGCCCTATCCGTACCTCCCGGATTGGCGGCAAGACGACCCTGAGCCTGGAGCATTTCCTGCAGCGGTCCCGGGCCCTGGCGCTGTACCGGACGATTGTGCGCGGGACCCGGCAGATCAGCGACCCGACGACGCGCGCCGAGACACGTCGCTTTGCGCGAGAAGAGTTTGAGCGGCACCGCGGGGTGACGGATTTGGTGAGTGCCTCTCAGTGTTCTTACATGGACCCGTGCAATACAATGCTGACTGACCTGCAAGACACATATCCGCTACCTGATCTCAACGGGTAAAACTGAGTGGCAGAACACAGAGCGGTATATTGGCGGGATGTAAGGCAGCCTCTTTGAAACAAAATGGACCTGCCACTACTTGAAATACATGGCCATTTGATAATTTAGTATGATCCAAGTTACAGTACGTGTGCAATTATTTAAAAGTCTTGTGAAGACAACCGTATATACGTTTGATGCATAAATTTGTGCTGATCATGTGTATATGTATCCCTGTGTCTATATACGACGCCAATTTTTCCCCTGAGTATTTCACCCTCCGCCTCATGGTATCGTACAAGTCGTCTTCCCCCCTCTTCTCTCCTTTTCGTCCATCCTCTCAACCTTGTCTCTGTTTGTGACGCGGGTTTGCCGAGCAGACAATGTACATGTAGCCATTATGCCGCTTGCCGCCCTTGCGCCGCACCACCTTGCAGTGCTCGCACCGCTTCTTCACCGAGCTGTGCACCTTCATGCCGCGCACCTGTTGCCGGCGGCCGTGGCCGGCAGCGTGCGTGTGTGCGTGGGTGTTGCCGGGGGTGTGCTTGTGTTGGCAGGTGGATGCGGAGGCGGCAGCAGTGGTCGGCCGCGTGGCCGAGGCGGCGACGAGCGAGAACACGCGCTGCTGCTGCTGCACGTTGGGTGCGCTGGCTTGCACGCGGAGTGCCGACATGGCCGTCGTCAGGGACGAGACCGAGCGTGTCGATGTGGCTGCAGAGGAGGTGGAGGCAGCAGCCGCGGCGCGCACAGAGGCCGGCGCCAGCAGCCGTGCAATCCGTGCAATCGGCATGGTGTGTGTATGTGGATGCACGTATGAAGTCGTGACGCGTGCAATTGAATCGGTACTGACGCGGGTGGTGGACCGATGTCGTCCGGTCCTCGAGTCGTCCGGCCGTTGAGGTTGAAAAGCTCTCCCGATTTTTTTCGATATTCGACCATAGATATCGTATGGGCGGAATTGTGGAGACATGGTCACGTGGTCATATCACCGCCAAAACCATTAGGATGTCATAAATGTCACTACAAGTCCAGACTCTCGGATAATTTGAGCTCTTTTGAGTTTCATTAGAATCAGTGTTCGAGACATGTTTACACACTTCGTTCTCGCGGATTTCGGACCTCCGGGTCCAATGTCACTGGTAGTCGTTCTCGTTTGCAACGCTCAATTTGAAACCTGTGGTATTTAGTGACTGTTGCACTGAGTCCAGTTTCAGCATAGCTTATTGTTTCTGCCTAGCTCGACAAAATACCGTAGACCTTCCACTGTAACTTGCCAAATTATAGGGAGTCGCACGCGTCAGCTAGCGCCTTCGCCGTCGTTTCCTACCATTCACAGGGGTTAGCTGCAATGCCTCGGCAACTGCACAACATCAGTAGAAGGTGCCAGGAGTAAGGCTGGTGCCTTCCCTCGCAGCACTCAGCCTTTCTGGCGATATCTTGCGAGCTTGCCTTGCGGTGTCTGTCTCGTCACTTATTCCATTCCCAGAAATACAGCATTTTTATAACGAACTCTCCTACCTACTCTATTTTCTACCAACTCCTCCCTACACCTCATTCCTACGCACCTCTTTTGTCTTTCTCCTCCTGTTGCATCTTCCCTCATTTACTTCGCTGAATCACCTCGTTGCCCCGACCGGTTGATCTTTTGAAGCATATCAACGAAAAATAGGCAATCGAGGAGACGACGTGCGCAGACAGTTGTCATAACTCAAGACACGGCACGGGACCTAACCCGGTCTGCTCAATTAAGCTTAAAAATATAGGCAAAAGACTGCGGATACTCCAGTCTAACGAGGCCGTACGACGACAACAACCCGCGACCGCAGCCTTCCTTTCCCACAATGGTTGACCTCACCAAAGTCACCACTGTCGCCGAGACGCTCAAGCACCCGTCCTACCCGGACGCCACATGGAACCTGCAGCCCACCCGTAGTGGGCGGCTGCCCGTGGCTGCCGGCCGGGGTGGACCGTTGCGCATTGGCTGGGAGGTCCACGGCGAGGGCCCCATCAGGATAGTGGTAGGTCCGATTGTCGCACATGGATCTTGTGAATGACTTTATGGATCGATTGCTAACAGTATTAGTTCATCATGGGCCTTGGGTCCTTCAAGACGGCCTGGCAGCGCCAGACGCTGTACTTTGGCCATGAGCGGTACAAGGACTACTCCGTCCTGCTGCTCGACAACCGCGGCATGGGCGACTCGGACCGCCCGTTGATGCGCTACACCACCAAGGACATGGCCCTCGACGCCATCGAGGTGCTGGAGCACGTCGGCTTTGTCAACCAGGCCGCCGAAAACGGCCGCTCGGTTCACGTGGTCGGCCTGTCCATGGGCGGCATGGTCGCCCAGGAGCTCGCCTGCCTCATCCCCAACCAAGTCGCGTCGCTGGCCCTGTGCTGCACGGCCTCTGCTATCGAGAACACGTCTGCCAGCATCTGGGAGAACCTGGCGAGCCGTGCTGCGCTCATCATCCCCAAGGGCGTCGAAGAGAGCGTCCGGGGCACGGCGGGACGCATCTTCAGCGACAAGTTCTTGACCGGGCCGGACAACGTGACGCTCCCCGTGCCGGGCACACACCTTGTCGGCCCGCCGCTGCGCCATCTGTACACGCCCGAAAAGACCATCCCGCCCGACACCATAGCCCTGCCCGAGCAGACAACGAGCAGTGCCGAGGCGTATACCAAGGACCCGGCCACATGGTACCGCACGTTTGACAGCAACTACCAGCGGTTTGTCGCGCAGGAAATGCATAAGCGCAACGACCCGCGGTTCTCCACAAAGGGCTTTTTGCTGCAGCTCATCGCCTGCGGCTGGCACCACAAGTCGGCCGCACAGCTGGCCGCCATGGGCGACGCCATTGACCGGCGCCGCATCCTGATCATCCACGGCACCGCCGACGAAATGATCTCGGTGCCACACGGGCGCAAGCTGATTGAGGCCATCCAGCCGGCGCAGTCGCACATTGTCGAGGGCATGGGCCACGCACCACTGGTCGAGCGGTGTGACTGGTACAACCAGACGCTGACGGACCACTTCCACAACGGCGAGGTCATGGCCGGGCGGGCCAAGGAATAAACGGAGGGTGAAGAGGGAGGGGGGAGGTGAAGGGAGAGCCGGAACAAAAACGGATTTGAAAAGGGAACCGATTTGATTATGTGTTTACGACCCTTTGTTTCTAGACTTTCTAGACCTAAGACTCCAGCTGGCATTGCATGCTGCTTGTACCCCGTACCCATGGCTAGAATCTGTCTCCGGAGTTTACGTTTCTGTATCTTTTCGTGGTTTTTAATATTTTGTATTCATGTTTCTTTTCTTAATAATCGCCTTTGCTGTTTAATGTTAAATGATGATTGTAATACTACTTTAGCCTGAAGGCGTCTTTCCAAACCCAAGCATCTCCAGTCCTCCGTTCATGTCTACCATCAAGGCTCTTCCAAAGACTTATGAACGCAAAACGCTCGCTAAGACGAACATGCTATGATTAACACTGTAGGAACGCCGTGCTTGCTTGTTTTTTAAACTCTTTTCCGCTTTCCTGCACGTCCGTTACATCATCACAAAGCCAATTCCGCTCAGCTTGTCTTCGTCCAGACGGTTGTTCCGGTCGACACCACCGGCTATCTGGGCAGCACGGTAGTTGAACAGGTAGTAGTGCAGCTGGCCGTCACCGGGGCCGTACTTTTGCTGCTCCAGGAACAGTGCATTGTCCATGATGGACAGCGCATTGAACACGTCGAAGCGGTTCTTCTTGGCCAGGATGAGCGCATCGCTCATCAGCTCGTTGAGCCGCAGCTTGAGCGCCGGCTTGTCAAAGGGCGTGGTGAGGCCGGTTTCGGTCGCATAGTAGAAGAGATAGGCGGCGCGGATGACGTTGTGGCGCGGGTTGTTGATGACGGACGAGTCGAGGCAGTAGAAGGAGAACATGTCGGTGATTTTCTTGGTCTTTTCGTCCTCCACGACGTACGTGTACACGACCTGCTCGTCGCCCGGCAGCCGCTTGTCGAGCAGCCAGTGGTCGACCTCCTCCTTGGTAAATTCCATGGCCATGTCGAAGCGCTGCAGGTAGCGCGTCAGCAGGTCCTGGACGGCGTCAATGTCGCCGGCGACCATGTCGCGCAGGCCCTTGGTCTTGGTGCGGTCGGGCAGCGCGTACTTGCGCACCTGGAACTGCGGCTTGCTGTTGGGCGGCAGCGGGCTGAAGCCGACCTCGTACAGCTTCTGCCAGTCGAGCGAGCGGTGGTAGTAGCGGGAGGTGCTGACGGGCTTGGGCAGGACCACGCCGGCCGTGTACAGCGCCTGCCAGACGCCCTCGAGGTTGCACAGGCGGGTAATCTCCTTGATCAGGATGGGTGCCAGGCGCTTGGAGCGCAGCTTCTTGTGGATGACCAGGAAGTTGACCTCGGAGGCGTGCAGCACGGCCGTGCGGACGCGCAGCTCCAGCGGGATGGCCGAAATGAAGGCCACGAGCTTGCGCGACTGCGTGGCGCGCACGCCAATGTGCCACGCCTTCTTCCAGCCGGGCGACATCATGGCCCACTTCAGGATCGACTTGGAGTAGCGGAAGCGGAACATGGCCTCGCCGTCCTCCACGAAATGGCCCATAAGCAGATCAAACACTTCCTGGAGCTGCACGTCGTCGGTCAGGTCCACCGTGTCCCACTCGAAGCCGTCCACCAGGGGCGGCCGCTCCTTGGGCACGTCGTCGACTGTCATTGCCTGGATGGGGCCCTCGGCCACGCTCTTCTTCTTACCGGCGCCGGCCTCGTCCTCGCCAAACTTGGGCACGGGCTGCGTCTGCCAGAACTTGTAGCTCGCCATGTCCTTTGCATTCTTGCCACTGGCAGCCATGCCCGTCATGATCTCGGCCAGGTTCATCCGCTTCAGCGCGGCCAGGGCGGCTTCGGCACTGATTTTCGGCTCGCCGTCGCCACCGCTGCCGCTGCCGCTGCCGCTGGCCGTCGATACAGAGGCACCCGCTTTGTCGGCAATCTCCTGCGAGATCGCGGGGTTGAGCTTGAGCAGCTCGGCCACCTGGTCGGCTGGAAGGCTGGAGATGGTCTTCTTCAGCTGCGACTCGGCATCAGCGAGCGTGGCCGCCTTGCCCTTCTTCTTCTTGTTCTTCTTCTTCTTGCCGCCGCTTCCCGCTGCTGCTGCGCTGCCAGCGTCCGCTGCTGTGGAAGCATCGGGGGCATGTGTCTCGTCGTCGGAGCCGCCCTCGCTATCAGAGGCGTCGGCCACCTCTTTGCCCTTCCCATTGGAGGGGATCTCGCTCAAGGCGTCCGGCTTTGCGTCCTCAGCCATGGTTGGGTAGCCCAGAGGTGGTTGTCGGTCGTTGCAAGGTAGGTATGTGCCGGAGATCGGTTGGAGGGCAAGGTAGTCGTTTAAATTGGGCGCAGAAAATATATAAAATAATGTTCCGCCTCGAGAGATTGTCACGAGCCAAAACAAGGCGACGCAGCTTTTCGAGACGTTGCAGATTTCCTTGCCGGTCTAGGCTTGGTCGCACGATTTGCGCCTGCCGTAATTCCTGGCGCACAACCCCCCAACAATCACCATACCCCGCCGACAGCTTCTTAAAACTGGGGGAAAGCTCGCTACCAGTTTTGGTTGAGAGTCGAGGTCACGTGTGTCGCTTGAGGCTGTGATTACTTGGGAGTAGTATTTCTAGTCAAGTGGCAGCAAGTATTTAGGACAGCTCTGAACATGTTGAATATTCTCTTGGTGTACGAATTATGAGATGCACTGTAAGGACTAGTCCTAAAGACATAACCATTGACATGGCAGGTCTCTTAAAATAAGAGAATGGTACTTGTTGAGGTATAGTTTGAAGCGACTATCGATGTCTCACACTTCAATTTGATGGGGTAGGACATAAACGCTGCTACTGTACGGCGATAAACATCTAGAGTATTCAATAGCAATAAAATACCACGTATACAGAGTTCCATGTGAGTTGCGAGGCTCCGGACTCGACAATAGCTTCAGTATGCATCAACGACCTTGTTTACTTCCATATGTCGTAGATCACCCAATAATTCCAGTAGCTTTATGTAAATTATTGACAGGGCTACATCTCATCGGTATGCGTGATATCATGGGATGGTCCCTTCGGTCAGAAGTTACCTGCCATCTCTTCTCACTCTTCCACATTCGCTTTGGATCGCAGAGAATACCTATTTGGGCCACCTCTCATTCCTTCAATGCGGTATCACGTGTAATGGTGTCTTGACAACCCGCTGTATTTTTAGCCACAGGGGCAAGCTAGAGGGAAAGAAGCAGGACCTGGCCTCCTGCATTAAGGGCCCAGGCCGGCCCACATGATGCCGAAACCCGCTCCTTACCCACTATCTCTCAGCTATCCAGCGCCCCTAAAAAACTAAGTCGTCCGCTATCGTGCAATTGGGCTGTGCTCCGCCGCTGTTGCCTATTTGCTGCGAAGACGCATGTTTTTCTGTTGCAACATGGGATTGCATTCCCGCCCAATAGACAGAACAGCCAAGCGAAAGTCAAAACACCGAAGGATCACCCCTTCGTATCTTTTCTATGTTGTGCCGTCGCTTTTGATCTCTTTCGGGCACTGATTGCGGCGACCCATTTGTTAAACGCCCCCTTCCCCAGAAAAAAGGTCCGTGGCAGAGGGTGTTCCCTGTCAGAGAAGTCAGCTATTTTTTATTTTATTTATTTTTCTTCTTTGTCCCTTCTTCTACAAAGTCACGTCCACCCTGCTTCTGTCGTATTTGTTTTCCTCAACGTCCTGTCTTCCCTTTCACTACGTCCCTTTCCCAGTTTGCTTCCTTTTCGAACCTGGTCCATTCATTGATTCAAACCAATCCATCTCGTGGCCTCAGCCTCGTCGATCGGCGCACAATCCGCTTTTGAGTTTCACTCCCCAAGCACCACAATGGTCAAAGGCAAGCCGGGCTCTTCGCCGCTGCTGCGGCCCGACGGCGACGCTGTGTCGCTGCACTCGACACACGGTAGTAGCAGCCACGCCGCCTTCCTCGATGCCGACGAAGATGCACCCGAGCTGTTCCTCGACGGCGACGACATGCCGCCGCTGTACACGGACGTCGTCAGCGGGAACGTGGACGACTCGGCGGTGAATGCCGAAACCGAGGGCAGCTCGGCGGCTGGCGGCAGGTCTGCCGGCGCACCGAGCAACGGGCGCTTTCGCTACCCGTCCTACGTGGAGGGCGAGCCCCAAAAGTGGCGCTACGACATTGGCCACTTTGGCACAGAGGACCCTGCACAGGCGCTGGCCACTGCCGCCACGCACTGGGCCCAGGCACCGCCCCGGCCGTACGTGCAGCTGGTCGGCAAGCACAAGCAGACCGTGGACCACAACGGCAAGAAGGAGACGCGGGACGTGGTCGACTTTGACGTCAAGGTCGAGCTGACGCCGTACCTGTTTTCCGACGCCGTGACGTACAAGTCGTGGCGGACGCTGCGGACGCCGGAGAACCGCGATAAGGTCCGGCGTGGCACCGTGTTCCGGTGTCAGGCACCGGCTGCCTCGGGGCCCCCGCGTCTGCCCGAGGACCCGGAGAGCAACGCCGCCGTCGCCGCCGACGGTGACGACGACAAGCCAACGTTAGAGGACTGGTGCCGTCGCTACACAGAGGACCCCGCCAAGCTGCGGTCGTTCACGCTCGAGCGCCGGATGGTGGGCTTTGACTACAAAAAGGTGCAAACGCAGATGGAGTCGCTGGTGCGCCGCACCAACTACCGCGGCCACCTGGCCGTCACCTTCCCTACGGACGAGGTCGGCTTGGTCATGTACAGCGACCACCGCTTCAACCGGTGGCGCATGATGAAGTGGGTGCAGGCGTTGTGCGTGCTGACACTCATGGTCCTCTTTACATGGCCATATCTGTTTTTCGCCACCAAGAGCTACGAGGTCGTGACGGTGGACTGGCCCTTCTCGCGGACCACGCCCGAGGGCCGCAAGGAGTATGTGAGCCTGAGTGAGGACCAGTGGTACAACATGTGGGCGCGTGCCATCACCAAGGCCGTGCTGGGCAAGCGGCAGGGCACCTTGGACCAAGACGATCTCCGGCAGGCCGAGGGCGCGGAGCCGACCTTTGAGTCGACGGGCAATTCGACCGTTGACGGTGCGCTCGGCTTTGTGCGTGCAGGCATTACTGCCATGAACAGTGTGAACCGGCAGCTCGGCTGGGGTGGGGACTGTTAGTGACGACGAGTGATTGCATGTGTTTGGGTGAGAGTGTAGAGCATTTATGAACTTGACCTGCCATCATTTTCTTTTGTAATAGGAGTGCGTTGTAAAATCGTCTGGATTTTCTACTTTTTTTGGCACTATTAGCACGTTTTGATTACGAACATGAGTTTCACCTTTAAAAGTTGATTATATCTATTGTTCTAATAGGTCTAGGACGGACTTTCAAACGTGTATGCCGCCTCTGTATCATTTGCGACGCCGGGCTGCCTCTTCAAAGATGCGCATCATTTCGAGCAGGACGGGTGGGTGCAGCACTATGTTATTGTGGCCTGTGTTGATTAGCATGCATTCGAAATTCTTCGAGTCAATATTCCGTGAAACTCACCACCGTGTGGAAAGCGCTCCTGCCGGATGCACACATCGCCCTCCCGCCACTCGGACACGAATGCGCCCTTGCCCAAGTGCTTGGTCCGCTTCTCTTTGAGCGTTATGAGCTCGGCAGGTGTCACTTCCTCACCATTCTCGGTGGGGATAAGCGGGAGAATGGCGGTCGCAAACATCCTGTCGTCTTCTATACACGGAATGTCATTGTCGTCGGCTGCGTGGATCAAGCTGATCTGGAGGTGCCGGCGCAGATTGTCGCTTGGCCCGTTCTTGCCCTTCTTGCCCTTCTTGTCCCTGTCGTCCTCGGTGTTGCTGCGATGCACAATGCTGACCATGTTGCGGAGACGCTTGGCCGACTCCCAGTGGTCCACGAGGCAGCCAAGGATCAGGCGCAGGACACGCGGATAGGAGCGTAGGGGTTTCAAGATGGGGACGAGGCCGGCGATAGCATAGCCCGAAAGCATGTCCGACAGGTTGCTGAAGCTTGCGACCATGATCAGCCCGGCAAAGTCAATGCCGTGGACCCTTGCGTAGCGCTCCGCAGCACCAGCAGCCACGGCAGAGCCCAGACTGTGGCCCAAAATGATGATGCGGTCGGGAGAGAGTCCTGCCGTGTCGAGAGCAAAGTGGAGAGCCGCATAAGCATCCAGGATAAGGCCGTCTTCTGTGGGGCTCCCCGTGGAGGTGCCGAAGCCACGGTAGTCAATGGCGAGGACGTGGTAGTTGCTGGTGGCCGTGTACATGTGGAAAGACGGCGCGCGAACAACGCTCGGGAGATGGCCGGCATTCTAATACGTGTTAGCATTGATCTGAATAGTAGAAGTCACCGACCAAAAGACGAAAATTGGGGAGGCCGTACGCCGTGAACTGGTTGAAAGCGTTAGCAGAAAACATATTATACAAGAATGGAGTAGGGCTGATGACATACGGTAAACAATCAGCTTGGCCGAGGGGTCATTCTTGAGGATACGAAGCGATTCCGAAGTTGTGACATCGTCGCAGTGACCGGTCGGCTGTATCTCGAGGACCTCTTGGTGCTGGCGATACGCGGGGAGAGGCAGGACGTGCCAAGCGTGGATTGACTCGCCATCTTCCGTCGGAAGGTGGAACGAGGTGACTTGGTTCCCTGCAGGATGTGAGTGTGAGAAAGCAAGATATACTGCCGCGCAAGAATGGAGGGAGCTCACGAGCGAAGCCCCAGTTCTGGGGCAAATCAGAGTTCTGCCACCATTGATATAATTTGTGAGCGTATAGGATGCTTGAGCCGTGTTAGTGGGAACGTCGGAACGGATGGGGCTCAATACGACGACGTGACGACATCCACTTACTGTCGCTGCACAAAGGGGGTGACGCCTATCATGATGACGGCTGCATAGGAGAGGAGAGGAGCGCCGACAGCCCAGGCTGCATGGCGGTAGAGACGCATCGAAGCGGCCAAATATATCCAAACAAATCGCGATATATACAAGACATATGCAACCAAAATCACAAAAGGCAAGTGCGACGCTGTTTCTGTCGTGGCGGGAAAGCGCGATGGGATGTCGCATATTGAAAGGCAAGAGCATGCCACCACTGAGGAGCTGTGTGGCAGGAAACCGCGAGGCTGTCTGCCCCGCTTTACGGTACCAGTGCTGTGTGTATACCTCTGTCCACCCGACATCGAGAATTGCCGTTCTTACTCATGTACGACATACAGTATACATCATGTACAAACCGATCTCCAACAACTCGCGGTACGTCGACATGTCCCCTGGAGTTGCTAGCTCTCGATCGTGGGGTCGTACAAGTCGAGCTCGTAATAGGATGATCGAGATGCAAAGCATATTGGTCAGCCGCTTTGGCTGCTAATTGTTGTGCTCCTGTTCGCTTGTGGCGCATCTACTTTTGCGCAATCGGAGATGTCCAACATGCTACAGGACCAGGTCCTGATTCGTTTGATGAGCCGCCTTATGGCTGATCTGTTACGTTGTCAGCCGTGGGTGCCTCTGCGTGCGCGTTGTCTTGCACGACCCTCACATTGTCAACAAAAAGCATCTTACAGCGTGTTGACCGGGGGTGAGCAGCACATGTGGGGCAGGAAAGTAAATCAGGGGTCACTATTGGCTAGCTCTGCTCCCAGCCCCCACAATACACCGCCAAACCCGGCTGCGACAAGTACATGTATCTTAGCTTACCTCGCCAGTGCTTTGCGGTCGCTCTTGCCCATGCTCTCCTCTCTTCTAACGTCGGGCATCTTGCAGCTGCACTATTGCCGTTTACGATCTGGTGGAAGGCCGCGCCTGCCTGAAGCTGACAAACGAGAGCATTCATTGTCAAGGCAGGTGCGACGAAGGACATTGCGTGGCTGCCCGTTGACTAGCCGGACCCAATTCACTCCTACGACGTACTTTCTCTCGAATAAAAAAGCATCACGAAATTACATCCCCTATTCCTCCATGCATTCAAAACTCTCATCCACCTGCGTGCACACAGCCTCATGAACGCGCTGCACTCGCTGGTTGGCTATTGCGAAGTCTCCCAAGGTGCTTCCCGCCTGCCGTTGGCTTTTTAGCGCAGGGCTCGCTCTTCTCTTCCCGCCTACCCTCGCTGACGCTGTCTCACGCATATTATTCACGCTATTACGGAGTATCTCCGCTCTATACGCTATTACCGACCACGGTCTCAAAACGCCCCAAGGAGGGCTTCGTCGCGTGCGATTTTCTTAGTGACCTTTACGAATTACTACCATTGTTTCTCAGCATTTCTCGCGAGCCTTGCCTCGCCCTCGCTTTTTTGTTTCTCCGCCTTTCTTTGCCCACCGCACCTCCAGCGGTCGACCTCGTCCCAACGAAATTTAACGAAACACAAACACGCGAGAAGCCGGCCTGTTGTCCTTTCCCAGTTTTGTAGCTTGGAATGCATTGACTCTTCTCAAAACCTCCAACACTCACTCCCTTCTCCCCGAGCCCACGCTCCCCCCCAACCGATGGTCGTGATATGACCGCATCGACGCCGTCGCCCTGTCTCATCTGAGAAGCGCCAACAGGAGTTGGCGGCCGAAAGAGAAAACAGGACGTTCGGACGACGACACGAGCCGGCACAGAATCAACACGCTTGTCACGATGGAGCGCAAGAGGAAGATCCCACCACGCGCCGCCGCACGTGTCGAGCAAGCCGCCAAGCGTAGGACGTCGACGCCGCCCATCGATGGCCGCACAACGCGGTCAGTCACGCCCTCTGGAGGCAAAAATGCGGCCGAAGACGAGAATCAGCCGCCCGAGCCAGAGGCGGCCGCCCCGACGCCGCAGCGCATACGGCTCCCCCGATCGATCAATCCAGGCAAGCCCCTGCCGACCGTCGAGAAAGCACAGCCGGAAGACCTCCCTAAGACGGAATACCAGAGTGTGCAAGAGAGGTAGGCCCACGTCTCGTCGATGTTGAGGTCAAAGCCTTTTTTGGAATTGTTGGGGGCATTTTACTAACCCAGTTACATAGTGGCGTCCTCGCCGAATCGCTCGCCCGGTCGCGCAGCAAGTGGATCAACGAAGGCATTTTCGAAAGGTACTGGGTCAAGCCCTCGAAACGGCGCGGTGTAGCCGCCGATGACCCCAAGAACCCGGCCAAGGACTCCATGGTCAAGCTCGGGCAGGTGCTCATCACTGTCGAGCCACACACGTTCGAGGCCACAATGTATGGCGTGCGCGACCCCAAGCCGGCAGCGGCGCTACCCGCCAATCGACCTGTGCTCATGTACGGACCCTCACGCGGCACAATGCCACCGCCATCGGCACCAGGGACGCCCCAACCGAAGCAGCGAAAGCCCCGGAAGCCAAAGCAGCCCTCGCAAAGCCCAGCACCACGGACACCGATACCTGCCACCGCGTCCTTGCCAGCCACTCCCGACCAGAAACCTGTATTGGCCCCGACGCCACAAGCCATACCTGTCACACCCCAGCAGATATTACCGCATCAATCACCAGCACTAGCGCCAGCGCCAGCGCCAACACCGATATCAGCTACAGCTCAAGCACAAGCAAAAACACAGGCCCAGACTCAACCTCAAACACAATCACCGGCACAGCCATCGCTTCCCCTTAAGACGGAGCAAGGGCCGGGCACGATGCTGCAATCACCTATACAAGCACCGTCACAGCCGCCAACACCGTCCGCGGGAAGCTCTGTCCTTCGTCCACCGAGCGTGACCCAGCGACCTCCTCCGCTTACGGCCCTGGCTCAAATGCGCGCCGGGCAGCCATCGCCAGTGGCACCGTCCTGGGCTCCACCGCAACCGACGCCTTCGCCCCGGAGTGTTGAGGCCACATCCGTGCAGCAACCATCACCGAGACTGGCGCCCCCCTCCATGTCCCCGGTACCTGGACCTCCTCTGCCTGTGGGACGACCGCCTTCTGTGCCTCCAGCACCTGTTACCGCCCCACGGCCGAGCCCAAGCCCCGCGCCCACTACGCCGCGGACAGGTGCGGCACAGCCTCCACCGGGAACCGACTCAATTATCGTTACGTTGGCTCAGCGGGCTGCCCACGACCCGCAGCTTCGGGATATGATGACGCGCGTAGCAAATGGCCAGGCGCCTAAGGACGAGCTCGACCGGTTTCAAGCCATCATCAACCAGATCACAGAAGAGAACAAGCGCAAGGGTGCGGCAGATGGACCGTCGGCCGACCGGTTGTTTGTCGATGGCCGTACGGTTCGATTCTTTGCCGAAGAAGTTCGGATCATCTTGGACATTGTGTTGCGCAGCAACCCGAAGCAGAAGGCGTTTAACCTCGTGCCACCGGAAGGCAGCGATCAGCTCGTAGTCCTGCTTGTTAAGAAGTGTCTAGATGACATGCGCGTCCGGGGCATGGTCCGGCGCATTGCCGACAACCAGGCGCAATTCTCTGATGCGACAGATCTCAAACATGAGATTGACAAGCTCAAAGTCCACCTCGACGAATACCTGGAAAAGGAAAGGAAGCGCCAGCAGGACGAGGCGCGTGCGAAACTGGCCACGGTTCCCGAGGCCCCAGACGCGACCGTGGGCGGCAACGCCGTAGCAGCTGCTACGGCGAAAACAAACGGAGCCACAAACGGGGCGGCACCACGCGAGCAGTCGTCAACGCCACCAGTCACAGACGGTGCCAAAGTTGCTGAAAAGAACCAACCCCAAAAAGAGACCAAGGAGGCCGTCGGCAGCTCACAGGCCCTCCGCTCCCGCGGGCCCCCACCTGCACCAAAGTTACTGGACGTGTCGGCCGTCGTCTTTGAATTTGCCGGCGGCACGGGCGACCGCTACATGTTCCCCAAGTTCAGTATTGTGGAGTACATCCCGATGCCGCAGGGCCCGGCCGAGGCTGTCGCCTCGTTCCTGATTGTCCGCAAGGGCAGCACATCCGAGTACGGCGGCGACCCGGACCTCGACTACTACCAGCCGATCACGGTGCGCCTGCAGGTGTCGCCGCTGTCCAATAGCCAGAAGCTGCTCGACTACTTGGCCAAGGTGGTGGCGCCCGTCGAGGAGGTGACGCGTTACATGGACAACATTATGCACAGCATGACGCGTGCGGAGTTTGTGCTACTGGCGATGCGACTGCCACGGCGTGGCCCTGCAGGTGGCACCATCACGGCCGCTGGCGACGAAGACAAGGAGGCCTTTGCGGACGACGGCGGCTTGGAAGCGATGGACATCAACGTGAGCAAGAAGGCATCTGTCGGCGGCGGCGACAGCGACAGTGCCGACGCCAACGGCGATGGCAGCGGTGGCGACGAGCACTACGTCGTGGGCCACCCGCCGCCGCTGCAGGGTGTGCTGTGGGCGACCAAGGCGGGCAAGTCGACCCGGTCGTCGACGGCAGCGGCCTCGTCTATATCCGCCATCCCACAGCTTCGGTCTTCACGGCGGGTCACGGACGAGGACGAGCAGTATCAGAGCTTCATCTCGGGCCTCATCCCTAAGGAGGTGGAGGAAGAGGCCTAGGTCGGCCAAGAAGAGCCTTCTGTTGCGGATGAGATCGAGGCAGGTGGGACGGATCGCGACTACCGCGACTGCTACCGGGGTGACCGAGACTGTCTGGACTACGGTCTATGCCTAGGACGTGCCGGTGGCGTGCTGGAGGCCGACGAGAACGTGTCTGATTATGACGGCACCGAGTACTGTAGTGACTACGTCTGGTGATTTTCGTTTTGTTTGGTCATCCTTGGTATCATCGGTTTTTAGTCTCTCATCCTTGGTACGGCCTTTTTATCGGAAACGGGCCTGGGGACGAAAACCAAGAGCCAAGGGTGTTTCGACCCTGTTTCTTATTGTGTTATATAGCTAGGGATTGGGAGGTCTACGTTTGGCGTCCATTGCGTTTTTATGACAATATTTTTATCCTTCGGCTCTCCGCAGAGAGCAGCGTGTCTCCATAGTCTTGCCCTGCATTTCAATCGAAGAAATTAACAACAAATAAATAATGATCGCAATGTCTTCCATGGAATTAGCGGGTATCGTGAATGGATGACTGGTTCATATTTGCGGTCATAGAAACTGACAGCACAGGCAGCCACGGAATTTGCGAATGACCGAACTAGCCGTTCGCGCCCGCTGCTTCCCCAGAATCGATAGTGAATCGAAAACAGGGACCACAGAAGACCCTGGGCCTGGGCTAGCCTAATAACGCCCTGAGAGCTCTTTGAAGTCTGTTGGGCCTCCCCGTTGGCCGCGTTTTTCCCCTGTGGCACAGCGTTCATCCCCACCCCTGTGGCAAATTAAGGGCACCTGATTGGGCCACTGTCCTCGGTATAAAAACTTTGGAGAGACCACCCGCCTTCTCTTTCCTTCCACGGACTTTCTGGCTCTGCCGATTTTCATCCTTCCCGACGTGTCCGACACTTGCGATTCACGACCTCGTTTCACCACCTCACCCTCTCAACCACCACCTCCGCCCCACACACCACCACCACGTCTACATTTTTCACAGACATGCCTCGCCAGCGCTCCGGAGGCCGCCCGACCGTGTCTCGGGCACCCCCCAAGGCCCCGGCCCAGCAGCAGACCCGCCCGGCCTCGTACGCCGCCCACCCCGCGGGTCCGGCTCGGGCTCCCCATGCTGCGCCTCCCGCTGCCGCTGCCGGTCCTGCTTCCCAGGGCCCCGGCCTGTTCGGCCAGATGGCCAGCACGGCGGCCGGTGTCGCCATCGGCTCGACCGTCGGCCACGCCGTGAGCGGCATGCTTTTCGGCGGCGGCTCCTCGTCGTCGTCCGAGCTCCCGGCCGCTGCACCGCAGCAGTCCGCCTCGGCGCAGCAGTACGGTGCGCCGTCTTCGGCCCAGCAGGAGAGCTGGGGCAACAACTGCGCGGGCGCGACGCAGCAGTTCACGACCTGCATGGACGAGAACAGCGGCAACATGCAGATCTGCGGCTGGTACCTGGAGCAGCTGGTATGTCGTCCCTCCCCTCTGATATAATCTCCCCCCATACTTCCTCCTTTACTAACGCCCCTCTAGAAAGCTTGCCAGGCAGCGGCGGCCCGTTACTAGATGCAGCCTACTCGTGGCGTACGAGACGATGGACGACAGGGGATGGAAGAACCTGACGGAGGGCAACCAGCATGATTCTTGACTTGAGACACAGGCCATGACCAGCTGTATGACCGGTTGTATGCTCTAGCAGGTTACTTTCAGTTGTTTCTTTTTTTCGGCAATTTGTGTTTCGATTCTATGGGACGACCCGCTCCGGGGCCTGCTTCCCACCCTTGCAATTGTATTCTTTGCATCGAGCAGCATGAACACGTGGAGAAGAAATCACAAGGCGAAGCAACAAAACAATGGTGTCTGCCAAGTGATAGATGGCAAGAGACGACGGAGGCGGGTAGGTGCAGCTATGACGGCATTCTCTCCCTACTCGGATCTTATGAGGTAGAACAGAAGAAGAAAAATAGAACACACTTCCCTCCTGATAATTTTTGTTTGCATTGTTCTTTTTTTTTTAATTAAAAAAAAAAAAAAAAAAAACGTTACCTGAATAATTTGTTATAAAAATATGGTGTACCAAAATAATTCCCTATTATTTACTCTCTCGTACCTACAAAGCATAACGTTGGCGAACAAAATCAAAGTAAACCAAGATTTGCGCCGAGCTTGATGTCTCACAACACATGCCGGTTTTTATCATACATATACAACTGCCTTGGCAGATGTCAATGAGGCCCTCGTATACAGAGGCACCAGAAAATGTTTTGGAACAGTAGTATTAAATGATATGCGGCACACCAAAAGGATCTCAACCAACTAACGTCAAAAAAGTAGCATAAAGTAGATATCGAAAAAAGATGAATGGAAAAGATGAATCAAACCAAGACGCAGCATACAGCGATATAAAACAATGGTGTGAGAAAATGACAAAGATGAAATCCAAACAGCTATCGAACAAGACTTTAAATGGTTGTAGAAGAGGAGAAGGTAGAATATAGAAATGACGCAAGTGCACAACAGCTTGTTTTGGTCCAACACAAGACCTGTTGCATTTATTGCGACAACCGTGTCGTGCCCGCGGTCGAGGCCGAACCGCGCTCCTGCGCGTCGGGCGCGGCGGCAGGCAGCGTCGGCATCTCCGAACGTCGTTGGCTCTTCCAAAAGTCGAGCGCCTCGACCACGTCCTCGCCGCGCTCGTCCTCGTACGCAAAGATGATCTGGCATGGTCAGTGGTGTACTTGACAACAGGACAACGTGGAGTGAAAACAGAAACAGGCGCGCGGCTTACCTCGTGATTGCTGCTATGCAACATCCGGATGTTCTTGTGCGGCACAATGTGCACCGCGCCTGTCTCAATGTGGCGCAGCTCGATAAAGTTGGGCTCGAATGCCAAAATCCACGGGTATGACAGCGCAAAGCTCGCCGGGCTGCCCTCCCAGTCAATGCGCCACTCGGGCCGAGCGCGCCAGCCGTTCCGATTGACAAAGAAGGAGAACTCGGAGTAGTTGAGCAGGAACTCGCCGCTGAGCCGCTCAATGTGGATCGGCCGTACGTTCTCCTTGCGCGCCACAAAGTCGAGCGACGTGTCGGCCTGGTCAAGCAGCGACTGCGTCTCGAGCGTGAGCAGGGACACCACCTCGAAGCCGCGCGCCGACGCGACACACAGACTCGACTTAAGAAAGTGGATCGACGTGGACTCGGTCGGGATGTAGAATTCCTTGAACGGCTTGAGCTCGTCCTGGCCGGCGTTGAACATCTTGCTTAAGCCTTTCTTGTTCTTCGCCTTGGACATGGCGTCGTTGGGCTCGTAGACCTTGACGGTCGTCGATAGAGCGGATGACTTGACGCAGCACACCAGGTGCCGCCCCAGGCAGATCCCCGTCTTGAAGAACGTGCAGTGGCTCTGGATCTTCTTGGGCCGCTTCGCCAGCAGCGGCTCGTTGGGGTCGAGTGCCGCCAGCGGGAACGACAGCAGCGTGCGGTTCGACAACACCAGCAGCAGCGAATACTCCTCCAGGATGTCCACCTGCGTGACGGCCTGCGCCTCAATGACGCGCCGCGGCAGCATCGGCTCGCGTGCCTTACGGTCGGCCACATAGATGCCGTTGTCCGTGCCGTAAATCAGCTTCCGACCGCCGTCAAACGGCGCCGCGCAGTTGATCTTGTTCATGGCCGTCGTGAACTTGGTCGGGATCACTGTGACATTGAGGAAATCCGCGCGGGCGCGCAGGCGCTGCTGCGCCGTGTCGATGAACTCGAGCCACTTCTGGCGCGCCGCTTGGTTTGCCGCATACAGGGTCAGCTCGTAGCCAGCCTTGCCCAAATGGCGGAACGTGATGGGCCAGCCTTCGCCACGCCGGGCATCCGCGTTGTTGTTGCGCAGAGGCAGGAGACTGCTTGACGAGCGCTTGACGGATCCGGTCTTGGGGATGACTTCGTCCATTTCCTTGATGGCGAGAAGTTCCAGCGGGATGGGCCGCTTGTAGGCCTTGAGCTTCTCGACCTTGCCGACCTGTTTTGTGCGCACCAACAGCACGGCGTGGTCGAGCAGGTACGCCACAATATCTGGCGGGTCGGCTGGCGCCTTCTTGAGCTGACTCTTGAACACGAGCTCGCGGTTCGCCTCGCGCAGCTTGAGGTCGACCTTTTCGTTGGGCCGGAACTCGAGCTGCTCGTCGAGGCGCCGCAGGTTGAAGCGGTTCTCGGCTTTGCCGGACTCGGCGTTGACACGGCTCAGCAGGTCGCGGATGATGGTCAGCACACGAGGGATGTCCTTCTGATCCGGGTTGTCCGGGTCGGTGTACTTGAGCACGTTCTCCAAAAGCAGCGGATAACGGGCCAGGCGCGTGGTGGGCTTGGTGAGGTAACCGTTGAGCTCGAGCTTGCGGGACTCACGCCGCCGCTCAATTTCGTCGACCATCCGGCCAAAGGCTTGGTTGTTGCTGCGCTCGTTTTCAAACTCGTACTTGGCTTCGAGCTGGCGCGAACCGTAGCGGATGAACGGCTCGAACTGCGGCACAAACTCCTGGAAAATATCGCCGACGTTGTGCACAATTGGGTTCTTTTGCTGGCGCTCCGTCAGCGACTTGGCAAAGCGGGCACTGACGGCACGGATGGACGGTGGGTCGACAATGTTGCTGAAGATTGTGTTTACGACACGCATGCGGCGTGCGGCAGGGATGGGCGAGTTGGGAGCGCGCAGCGGCAGAATCCAAAAGTCGCGGAGATAGTCGAGATCCTTGACGAAGTCGCGCTCGGTGTAGCAGATTTCGGAAATGACTTCCTGGCGCTTCTTCTCCCGGTCGCTGATGCTGTCGGCCACCTCCTTCGGCACGGAGTTTATCCACAACTTCTGCTCATCGGTGACATCGACATCATCTTCGCCCACCATGGCTGTGGCACTGGATGCGCCCTGTAGGCCAGGGCCCATCTTGAGGTTGAGGCGCGAGACCTGCTCAAGGCGGCGGGGACAGGCGATCGAGTAGCACAGCTGGTCACGCGTGCACGTAGGCGAATAACACTCAGACAGCAGCACAAAGACACCGTTGACTTGCGAGCCACTGCTGGTGGTCTGGGAGCTGGTTTCGTCGTTGTTCATCTCGTCGAGGTTCTCGCGGAACTGATACATTTCGTTGGTCGAGTCGCGCAGGCGGTGCTCGTACGTTACGTCGTGGAAGAACTTTTGGGCATCAAGGGCACGGCCGAGTAGCAGGGCCAAGTTGCGGTCCGTTGTGCGGATAATAAAAGACAGAACGTCCACCGCTTCGGCACCGCTGAATGCGTTTTTGTAGGACAGCTCGTTCTTTGTGCGGTCGCCAATGACAATCTTTTCGCGGAAGACCTCTGCAACACGGGAGAGCATCGCCGGATAGACAAGTGGCGGGCGGATCTTAGCCGTTGGTGGGCGGTCACCGTCCACGGAGCGTGTCAGGGAGCCGCGGTTGGACATGGAAGTCCGGGATGATGAGGGCACAATGGTGCGGTCGCTAGCCGCCACAGACGGCGCAACTGTGGACGCCATCGACATGGTGCGCTGGTGGTCGGCCGCGTTGTTGGCGCCGTACCCATTCGTCGTCGATGACGCCATGCTCGTCGTCCTCGTCTGCGTACCCGGTGCGGCCGGCATGTTGGAGTGGGCATGGCCATTCGTGGAGTCGATGCTGCCGCTGCCGCCACCGGCACCGCCGCTGGGCATTCTGCGGTTGGGGATCACACGTCCGCTCATTGTCTGATGCGAGTCACGGTGCTCGGAGATGGCTGGGAATCCGCCGGACATGGTCATCGTGCGCTCGTCTGCCGGATGGCGGTCAGGCACGACACGACCTTGTGCCGTGGTGCGGGACTGGGGAAAGTTGCCGGGAGCAGCGCTGCCGTTGGCGCCAGTATATTGTGCGTTGCGGAAAGCGTTTGCAGACGCTTGTTGGTAGGTATTTGGTGGCGGGTGGTACATAGCCTGGGCGTTAGGGCGAGGGGCGCTGGCGAGAGACTGCGATCGGTACGGATCCGAATTCATGGCTGGGGCGGGCCCGTCGCCCTGGAAAAAACGTTGTGTTGGTGACCGCATGTTGGCGTAGCCATCCTGCGGTGGTGGCTGCATGGGGCGGCCGTTGGGGCCGCCCTGGCCACCGCCTGGCGGTCCCGGTGGTACTTGGCGTCCGGCCATACCCGGTTGCGGCGGAGGTGCAGGACCACGGGAGTCCATTCGCGGCGGAGGGGCTTGCTGTCCTGGGTAACGGCGCATCTGTTGCTGCTGCTGCAAATATTGTGCTTGCGGTGATGGCATGGGTGGGCCACCCGACACAGACCGCAGGCCACCGCGCGGGAAGTACCCGTTGCCCGCCCCGCCGGCCATGCTCTGTGCTACGCTGGAGTCCATGGTCCTTGTTCTTTGCGACATCATGGGATCAGGGCCGTAGTTGCGGTTGTAGCCACCCCCTGGAGGGCCCCGTGGTGGCGGAGGACCTTGCCGAAGGGACATTGTCCGATCACCGGCATCATATGGGGCGCCATGCTGCTGTTGCTGCTGATGGTATTGTTGCTGCTGCTGCTGCGGCGGCGGCGGCGGTTGTTGACGAAGGTGATGAGGATGTTGCTGTGGCCGGTGCTGCTGTTGGGACATGTCAGGGGCAGACATGGAGGTCATGGTCTGCGAGCGGCCGGGTGGAGGCGCGGCGCCGAAGATGTTGGAGAAGGCAGCATCGCGCTGGTAGCTGCCCGAGTTTGGGGGGCTGTCATAGTCCTGTTGGAGAGGCGGGCCTGGACGGCGGTTCGGTGCCGGGTAGTTGGCCATGATGGTCACGTCGCGGGAAGCTGGACTGGCGATCCGCCTTCACGATGTCTGCGATAGACAAGAAAAAAGTGACGTTAGCAACCGCCGTGATAGATCAACATGGATGACAAGCAGTGGAGACGCGCCAACGGACGGCGTGTAAAACAAAGTCGGTACGACATGAGATAAGTGCAGAAGGGGACGTCCATAGACGGGTAACGTTGACGAGCAGGGGAGCAGGGGGCCTCCTAAAAATAGAACCTGATTTTGGGGCAGAAAGGGGAAGCTGTCAAAGAAGGAGTTGAACGTGCAGACAAGTGAAGACGAAGAGATCGGATGGGATGGGAAACCGGGAAAATGTTGTGACTCGGAGTATGAAGCTCAGACAAAGCAGCAACAAGTCGGGGCACAGACGAATGGGGTGGGATCGGGGGCATAGTATCGAAGAAGGAGAAGAGACAGCGCGAAAAAGACGTGAACCGACGCCTGGCGATGCAAATTTGTTGCGCCGCAATGACGTCCTGATGCCAAGACTTTTGCCGGGCCTTGTATTTTTTACCGGTCCGTGCTCAAGCGATCAGAAAGCAAACTCACATTTTCAGGGCCCGGAGGCCGCCAGAACAATCTCGAGGAGAAGCGTGACGTGGGCGTCAGGCACGATCACACGAACCGGTCCGTGGTCTAGGCCCAGTGTCGCTGTCGTGTTATTTTGTTGTCCGCGTTGGGGGGAGGCAGTGCAAACACGGTTCCCGGGTAAGGAGCAGGGGGAGGGGGGAAACTGCAAAAGGGGGAGCGATAGGCCGGAAGAATCGAAACCGTCTGCTTTATCGCTGTTGGGCCTGGATCCTAGCCGAGCGGCGGGCTCTGCATCGGCAATGTTCCGTCGTTCGGAGTCGCCGGTTTGCCGTGCCAAGAAGGGAAAGCTGGGCGGCAGTTTATTCTTCCAAGTGCTGCGTCGACGAAGGTGGACAATGATAATCGAGCGAGGAAATCCGTTGATGCGTGCAGACAACGCGTGCAGCCAAGTCGTGTAGATGGGCTTTGGCAGTGGTCGGCGAGCAGCGACGGTGTACGACCCCCTATTTCGTTGGGCTTTTCTGCTCGCGCCCGTTTCCCCAGTACTTTTGGTGCCTGGGAATGGAGGGCGTCGTGCGTTGGTGGGTTCTTCCGTGCGACGTTATCGTGTTGCAGAAAAAGGAGGGGGATGCAAGGTGGCGGCGTCTTGGTCGATGGGTTCGCTGGGGGGAGTCTCGTGGACTGTAGACTGGTGGACAGTTGGACAATGGCCACGCGGCAGACGCGAGAGACGATGATGTATTCTGTGGCCTGAGAACGGCCGATGCGGTGATGAATGCTGTTTGGGCGAAGATGCGTCTCAATGCAGGGGAGAAATGACGTTCTGAGCCTTACGGGGTGGTCGGGGCCATCGGCTTCAACATGGATGAAAATGGGCGCTGGTGATGCCCGAGAATAAAGATGAGGTCGAGAAGAAGGGCGATGACGGCCGCGGCTGATAAAAAGCGAGACCGAGCGTAGGATGGCGAGGGCGTAGGACGAGGTAATCCGCAGGAAGGGCAACCAAAAGAGGGCAATGGAAGGATTGATGATGCAGGCAAAGTTATGACGAGATGCGCAGACAATGGCCAATGGGCTGGAAAAAGAAAAGAAAAGAAATCGAGACCGACAACGAGAAATATGAGGAGATAATTGAAACGGCAGAGGCGAGCGTGTAGGAAAGCCGCTGCTCGTACACACACACGCACACACACACACTCGAGGCGACGTCGAAGAAAGAAGAGGATGCGGGAACAAGAAACGAGGCACGAAGACGCCAGGGGTGGTGGTGGTTGTGAATCGCCGCGTGTCGTTGCGAGAGACGAGAAGAAAACTGACAACGGAAAAAGTTGGCGAGCGGGAGTTGGTGGAGGCGGCTTTTGGGTGGAGGAGAGGGATTGGGGGGGTCGAAATTGCGCCGGGGGCACGATAGAGCCTGAAGTCTGGGTTATTTAGTAGTCTTACGGAGGCCTAGGGGAGTGCCCAAGAAGTTCTGCAAGAAAGGACTCCGAAGCCCAAACCCCAAGGACTCAACTTCAGCGCTAGCCTCTCGCTCTTGCCTCGCAGGACTGGCCGAGAAAGGGGCAGGCGGCGTGCGCTAGCAGATCATCCACTGCAATTGTGCTGCGCGGGAGGCAGGTGCATTGGAGATCCGAGGAGGGTGATTAGTGCAGTGCAATAGGACGAACAAGGAAGGTCAATGGAAAGAGGCACTCTCTGTTATTTACGAGCGGACATTGTGTGTTGGCTATGCTCATAAACGCACTACCACTCGATGCATTGTGGAATTCTGTGGCTTAGGATTGATTCCACAAGGACTGGCATTCCACTCGGCGAAAACTAGATACGACTTCCGGGGAATGTTGACAACCCGAGACCATTGAGGCAAACCGTCAATTGGAAGCACATCCTGGAGACTCTGCAGCTGGCATACTCAGAGAGGAGAACGCCCAGCGCCGCCTTGAATTCCCAAGTCGTAAAACAAGGCTGGGCCGTCTTTCCTCGTCCACGGTTGCATTATTACGTCGTCACTTGTTTCCCCGTTTTCTGCCCGCCCGTTACGGATGTACTGCTAACCGTTCCCTTTTGTTGGGATCGGGCGCGTGGTTAGTCACGTGCAGCTCACGTTCTGAGAATGGGAGCAATGGCAGCCAACGGACGCCCGCGAAAGCGATAAAACTGGGGCCCGCTAGCAAGGACAAAACCAGCTCAAGCAGCTGCCGGGAGATACGCCAGGAGTTGTCCACGCCTTGTCTGAATTCTGCTGCCTCCAACGTCAATAGCTTCAACCGCGACATCCCAACTCGACGCCTTCCGCCACCCACGACCGCACATCCCAGACGAGGGGTTCGCTGATTGATGAAAATACCCTGCTTGCTGCGACGTTCGCTTTTCCATTCTCCCCGACAGTCGCCACGATGGCCGAGTCCGCGCTGTCCCCCAAGTTCGCGCCGTTCTTTGGCATGGTACGACGCTGTGCATTTCCTGCGTTGACGACGACGGTCGGATACTTTGTGTTGAATCTGCTCGACTAACATGTCTGCTTCTCTAGGCCGGCATCGCGAGTGCCATGATTCTCGGAAGTACGTCTTGATCCTTGCCTCCGAACCGAAACGCGATCGAACCTCCCTCCCTGTTATCCACCGGCAAACGCAATAGTGGCAGCACATCAGAGTTGGAGAGGCCCCAGGGCTGAGCTTAGGTTCCGTATCTAACCGCACTCTCTAGGTATGGGCGCCGCGTACGGTACGGCCAAGTCCGGCATCGGCATCGCTGGTGTCGGTACCTTCCGGCCGGACCTGATCATGAAGGTACGCAACCCTGTTCTAGCTTCGCCGGACGTCTCCCGCCGTATGCCGTCTAACAGTTCGCCAGTGCCTGATCCCGGTCGTCATGTCCGGTATCATTGCCGTCTACGCACTCGTCATCTCTGTCCTGATTGCCCAGGATCTGGCGCCGCCCAGCAGCAACGCCCACTACAGTTTATTCAAGTACGTCTGAACGGGCGGAAATATCTTTCTCTCCTCTCTCTCTCTCTCTCTCTCTCTCTCTCTCTCTCTATTTTGTTCTCAACTAACCGAACAGCGGCTTCATGCATTTGGCGTGCGGCATCTCGGTGGGCGCAACGGGCCTTGCGGCCGGCTACTGCATTGGTGTTGTCGGCGACAAGGGCGTGCGCGCTTACATGGAGCAGTCGCGCATCTTTGTCGGCATGGTGCTGATTCTGATTTTCGGCGAAGTGCTGGGGCTATACGGGTACGTGTTTGTTGTCCTCTTTGCCTCTTGTGTATTGACACAATGTATTGGTTGTGGTCCATACTAATGTCCTCCAAGTCTCATTGTCGGCCTGATCCTCAACACGAAGAGCAAGGACTAAGCTACCGATCGCGGACACCAAAACATGCCAAAGCCCTTTCTTCTCCGACCGACCGCGACGGACGCGGACTTGGACGGTAAACCGGTGTGGATGTCGCCCCAAACGTTATTCCTGGGAAGAAGTCAAGCGGCGTGCATTCACCACTGTATACTACAAGCACCAGGGTACGAACAAAGGAAGAGAACGTGGGATAATCAGGCTCGACACGTTGCATAGAGTACCGATGACTGTCGATCCTAAGTAACGACTGGTCTGTCGGCTTTCTTGCATGCACACACACACAACTGGCGCTGGGGCGTTTTTGCTATTCATTTTTCTGTCTTGGCTACTCATTTGCATTTTGTCTCTGATAGTTCTCTTTGCATTTGCACAGGACATTCGCAACGCCCTGCGTGTATCACTCCTCGGGAACTAGGATAGAACGGGCACGACTGGGTGAAGGAGCGGACGAGATAGGCTCTTCGGTTTCCATATAATAGTACATACAATCACAAGCTCTCAAGACACAGTGGAAATGGTACACAGGAAGCAGAGTTGATATTGTGTCATTTTATCGTAGTTAATATGAGGTGAGGTGGGTTGCACTGCGTGGCTGGCCGTAAAGAAAAGATACGAAATCCATAAGTCATATTGTTTTCAACATTGCAGCATCGTCGTGATGGCAAAAGTTGATCCACCGCGTCAAGGTCGTTTGTCACATAACGGTACGGCCGTTGTGGAAAAAAAGAAGACCAAAAAAAGAAAGACGGGAAAGAATGGAAAAACAATGAAAAGCATCGTACATGACACAGAGTAGCCAGTAACCCAACGCCGTTTGCACACCGTAAATGCAGAAAATATAATGTTGTCGTCCAAATGTTCCGTGGCGCCCAAAGTAATGCGTTGACATGCGCCGAAAGACTAAAAAGGAACTTTGAAACGCAAAAGTGTATTGCGTCCAGTTTAGGAACATCAAAACGCAAATGGAAACCGAACGGCCATGTAATGCCTGGAGAGGAGACAACTAATAAAGGAAAGGGTCTGTCCAGTGTGGTGGAAATAAATGAAGTGAAGAGAAGAAAGGGGAAAAGAGCAATTCTTCTCTAGACGACCTGCGTCTGATGAAATATTCCTACTGCACGCGCCGGGAGTGGTGGTGCCGCAGAGAAGCCGGCGAGAGTCCACTGGCGTCGAAACGACGGCGCAGCCGACCGGACCCATGACGGTTCTTTATTTGTCCTATAAGGAAAGAGAAAAGTGTTGACCAGGTCAGTTTAGTGGCCAAGGAAGGGATGGTGTAGACGACTATGACGGTGGGAACGGGAGGTCGGGGGAGGAGGTCTCTCACCCGCGGTTGCGGGGGGGGACGGGACGGAACGGTGGGGCGAAGAAAGGGTGCTGGGGCGGGCAAACGAACCAAGGAACCAATCCCAGCGACGGTCTTCACGGTGAAGTGCTTCTTCGCCATGCGTGTTGTTCTCGCGAGCCATGCGTTCGGCACGGGCGCGACGCGCGGCCGTCTCGCCGACAAGGTACGGATCCTCTAGAGGGCGGAACGAGCCGTTGCTCGTGCTGAGGCGTCCAATGGCGTTGTTGCCGCCGCCGTTGCCGCTGCGGTTGTTAGAGGCACTGCCACCAGCGTTGCCGTTGCCAGCGGAGGCATTTCGGTGGGCAGCAGCAGCAGCCATGCGCCGACTGGCGGCAGCCTCTTCTTGCTCCATGCGTTCAAGAACGGCTAGGCGGCGCATCAAACCTCCAATCTCAGCCGCGGCGGAGGCGTGCTCGGCGGCAGCAACCCGACGCAGTGCAACGGAGTGGTAGAGACGGGCGTTTGGGCTGGTCGAAATAGTTGACCATGAAGGCACGCGGAAGCGGGACAAGTCTGGGATATCGTCACGGCGCACGTTGTCCATGCGCGCCGGAAGCGCAAACACGGTCCCGGCGTCGGTTGCCGATGCGGCGGATGCGGAGCCACCTCGTCGAGCGGCAACAGTGTTTGCTGAGTGGGACTGCAGGGCGGGGACCGAACGATGCCGAGGCGGAGCGGCGACACGCTCGGCAGAGCCCACGGGCGGGGCCGTGTAGGGGGGCAACAAGCTGCTGTATCCGGAGTTGGGGACGGTATAGTGCAATGTGGGCGCCTCCGAAGCTAATACGGGGCGCGTGATCCCAGCCGTTAGCGGAATTCCGAGCCGAAGGCATGGACGAACTTGATATAGGCTGTCTGTGAGGCATGAAGGGTGGCACGCAGACTGCAGGCGTGTTGGGGCGAGAGCCATGCGCGGGGCACGTTGTTTGCGTGCCCTGGTCTGGCCGGCCGACGATCGGAAGATGCCGATGACGACACATTCCGCCCAGATACGAAAGCAGTCCAGATTCTCGAGAATGACGGCGCAAAAATGGCAGGAAAGTGCTCGGACAGTACGCAAAACTTACAGTATGAAGGCGCTGCTGAGCGGATGGAGGCCGTCTCAAAATCCTCAGCGGTAAGACCTTCCATGATCTCGTGAGAGCGGCGAGGAACCATGACGTCGGCCATTTTGACGGCTTCGTGTACTTTCTTGTCTGAAGATGGGTATTATTTTGCTCGTGTACCTGGCTGGTTTCTGTGTGTATGATTCGGCAGTGGCTGGCGCAAGGGTGTTTTGTGTATTAAACAGGCAAGCCCAGAATAAGGAATGACACTGTGTTCAAGTTTGTTGACGTGAAGCGCAAATAACGAAGGGCGTCGTTGATGAGAAAGAGTCCAGCGAAAAGAAAACAAGAAGAAATCAACAAGAAGACGAAGAAGGAAAGAAAGCAAAAAGTGGCACAAAAAGACGAAAAGACAAAAGGGAAACGGGGAAAAAAAACGATTGCCCAGGCCACACAGAGAATGAAATGTGGAACAGAAAGCAGCCCGAGAGGGGGAGTGGGATCAAGTTGTGTGGATGTCTGCGACCTGAGGATGTCCTGTGCCTTGTGTCCTTCCTTTTCGACTTGGTTCAACTCCGTCGTTAGTATTACTCCGTATTGATATGGAGCGCGGGCGGGCCTGCAGGACGTTGTGGGCCGCCCGTCTTGATGGTGAGGGTGAGGGTGGATGGGACTGGATGGAGCTCGTCTCTGATGTCTCCTCTTTACCTCGTCCTCTGGCGTCACCTACGGGCGCCTTTCAGTCGAGTAAACAAGTAAACGAATTAACAGAGAGTGGTGTAGTAGGTGGTAAGCGGTGCTTTGTGCTCATCTGCGGCGGGGTGCCTTTTCGTGCGTTAGTAGAGCGTTCTGGTGTTCCTGGTCATCCTGGTCTTGCCAGTTTGTCTTGCTTGATGTTTCGGGAGAGTTGAAGCGATCATAAATGCCTGATGCGGGATTAAGCAAGACGATGGTTGTTGTCATCCGACCACTTGCCCTGTTGGTTCGGTTCATTTCATACCTTTCTTTCTCTTGGCTTTTCTTTTCCTTTTCAAGCCGAACTGACCCTTCTTTTCTGTTCGTCCCGCGGTTGGCTGTGTTCTCGCCCCTACGCTTGCCCGGCGTTTCTGTCTGTCCCTCGGAAAAGCCAGGCCAAGAGCAGTAAGTGGGTGTGTGGCTGGTCAACGGCCAGAGGCGGTTCACAAAATATGACACGTGAGGGCTTCCAGAAGGGAGGATTCAGACGGAAAAAGTGTGGGTGGACGACCCGTGGGTGTGCAAAGCCGCGCCAGAAGAGGCAATAGGCCAAGCTGAGAAAGTTGAGAACTGAATGCGAGGTGGGGTGATGAGGGGATGGTTGGCACGTAGAGTGGCCGTTAGCCCTGCGACCGGCGCCGTCTTAGCTGCGTTTTCTGAACAGGAACGGGGCTGGGCGAGGGTCTCGTTGTCTGCACGAGGAGAGGGGACGCTGCAGCAGTCGACGACGGGCGACGACACGCATAGGGATATCGTGGAGCAGTGGGATGTGGAGGGGTTGGATTGTGAGGCCGGGAGGGACAGTGTAAGTGGAGTTGGGTGGAGATGTCGAGAGATAGATTGAGAAGGGCTTGGGGCAAGGAAGGCCAGAGGACAGGAAGACAGGACAGTGAGGTAAGTCCATATGATCTAGAAAGTCGAATGCGCCGAAAAGCAAACACATTGGTTTGCCAGTGTCGGAAGTGGTGTAGAGCCAAACAGGGCGGAAGAGTATAGGGCAGAAGGGGTGTATGAGTTGTCGTTTGATGTAATTGGTGACGAAAGAGCGCCGTGTTCCAGCGTCAATCGATGACGAACAAGGCGGAACCGCGCTTGGTTGGCGTGGGTCCTGACTAGGATGTCGTGTGTTATAGACTGACTGAGGCTATATCCATCGAGAGCAGAGTCAGAAGGGAGAAAATGGACGGGATGCTTGTGCCATTCGGTGCATGGCACAACTCGGGAAAGACCAGTCACTATGGCCACTACGACTTCCTGTTTAAGTATAACGGACAGGCCAAGAACACACCAATAGGGCAAGAACAGCTGGCGCAAACAGAAGGAGGCACCCATGCAGCAATGAAAAAGGAAAGAGCGATACGGTCAGCCCTCCCCAGATACGAATACTTCTCAAGCCGGAAGAGCGAGACGCAGGCCAAGCATGGGGCAAAGAAAGCAACAGCGGTGAGCAGCAAAGCAGGATGGTCTGGGAGATAAGAAGTAAGACAACTGACACCGACCTCACCAAACCATCCTCTTGTCGCCATCCACGTTAGACGCTTATGTAGATAAGGCGGCCGAGTGCCCGATGGCGACTTTCGTGTTTGCATGTCTGCTTCCAAGGAAAGAGCCCGACGGTTCCAGCAATCTATCCATTCTCCGTTTCTCTCGGGGAAAATATGGAGTTGTTGTGGGAGTAGATATTTGGATCAAGAAAGAGCTATGGCGACTGGCTGGATCGCAGTTTCCTGGTATGTTGGCGTGCGGGACGAAGGCCTCCCGCACCCCAAAAGTGCGTAATACGTTTTTGGTGTGGGCTGGAACGTTGTGGGCCTCGCTTGCCAGTCCGCGCTCCTCCGGAACGGCGGGATAGACAGCTCTCTGTCGCCCTGAGCGCGTTGTTCAACCACATATCTTACCTTCGCAATGTTGCTCCACCTCCGACTTGAGGACAGTTCAGTATTATTTCATGTTTTGAAATAGACAATAGTCTAGTACAGACTTTCAGTACAAAGAAAATAGGCAAACAATCCTTTCTGTCTCGGTGTTGGAGCCGAGACTGCCAACATAGAAGGGGTCACTGCTGTCCACTACGTCGTATATCACACTCCCTTTGCAGCCGGATTTCCGAATTTGATATTGCAATATTCATTGAACGGCACATGCCGCGGTCATGCTTGACTGCTATGGTGCACTGCTATTTGGGTGCCTTGGTTGGCTGATGTTTACATCTGCTGCAGAGGATCATGGCGGCTGTGAGAGATGAATCCAGTATATGTTTGATATTCATGAGTAGAGAGGAAAGTTGATCGCCGCAACCTATCCAGCTTCTGTTTTTTTGTCCTTTTCGTTGTTATGTCTCCCAGTTTTGAGCCGTCTTCCTGCTTATGATTCCGTCGCAGTCCAAATACACCAAAAGACCATATTCCATGTTATATACAGTTTCTGTGTCGCTTCATCTGTTGCACAGCCATCTTCTTTTATGGCCCTTGCCTACCGCCCCCGCTTGTAGTCTTTGATGTGGTCGGCAATCAACTTGGCACCTTGCTCCGGTGAGTGCTGACGGCCCAGCGCCTCAACAAAGTCGCCCTCTGGGTCCATCAGGTAAAAGTAGATGCTGTGGTCGACCAGGTAGTCCTGGCCAGGCTTGACGTCCTTTGGCGTGCTAAAGTACACCCGGTAGGTCTTGCACATGTCCTTGATCTGCTCGTACGTGCCCGTCAGACCGACGAAGCGCGGGTGGAACTCCACCAGGTACTTGCCGAGCACATCGGGCGTGTCACGGGCCGGGTCGCACGTCACAAACACGGGCAGCAGCGCACCAGGCTGCTCCGCTTCGACGGCGTCAAACATGCGCGCCATTTTGTCGAGTTCCTCGGGACAGATATCCGGGCAGTGCGAGAAGCCAAAGTAGACGAGCGAGAAGCGACCCTTGAGGTCGGCTTCTGTAAAGGCTTTCCCGTTCTGGTCGATGAGGTTGAACGGGCCGCCGACCTTGGGCCGGCCGACGCCCTTGTTGGCATCGGCGATGCGCTTGCGCTTCATGCGCTCCTTTTCGTGCTCAAAGTACCACATCAGACCGGCGCCGGCAAGGATAAAGAGCACACCTGCTTTCCACGAGAAGGGCTGGCTTGTTAGTAAGAGGATTCGTAGTCTTGTTTTCTAAAGAAAAAAAATAGCAAAAAAAATGATGTCGTGGGACAAAGAACGACATACTCCTGACCGGTACCGGCTCTTGGCCTCCTCCACAGTCTTGAATTTCGTCCTCCGCTGCATCACTGGCAGAGATTGTGGCTGCCAGTTCCCGCATGGCCCGGCTCCGGCTCTCCGTGCGGCCGTAGGCACTGGCCGGCGAGAGGTGCCGCTGCTGTTGGATGCGACCTGGCGGGCCAAAGACGTCGAGAATGGCCGCATGCTCTGGGTGGACCCGTTGCGCTGTGAAGGGAGGAAATAGTTGTTCAAGTTGCGGCAGACGCCCGCAAAGGGCGTCGCCCTCGAAATGGAGCGGCTCATCGGAGGAGAACAACGAATATGCGATCGAGAACGAAGAAGGCCGAGAGTAGTATCGAAAACGAAGGAGAAGCCTTGAGTCGCTTGGCGAGTCAATTGCAGTTGGCTGCGCCAGGAACAAGATGATCAATGTACCTGACGGGTGGCTCTGGTGTTGGTTGCGAGTTTGCTGGTTACAAACGTCAACAGGGCCGATGCTGGTGACGTTGGCGATCTTGTGGTCGCGGTCTGATGTTTGGAGCTTGCTGTCTTGCGGGCGGACAACTGAAAAATCCTTGAAAGCTATGATAATCAGCGCGGCGGGACAGAGGCATCTGGCCACTCACAGCCCACTGTATTGAGCAAGTTACGGACCCACTTCTTAGCTCCCCGCCACCTGGACCTTCCCTGACAGCACATGGACACACGCCTGCCGCGTCGCGTGTTGCACGCTGGAAATTTAAAGTGCTTTTTTTTTCTTGGGACGGTTTCGCGGGGTGCGCCTGCCTTTACCGCATTTTGGCAGTAATTGCTTAGTTGGCAGCGCTAGGCGTAACGTCAGCCTCGACTCCGACCAGCATCATCACTTCGTCCTCCCATTGCGTTATCTTTGCTCCTCTTCTTTTCGTCCTGTACCAGCCACGTTTACGACTACCTGACACGCGACAGCGCACATGTATTCACCGGCTGCGAGCCGCTCGCGACCGTAAGGAAGCGCTCTGTTTCGCGCGCTGTGTGTCCTACGCCCCTCGAGGCAAAGGCGAAAGGAGCAGCCCGACATCGCTACTCCCGATTCCAACTCGAACTTTGCGATACCCAGACCCAGCGCCGGTGCGACGGACGTCGACATACGCCATTCGCCTCCGCGACCATGCCGGCCTCCAGTGGTGCGCCGTCGCGCTCCAGCCGCTCGCCCTCGCCACTGTCCACGTCTTACTCTCAAGACTCCGTCCCGGCTGCGTTCACGGGCAGCTACTTTGCGCCCATCGTCGCACCCATCGTGCGAACCGGCTCAATCGACAGCGACGTTCACATGACGGACGCTACCGACGGCACCGCCGACCACCAACCAAAAGTAGAGGGCGAGCGGTACTCGTCGCCGCTGTCTACGGCCTCGACAGGCACGTCGGCACCGACGAAAACACGAAAGAGAAACTATACAGGCGGCGCTGCTGCCGCGTCATCCTCGTCAAAGCGCGGTGGGGCCAAGGGAGCCACGTTGAGAGGCGGAGGAAGCGCGGCCAACGTGCGTCGGGGCGGCGCGGCCTCCAAGCCGAAGAGGAAGGGCACAGCCGCACCGGCGACAAAGTCAAAATCAAAGAGTGGCAGTGGCAGCAGCGACAAACGAAGAGATCCCTACTCGACAGCGTCTCCCAGCCCACGACCCATCAAACGCGAATCCAACAGTAGTGACGAGGACGCGACCGGCGACAACCACTTGGAGGCGGACGACGAAGACGACGATCTCGAGGACGATCGCTTGGGCGGCCACGATGGCAACACGTCCGACAACGGGCCGTACTGTATCTGCCGCGGGCCCGACGACCACCGCTGGATGATCCAGTGCGACGACTGCGAGGACTGGTTCCACGGCGACTGCGTCAAGATCACCAAGGAGGAGGGCGAGGACATGATGCTGAGCTACATCTGCCCCAACTGCACGATCCCGGGACGATACGTTACCCGTTTCCGCCGGCTGTGCTCTCTTCCGGGCTGTCGCAAGGCTGCGCGCCTCTACGGCGACGACGGTTCGTCTCCTTTGCCGCCTGACGAAGCGAGCCACTTTTGCTCCGACAGCCACCGCGACCAGTGGTGGGATGCCCTCCTGGGACGTGTTGTCCAGGCCGACCGGAGATCGGGCGCGTCGGCGGCAAGTTCAGCCGCCGCGGAAGCCAAGATGGCCGTCGACCTGTTCACCCCCGCCCAGCTGGTCGCCGTGCTCGCGCACACCGACGAACCCGGCGTGGCCCAGATGCTGCTGCACGGTCTCGTGCCGGACAACAAGACCGCGGCCGATCTCGACGCCATGATGACCGTCGAGGAGCGCGCCACGACGCAAAAGTCGGCCGCCGACCGATACCATCTGGCGGAGCAGATTGTCATGTGCAAGAAGATGCTGCAGCTGCTGGACATGGCCAAGACGCGCAGCCAGGAGGCCATCAAGGCGGGACTCGTCGAGCGCGACAGCTGCGGCTACGACGATCGCCTGCAACATGTCGCCGTGCAGCCGCACTTTTCCCTGTTCCTTGCGAGCGCCGAAGGCGCTGCGGTATTCCGCGCGAACACGCTGCAGGCGCCGCAATTTGACGAGGAGGGGCGTGCCATCGACTACACGACGGGCAGTGACCTCACACACGCAAACGACGGCGACGACGTCCAGGACGGCGAAGGGGACAAGACGAAAACCCCAGCGACGGCGGGCATGTGCGGCAAGCGCAAGTGCAAGGCGCACGCCGGCTGGTTCTCGACGCTGGCCCGCGACGTGCGCATGCAAATCCAGGAGCTGACGCGCCAGGCCGCTGCCCTGCGCGACAACGAGACGCGCATCCGCCTAGCCGCCATCCAGCGCACATTTGTGAAACAGCACTCGGCCTACGAGGTGCGCTATGTCGGCGACTCGGATAACTCCTTGACCTCGTTGGCGGGTACTGACGAGGACGAAAACGAGGACGACGACGAGGACGAAAGTTTTGAGAGCGAGAGTGACGAGGCGACCGAGGAACCCGGCCATCCAAGTGATGCCGTCGACACCAAGATGGACCATATTGGCGACGAGGACGAGGACGAAGACATGGTAGACCTCGTTGGCTATGGCGACGACGACGAGGACGTCGGTGGCACCGATGCACGAGCCGCAATGACGGACGAGCAACGGACAGGCGCTGTGTCGCGCGACTACACCGCATCACCGGCCTACAACCGCGGTTACGGTGGTGAAAAGAAGCCGGTCAATGGCAGCAGCAGCTATGACGACGAGCTGCGGCGCAAAGGTCATAGCCCAAACACGGACGGCACAGTTAGCGACTGACAATGTCTGTTTGAAGCAGCCGGCAGGCTTCATATTGTGATGTAATATAATTGAAGAATCGCCGGTGCACTCTGTGCACTGTTTAAGTGCATTGCTTGCGGATGTCATCATAGGAATCGCAAGGCGTTTATTTTGGGTGCCTTCATATAATTTTGGTTTGCATATACAGAACGTTCTTCTCACCACTTTCACGATCAAAGGCGGTGAAACGTTCACCTGGCAATTTATGGTATCAACGGCAATCCGTACAAAAAGTTGATATCACAAAAATGAAATCGGACCACACCACTAGATGCAGACCTTGTGGTAGCAGGCCGGTTGGGGATTTTGTTTTTGCTCTACAGCTCGTCGTCAATTTCAATGCAGCATCCGAGAAGGAATCAAGAGAAAATGCTGTAATTTGAAAAGAAAGCCTGGGAGAGAACGGGGGTATAACAAACGTATCGTGACAGGTAAGATAATTGAAGGGAAAATAATAATGCTAAAGATATACGGACCGTCACCGACTAGGCATGCTTATGCCGGACGACAGTGGGGCCTGAATAGAAGTGAAGATATACATGGCCATGAGCCTGGTGATATGGACAATAAATGGTAAAAATCCAGTAACATTGCGCAGTCGTACCTGCGAACGACCGACAGGAGAGGACGTCTTTCCAGAAAAGTAGTGACCAAAACAAAAACCAAACAAGGCTCGCTAGAAATCAAACGTAGATACAATGAAAATGAAAAAAAATACAATAAATAAGGAGGAGATGAAGTGAAATCGAAAATAACTTTCAGATGAAAAACAAAATACCATTCCCAAAGCAACGAGCCGTGAGGCAATGCCGTTTTTAATGCCAGCCGCGAGGCTCATTGTCGTCTTTACGAAGCCCCTGTCTTTTCTCCTCTTTCGTCCTTTTTTTTGTGGCAGGGTGAAAACAGAAATAAAAATTAAAGAGTGCCGAATCTACTCTTCTGTAATGTTCGTCGTCGTCGTCATAAGTCGTTGGAGTATGGTATGCATGCAGGCTCTCAGTGTCGGTGACGTCGGCTCGAGTGGCCGTCCCGGTGTCCCTCACGGCGCCGAGATGATGAAGAGTGGCCGTGACCGTGTCCGTGCCCGTGGCTGTGGCTGTGACTGTGACTGTGACCGCTGCCACTGCGATCCATTTCGAATTCAGCTTCTTCAAGGCGTTGCCGAATATCGCGAACGATCTCACGAATGTGGCCAATGCGGTCAAAGTCGAGTTCGAGCTCGTCGATCTGGCTGTTGATCTTCTTGAATCGCTCAATCTCGGCATCCGCATCCACAATCATCTGGCCTGTTTCGTCATACATCATCTGGGTTGCGACCTGGGACTGTTCGCTCAAGTAGTCCATCTGCTGGGCGATGTGGTTCATCACACGCTCAAAGTATATTTCGAGGGCAGCAAGCGAGCCGTGGTCGAGCAGAAACATGCCCTGTGATGACGCACGGCTTGCCGCCCGAGACGATGACGAGCCATTTCCGCCATGAGCAAGTGCAGACTGTCCTTGGCGGAGAAGAGAGAGCTCGTCACTGCTGAGATTCAGCTCGGTCGGGTCGATGACCTGTGATGAGGGCATGGTCGTGCAGGTTTGAGAGCACGAGCGCACTAACGTGAGGCGAAATGTGGTGTTGGGAGTGCGTCAAACAGTAATGGACTTCATAAAACGAGACCTCGTATTAAAAATCCAAATATTTTCTTGCTCAGCTTAAACTAAAGCTGGAGCTCTTTGGTTATGCGAAGTGGGTGGTCAGAGGATCGCGAAGCTATCGAAGTAAGTAGGCTTTCGTGAACTGTGAATGGATTGCCGCTCGTTTTTGTAACGATGATGTCCCAGGATCGTGTGACGAAAGACTGGGAAACAACTTTTGTTGCGTAGTGTGATGCCTCGGCCGGGAGGAGAAAGCCTGCTGTCCTACCAGTCTCCGGTCTTGGGTATGAAGCCGGAAAGAGACAAATGATATCTTGAGTTCACAATAGTAGCTCCTCCTGTTTAGCCCTTGCTCTGACCAACATATGAGGCGCAGCCTTAGTTTGTAGACGGGAGCTCTATGTCGTGATTTCGGGACGATGGTAGCTGTGGAAGCAGTCGCACGACCTCTGACGTCGGCCGGGACGATCGCCGGCGGCGACAGAAGCTGCGATCGTGCGAGGCTATGGCGAGCGGTTTTCTCTTCGTTACTTCGAGGTATGGGCTATATTCGGGGTTGAGGATGCCGTGGAGGGTTGGGAGCGTGGCTTGATTAAGCTGTATAGGAGGCGCGCACGGCGTCATTGTTTCGAAATGGCGACGGCCGGCATTGCATATCAAGTCTAGTCTTGCGAGCGGAGAGGAACGAGCGCCAAAGCACCCTAGGCGCACCGTTTCTGTGTCGAGGAAGATACGGAGAGGAAGGGAATCGTGACAGCAGAAGATGGTTCGAGTACCAAGAATGGTCAAGGAAGAAAATGTCGCGGGGGAGGGGGTGCTCCAAAAAGGAAAAAAAGAAAGCAGGGGAAAGCGAGAGGACGACAAGGGGGTGGTTATTGTTAGCCTACAAAACAGAAAACCGGCCGTTGGAAGTTTCAAACTTTTTCATGAGCAGACACAAGCGGACCAGCAGCGAGAGACGATAGCGGGGAGGACGATGGCGGGAGAGGATTGAGGTGAACCAGCAGCGAAACACGACGTAGAATAACGAGCGATGAGCGAAAGCAGCAGCCAACTACTCAAGAAGAAACGGTGCAAGTTGGTAGATAATAGGGCAGGAAGACAGTTGGGAGCGGGAGAGACAAACACAGTAAAATAGGACGATCGTCGAGGAAGATGGAAAGGGGAAAAGATGTGAAAGATGTGAAAGAAACGTAAGGGTGCGGCGATCGAGATGCCTGTGCCGAAATGTTGCAGAAGTAGGGTCGTCGGAGAGCAGCAGGTGGATATTAAGTATAAACCTCGTGCTCTGCAATTTTTACTTTATACAAGAGGAAGAATACTCCGTAGCACTCTGCAACGATAAGTGGCCGCTGGGTCCTTCCAAATTCGTGGGGGGGCCTACCCTGGCCGGGCGGTCTGCTGAAATGGGTAAAGATGCTGCAGAATAAACCGCCGTCAGATTGAGGTGCAGTAGCTGGGACTCGCCGACTAAGAAAAGGTTGCAATTTTCAAATGCTGGATACGACAGAAGGAGATCCGGTGCCTTGGGTTGTTGGATGACAGGAGAGGTGGGATATTGTGTGCAGATGAAGGTGTAGGATGAACCACCGATAGAACACAATGTCCTCTCACACGCGCCGTAAATGGTTTGTGTCGCTGTGTTTTTTTCTGGAGTCCTTTTTGTTTTGAGCTTCCGAGTCTTGTTCTTTTGTATATTGCGATTCACACCGACCAGGGAATCTCCCCGTGCCGTCTCACAGGTCGGGCCTCACAGACAAACAAGGCCAAAAGCTCAACTTTGTCTCGCCCGTTCGTGCATGTCACGATCGTATCTGATAAGATGTCGGTGTTTTCTGTATCCTTTTGTGTCTTGGGTGGCTCCGGTTTCGTTTTTTTGCTGCCGATATGCACGCAGCCGTTTTGCGTCTCGACCTGCGGGCCTCAGAGTGCCTGATTGGTGTCAGTTTCGATCGAAGCTGCACGCTGCAAGGTCCCCGATGTGAGAGTGGGGATTTTCGACATGCCAGGAGAAGCCTGCAGGAACGGGAGTGAACGAAAAGGGATAAACGAAGAATAGCAAGACCCAAGTGGGCAATGGTGACAAAACGGGGAGACGCAGATAAAACGAAAAGGAAAAAAATAATGACGGGAGGGTGGAAAAGGTTTATCAGGACAGAGTGAAATGTCAAAGGCATGCAAGTCGGCGTCTCAGTGTTCTTACCTCGTCGTGTTCGGAACTCAGTGGTATCGCAGAGCCTCTAGAAATGGCGTACATGCGCGCGTGTGTATTTGTCGCGCTCTGAGGGTAATGTCAACCGATGGTTGAGGCGATCGTGGTGTTGGTGATCATCAAGGCAAAACGGAACTATAAGCGAGGTTTTTCATCGAAAAGAATCGGGAAGAGAGGACAAAGAGCGTCTAGGTCAGCCACTTGCCGCCAACAGCCCGCGTCAAGCTAAAGGGTGAAGGGGAAATCGAGCGAGGAAAAAAATATAGAAAGGAGAGGAAAAGACAAAAGGGTGCGAGAGGAGAGAAGTGCGAGAAAATGCCAAATTCAGGGGGCATTGAACGAATAGCCAAAAAGGGAAGAAACAGGAAAGGGCAGAAGGAGGGCAGGCGCGACTCAATTACAGAATTCTATTGCTACATATGGAAGGTAGGGACAGAATAGTCAAATGCAGACTTGTAGCCAACGAGAAAGGCCAGTAATAGAGTTAGTCACTCTTGCTTTGCGTAATATTCGTTCCTGGACGGCTGGGTCGTCCTTTCCCAGGTGTTCATCCGCTTGTTCCTTCCGGCCCAGAGAGGTGGCTTCGAGGTGAGGAAGGCGGCGGTTCCTTTTTACCAGGCGGTTTGCTTGGTTTGTCCCCTGACGATGTGAATTCCTTGTACTTTCATCCCATGTCCCATCCTATACAACGAGCCCTCCTATTTTTCCCATGTTCTCCTTTTCTGTATTTTACATTGCCGTTCTATCCAATTCCGAGTCCTTCTAGGCGCGCGCACTCGCACATAACCACATGCACGCCCTTTTTGGTATCCGCCCAACTGCATATGCAGCTACGTCTAGAGTGCAGCGTCAAATTCCGGCTCCCAAACAGGAGGTGTCACTGCAGATAGCGTGGGACTCTGCAGAAAAGACCAAGCGGGGACTGGGGGTGTGCGCCCAGATGATAGGGGCCTGCAGACATCCAAGCCAGTTCTTTGTACTCCGTAATTTGTACGGAATACTCCGTACGACAGACATGTGCGGCGCATTGCACTGCGTCATCTGGGAACGCCCAGATGGGCACAGACCCGAGCTCATCGGGTAGACAGGGAGGTTAATCTTGAGAGGTCTGGTGATACTCACATGGATGACATGGGTGGTGCTCACGGTCGGAGCAGCAAGGGATAGACATGCCACGAGCTGAGTGCATAAGATGAGAGGTGGCTTGGGAGACGCATCGTATCTCACTTTTTGCGGTCCGTGAGTCTGAGTAATAATAGTATGGGAGGCGGCAGGTCTGCCGATCATTTATAATTATGCGAGTGTACTTGTCGGTTACCTTGCCGAAGATATTGTGAGGGTTTAATTTATTTCAAGCGACTCAATAAGTGGCTTTTCAAAGGTAAAATGATGCTCTTGAATATTGCTGACTGAAAGATTATTACAGAGAACAGCAATACAGAAAGGATACCAGACATAAAACTTGAAAACATGAGACGAATGACCCATGGTAGAATTCTGGCACTTGATGGATAAGTGGGCTGTACTAATCGACTGGTTGTCGAACGGAGAAAAATGACAGGAAAGCTTCTGAATACATGTTCATCCCAAAAGGAGGCAAAGCATGGGCAATGGCCGGCAGTTGCGAGCTTCCCATTCGCTATTTCGTCTTCTGGCTGTGTCCCTGGTCCGATTCCTGTCATCCCATTTCCCAACGGCCAATGCAGCATGGCTTGCTGCGAGTAATCACAGCCAGGGTCTTCGTTTAAGGTTTGCTTTGGCGAGATGGTCCGAGCATTTTTCTATCACAGCCACTGCCTGTTGGCCGTTGGTTGTTTGCTATGTGACCTGGCCCCCAAAATGAACCTTCACCGGTTCCCAGCTCCATGAAGCTTCCAATAAATGGATAGACCGTCTTTTTGGAGGGAGTGCAGAACGGGGGTCCAGTGAAAGTGAGTCTGCTTTCCTCATGGATTCCGACTCTAACGCATATATGGCGAGCGTAAGAAAACAAATAAGCAAGTGTAAACTATTATTTCATATAAGACATAATAAAAAAATTGAAAACTGACAGTCGTAAAAATCGGGATGCGAAGCAGCTGGTATTGGCACCGTTAAGTCCATCCACCTTATATTCAAATAATATGCTAAAGCTGTGATTTGTCCGATATGTGCATTTCGTCTATATCATCACCCAGTACATCACCCAGTTCTTCGCCTAGTGCGTCATCTTGACCTCGCATCAATTACCGCCGGAAACCATTGGCCACCCAGTGACCAAGGTACCCAACGTGACTGGTCACAAGGTGAAGATATCGGCCGAAAGAACCGCCACCGCCGTGGCGCCGGCCGTTTAGGAGCAACACAAGCCCTGTCAAGGCTGGTACGCCGACAAGACCGACAAGACCGATTAAACCACCCAGCAGCACGCGGCCCTGGAACTCGCTGCGGCGCACGACCTCGCTGTAGCGCTCGTTGCCAAAGGACACGCGGGCGTACTTGGTGTGCCAGCCCAGCCAGGGGACGTGCACCGACAGCTGCTCCTCCAGAAACTTGCGCAGGCGGTAGGTGGGACTGAGCACGGAGGCGCGCATCTCGGTGTAGTTGTGGAGGGCGAGGTCGTTGATGGCAAAGGCGTCGGGGACGCGCAAGGCCGAGTACTCGGCGAGGGCGAGGGCGCGGCGGGCGTCGGCAGAGGCGCCGCTCGTGTCGTTGTCGCCCGACGGGTTGTTGGACTCGGTGTCGGCGTACTTGTCGAGCAAGCCAAAGAGGACGCGCACGTCCTCGAGACCGGCGTTCATGCCCTGCCCGTAAAAGGGGACCATGGCGTGGGCGGCGTCGCCGACGATGACGGCCGAGGCCTGGAAGTGCTGCGGCTTGCATTTGATGCTGATGAGCGGCAGGTGGGGGTTGCGGCGGAACGAGGCGACCAGGTCGGCGGGCGGGATGAGCTGGGTGACGCCGGGGAAGTGCTGGTCGAAGAACGCCGGCAGCGTCTGGTCGTCGGTGGCGGGCACGGCCTCGAGCTGGGCAAACTCGGCAGCAGGCATGAAGAGCGTGCACGTAAAGGAGCCGTCGTCGCTGGGGATGGCAATGAACATGAAGTCCTTGCCGGGCCATATGTGGAGGTGGTTGGGCGAGATGCGGAACTTGGCCCGGAACGCGGCGTCTGCGTCTGCGTCTGCTTCGTTGTCTTGTGCGTCGGCGTCCACTGCCTTGGCCTTGATCTGGAACTCACACCACAGCGTGTCGATGTAGTGCTGCTGGTAGTCCATCATGACGTACTTCATAAGGTGGTACCGGACGGGCGAGTGGGCACCGTCGGCGCCAATCATAAAATCAAAGTCGATCTCGATCTCACGGGCCCGGCCTGTCTTCTTGTTCGGCCCGTCCTTGGACCCGTCTTGCAGCTCGAACCAGGCCTTGCGGTTGCGGAAGTCGGCGCCGGTCAACTTGTGGTTGAAGAAGATCTTGACGTTGGGCAGCTTCTCCAGGATGTCCAGCAGACGGCCGTTGAGGCCAGCACGGTCAATGGCAAAAATGGTCTGAGAAGAGGGTCAGTCCATAAACAAATGAGCAAAATTTTCTTTTCTTTTCAGAGTCTGGTGAGAAGACGTACCCGGCCATGAGCATCATAGTCCTGTGCCGTTTCATACAGATCGCCCGACGGCGTCTTGCCATGGATCATGCGTCCCCTCATAGGGATGGTGGCATCAAAGACATGCTCAAGTAGCGTGGCGTTGCCCGAGTTCTCGAGAGCTGTGATGCCGCGTGTGGACAAGGCGAGGTTGATGGATTTTGTAAAGTTGAGCGGTGTCGTGGACGGGTCGCGCAGGTCTAGCAGTTTCCGTTAGTACTGTGGCTGCTATGAACTCATAATCGACGCATCGTCTCAACACACCGTTTCGAAGCTCGTACACCTCGACTTCGTGTCCCCGTTGTGCGGCATAGAGAGCGGCCAATGAGCCGACAGGGCCAGCGCCCACCACGACCGTCTTTTGTCTTGCATCCTCGGCCATTTTGTGTGAGTGTGGCGCGTGGTCTGGAGATCGACTGGTTCAGTCTCCGTGAGTCACTTTTGAAAAAGCCCTGTGAAAACAGATGTCGTGTGAGTGCGGATTTTGGATGAGTCGTTTTCACTCAGGTTTCATAAATTTCAAGCTCTTTCGAAAGAGATGCCTTTTGAGGTCTGAAACCGGGGACTCCTTTCTCATAAAATTCTCATGACAGTCATTGAAAAGCAAAGGAAGCCAAGAAAAAGGCTAGATCCTTCCCTCCGATGTCGAAAGGATGAGCCGGTGCCTGCGGCGCAAGATAATAAGACGGAGTTGGATTGCTAAGGTCTTAAAAACGGAGGACCAGAGCCTGCGCGTCCCAATTGGGAAAATCTTGGAAACGGTCAAAGTTGACACGTGATGAAACGGAGCTGTGCCTTTTGGTGACCCACTGAGCCTCGACGAAGATGACAAGCCAAAAATCCCCTACCTAGCTGTCATGACCAAAAATGCCATACGAAGGGCGCCAGGGCGCAACTCGCAGCCTTTCGCCCCAGTTAAGAGACTACAAATCGCCCCACTTATTTATGCCGCCGCCCGCGCACTCTGTTTTACATGTTCGCCTCTAAATCGTCTTTTGCGACGCCGAAAAAATACCACCATCGTGAAATATCTCCAGCCTCGCCTGCGTTACTCTGCCACCACGCACTCGCAACGCACAACAACGGCACTTTCCACTTTCCACTTTCTAGAAGACTGCCGGTACGGCAGCCACACATTCTCCCTCGTCGCCATGGCCGACGAAGCAAAGCGGCCGTGTGCTGGCGGCGACTGCAGCAACGAGGCCGGCACGCTGCAGTGCCCGACGTGCTTGAAGCTCGGCATGAAGGACAGCTTCTTCTGCTCGCAGGAGTGCTTTGGCCGTAACTGGGTGCGTCCGTCCTTTTTGTCTGTCCGTTGTCGACTCTGTGGAACCCTGTTTGCTGACCCTCTTTGATTTTGTTTCTTGTAGTCTTCACACAAGACCGTCCATAAGAAGGAGACCAGTATGTTGTCTCTCGCGTTTATGTCCCCAACGGTCCCTACTACGTGCTCTTCTTACTGACTATTGAACCCCAGAGGTCGGCTACTTCAACCCGTACCCCAACTTTCCCTACACCGGCCCGCTGCGCCCCGTCTACCCTCTGTCTGCAAAGCGCACCGTCCCCAAGACGATCCCCCACCCCGACTATGCTGCCGACGGCATCCCCAAGACGTCCCGCTCGCTGCTGCGGCCAAACAAGGTCGAGCTGCTTGACGCCAAGGCTCAGGAGGGCATGCGCACCGTGTGCCGGCTGGCCCGCGAGGTGCTCGACATTGCCGCTGCTGCGCTGCGCCCAGGCATCACGACCGACGAGATTGACGAGATTGTGCACAAGGCGTGCATCGAGCGCGACTCGTACCCCTCGCCGCTCAACTACAACCACTTCCCCAAGTCCGTGTGCACGTCCGTCAACGAGGTCATCTGCCACGGCATCCCCGACAAGCGCGTCCTGCTCGACGGCGACATTGTCAACCTCGACGTCACGCTCTACCACAAGGGCTACCACGGCGACCTCAACGAGACGTACTACGTGGGCGACCGCGCACGTGCCGACCCGGACTCGGTGCGCGTCGTCGAGACCGCCCGCGAATGCCTCGATGCGGCCATCCAGCTGGTCAAGCCCGGTGCGCTGTACCGCGACTTTGGCAATGTCATTGAGAAGCACGCCAAGTCGCGCGGCTGCAGTGTGATCCGCACGTACGTAGGCCACGGCATCAACTCGGTGTTCCACGCGCCGCCCAACATCCCCCACTACGCCAAGAACAAGGCTGTCGGCGAGTGCAAGCCCGGCATGACCTTTACCATTGAGCCCATGGTGGCGCTCGGCAAGTACCGCGACGTGACGTGGCCGGACAACTGGACTAGCACGACGATTGACGGCAAGCGGACGGCGCAGTTTGAGCACACGCTGCTCGTCACAGAAACAGGCGTCGAGATCCTCACGGCGCGGACAGCAAACTCGCCGGGGGGGCCGATACCCATGCCCGAGACCAACGGTTCGGCATAGGGCGAGGCGTCTTACGTTACTTTGTTTGATCGTGCGGTGTAGTTGACAAATTCTGAATTAATGAGGGCATGGGATAGCGAGATTGGAGTTTGGTGGTTGGTGACGGCAAAAGCAAAAAAGAAAAAGCAAAAGTGTAAGGCTCGAAGGAGCAAAAAGCATGATACATCGTAACGAGCGAAAGCGCAATGAATAGAACGCTGCTTTTTCCGTCATCCTCTTACTTATTTACTTTTGACACGTATCCTATGCCACCTGTCCTGTCAATGACGTTGTTCCTAGAACACCATCTGTCATTCATCATTAGGCTACTAGAGGGTATGTGCGAGAGGTGCTTGTCACTGACGTCGACTCGCAGCAAGCCGCTGAAGTTGCCTGCTTCTGTGAGTTGTCTGCCCCGCATATTTCGTAGGTCTTTGAGCCAGGCCCACTTTCGCATTCGTCAGGGCATCGTGGACAGTTACAGGGGATTGCCCAGCCACCGACAGCTCCCGTTGAAGGTACCAATACACTGGATATTGCGGCAAAGATACCTCCCGCACCCCGAACCCACAGCCAGTCAGCCTGTCCTTCTGTAATGCTCCTAATTTCGTATTTTTTTTGTGCCTGCCCCCATAAATGCACAAGCCACACACGCTGCGCCAGCCATTTTTGCGAAGCTTCGGCCGGCGCTTTCCTTGCCCCTTCTCCTGCCGTCCCACAGCTTTCCTTTTTCGCAGGCTTGATTACGCCTCTTTTGGACCTTCCTTTCCATCTCTTCTTGCTCCTTCCCTCTCTCCACCACCACCACCACCACCGACCTCCCCTCCATTCTTCGACACATCGCTTCTCTGACTCTCCCACCTTTGCGTCCTCGACTCGACCTCGACCGTCGTTTTGCCAACCCAGTTTTCTCGCGTAATCTCCTCAATCGCGCAACTATCGCCGCTTCATCTCCTGTACGTTGCATCCCGGGTTGTTGGCTTCATACCCTTGGCAGCCTTGCTTTTGCGCTTGGGGAGCACGTCACAGGCCACGAGATCAAAACAAAGCGAGTTCCTCGCTCGTGCTCCACGTTTCTTTTTGACTCGAGGCCAGGCTGTGTGACTGCCTGGTGGCCTTTGCTCCCGAGGCCGAGCTAGGCGCCAGCCTCTCCATTACTTGCAAACACCGTTTTCCCTCTGGCTTCCACGGTGCTTGCAGCAGCGTCTGTTTTTTTGTTTCCGTCTTCTAACATCTCGCCACAGCTTCGACCGCTTGCGCTTCGTCTCCGACCTTTGTCCAACAAAGTTTTCTTCTCCCCATCCAATCTACCGAACCAATCGTCACAATGTCTGGAGAGGCGTGGCTGTACCTGTTCGCCGTGTTGATAAACGCGGTGAACCTGTTCCTGCAGGTCTTCTTTACGATCATGTACAGCGACCTGGAGTGGTATGTCATGCGGCCTTGCTGAGTGCACTGGATAGCGGTGCGCGTTGCGTCTTGAAGTCCTGCTAACAATTGTGTAGCGACTACATCAACCCCATTGATCTCTGCAACCGACTCAACACGTACATCATCCCGGAAGCGGCCGTCCACGGCTTCCTGACCTTCCTGTTCCTCATCAACGGCTACTGGCTGCCTTTGATCCTCAACGCCCCGCTCCTTGCTTGGAACGTTAAGAAGTATGTTGCGACGAGCAAAGCCCCGTTTTTGTTTGTACCGGGTCGTGCCGTGGAGACCCTGGCCCGGCCGTGGCCCTTTGGGAATTTCTTACACGTGCTAACCTCACAACCCCAGAATCATTGACAACACTCACCTGCTGGACGCGACGGAGATCTTCCGGAAACTCAACGTCCACAAGAAGGTTGGTTGCTGTGTTTCCCCCCTCCTGGCTTCCCTGTCAAGCTCCAGTGGCTAACAAACCTCTTAGGAATCTTTCATCAAGCTCGGTTTCCACCTCGTCATGTTTTTCTTCTATCTGTACAGCATGATCGTCGCTCTGATCAAAGATGAGGGCCACTAGAGTTCCCTCCTCTGCTCCGCGGATACGATAACCGCGACCATGAAGGCGACTGACACCGTCATCAGGCTGGTGGGAGACAAAATGTCAACTGTGCCCAGAAGACAACCATTGGGACCAATCAGACCAACCACAAACGTTTCGACCAGAGCCAGCCGGCAAGACGCCGATGAGTTTATCAATTACGCGTGGTGGATGAGTCTCACTGAGGTGACTTTGTTGAAGACTGGCATATTATTTTTTACTGCTGCGTTGCACTTATACACGGTGTGAGTGTTTCTTGGCCGGGGCGATGGTGTAGTTGGCTTCCCGCACCTTGTTGCAGGCCTGTCGACGCATAGACGAGGGACGACAAGGGAATCGAATCTTGCGAGCATGGAGCGCTACGAGTGGGACGAGAAAGACAGAAATCGTGTGTATATTGGGGATATGTGGCTGCAGTTGAGCGCAACGTGAAAGCGGGTGAGACGTCATTGCTTTTGGCTGTTTTTTTTTGTTCCTTTTCATTTTCTGGTTTACTGTCGGTCTTCCGGGCTCTTCCTCGCGGTCGAGGCATGGTAATGATGTGCATATTTTTGCGGTTTTTTTGTCGCCCGTGTTTATACCTGTGTTGAAACACACTGCTCTGGCGCTCATAGGTGTTTTTATACGACTGCCAAATATACCTGTTAATGTCTGTTTACATGAATGTTTTGCCACTTGTTACTTTTATGCATTCCGCTTTGTCCATTGTCTTGAAGCTCACTGGCATTGTTTACTGTTCCCGTACCGTGGGGAAGCATGTCTGACGTTTATATAATGATACGGTATTGTGAAAGGGATTTCAATTCAAACCCAGTATAGAAGACCATGACGACAATTGCACCGGATAATGAAGCTCAAAAGTCGCATATTGATGACTTCACATGTCCCAGCTTGCTTGGAGTGGCCGGTTTAATCACGTGACTCTTCTACCGCTTTATGCAACAGGGTTGTATATTTTAGGCCGTGTTTAATCTAGCATGGCAAGCTCGACAATATTAAATCTCAGTTCTACCGCCTTGCAGTGGCCCGCGCTCCAACAGCTTTGCCGCACCTATATTGACGACGTCTGACGCGGCTTTTATTCACCTATGCGCGACAGCATCGCGAGTCCATCCGCGGGATTTTCGACTGACCGACATCCCATTCGACACGCGACACATCCCTCGTCCCATCCGTTGCCGTCCTCGCCATGGCCGACTTTGGCGACTACCCGCCCAACATGGCGCCGCAAGACGCCCTCGTGGTACGGTCGCAGGCCGAGCCCGACCACGCCGTCGTGCCCTACTCGGCCGAAGACTTGGCGCGCCCGACCGTGGGACCGGCCAACCCTTTTCGGCGCGCCAACATTGGCAGCAACACGCAGCTTGTGCGCAGCGCGGCGACGGGCACGGCGAAGCGCAAGAACGTGCTGTCTGGCACGGCCACGGAAGAGTTTGTGAGCGAGCACACGTTCCGGAGCAAGCACCGGGCAGTCGAGCGGCGCGGCGGACCGGCACGGGTGGTGCTGACGGGCGACGAGGTCAAGGCCCAGAACGCGGCCGTGCGCGCAGGGCGCGAGGGCAAGGGCAGCGCGACGGTGGCGGACGGCGACGGCGCGTACGTGGGGCCCTGGGCCAAGTTCCAGCGCAAGACCGTGTACGACGAGGTCGACGAGAACGAGGAAGACGACGGCGAAGAATACGAGTATGAGTACGAGGACGAGGACGAGGACGTGGTGGAAAGCGGCACAGTGATCCCGGCGCCGGCGCCGGCATTGGCGCGGCGCAAGCAGCTCGAGACCGTGGGCGACGAGACGACGGCGTTTGTGGGCAGCGAGCAGTACGACTACCAGGGCCGCACGTACATGCACGTGCCGCAAGACCTGGACGTGGACCTGCGCAAGGAGGTCGGCAGCATCACCAACTTCATCCCGCGCAAGCTGGTGCATACGTGGAAGGCACCCACGCCGGGCCAGGCGGTGACGGCACTGCGCCTGTTCCCCGACTCCGGCCACCTGATGCTGAGCGGCAGCGCGGACAACACGGTGCGCCTCTGGGACGTGTACCACCAGCGCGAGCTGCTGCGGACGTACACGGGCCACAAGCGGGCGATTACGGACCTGTCGTTCAACCGCGACGGCACCCGGTTCCTGACGGGCTCGCACGACCGGTGGATGAAGCTGTGGGACACGGAGACGGGCCAGTGCATCAACCGGTTCCGGACGGGCAAGACGCCGCACTGCCTGGTGTTCAACCCGTCGGTGGAGGGCGCGCACGAGTTCTTGTCGGGCATGTCCAACAACAAGATTCTGCAGTGGGACACGCGGGCTGCCGCCAGCAGCAGCGGCGGGGACGGCGGCGACAGCGTCAACGAGCCCGTGCAAGACTACGACCACCACTTGGCGGCCATCAACACGATTACGTTTGTCGACGAGAACCGGCGGTTCATGACCACGTCCGACGACAAGTCGGTGCGGGTGTGGGACTACAACATCCCCGTGCCCATTTCGTACACGAGCGAGCCGTGGATGTACCCGCTGACGCGGGCGGCGCTGCACCCGAGCAACAAGTACGTGGCGTACCAGTCGGGCGACAACCAGGTGCTCGTGTACTCGGCGCGCGACAAGTACCGGCAGAACCGCAAGAAGGCGTTCAAGGGCCACAACAATGCGGGCACGGCCATCGACGTGGCCATCAGCCCCGACGGGCAGTTCTTGGCGTCGGGCGACACGTCGGGGTATGTGTGCTTCTTTGACTGGAAGACGTGCAAGATGTACGAGAAGCTCAAGGCGGATCCGACGGGCGGGTCGGTCAACCATGTCGTGTGGCACCCGCAGGAGACGAGCAAGGTGGTGACGGCGGGCACGCACGGCGACATCAAGTTGTGGGATTAGGTGAGAATCGGGACGTTTGGATTGGGGAATCGCAGCATATTTCGGCGTTTGCGTACAGGTCTACACGGGACTAGGCTTTTGAAAACGGATTTGCTCAGGCAAAATATGTCATATTCAGCGTTACATAAGAAATCTATGATTTTAAAACCCAACAACCCGGCTATTCTTCATCGACATGAACCCATTTTGTATTGAATACAGTCTCGTTGCCAGCAGAAACATGGCAACGAGAACGAGGAAAGGTAGAACTCCAAACAAAACAACATATATCGCTGACACATCCAAGAAAGGTCCCCGGGGAATACACACAATTGCACGCTCGTCTATATAACAGGAAAATCAGACAGGAACACGCTCTAGTTCCGCAAGAACGACTTGAAGACGTTGCTCTCTGTGCAGTCGACCCAGGGGTAGCCAATCTCGCTCAGGTACGTCTCCAGCTCGCCGACCTCGGCATCGGGGCACAGGATGCCTGTCAGCACCTTGCCAATGTCGCTGCCCTCGTTGCGGTACTGGAACAGGCTGATGCTGTAGCGCGGGCGCAGCGTGGCCAAGAACTTGTCGAGGGCGCCGGGCCGCTCGGGGAAGTTGAACATGTACAGGCGCTCGTGGGGCACCGTCGAGCGGCCGCCCATCAGGTAGCGGATGTGGCTCTTGGCGAGCTCGTCGCCCGACACGTCGACGGCGTGCATGCCCTCGGTCGAGGCGATGCGGGCCATGAGGTTGCCGAGCTGCTGCACGCGCTCCGCGGCGTTGGCCGCCGTCAGCGACAGCCCCAGCAGCACATTGGCGGCGCGGCCGTCGTTGTAGCGGTAGCTGAACTCGGTGACGGCGTGGGGCATGATGGCATCAATGAGCTCGGCGAACGAGCCGGGCCGCTCGGGGATCTCGACGGCCAGCAGAGCCTCCTTGCCCTCGCCCAGGGTGGCGCGCTCGGCGACAAAGCGCAGGCGGTCAAAGTTCATGTTGGCGCCGCTCGTGATGGCGACGAGGGTGCGGGTCGGGTCGGACGACGGGTTCTGGGCGACGTACTTTTTGAGGCCGGCCACCGCCAGCGCGCCGGCCGGCTCGACAATGGACCGCGTGTCCTCAAAGACGTCCTTGATGGCGGCACAGGTCTCGTCGGTGGTGACCTGGATGACCTCGTCCACGACCTCCTGGCAGATGCGGAACGTCTCCTCGCCGACGGCCTTGACGGCCGCGCCGTCGGCGAACAGGCCCACCTCCTTGAGGACGACGCGCTCGCCCTTGGCCAGCGACTGGACCATGGCGTTGGCGTCGTACGCCTCGACGCCAATGATCTTGACGTGGGGTGCGATGCGCTTCACATAGACGCCGATGCCGCCAATGAGGCCGCCGCCGCCGACGCAGCAGAAGATGGCCTCGAGCTTCTGGATGTTGGTCTGGCGCAGCAGCTCCATGCCAATGGTGCCCTGGCCGGCAATGACGTACGGGTCGTCAAAGGGCGGGATGTCAATGAGGCCGTCCTGCTGCACGCGGCGGGCACACTCCTGCTTGGCCGCGTCAAAGTCGGGCCCGTGCAGCACGACGTGGCCGCCCATGCGCGAGACGTTCTTGTGCTTGATGCTGGGCGTGCCCTCGGGCATGATAATGGTGGCAGGAATCTTGAGCTTGCGGGCCGAGTAGGCAACGCCCTGGGCGTGGTTGCCGGCCGACGAGCAGACGACGCCGCGCCACGACTGGGCCGGGTCGAGGTGGGCCATTTTGTTGTAGGCGCCGCGCAGCTTGAAGCTGAAGACGGGCTGCTCGTCCTCGCGCTTGAGCAGCACGTTGCACTCGAGGCGGTTGCTGATGTTGACAGCATGGCTGAGGGAGGTCTCCTTGCAGACTTCGTAGACGCGGGAGGTGAGGATCAGGCGGAGGTAGTCGGGGTGGCCGTTGGGGAGGATGAACTCCTCGGGCAGCAGCTTGCGCACGCGGGCGGCACGCTCGTCAGCCTCAGCCGTGGCGAAATCGACCAGAGACTCGGTCCGTGACAGGCCCGATACACTGGGCGTCCGTGCCGGTGTTGGACGGCCGGGACTGCTGGTGCCGTTGCCATTGGGAGGAGTCGTGGTCGAGGTAGAAGAGGCGGCGGCGGCCGCCGACCGCAGCGGCACCGCATTGGGCGAGCCATTGACGACGGTGCTGCCGTTGGGCTTGCCTGTTGTTGGATCGGACATGATGGGTGTCTGAGTGTGCGTAAATATTGGTGGGTGCTGTGAATCAAACGGTGAGGCTGAAGAGAAGGAAAGAAATAAAGGAAACGGGGAAGAGGTCAAATTGATATATGTGAAAAACCCTTTGAAGAGTCACCGCTACCGGCAATCGCTAACAAAGCTCTCAATTCGGAAAGAGATAGCTAGCCACAGAGAAAAGTGACGGAAAGTGCAAACAGAGCCGCGCTAGCACACTAAAGTCCACAGCGGGGTTGCACCGTTGTCTGCTTGTGCTACAGCTTGCCGGGGACAGGAACCATCAGCGGCTTCAGCGTCCTGGGATGGCCGAGAGCGGGGCTCTGTGGCAGGGAGTCCAATCTTTGACGCCTGTCGTTGGCATCGTACAGTGGATATCTCTCGTCGCACAGGGTGCACATGGCCGCTGTGAGGGGGGTGAGTTACCCAACAGAGAGGAGAGACAGCGGCAATTGGTGCTTAAATTGTTGCACTGGCGTACTACACAGGCAAAAATCAGCCCATCTTTCTACAAGTACTTTCTACAAGTATCTCCGTTTGATTATTCTCACAGTTTTGAACCGCATCCGTTTTTGCAACCACCTCCCACGACCACCATTGACGACACCTCACGACTAATACAGGCACACGACCACCGACAACACAGCCTACACACATACACAAACACACAGATACAACACTTGCGCAGCCACCGGCACAACCGCCGGCACAACCGCCATCATGTCCAACCTGCCGCCGTCCGACGGAATGCCGTCGTCGTTTGACAGCAATGCGTGAGTCTTGCTCCACCGTTCTCTTTCTTTGTCTTGCGGCAGCTGCTGACACCTCCCCTTCCCCTCTCCTCCCCTCACCCCAGCGAAAATCAGTCGACGCCCCTGCAACGATTCGGCCGCAAGCTGCTCAAAGAACCGCTCATTCCCATCGGCTGCGTCCTGACCGTCGCCGCCTTTATCAACGCCACCCGCGCCATCCGCAAGGGCGACCACCACCAGGCCCAGCGCATGTTCCGCGCGCGCGTGCTCGCGCAGGGCTTTACCATCATGGCCATTGTCGGCGGCGGCATCTACCTCGCCGACGACCGGAAAAAGGAGCGGCAGCAGTGGGCGCTGGAGCGGCAGCAGAAGCAGCAGGCGGAGACGGAGAAGTGGGTCAAGGAGCTGGAGGCGCGCGACGCCGAGGACAAGGCGCTGCGGGAGCGGATTGCACGGCGGAAGGAGCTGCGCAAGGCCGCTGGGGCCGCCGGGGCCGCGGGCGGCGTGAGCGACGAGGCGGCCGAGGCGGAGCTGGAGGCGCAGCTGGTGGCGGCGGCCGAGCGGGAGGCGCGTGCCCAGGCGTCCGCCGCTGGAGGAAGCAACGGCGCAGGCGGTGGTGGTGTGCTGGCGGCACTGGGAGGACTGTTTGGCGGTGGACGAAGCAAGAAGGACGACGGCGCGAGCAGCACGGCAACACCAGCGACGGCAACACCAACAGAACCAGAGGCCGAGGCAGAGGCCAGAGCATCATCACAGCCCGCCGAGGTCAAGAAGGGCGTACGGAAGAGCCACGGCCGGAGCCAGCTGGATACGCTGGGCGACCTCTTTGGCAAGCGGGGAAGCGGTGCAGACGGCGAGGGGAAGAAATAAGAGAGTGTGGTGTACAAAATTTGTAACAGTACGCGACAACACGCACGAAACGATTGTACATAAGATTGACACAAAACAGGTTGGGCACTTGGCACCTGGATGGAACAATAGCATAGTGTGGAGAGAATATAGCTCTACTCAAAATTCAAGAACGGTCACAATGGCAATCGACACGTAACAATCATATAACCCAGAGACCACCCGTTATCATAAAACGCCAAAATCTCGCTCATACCATACTCCCACCACTCCGATTGGCACCGACCAGGCCGGCCATTTCCAACAGAGCACGGTCTGCGTCGACGTCGCCCGTGCCCAGGTTGATGCGCCGCCGCGCCTCGGCCTCCCGCGCCTCCCAGGCCCAGCGCTCTGCCTGTTCCTTGGCCTCGTCGTCGCCGCCGCAGCCCCAGACTTCGAGCGCCTCGATGGAGAAGCGGTCCTGGAAACTAAACAAGCGGGCAGCACTGGGATGGAAGGCGCCGCCGGCGCCACCACCGTGTGCCTTGGCGCTGTGTCCCCGGTCATGCGTCATGGCGCCAAACTCAAAGTTGCCGTCAATCATGAGCGACAGGGGGCCCAGCGGCAGGATGCCCTCGACGGCGGACTGGACGTGCTGGTGCTGCTTGAGGCTGGCCTTGACAGCAGCGCCCGTGGGCGAGGGACAGCCGAAGCCGATGCCGCCGGCGTGGTTGTTGGCGGCGGTCGGCTTGACAAAGGCGACATAGTCGCGGTTGATCGTCGACGCCCCAAACACATCGTGCACAGGGCTCAGCTGGAACAGCACGGTGTCGCTGTCGCCAAAGCAATCGCGATGCGTGAGACGCCAGGGCTGGCTGACGTAGGCGCCAAAGATGAGTGTTTCGTCGTCGCCGTCGTCATCACCGCCGTCGTCCACACGCTTGCCGTTGCCGTGCGGGAATCGCCGTGGAGGCAAGGCGGATGCAAAGGTGGCTTCTGGGCCACGCGGCGTGTCGCTGATGCGCGTGCCTTTGACGAGAAGGATGGTCGGCGCACGCCAATTAAAGACCTTGGACTCAAAGGAGCCCATGGAGAAGCCGTCGTTGTCGCCCGAGTAGAGCGGGCGCATGCGGTGGAAGAGGGAGGAGCCGGGAAGGAAGAAAGACAGCTGGGAGAGGATGTTGAGGTTCATGATTTTGTTCGCAGAGTCTTGGATGAGGAGTGGAGGAATGGGTATATTAGTTGCTGCAATCGTGGCAGCCGACGACTTTCGCCTGGCGAGCGTTGGCGGGGGGGTTGTTGTGGTAGTGGTTGTGGTGCTATCTGTGTTTGCATCGCTGGCGCTGGCGCCAGCGCCAGGTTTCGTCCGTGACAAGTCAAGGTTCTTGGAAAACAAAAAGTGTTCAAACAAGGCATTGAACCCGCTAAAGAGGAACGGGAAGCACACGGGAACGATGGCATCAAAGTGGGCAAACTTAATGCCCGGCGATGTCTCGACATCGAGGAACGTGGCCAAGATGCACTGGGCCGTCTCCCGCAGGCTCTCCAATGCATCTCCCGTAAAACGGCCGGCGTAGAGGGAGATTGGTTCCTGGGGGCCCAGTGGTGCCACCAAAATCAGCAGCATCAGCAGTCGCCGGAAGTTGTCGGCAGGGATGCGTGCACCGTGGAGCGTGGCGGCAATGTCGGCCGCCTTTCTCGCTGACGCTTTCGGGCCCGTGGGTACCGAGCTGTTGATGTAGTCGAGGGCATCAAAGGCGGCCATAGCGAGCTCGTCATTGTCGTCGTTTGGCAGGTCGTCGTCGCAGCCGTCATTCTCATCGGCAGGACTGCGCTTCACGACATCCTCTTCGCCGTCGTTGTCATCAATGGACGCGTCCACGGCAAAGCCCTCGTTGCCTGTTGGCACAGTCGACTGCGCGCGTGCGGCAGCCGCGGCCTCTTTTCTGTCGTCGGAAAACAGTTTGCGGTCGTGCACGGCCAGACTGCGGAAAAGAAGCGTGCGGCGGTCGCTCGCACCGTGGGCCAGCACGCGCTTGTACCGGTCGGTCAGCAGCGTGACAACAATGACCAGCTGCTCGAGGCCCAGCACAGCGGGCGCGTCGGACAGAAAGGGGAAGGCTCCGAGGTACGAGACCATCTGGAACACGACCGGCGACACGCCCAGGATGTCGGGGATGGCCAGGAAGCGCGCGACGGTGTCTTCCTTGAGGTAGCGCAGGACGTGGGGCTTCCTGCTGTGCTCCTCGGCCGTCTTGTTGCTTGTTCCGCTGCCGTTGCTGTTGACCGTGTTGTCGGTACTGGTTCCGCTTTTGCCATTTTCGGCGTCATTCTCACTGTCCTTTGGCTGGCTGCTGTCCCGAGTGACGTGTGGACTCTCCACGGTGGCGTCTGCGAGGCTCTTGAAGTTGTCCTTGAGCGAGTAGAGCTCCAGGGAGGTGAAGCACTTTTGCGCGAAGCGGTTTGCCTGTCAATGTTAGAGAGAGCAGTCCCAAACAACGATAATCTCTGTCAAGGGATGTCCTTAGACTCTTACCAGCTCTTTTACGAGCTCCTCGTGCGACCGCTGCAGCGATGGCGGAGTCGACTGGCCTTGGCCCATGGCGGCAGTAGATCGTAGTGGTTCGTACTTTGTAGTAGGAAGTGGTTGCACCAAACGACAAGCTATCGCTCTCTCGTCCGTTTCTTGCTCAAAGACGTCGTCGATGCCTCGTTATCCGTCTCGTTCCGTCGAATTGACTCTGCAAAGAGAGCTCGTTCCAGTTGCAGATGCAAGTGCAGATGCGCTGTAATCACAAACAGTCGCCGTCATCGTGGTGCAGAGGACAGCGAGCCGTGTGTGCGCGCGAGGAAAGCCGCAGTGTATCAATTGTCAATGGATGCGATGCAGTCGTTGTGGGTTTCTGTGTTGCGTATGTCTCGACCGTTTTGGGCATTTTGTGTGTGGAAGCAAATGAGATGTGAGACCAGGCAGCCGGCTTAAAAAGTAAGAGCCCCAAGTCAACAATTCGAGGCAGCATGTCTCGTATAGTTCGGGCACCACATGATTGGGAAGGAACGAAGTACTCGGCCCTTGCAAGGAAGGAATGCACGACTTGGCGGCGAAGAGGCGACCAGCTACGTAAAGCTCATGTGGGGTCCTAACCGGTCCTGGTTGGTGAGGCGGGGAAGGCACAGGCATTACTTGTTTCGTAGTACAAAGAACCATTTGGAGAAAATGAGGGCTGCGACAGTGTCTTCTGTTATATGGACCAACACGGTGTGGCATAATAACACGCCGTGCCGCAATTCCCAACAGATTCCTTACTCTAAGTGTGGCAGCTTATCGTACGGTTTGACAAGACAAACTCAGCATATAGGTTTCGAAGTTGTCGGAAGATGAAGGGAGTCCATGTCTATTTTTGATATATTGAAAAGGAGTTATTGGATTGTAGTTTTCGAACGAAAGGAGCATAAAATTATTTATTTAATTTTAAAATGGACTGGACATAAGATTGTTGCACATGGGGATGAGAGAAAATCTGCACACTATTTTCAGGCAAGTTCCAGACCAAACTTACATTATGTCTCAGTATTTGGTAAACGTGAAAGCCACTTTCTTGATACGTACGAAATACAGTGCACAACATTCCCATAAGAGAACTGGTCAAAAGGACGTTACATCTACATGCCTTTACACAGAGGTATGTGGGAGTCAATTGGACCCTAACCACCACAGTTCACGTTCAACGTAAAGGTTGTATCTGAAAACGGAAACTTGGACTGGTTTTACAGTGTAAGATCGTTAAATGTTGATGTGTTCTTGGCATCGTAGCCTGGACGTATCCTTTGTTGCTTTGGAACTCTTCTTGTCCCCTCTCTACAACTGTCGCTCTGGTCTCTTTAGCCACTCCGTGTCAAAAAAGCTCTCGTACTACCCTTGGCGAGGACGCTGGGCCGTATATCATGATGCCGCTGCCGGCTGCCACCGGCTCCGGTGTATCGCCACGTGGGTCGTCTAAGAACACATCCAGATCACTCTGAATGCCGATGTGCCACTGGGCCTCGCTGCTGTTGTAACCAATATCACGTTCCAGCGCCACATGCTCCGTGTCCCAGACCGTCTCACTATAATCGTCTTGGCTGTTGTCTCCTGTGGCTTCCCAGCCAGCTTCGTTCCACGGTCTGTCCACAGAGACGCTGGACAGTGGCGAAGAACATGGCATTGCATCCACGCCCATGCTCGAGATGTTTGTCCACGCGATCCTAAGCACATGAGTCTGTCGTACGAAATTATTGCCGACACGCTGTTGCTCGAGATCTTGCCCATTTTTATTTCCTCCAGCGTATATGTTGGGTCCTCTTGGCCTTCACTTCGCTGGATGGAGGAAAGCACAGCACACAGACCTTAGACTTCAAGCCTTTTTCCTGTGTAAAAAGCGAGAAATAAAGATCAGATTAGGGACAGTGATAGCATATTGATTCTTTCTACCCCCCCCCCCCTCCCCCCTTCGACGGCATGCGATGCAGTGGTTTTACACCCTCATATGCGTTTTGTGTTTACTTTGGTGCAGTCTGGAAGCTTGAAGGCAGCTCCCAGCTCCAGCCCCACTCTGCGTGCTGCCTGATTGGATGACTCACCCGCACGGCAAAAGGGCCCACTGTATTTTGGGCTGCTCTTCCCATAAATAAAAATTCGCGGTGCCCAAAATTTCGTCCCCTTTTTCTTCTTCTTTTTCTCTTCCTCGGGGAACGCATCGCCCTCGTCAACGTCGCGCCTCCATGCCACAAACGGAAAAAGAGAAGCAGCACAAGCGGTACGAATGCTGTGCGAAACGAGACATGGGGCATCGACGACGACGAAAGACACGATTGAGTGAGACACCAATCCCGACCACGACGATGGCAGCTATACCTTGCCCCCAGCACGGACAAGGAAAACAAGTCAGAAAAAGGATGGGGGCTCCAAAAGGGCTTCTTCCTTCAGCTTCGTTTCGTCTGGGGACCGAGGGCCGTCATTTGTGGTTGGGTGGTGTGTCCATGTCAGTCGTGTCGTGTCGTCGTGTCTCGCCTCTCGCCAGCGCGTCTTTCCCTGCTGCGTGCTTCTCTTTTTCACCAGGAACTCTTATTTCCCTTGCGCATGAGAAAAAGTCGGTGAACAGCTTCATACACGCGGTTTCTTTCTCTCCCCGGGGAGAAGAAACGGCTAGCCTGAAAGGGCCTTGCGCCACTGTGCGTCTGTGATTGGCATCAGAAAAGCAGGGGGCGGTGGGGCAGAGAGGGGTACGGTCGTCTTCCTTTTGGGGGGCGACTGGTCTCTCTTTTTTGTCACATCGCTTTCCTATGGGAGAGCCATCGCGAAGCTTCGTGGTCGCCGGGTGTCTCCTCTTCTTTTGAGGGGGAGGACGATGGGATAACACATTAGTTCGATGCGCGACGTGGGGCCTCGCATTCTTTTGGCCCTCTTCGTTCTTCCTTCGCCTTTTTGGTCTCTTGGCCGTTCTTTCCCCTTTTCCTTTTCCTTGTCACTTTGTTGTGTTCCCTGTCTTTGTCTTGTGCCATATAAAACTCTGCCGTCCTTGAAAGAGGGCGGTAGGTCTGGTACAGGAGGGGACAGACGCGGCGAGGAGACTTGGGAGGAGATTGGGAGGGCAGGGATTCCCCAAGGCATCGAGGATGCGAAGAGTCCGACGAGAGTCAAGGCGTGCATTTACGAGGCCTCCATATTGCAATGCCGCTTATTCTTTCGAGGGCGATGCGTTCCCCCTATTTTTTTATTTCCCCCTTGTGAGTTGATCTTCCCTAGACGACTGGAAAGGACGCCTTTTGCCGGGGATACTGCTAACAGGTGTGTGGCCTCCCGTCTCTCTACGGATGGTCGGTGGACGAGGCGTTGGAGGGAGAAAATGCGGCACAAGAGGCGGAACGAGTGGGTAGTGCTTGTTTAACATGAGGTAGCGTCATTCTTTGAATTGATCATGGCTGTTTTATCTATCATATAGTTGCTTGGGTATCTGTGTACGTGACCGACTCCGCTATGCTTGCGTCGACACGCCCGTCTTTCTGTGCTTCTCTAGCGCCGCCATGTCCTCTGGTTGCTCAAAGGCAGCCGTCATCACTGTCTCGGCCACCTGCAGCAGCCGTGCGTCGTCAAAGAACTGCCCGATCAGCTGGAAGCCCGGGCAGAACGCCTCTGCTTCCGTCGCCGCGCCTGTGTCCGCCGCCGGCATGGGGATGCTGATGGCCGGCAGGCCTGCCAGACTCGCCGGCACGGTAAAGACGTCGTTGATGTACGCATCCACGGCCGACGGTGCTGCTTCCACGTCGGCCACTCGCGGGGCCGGCGTGGGCGCCGTCGGGCACAGCAAGAAATCGACCTGGGCCGGGCCTCGCTTGTCGGCCAGCGGCAGGCCCTCGGGCAAGTCGCTCAAGTCAATGTGCCCGCGTGCGTCGTCCGCGTAGACGCCCTGGTGCTCGCCCACGGGCTCGTGGTCCCGCAGCGGGTTGGGCAGCCGGAAGACGGCGTCAAAGTCGCGCACGATGACGCGGCGGACGCGCTGGGCTTGGACAAAGTAGTTGTCGCGGGCCGAGGAGCTGAGCACGTAGTTGCCCAGCAGGATGCGGCGCTGCACCTCGCGTCCCAGACCCGCGCCACGCACGCGCTCGTACAGAACGGCCTCGTCTTGCTCGCCGTCGGCCTCCCGGGGGGGTGACGTAGTTTCTGGCTTCGCTTCCGGCTTCGTTTCCGGCTCCGCCTCTGCTTCTGCCTCGGAGGCCGTCTCCACCTCCGCACCCAGGTCACCGATTTGGCCATAGCGCACGCCGTCGTAGCGCGCCAGGTTGGACGCCGCCTCGGCGGGTGCGATCACGTAGTAGGCCGACAGCGCGTGGCGCGTGGAGGGCAGGGACACGGCGGCAATGGTGGCGCCGAGACTGCGCAGACGCTCGGCCGCGGCCGCCCATGCGGTGCGGATGCGCGGGTCCAGCTCTTTAATGTTGTACTCGAGCGGAATGCCAAACGTCATGCCGCGGAGGTCGGGTGCGAATGTCTCTCCATTGTAGCCCATCCGCTGCCCTGCGATCCGCAGTCGCGAGGAGAGTGTCAGGGACGTGGGGTCACGGTCCACGTCAGACTCCCGCCAAAGGCCGGTCTTTTGGACCTGCTCCTCGCTGTGCTTGCTCGTTGGGTCCTCGCTCCGCTCGCTGGCCTCGACCTCGACCTCGACCTCGACCTCGACCTCGACCTCGCCCACAATCAGCCGTCGAATGGGCGCCACGGTCGGCGCCAACAGGCCCACCGTATCCAAGCTGTTGGCGTACGGCACGACGCCAAACCGCGACAGCATGCCGTAGCTCGGCTTGAACCCGACGACGCCGCCGTACGCCGCCGGCAGCCGCACAGAACCGCCCGTGTCGGTGCCCAGGGCCACATCGACGTCGCCGAGACGCACCGCCACAGACGAGCCGCCGGAGCTGCCGCCGACGGACACCGCTGCGCCCGCCGAGCCGCTGGACGGGTCGTGCGGCCGCTCGTACGTGCCCCCAAAGTGCGAAAACAGCGAGTGCGACCCCATGCCAAACTCGTCGAGGTTGGTCTTGCCAACGACCCGGGCGCCGCGCCGCCGGAGCTGCGTGACAATGGTGGCCTCAAAGGGCGACTTGTAGTTTTGGAGAATGCGAGAGCCACACGTGGTGGAGGTGCTGCCATCGGGGCTGCGGGTGGCAATGTTGTCCTTGACGGCGAGTGTAAATGTGAATGGCGGGGAGGAGGCGTCGGCGTCGGTGTCCGTGGGTTCTGGAGGGGAAGCGTGGTTAGACACACTGACAGATGCCACTCTGTGAAAACGCGCGACTTACCTCGCGAGATGAACTGGTTCCAGTCATTTGTTCGCGGTCCTGCTACGGTGGTTTTGTCTCTGGCTGACGTCGTTGTCGAGAGTAAACGACGACAGGGCGAATGCCTCCCAGCCGACAGTATTGGTGTTCGTAACCGGCATGGCGCAGATGTATGTGAGAGGCGCAAGGATGAAGAGGATGACGAGGAGAAGGAGGAAGACGCCGTCCTTTTCCGGCAGAATTGCCGGAATGGCGCTGACATGGTCGGTGATCAAGCAGACGTAGACGGCCGACTTGCGGAATTGACCTAGGACCGCTCCTGTGGCCTCTGCCTCTTGAATTGTCGGCTTGGTCGGGTAATGTGCGGTCAAAATCTTTGGAACGGTGTTCGGTTTTCGGTGGGATGACGTTAAAATTCGAAGCTTCCCTTTTGCGTCCGCCGCCCAAGAAAATAAAGTGGGTCAACAGCTTCAACCTGTCTCAAACTCAAACGAAGGAGCAAACAGGCCGGTTTGGAAAGAATTCGATCTGCATTCACCTCAAGAACATAATTTATTATTATATTGTTACTATTCTTTATTATTTATTGCTTTGTATATATATATATTTCGAGATTCCTTAACGTTGTTTCATTCGATTTCCAGCAAATTTCTACATATAGAGCCCAACCTGTCCTTTATATTCGTTAATATTTGAAGCTTGTTGACCAAATTTAAGATCCTGAGAAATAGAGGACAAATAGAGGAAAACCAGTCATCATGAAAATCATTCGCCAGCCTCCTGTCCCGCTTGCACTGCAATTGTAAAGAAAGGAACGCCGCGAAAACAGAAATTCTGAACCGGGAAGACGTGACAATTGCGGATCGCGGTCATAAATCATAAATAGGATATCCGATACCAGAGTTTTGAAATTGGATTGGAATTTTTGGATTTGTGTAAAAGTGTGTATGCTTTCCGTTATATTATCCTGTGTTTTCTACATGACGTGGATTCATTCCCAGACCAAATTCACTTTTGGCGGGTATGTTACATTGATCGTTGGTGACGCCGCCTCTATCAAAAAGACTCGAAAAAATAAGGGAATGGTGAAATGAGTTCGGGGCACGGAGGGGCGGTGTAGTGAAGAGGGTGAAATAAAGGGGGCTGATACATGGTTACAATGGGATACATGAAGGGGTATGGGTTGCAAATGAGTCGAAAAAATGAGATAAAAAAGGGCAAATAGGAAAATACAGGCGGTGTATATGTGACATGAAGTGATGTGAAGGGTTGTGGGAGGGTGAATGTGCAGCGTGGCGCGTAATTAGAATGAGGGAACGAGATAATGAGGCCAAAATGATAAAAAGGAGGTCAACGGGAAAACAAGGACCGACCAAAATGGGGATAGGAATATTTGAGGGGGGTATAACGGGTGCGTGCCGCCGGATATGAGGGAGAGTTCACCACCAACAAACGAAAATGACATTGCCAAGACCGGCCAAGACCCTACTGTCGCGCTTACGCCTGGATGACGTTCGTCTGGCCACCAATCTGGCGCTTGACGAGCTCGCGCGCCCACCGGGCGGTCTCGACCGTGCGCGAGGAGTACTCCCGGTTGGTGCGCGTTTCCTTGATAATGCGCAGCACCCATTCTTGCCGCAGAGCCTCCGTGAGCTGCCCGTTGGGGAACGCCTCAGCAAGGTCACCGATGACACCCATTGCCGAGCGCATGAGCGACTCGCTGCGGTTGCCGTCGTTGGCGAGGACATTCAGGAGCTGGAAGATGGGCTGGACGTACGGCTGCAGAGCCTCGGCTGGTGGGTTGTTAGCGAACTACAATTCAATAACTTCAGGGGGTGGAGATGGGGGAACGTACTCTTCTGGCTGGAGGTCATAGCACCAATAATACCGCCCCAGGCGTCCATAATACCCTCGCGCAGCGAGACGATGTAGTCGAACATCTCGTAGCTTCCGTCGTTGCCAGCAGTGACTGTCGCGGCCTGCTGCAGAACCTGGGCAACAACAGACAGGTACGTCTCAAAGTGGCCGCCAATAGCGCCAGCAATATCGCCGAAGCACTGCAGGATGGCAGGCTTGAACTGGTTCGACAGGGTGGTGCTCTGTACAACATTAGTATTGCGTTGAAAGGAAAGAAAAATGACAAAAGTAAACCAAAGCGAGAGACGACTTACGCTCAGGTTGGTAAGCAGGTAGTTCATAAAGCTGTCGCACCACGGCTGGCTGCGCATTCCCATCGAGCGAGTAATGTCGCTCACAAGGCCGATAGCCATCGAACACAAGCTGGACTCCTCCTGGTTGCCGAGTGCCTTGATCAGGAAGGGCGAGAAGGCGTCCATGTACTTGACAAAGTCCTCCTCGAGGGCGTTGGCCAAGCTGCCGATCGCGGCAAAGACGGCCTCGGGTACCGACGACTTGCCGCCCGAGTTCTGCAGGATCAAGAGCAGCGCAGCCATCATGCGGTCGCCCTGCGGCGCAATCTCCTTGTCGAGACGGTTGACGATAGCCTGCAGGACGGTGCACAGACTTGTCTGCATATCCTCAAGCGTGATTTTGTCCTCGACGCTGACGACCTGGCTTTGGAGCGGGATGGTCTCCTCGAGACGCTTCAGAATGACGTCCGACAGCTGTGCAATGTCCTGCAGGCTGTCCTGGGCGGCATTCGATACAAAGGTGTTGAGCACCTCATAGGCGGCCGTGCGCACAGCGGGCTCGGCACCGGCCTCGGCGGCCGTGACGGACAGCAGCTGGGTCACGCTCTGGGTGAAATGCGGTGTCAGGGGGTTCTGGGCGGCACCGGCGTCGCCAGCGAAGCGCTCTGCTAGGTTCATCAGTGCCCAGCAGCACGACGCCGCCATCTTCGGGTTGCTCAGCAGACCACGGAACAGGGACTCGATCAGGGGGTTGAGGTGTGTTGCGGGGTCGATGGAGTGGGGGCAGTTCTCGGTGATGCGGCCCAGGGTGAAGGCGGTCGAATCGCGGACCTGGATGGACGGGTCGTCGATCATGGAGATCAGGATGCCGAGGGCGGATTGGATGATGGGCTCGAGAACCGCGTCGCCGGGGCCTTCCATGATGGCGCCGAACGCCGACACGGCAGCGTCACGCTGGTGCCAGTCGTCGTGCCGCAGGTTGGACTCGACAAACTGGATGACGTGGGGGATGATGGTGGGGCCGACGGCCTGGGCATAGAGGGTCAGGCACTGGTAGGCAGCGCGCGAAATGTTGTACTCGTCGTCGGCGGCATCCTCATCTTGCTTCGTCAGGAGAATGAGCAGGGCGGGCACAACCTCGCTTGTGGCGACGCGGGCGAAGTTGTAAAAGGGGCGGAGCTGGTCCTGGTCCTCGACGGGGCCGACCTGGGCGTTGTCGTCCTCGATGCCAATCTCCTCCTCGCACACGGTGGACCAGAACTCGACGGCCAGCTTGGCGACATCCTCGTCGTCGGACTTCATGCCCATGATGGTCAGGCCGAAGAGAGCCTTCTCCATGTAGTAGCGCATGTTCTCGTAATAGAGGGCCATGATGCGGTTCAAGCAGCCAAAGGCACCCTGTTGGATCCGGCTGTCGGACGCCTGTGTCGCCTCGCACACGACCTGCATAATGTAGTTGCGCTCGCCCTCGTGCTTGAAGTTGTTACCGACAAACTCGAGCGAGTCGCTGAGGGCGGTGATCGCGGCAAAGCGAACATCGTTGTTGGTCTCCTCCTTGCGCGCGCCCTGGACAACGGCAGTCAGGATGGAGTTGGAGAAGCCGACGAGGCTGGCGCGGAGGTCGGCGTCTTGGCTCTCGCAGATGAAGCCGATGGTGGTGAGAGAGGCCTGCTTCTGGTGCGCCTCGCCCTGGCTGACGTTCTGGACGAGCATGGGCATCAGCTCCGGCCATTGCTCGCGGGGCAGCTCGATGGCACCGATGGCGGCCACGACCTGTGCGGCCGCCTGCCCGGCCTGGCTGTTGGTAGAGGAGAGGGTTTGCAGGGTCAGCTGCTTGATATTTGTCTTTGTGTCCTGGTCGGTCTGCTGAAGCCATTTTGCTTGGAGTTCGGCCTGGCGGGTTGGGTCGCGACCTGTGAAGGCGTTCTTGAGGGCAATACCGGCAGCGGCACGAATGTGTCCTTGGGCGTCTTCCTTGGCGAGCTCCTGGACGAGCGTGGCAAGGTAGAGAGACTAGAGAGAGGGAAGGGGGGGAAGAAGAGGGCCATGTTAGTATGAGAGGCGAGTCACGCACACTTGGGTGGGGAGCAACACAACGTACAAAGTTGGTGGCCGCGGCCTGCTCGAGCTGCTGCTCAGCATGTTGACGCAACGCGTTGTCTAGAGATGTCGGTTAGCAAAGGGTGACCAAACGAATTTGAGCGTTGGACGAAAAATGCGCGCGGCCACGTTCGGCGAGGCGAAGCATCCGCCACCCAAAACCAGCCAAGCACTTCTGCCGCCAGACGGCACGGCGAAGCCTGCGGCGCGTTGCGGCGCGTCACAGTGGTGTTGCTACGCGCATGCTTCACAACGAACAATGCAATATGCCCTCTCCTTTCCCTCCGCCTCCTGCGCGTCAAGGCCGTGCCGTCGTGCCATCGTGTGAAGCTCCGCGCAGAAACAAACAGCCGTCGCCAGGAGAGCGGCAAACATACCGGGTGACAACGAATTGGTCAGGATTGTGTTGATGTCCGAGTTTCCGTCCATTGTGTCGATTCAGAAGGGATGTTTCTGTCGTGTGTCGTGATTCGATGTCCGTCCCTACTCGTGTCGTGGGTAGGAAAGGAAAGGAACGGTCTCGAGACGTGAGAAAAAACTAAAGGAAAAATGGTGGGCGTTGGCGTGGCCTCTGTGGGGGGTGCTAAAAGCAAGTAGTAGGCGTTAGACACGGAGAGCGGGCGATGGCAGCTAAAGAACGCCAATGAGAACAAAAGAAACCGAAATCTGCGTGAAAGAATGAAGCGGCGTGGGTTCTTTGTAAAAAGGAAGGTCGAGATGGATGCCCGAGGTGTCTGGAATGTCGGAAAGGGGACGAGGCTGGATGGAAGGAAAAGTGAGGGAGGAAGGAGGAAAGGGAGAGGAAGGAGAGTGGTAAGGAAGAAGACGATGTGGTGGGCCGCAGGTGGAAGGTGCGGCTAGGCGAGGATGCACTAATTCTTGTCCCCTATTCTGTATTTAACGGTGTTCTTTCTGTAATTACGGTTCATAACAGGCCATTGACCCCCGGACTTGTCTTCTTTGCCAACGCTCGAACGAAGTGGGTAATTTGCAGAAAAAAATAGCAGAGAATAATAACAAAAATAAACAAAAAGGGAGGCGAGCTCGAAAAAGGATGAAATGAGGAAAGAGCCGAAGCTAATTGACAATTACAGAACAGGAAAGAGAGAGGAAGCTCTTGCCCTGCGGACTCTACGTCTTGAAAAAGGAAACAGTTCAAGATGCCAGGCAAGGCAGGAACTACGCACACGACATGATCATAGAGATAGCAGGCCATTGCAGCCTGCTACAAGAGGCGGTCGCGCCTGCCCGCACTGGAGGATGTCAGCGATTCTTCGCACGGTGCGCTTTGTACTGTCCAGAACACCACGGCTGCACGGGAAGCAGCCATGCGCTGAGGGGCAAAAAGAGCCTAGCTCCAGCTTGACCGACAGCGAGCATGGAGACCCATTATGCCCCCGTAATGTATGGGCTAGTAAGGCATACAGCGCGCAAAGACAGTGCACAGGTCGCTGCGGAAAACCGAAGAGGGGGCCCTTGCAGGGACCGCGCGCCTTCCCTCTTGGCTTCTGCTGGGCAACGGGACTCAACGCATAACGAGACGCGTTTTTCCTCCTGAAGCGGGGACTGTAAACAATGGGAGGGGTTCTCCAGCTCAATCTGTGAATTGGTCTCGAAAGAGGCCTCTGGCAATTTGTGCAGTTAGGGCACGTCTGCCAGGGACACAAAGCGAAAGGATTACAGTGTGCAGCACGCACTGCTTCGAAACGAGAGCAAATCAGGTGGCTGCTGTCCGCTACCTTGGCTCCTTGGTTGCTCCTTCCTTGTCGGTTTTGTGGCTCTTTGTTTTGTTTGTTTGTGATGGTGGGGCAGCGCAAAGGGAAGGAAGTCAGGGCGTGAGCCGAGCAAAACGGAGAGGGGTTGTGGGATGACTGGCGGCACTTGGTTAACGGCCCCACACAGTGTTGTAACATATCGCACAGTGAGACCTGCCAGCGAGCTCAGCGAACCAGATTCGTTCCGTTGTTGCTTCGTGCGGGAAGCTGGCGCCTTGCCAGGCGTACCGAACGCACCTTCCCGCACAAGGCCTGGCCACACGAGATACGGACGCTGTGCTACCTTGTCTCCTTGTGTTCGGACAGGCCGCTCTTTCTCTTGCCGTTTTTCCAGTTCCCAAGTGCAGAACTTCCCGGCACAAAACCTCTCGATGTTTTCGTGATAGCCGAGCTTAATTTTCCTATTGATGTGGATGTGTGCCATTTTGATGATGCCTACGGAGTACGTGTTTTGCAGTTCAGTTGCCGCTGGACCCCTATTTTCTGAAAATGCCCATTCTGTCTCAGCCCCAAACGGTCCCCTTTTTTAAGACATGAACACCAACCCCTGAAACAGTCAAGAACAAAAATATAAATATACGTCCCGTGAATGCGATACTACGAAAACACCTCTAGAGGGAAGGAAACCTGGAAAGAACAATGGTGAAGATAGTAGAATGGTTGTTTCCCTCTCCTAAAACATGGACTCGGCCTGGGCCTCCAGACTCTGGATAATCTGGGGCTTGTCGGCCGTGGCGGCGGCACCGTTGCCGTTCGCCAGGTCCAGCTCTTTGCTGAGAGTGCGCTGCGGCACGGGGCGGGCCACCTGCGGCGTGCCGGGCTGGCTAGCCATGAACTGGTTTGATTTGTTAGCGGTCGGTGCATCAGACGAGACAACTGGACGAGAGAGAACAACATACATTTGAAGCGGCGCTCAGGACGGCGTGCAGGGAACTCGTCAGGACATCCTCGTGCAGGCCAACACCCCACACTTTTTGGTTCGTGCCCGTGGTGCACTCGATGTAGGTGGCGGCGCGCACATCGCGGCCGCGGCCGACGGCGTGCTCCTTATAGTCGTGGACCTCCAAGTCGGTGCCGATAATTGGCTTCAGCGCCGCCGCCAGCGACGAGATGGGGCCCGTGCCGCGGCCCGACAGGTGGTGCTCCTCGCCGTTGATCAGCAGGACGCCGTCAAAGACGCGCTTCATGTTCTTGGTGTCCTGGGTGCGTCCGGGCGCGGGGGGCGCGGGGCTCGTGGAGCGGTCCGGCAGGATCTTGTAGTCGACGAGGCCGAAGCGGCGGTTCTCCTTGAGGAAATAGGTCGTCTCAAACAGCTCGGTGATCTCGACGGGCAGCAGCTCGCGGCCGCGGGTCTCGGCCATGCGCTGGACGGTCTGCGAAAAGTCGACCTGCAGGCCGCGCGGCAGGTCGAGGTGCAGGTACTGCTGGATGATCCAGGCGGCGCCGCCTTTGCCGCTCTGCGAGTTGACGCGGATGACGGCCTGGTAGTCGCGGCCAATGTCGTGGGGGTCCAGGGGCAGGTACGGCACCTGCCAGCGGTCGGTGGCGTCCAGGCCGCCCTTCTCGCGCACCTGGAAGCCCTTTTTGATGGCGTCCTGGTGCGAGCCGCTGAAGGCGCAGACGACCAGGGAGCCGCCGTAGGGCGCGCGCGGGTGCACGGGGATCTTGTTGCAGACCTCGACGACGCCAATGACGCGGTTCAGGTCCGAGAAGTCAATGTTGGGCGTGACGCCCTGCGTGTACAGATTCAGAGCCAGGGTCACCAGGTCGACGTTGCCCGTGCGCTCGCCGTTGCCAAACAGACAGCCCTCGACACGGTCGGCGCCGGCCATCTGGGCCAGCTCGGCGGCGGCGACGGCGCAGCCGCGGTCGTTGTGGGGGTGCAGGGAAATGCAAATGGTGTCGCGGTTGGAGATGTGGCGGCTAAAGTACTCGATCTGGTCGGCGTAGACGTTGGGCGTGGCCATCTCCACGGTGGCCGGCAGGTTGAAAATGATGGGCTGCTCGACGGTGGGCTCCCAGGCGGCCTTGACCGCCTCGCAGACCTGCACGGTAAAGTCCAGGCGGGTGTCGGAAAAGGTCTCCGGGCTGAACTCAAAGGCCCACTCGGTGGCGCGCACGGCCGGGTCGGGGCTGTCCTTGGTCAGCGAGCGGACCAGGCGCGCACAGCGGGTGGCCAGCTCCAGGGACTCCTCCTCGGTGAAGTTGAAGACGATGCGTCGGAAGCACTCGCTGGTGGCGAGGTAGATGTGGATGATGGCCTTCTTGGCGCCGTGTACCGACTCGATGGTGCGCTTGATCAGGTCTTCGCGGCAGGGCGACAGGACCTGCAGGTAGACGTCGTCGGGGACGGCGCCGGGGGTCTCGATCAGGCGGCGGGTGAAGTCGAAGTCGGTCTGCGAGGCGGAGGGGAAGGAGACCTCGATCTCCTTGTAGCCCAGGTCGGTCAGCATCTTAAAGTACTGCCACTTCTCGTCGCCGTTCATGGGGTCGACCAGGCTCTGGTTGCCATCGCGCAGGTCCGTCGACAGCCACCGCGGCGCCTTGGTGATGGTCTTGCTGGGCCATTGGCGGTCCGGCAGGTGTACTGGCGGGAACGGCTTGTATTTTGTGGAGGGATCTTTGAGCCTGCGAAGAAAAGAAAAAAGGTTGTCAGTAGGGAATCTCAACGCCGGTGCCGGAGCACCGCAGAGAACCACGAATTGCGAATCGCAATCAAGAATGCGCCGAGGGGTAGAGACAGGGGGTCAGGTCGACACGTACATTGGCATTTTGGCTGAATGTGGACAATGCCAGTAGAAAGAAAGAGACGGGGGATGGAAGCAAAAAAAGAAAGAAAGACAAGATAATGTCAAGAGCCAGACCAAAAAGGGCGGGAAAGGTCGATGTCGAGCAATTGGGCAGGCAATTGGGCGTGGATGACGGGGGGACTGGTTGGTGAGGGGCGAGGAATGACACGGGAAAAAGTTTTGACTGGGGGGAGGCAAAATTGTACAATGGTGAAGCTGGTGAGCAATGACGAGAATGGTCAGCCAAGTCTCCTATTTAAAGATATCCAGAAGCCGGGGAAGACACACGCTTTTTGAATGTGAGAAGGCTGAAGGGTCTCGAATGTCTCGAATTTCCCGAGGCCGAGTCTGAGTCACGATGTTGGGGAAACAGAAAAAAAAAAGAATGGAGCGTGGGAAGCCAAAGCGAGGGTTCGAAAACGAAAAACTCGGGGTAGACTAAGAAAAAATATGACTATAATATATTAGTGACGTTTTCAACGTCCTTATGTCACCGCGAAGGGTGAAAGGCCGAGAATAGCAAAATGCTACTATAGCTGTTGCTGCTGTGTTGCTCTGTCGCTCTTTCCTTCTTTTGTCTTCTATTTACGTTTTCTATGTGGTCTTCACGGTGACTCCTTTCTGTGCCTTCCCGTTTCTCGTCTGTTTTGTCGTCCTGTTTTGAAGTCGGCTGCCACCTGCACCTTCCCGTTTGCTACCGCTGAGCCGACGCAAGGCGGGCAGGAAGAGGTTTGAAAGGACCAGGAAAGAACGATTGACGCCGGTGCCGGTAAAGCAAAGTTCACTAAAAGTGGAAAGGCTGGTGAAGGGGCCTGCTAAGACGGGAAAAAAAAAAAAAAAAGAGAAAGCGAGCAAAAAAACAGTGACAAGAAACGAAGCGAAGAATTGCCAATTGTAAACCGGCCGCGTCAAACGCCATTGCCAGTTGGCTGTTCTGGCAAGCATGCAATGAGGGGCTGCAAGTGTCAGAAGCATCAGACAAGGTAACGGCCAGGCCGACCATCGGGGGCCAGGTGAAAACAGAAGAGAGACATAGCAAGGCACAGAAGACAGAAAAGGTCACTGAGCGTGCTGGGAGTGGATCTGCCGCTCGGGTTTTTGTTGTTGTTAGCGGATTCGCTGGAGGGAAAGGAAGGTCGCACACAAAGTGCTCGTCCGGCGGAGAACACTACGGCTGCTGGACCCGCCCTGGAGTGTCACGTCGTATGGACAGCGCCGGAGAGTCAAGCCGTCCCCGGACACACAACTTGCCCAGCAGGTTTACTATACGAAATACATGACCCGCGATTGACGCAGCGGGTGGGGGTCGCTGCGGCGTGCCTGTGTTCAAAGGAGGGTGAAGGCGACGTTCTCCGCGAAACGCCCGGTTGATGCGAGGCAGAGGACGACCGCCCCATACTCACAATGCAAGGACATCATCGGATGCTCGGTCGTCCTCTCATAGAACGCTTGTCGTTGCAAGGGCGCACTAAGCGAGATGCGTATTTTTGTTCTTTGCTTCGCTTTGACCTGTTTTTTGCTTCGCACGTCACTGCAAAAGAGTGGAGAGAAGCGCAAGCTCGGAACCTGTCATAAGAAGCCAATGGGGTGACTCAGTGCTCAATGAAAACAGTGACTAGCAGGTCCGTTGTTTGGCAATACGCCCAAGTCACAGAAGACACTCTGTATTGTGACAGGACGTCGTGTCCCGGCCGTTGGTTTGACCTGTCTATGACACTTTTGATTTTATTTGTCTACTGTTTCCTTTGTACCTCAGGTGCGCCTGTCCTCCGTACGCAACGAGACGCCAGCTGTCAGGCCATACAGGCAAGACCAACAACGTGCGCGTTTCCTCTTGTACGACGGAGAATTTGTGCTTCACGAGGCACGGAGCATGCTCCATGCCGATATACTGTTGTGTCTCAGTTGGACTGGGACCTGATTTTGACGGCTTGGTATTGAAAGGCTGTTTTTTATTTTTATTTTTTCTTTTTTCTTTCTTTTTCTTTACTTTTCTTTTCTTTTTATTGCTTTCAAGAAATATATACTAAGGGAAAACCCAACATAGCTTTAAAAAATAAATAATAGTTAAATGTATGATTGTTGGTATCTCTCGTAACGTAATAAAAAGTCTCAAATAAAAAAAAAAAACATGTAAGGAGTGAAAGCGAGAAGAAATTCTTCCACGCCGGTGAATACAGAACCCGAAAATTGTACTCCAAAGACACCATACAAGCAAGTAAATGCAAGTGACCTCTCTCACCAAAAAAGACAGTCAGATCATACATTACATCCCCTCCGTCTCTTTATTGTAGACGTTTTCTCATTCTCTGATTTTCATCCTATTGGTCTTTGTCGAGAGGTATCGCCTGGATTCAACGCAGTCCTGGAACGGCACGTCGGGACGGGCATGCGTCAACTCTCCCCTCCATTACAGAGAATAGTTCTCCGTGTGCAGGAAGATCTCCTCGAGCATGTCGTCGCCCCAAATCTCCGCCTGCAAGCGAGCCACCGTATTGGCCACGCCCACACGCATGCTCGCCGGGCCGCACACAAAGACGGCCGTGCGGCGGCCGAGCACGCCGCGTCCGTCGCTGCCGCCCGTGGCCCACTCGCGCAGCATGTACCCCAGATCCGGGCGGCCGTACTCGACGCTCCAGCCGCCGTCGATCTGGTGCGGCACGGGGAAGGCAAAGCGCATGAGCGACTTTTGGAACTCGGTGGGCGTTTCGGGGAAGCCAAAGTCGAAGCCAGAGGGCGGGCCGAATGTGGAGGTAGGACGTGCGCCAGCGGCCGCATCTGGTCGCCGCTGGATGCCACCGACGTCCGTCCGCAGGTGGGCCAGCTCAGGCGGGCGCATACCGGTGTGGTCGCCGTTCGGAGCGGGCTCTGGCAGGCCGTCCCCACCATACTGTTCACCGTCCTGCAACTGGACCTCGCCCGCCTCGGCAGCTTTCCGCATGGCGGACGGCGGCACCAGGTTAAAGTGCGGCGCGTCGGCGCGCGGGTGCGGCGTGAAGTGAAAGTTGCTCTCCTCCTCCTCAGCAGTGTAGGCCGCCGTTGACGACACGAGCGTGCTCAGGCCGCTGATGCTCATGCGGTTCTTTTGTTTTTGTTTTGCGTCTCTCTGATCTCTCTGAGGGACAGATAGGGTGTCTGCTGCCAGCGACTTGCTGTCCTTGTAGTCTCTGACGTCGGTGCTGCCACGGCCCTCGAGCTGCCGCAGCGACTCGTCGGGCGTCATGGACATGTGTTTTGCTGGTGGCGGGTTTGGCGGCGGCGGCGGCACCTGGTAAGGCTGAAGATACTTTTGCTGCGGCAGTGCCGTGATGCGGTCCTCGTCCTCGGCGCGCAGCTCGCGCTCGCGTTCCGGGTCGCCCTGCGCCTCGGCCGCGATGAGAGCCGAGTTGCGCTTGGAGGCGATGCCGGCGACAAAGCCGTCGAGACGATCATGGAACAGATTGCTGAGCGGACGCGGTGCGCGCGTGTTGTGATGCGCGCCCATGCCGTTTCCGTTGCCGTTGCCGTTGCCGTCCTCGCCAGGGTTGCCGAACAGGTGGCCCAGAGCTTGGTTGCGGTGTTCGGCGCGGGTGGCCGAGGTGACAAAGAATTTGCACGTCACAGACTCGGGCGGCGCGGCCTCACGGCAAATGCGCAGCTCTTCGCGGAACCAGTCCATGGCCTCGAGGCGCTTGAGCGCCCAGACGACGACAATCTTCTTGGTGATGGCCTTGCCGTCGCGCATGCGCTTGATGAGGTTGAGCAGCTGGGCCATGAGCGACGTGATACCCGAGCCGCCGGCGATGAGAATGCACGTGTCAAAGGCTGCCAACTCGCGGCGCATGCCGCCGTAAGGCCCGTCGAGGAAGGCACGATAGGTGTGGAAGGGCCCCTTATCCAGGGCCGTCTCGAGCACGCGCCGCGTGAAGCCGCCATAGGGACGGAAGACGAGGACACAATCCCGGTATGCGTCGCCGTAGGCGGAGGGGAAATCTTCGCTGCAAAGTGACGATACGGTGAAGGGGTGGTTGTCGAACAGCGAGATGCCGGGCATGCGCAGGTATACGTACTGGCCGGGCCGCCAGCGCATCTGGGTCGGGATGGTGATCTTGATGGCGTTTTCGGTCATGAGCGTGATGGCGGCCTCGTCGCCGACAAAAAAGGAGATGCGCCAGGGGCGCGACCAGTTGAGGTTGCGCAGGCGGACGACCTGGCAGACGACAAATATGCCCAGCGTGGTGTACAGGTACGCCCACGAGCCCAAGAAGTTCTTGGTGTGCCAGAACAGCAGGCCGACGTACAGCAAGCCCACGGGGATGTGCAGCATGACAAACGCCTCGTAGGCGACGCGGCGAATGATGGGCAGCGACGCGACACAGAGCCAGATGAGCGGTACAAGGCACGCGATGCCGGTGCCGTAGACAATGACAGAGCTGTTGGCGGGGAACAGGGACTGGAAAATGGCCATGCCGCCGCCGTCCCAGACGGGCTGGATGTAAAAGGGGACGGCGTGCACGAGCGACAAGAACAGGCAAAGGTAGCCGGCCCAGCGGTGCAGCACGTTGAGGCGCTCTGGGCCGATGCCGGTAACGAGCGTGAGAATGTTCGCCTTGGTGCTGGTGGCGATGATCCAGGGGGTCATGGCGACGGCGATCATGCCCGAGCGGATGGCCAGCGGCGGCGAGCCGTACTGGATGCTGTCCCAGTAGAGGGGCTGTGGCAGGAAGCAGTACAAGGTGGTGAAAGCGAGCGCAATGAAGCCGCAGGTCAGGACGGCAAGCGAGGAAAAGGTGAAGCGGTGCTTGAAGATGACGAGGTCGGGGATGGGTCGGTAGAAGATCCAGCGGAAGAGGGCGAGGGCATCGTTGACAAAGGTGATGGAGGACATGTGCGCTTTCGGGCGGAAAGCGGTTTCGGCCTTGACCTCGTCGGGGAAGAAATGGCGGCTCGAGTTATGGCCGATCGTGTAGGCCGTCGGCGGTGTCGCATTGCCGTGACCGGCGTTGGCGTTGGCATTGGCAGCGGCAGCAGCAGCAGCTATCGATGCAGCTGTACCGGGTGGCTGGTCCCATTCAGGGTCGGCCAAGTACAGGTGATTGTAGTGCTCCTCAACTTCCTGTTTGTAGATGGCCTGGCGAATCTTGTCCTGCCAGTAGTGCCAGAGCCGGACGACGAGGACGCTCGCGGTCAGGGCGGCGGCGAAGTAGGTAAAAGCCAAGCCATACTTGCCCGACTTGATCCACGGATCGACGGTATCGGCCTCGACAAGGCCTGGCGGGCTCGTCGGCGTCAGCGGGATGTATATTCGTCGTGCCAGAGACGGCGGATCTGGAGTCAGGTGTGCCGCCATTGTGTATGTGCGTGCGTGTGTGTGTGTGTGAGTATGTTTGGGGAGAGGTGTACGAGGCGTGGAAGTTTGAGAGGTGGATTTGGCACGTCAACGCGGTGTTCTGTCGCCGTGCTTGTTGTTGCACAAGAAGTGCAGACTCAATGGTCGAGGGATACCAGATCTCTCGGTGTGCGGCCGTCCTCGAGTGTAATTAGTATATGCGACAAGAGGCAGCGGCGGTGATGACAATGGCGACGGCCATTGATTTGGCATCAACTGGAAGGACGTGATGGTGGAACACGAGCGACGATGACAAGAAAAGGGAAATCAAAAGGAGAAAAAGAAAGGGAAAGATCGACAAGATGAAGGACGACGACGGCGTGAGAAAGAGAGAGGGGGGCAGGAAAAGATAAAAGACGATCCACGACAAATGGACAACCTGGAGAGACGAAAGCCGACAGTAAAGAGATGGAGACGAGTCGAGACGGAAGGGTGGAGTGGGTCGGAGGTATTGTGCAGTCGTCCCGGGCGGGTAGATATATTGCAGACTGGGGGCCCTCGAGGTCGAAGATGTTGCAGAACGCAAGCACGACGTACTTTCAGGAACGCACGGAGATGCAGTACAGATGCATACGCGGGAGATATGCGGGATCAGGGCCCAGTCTCAGTCTCAGACTTAATCCCAGTCTCGGAGTGCCGTGTTCAGCGATGGTGTGCCTCAAAGGCTCCTTGATAATGATCAAGATGCTGAAAGAGGGCTCTGGTTGGTTCAGAGCCTGCGCGATGGTAGCGCTTGGGATGAAGGAGAAGGGGATCAGAAAAGTCACGGTGACGACTGGACGCGATAGACAAGTGCCGAGACAAAGAATGGGTGCCTTTGAGAAGGAGAGTCTGCAGCCGCCGAATGATTAGAAGCGAGAGAGAAAGAGGAAAAGCGTCTGCCCCAAGAGAATGGGAGAGAGAGAGGAAAAAGAGGTAAACGGCGGTAGGGGAGATTGAGAATCTGCATGTATGCAGAATGCATGCAAGGTTCGTGGTGAATGTTGTACAGAAGCAAGTTGATGGTGACGAGAAAACACGTTGTTGACAGCGGCTGCGAGTTGTCGCGGACAGGGGCGTTCAAGAGAAGGTCAGCAAAAATGCGGCCATATTAGATGAAAGGAAGAAGGAGAAGTGAGGATGATGGGTAACAGCTCCACGGAGAGTGAAAGGCGTGGAGGTGCGACAGCAAATGTGAATGCACAAAAGCACGAAAGCACGAAAGCACACTGCAGATGAAAACCCAATGTCTGGCTAAGCGGGCTCAGATGCAGAAGCTCAGCGCCAGACGCAGCATTGATATTGGCTGGAAGGGCTGGGAAAACTGACTGGGATGGTACGGTGGTGAGAGTGGAAGTGTGGGTGGAGGAGGTGATGGATGGGGACAATGGTGATGGGTGATGGGTGTTGGGGACAAGGATGCGAACTGGGGGTGATGAAGCCGGAGGTGAAGAGGGCGGGGCGACAAAAGTGACGAACAAAAAAGGGAAAGAGGTGGTCGGTGCTTCTTTCTGCATGTCACACGGGCGAGAAGAGGGAAGGAGCGTGAGGTACGTCGTAGGTGGCGGAAGGTGCTGTGGGTGCTGCGACGAGATGCAAGTTCTCCAATTCTACAAGCATCTGACAGATGTGGTATTCCATAGGTGTTGCAGCAATTCATGGAACAATGCCGAGTAGTGTACAAGACGATGAGTGCGAATTCCCGGTTTCCTCGGCTTCGGAAGCTCGCCGACCTGCGATCCATTTAGAAAGCTGAATGGCACAGCCCGTCTTTTCATGTAGCAATCTATTTCAGTCGCGACAAGCCAGCACCGCGAGTGAGGACGGAACGAGAGACAAATTTAGAGACAAATTTAGAGACGCACAGAGGGCGCACAGAGGGCGCACAGAGACGCAAAGGCATGCAATACGGGAGGAAAGCGGACGATCAGAGGACAGAGCACACTTTGGTGGGACATGGACGGTTGAGTGAGACTGAAGTCCTCGAGGAAGGTGCCGTCAACGCACAGCCTTCTGCATCGGCCATTGGCGGGCGGGGAGTGGGGGGAGGAACGGGCACTAAGCTGTCAAGCGCCCCCAATGTGACTGGGCCTCCCATCACGGTCCGCTGATTCGCTGGCGACGCTGGAAAAGGGACCACAGAGCGTTGAAATTGTGTGCTGTCCAGTGGTCCGTGGATGATGGTCAACAGGGATGGGGGAGACCGCTGGGCAAGGTGGTGGACAGGGGTTGAGGGCGCGGGCGGCAAACGGGGAACTGTGATTGGCTGGATGAGCAACAAAACAAATACGGACAGTCACGTGAAATTATGCTCCTTGATTGACTTGGGCGAGAGCTGCAATAATTGGCCAATCAGAGTCTCATGTCTCTCCATCACCAACAGACAAAGAACCACATCACCAAACCGGTGCGGCCACAGTATTATCGATGGGTTTGTTGGCCTCGACGGGCCTGGACCTTGAACTTGGCCCGACCTTGGTCCCGACCGTGTTTGCCGTCATCCAATGTACCTTTACCTTGCATACTTTCTCGGTGTCGAGGCCGTAAAGCCCACGGCGCTGCAGCTCCGGCACTGATCGGTCGACTTCGTCAGTCCAGTTACCTTCAGTCATGATATGTCTACGTTTTGGCATACGCCATGGCATGCCCATGGCGGCAGAATGTTATGCTGCCGCAGTCTGGTGGGTGCAGCACTGGTCTGACTTTGCACATGCATGTCAGGAACGAACGCTTTATTGGCGTGCTTGTGAGCCTCCCATTACTCCAGATCATGGCCAGCAGTCTTTGTATTCCTTTTGTACGCGTCCCGCCAACCAGAACTGCGTCAGCGTGCCTTGCCAAGATTGCCTCAAGGCCGTGGAAGTGCTTGGGTCCCGAGTGGAGACGCCGCGGGACTGAAAGTAGAGCTCTCATCGACGACTGATCATTGTAGGCCATGGTGAAGAAGCATGTTTCTGTTGGCGCATTGCCCAGTCTAGCGAGCGAGTGGTCAAGGGCTCTTAATACTTGACTGGTATACCTGTCAAAGGAATCGTGTCGCCGCACAAGAACAAGACTAACCTCATTCGATTTCAACTCCCACCGTTGGAGTATATTGTCGATCCATTTCCATTGCATCGTGTTGCCGCGCCGTATCGTCGTCCTTAGTACCCATGCAGCGCATCGAACCCGGCGGCCACGAGACTCTCGCCTGTTTCGACAGCATCGCCGGCGCCTGTCCAGTAAAACAGCCCACCCAGGCCGGCCCGCCGCACAAACTCGGCCTTGGCGCGCACTGTGGCTGGCACGTCCATGCTCACAAAGGCAGAGCCACTTCCCTTGCCCCGGCGACGCGGCACGACGGCCCATGCGGCTGCTCGCGAAGGATCGACGTGGAGCACGCCCTGCTGTTTCCATTCGGCAGGGACGTCGCGGTAGTCCATCTCAGTCTCTTCTTTTTCGTCGTCATCGTCATCGTCAGTGGCACTCTTTTGAAACGAGTCGCCCTCGTAGCGTGCGCCCAAAAAGACGCGCGCGTACGCAGGGATGCCCAGGAGGATGCGCTGTGGCGGCACGCCGCGGTCCAGCAGGTATTGCACGCCCGATTGTGCTGACGGCAGATGCGGTGGCGCCAACAGCTGTGCGTGATGGCCGGCCGACGTGCTCCAGGGCCCCGCAAAGTCGTAGCACATCAAGTTGATGTGGTCGACGAGGGCCGCCACGCCGCGCACGTCGAGCCGGCCCAGCACGGACGGATCGACGGGCAGCGCCGTGGCCAGCAGGTACTGCGGCGAAGGAAGCACGGCGCGACAGGCCTGCAGGAGAAGCACATAGTCCCGGCCCTCCGCGGGGGTCGCCGGGTGCTCCCAGTCGATGTCGACGCCGTCAAACGAGTAGCGATGCACCCACGCCCGTGCGGCCTGCGCAAAGGCCGTGCGCCCTGTCGCGGTGGATGCGGTCTGGGCAAACGCGCCACTGCCCGCGCCGCCGCCAATCGACAGAACCGTGCGCACGTGCGGGTTGTCGCGCTTCACGCGGGCGAGTGCGTCGAGGCAGCCGTGCTCGGCATCGACATCAATCTGCGCATCGGCGTACTCGTCGAGGAACCCGAGAGAACCATCCGGTTGGGGGCTGCAGGCAGTTAGCAAGGATTTCGTCTGGAAAACCCCCTGTTCCTCAACATACATTGCAAACGCGTAAAAGATGGTCGAGATTTTGTCGAGTCGCAGACTGGACGGCGGAATGTCCTTGTACACGCGCCACGACGGGTAGTAGACGGCGTTCACGAGAGGAGGCGGACGATCCATGGTGGTGCGTAGTAAAGAGACAGTCGTGGGGACAGATGGAAAGGATGAGAGAAGAACAGATTGTGAAACGGTATGCCGTGCCGTGTAAGGTGTAAGGTGGTGCTTCTGGAGGCCTGCCACACGTGACTGCTGACTTGCACGGAAGTTGCCGATTTCATGGCGACGACATCGATCGTTGTCAAGTAGGAGGAATGTGAGGAACGAATAATTGGAAGCAAAGGTGTTGGATAGTTCTGCCATAGCCACGATGCTGTGCTTTGCAGTTGATTTATACTATATTTGCCTCAGCCACAGCATAGGGTAGGGCAAAGCGACCCTGCATTCCACGACACATTTTGGAGAGCGGGAAATCAAATCTTTTGTAAACGAACTCGGAAACACTAAGGGAAGATATAAAAAGAATATAAAACCGACCTGTCAGACATCGCTGTGGCAAGATCTGAATTCGAATGGATCTGGGGACGGATGGATCCCCTGAGCGGCCCGTCGGCTCATGTGCGTGCAAGCGGTCAGGTGCTATCATCGGGATGGGGTAAACACCACGTGGGATAGTCCTGTGCTTTGAAGGACATGGGAGCGAGAGACCTCTCTGAATGAAGATCGGTGTGTGTCAAAGTCGCCACAGGCAAGACACGAGACGATCCAGGGCAACTTTTGCTATGGAGCACGCCAGACACCTCGCATCCGATCCAGTGACGCCTTGCCTCAACCGTCTTGGGCTCTGCATCTTTGGTACCACGCAGCCGTTTGGCACGCGGGTCCCACTGCCGCCCCAAGCCATGCCCTCCTCACCAGCCCTATACCATGCCATATCATGCTATGCCATGCCGTATAGGCTATGGGGCGTGGGATGTCCGCCACTCACCAGCAGCCACGTTGGTTCTCGCCCTAGTACATACTCCGAACCTACCGCACTCGGTGGTGGTTGCCTCAAGCAGCCAAGAGGCCAAGCCTGGGAGGGGATCTGTCGGGGGGTGGCAGAAGGTAGTGGAGGGTCGCAGCGTCTATCAGATCGGGGCGATGCGTCTGGGGCAAAACGTGCGGTCCCTATGGCAGAGCCGGCTACGGGTGTTAATCGGGTTGTGTAGGTGGCGTGTATGTGGACAGTCGAGTAGTGAGTTGTGCATGCCAAAGGGAAGTACATCCGAGTACTTCAGGCGACTTTGATGCTTTGCGTATGGTCGAGTCCGAGGCAATATATAGGTGTGGGACACGCCGGGAAGGATCACAACAGTCACAAAACATGTTTGGCAGCCATCTGGAATGCCGGTAGACGACCGCATACGCAAAAGGCAAGGTGTGGAAGGCTGTACGAATCAAGATAGGTTTCCGTATACAACCGATGTCATTGTCTAACAGGGCCTGGGGGACAACGAGGGCGACACTATCACCTATTACTTTAGACGTAACATCTGCACTGACGATCTTCGAGACACAACCAAGAGGCTATCGTGGGATATGTCCATGGCGTTATGCAAGTATTGAATGGTATACCGAAGATGACTACATCAGTATGTGTTGATACGTGTAGGGAAGAATGGTAAATACGAGTGAGAGCGACGTTTAAGGATACGGCCAAGACGCACATCTCGGCACACCGAGGTGCAGATATCTATGGTAACGCCAATATAAAATCTGAACAGACTCGGGTAGGCACATAATTTTACCGCTTGATACAATTCCCAGGCCCTGGCATTCTAGGATGACAGTTTATGACGACGTTGAGAGACGCCTCAAAAAGTACCTTTCCGAGTTGGGAAAACGCATACCCACCACCTGTCCCGGTATGAGCCGTCCATACGATGTATGACTGTCCTCGGAGCAGACGGGCGGCCCATGGTATGGAGATTTTTGTCTTTTGACATTTTGTCTTTTGTCTTCTGGCCAGGTGACAGATGACAAATTACAGGTCGACGCCCAGGAACTTTTCGTAGTGGGAAAGGCGAGGAAGGCATAGAAGCAATGGAAAGAAAAAAAACGGGAACGAAACAAACAAGCCACTGTATTCGGAAGGTCCCACTATAAACGTGCTGTAACGGCAAAGGGCGAGAGGCGAAACATGGCGAACCAAGACGAAATGTGGTAATTCCCTGTCGCGCCTCGTGTCTGCCAAATACGCTGGAAATGCAGGCGGCGGAGATCGGGGCTTTGGGGCAGCTATCGCCGACAATCCCGGACGGAGGCGAGTTGTGACGGGCTCATGCCGTCAACGCCTCAGTGCCCAACTGCCCAAATGCCCAAAACGTTGTCACAAATAAAGAGACTGTTCAAAACATGTAGCTTTCTACGAAATGAAACGGTGTAGCAAAAGTCGAGCGCAAAGTCGCGAGACGAAATGGCCAGCACGCCCCTTCAGTGTAACGTTGTCGAGCTTAGTTCCGCTTACACTTTAGCCAGTTCCACTTGCAGAGTGCCGACCGTCGGCGGCTGTTGGTGCAGGATGGGCGATCGTTTTACGTCGTGAAGTCTGTGAGCATCACGTTGTCCTCGTGGGCAGTAATTACAGAGTGCGCTAGACGATGCTTGGCCAGGCCTTCTATTCGTGTGGATGTTTGGTTTGGATATGCAGGGGTACGGTAGGCGGGTGTGTTTGCTTGATTCTTGTTTTTGTGATTTTCTGATGCATTTTGAAAAAAAAAAAGAAAAAAAGAAAGCTTTTCATTTGTTTTGCACTCTACTTGGCGTCGTACTTTGTTGATCTTGGCAAAAGCTTTTTGCAAGCCTGGCAGGGTCCGGTGCCGAAATTTAGGAGGATGTAAGAGAAGCTCGTCCCCGCTCCGGTTTTCTGCCGTTTCTGAAAAGTTGATGATCAATCAAGAATTCGACGGAGAGACGGGATGACACTAACACTGTGACACAAGGGTGCAAAGATTCAAGAACGCAGAAATATAGGGCAGTCGTCGTGTTGGTGGATGTAAGACGGTCCATCCAGAGAAAAAAGAACATCCCCCGTCGGAGTAGTCAGAAAATTAGAAAATCAGAAGCAGTGGGCCTGATTGTAAAACGACCAACGACAAATAGTCATGCTTGCTCATCACAACATCGCTTCTGTAGTCCTGCCGTATGACTCTTACAGTCGTCGCGTCTCCTCTTTTCACAACGGGACGGCAATACAAAGAAATGTTACTTTGTCTTGGCATGTTGTGACATCGATGGCGTCGCCACATGGTCTATCGTCGACGCACATGCCCTCCTATCCCGGCCTTCTTTCCTCCGTTAGCCGCAGCCGATTCCGGCGGATGTAGAGGCCGGTGTGGACTCGATGAGGAGAAGAGGGGACAGGCTCGGCAGGGGTGCCTTTAAGAAAATTCGTCTCGTCCCGATTTGTCGTCTTGTCGTCTTGTCGTCAGGGTCCTGTGGTCGTTTGGTCGTTTGGTCCCACCGTGGCCGGGAGTTGCTACCCAGACTATTCGCCAGGACGACCAGGGTGGTCACGGTCGTAGTCCGGAAGCAGGACAAGGAAAGAGGGGCCCGATTCTCCGCAGGTCAGAAGAAGCTCCCAAAACTGCGCTGTACGTTGTGTGCCATATCCGAGAGAGAATGAAAACTACCAACAAATAACAATGATCTACAACCACAGAGGAAACCAAAGCAACAAGCGGCACCAACACGAACAAGACGAAAATGCAACGGCGTGAAAAGCCAGGCAATGGTGGCCGGCAAGCTCGTCAGACCGTAAGCCTGTGTAAGTCGTATGGGCGGTCCCATGTGGTCGTGGTGCTGGCGCAAGAAAGCGGAGACCGGCACACACATGGGAAGAAAATCAGACGATTTCACGCTACAAGCTCACACCTCCATGTCCAGACTGGGCTGAAGGCTGCTTTAATTTTATTTGGTGGGTATCCAGCGCGGCCTTGCGTGGGCCGACGACACGAACTACAAAACGAAAAAGACGAGCTGCTCGAAGACTGGACTTGAGCTACGGTGCCAGCGGACGAATACGGGAGGATGGGGGATGCTGGTGGACATGGTGGACATGGCGGACACGGTGGACATAAAGTATTGAAACCAAACAAAGAGGGGACGAAAACCGACAAGTAAAAATGGCACATGCAGCCTCCCATTTCCTGCACTCACCGCTCCCTTCTCGTTGCCGGATACTCTATTCCCTAGATGTGCATTTCAAGTTTGTGATATCGGATGCAGACTCCCTTGTTGCTTTATTCCTCGTTGTGGATGGCCGGCTGGATGATCTTCGGACTGACTGCAGGGCTATGCGTCTGCCTCTTGCAGGTTTTGCGACGTTTGTCCGTAAATACGGGCTCTCTGGTATCCCACAGACGATCTTATGTACGGAGTACTAAACGTCTCCAGGTCGTCGAGCATCATGTGTCTGTCACGTCAATCTTACTCGCTCCCTCTTTCCTTGAAAGTCTCCGATTGCTGTCGGCGTTCCCTCCGTTGTTATTCTGAATGACGTCATGTCAGGCATGGGAGGTTAGTAAAGACTAATATTTTCTCGTCGACATGGGGCAGTGAAGAAGAAAACGCTCCGTAAAATCACTCTTTAGTCAAACAGTCACAAAACAAAGTATGGACATGTAAAATGCATGATTCTAAGAACATGCAAAGGAGTGCAAAGAAAGTGTAATGAAACATTCTTTTCGAGAGCGCGCTAGTGGAGCACAATTAGCTTCCCGCCTCCACCACACCCGGAAGCGTCGGGACAAGGAGCGATCAAGCGACCAGGCGATCCAGCGCCGGCGGCAGGCGGTAGGCGGTAGACGACAAAACAAATGGCTGGAGCGATGGAGGGACCGACCAGGCGAGTGAATATACGGTTAAATACTATGGGCCAACGGTAACAAAATGTCCCTTTCTTGTGTGGTTCTTGCTTCGTATATACGGCATACGTAGTTGCCTTTTGTATGTCGTTCTGATCTCAGAATGAAGTTGACACATTACTTTGTAGAACCTGGACTTGTCAGATCCATCGGCCAAGTGGGCAGAAACACGCAAAAAGACAAAACACCAACACACGAAGAGGGGAAACTGCATATCGCACACTGCGGGTGAGATTCAGGGAGCGGAGTATTGGACGGACAGCTGACGGAATGCCATCCCGATGATAGCCACTGGATACAAAGGCGCAACTACATCTGGGTACATGTGTCTGTGCAAAAGGTACATACTCCTCGAGCGGCACCCTGGCCTTGGGACTGTCCTCGTCGAACGAGCGGACGAACATTCCTGCCCGCAGTTCTTCCGACATGCTTCCGTACTTTGGGCAATTCACACAAATTACAGCTACCCCAAAACCAGGAAAAAACAAAAACTTTATTTTCCCATGCATGGCATGTCCCCACTCCGCCCGTCCATCATGTCGAGCCTTTCCTACTGTCGTCTCAGATCTTGCTGGCACCCTAGGGGGTGGCGACAACGGCACTGAACGAGCCCTGCTAGCCTTCTGCCATCCCAATTCACGGTTCTTTGACGCCTCCCCGGCCGTGCCTCCCGCGTGTCTTTCATTAACGTCGTGGTTTGTAATTCGATCGCCCGTCTCGCTCCTGTACGCCATGGCTCTCGCGCAGTCGCGCCCTCGGCTCGCAGCCTTTGTCTTGCCTCTCTCCGTTTCTCATCCTTCATGTCCATCCGATGCACATGGCCCCGTCCACTCTTCCGCATGACTGATGCATACGTTTGTGATCTGTCAGCAGGCGTCGATATGTCAGAAGAGAAGGGTTACCTTTACGGCCCCTCCTTACTCTTGCTCGTACTCGTTTTGTGTCTCATTTCTCTCGTCATTTTACCACCTTGGTCCATTTTTATATGATGGTACATTATTTTATGTATTATTAATTTTACGTCAGTGAACTCCGATATGCTCGGCCTTGTGTTGGAAAGGACTTTGCCGTGCCATGAAGCTCTATGGATAGCCACTGCTGTCGACAGTTGGGATTTCTTCACAATCCATGTTCGTCATACCTTTCTCGTCTCCGGCTGTTACTGAACTTCCGCTCTTCGGTACGTTTCCACGAGCATTGACGGTCTCCAGCGTCCAAAGACCCTAGAACGTTCCCCTGTTCCCTCGACCCTCGGGCTTAAACGGCCTAAACGGGCCTAAACAGGCCTAAAAGAGTAGGATCCACTTTTGACTAACACGGATTTTGGGGGCGCTCGGGGGCGTGTGCACGTTCGCAGCCCTGCCGCCGTTCTTGGGCCCGTCCGATTTCGTTGTTCGACTGTTGTATTTGGTAACCCGCAGTCTCGCGTTGATCATTGCGCGCTTTCTGTACGTTGTATTGCCGTAACATTTTCTGTGCACCTGGTAGCTTTTCTTTTCGGCGGTTTTTATTGCATGTGGCTCGTCCTCCTTCCCTCTTAGGCTCATAGTTTCCCCTCCCGGAAGTAGCCAAGGCAGGGGACGGTCGAGGCACGAGGAAGGCGGTAGGAGGTCAGGAGAAGAAGCTCCTTCCGTGTTTTCCTTTAAATGGCCACCGACCTCTGCTCCTTCTGTCTTTGTTCGAACTCGGCCTCCTTCTTCACTTCCTCCGTTTCAAGAAGCAAGCTTTCCTTGTTACAAGAGCATCCCATCAAACAAAGCTGTAAACTTGAAGACACCACACTGCATATCACAACATACTACTGCGTCACCCCAGCACCATCACCAGCACACACACACGAGGCAAGCAACAATGAGTACCGCCGTCATGTCCCAGGCCCCAGGCGCCGCGCCCGCCCGGGCTGAGGGCCTTGTCGCCAACGATCGCTCGAGTACGTCAAGTGCCCAGAGCACCGAGACGCTCTACGATGCCGCCGAGGCCAAGCACCTCGAGCCGGCCGCGCACAAGCTCCGCAAGCAGTTCTTCCACCTGCATCATCATCATGCCCACAGTAGTAACGGCAAAGAGAGCATTGCCGTCGAGGAGCGGTCTGCCTCCACCAAGCGGTCCACCACCTTCATCCGCTCCTTCAAGTACCTCAACAACCTGACGCCCAAGCAGGTCGACGACTTTATGGCCTCGTACGTCATTTACAACCTCGACTGGGAGGACGAGCCGGCCATGGTGGCGGCGCTCGGCACGGACTACAAGCAAAAGGTCGGCGACTCGCTGCGGGCCTACTACGGCGTCATGAACCACCTCTGCGCGCTGGGGTCCGTCGAAAAGATGTACATCCCGCCGCTGATGGACAGGCACGTGTCGGTGCTCGACAACCAGCTGCTGTACGAGGAGTCGATTGCGCGCGACCTGGGCCTCAAGCCGGGCGACCGCGTGCTCGACATTGGCTGCGGCCGCGGCCGCGTCGCCGCGCACATGGCCAAGTACTCGGGCGCGCACGTCACGGGCCTCAACATCGACCCGAACCAGCTGGCCCAGGCGCGGGCGTTCAATGCCGAGCAGGGGCTGAGCAACACCTTTGTGGAGCGCGACCAGAACGACCTGCCGCTGCCCTTTGCGGACGCGTCCTTTCACGCCTTCTACCAGATCCAGGCCTTCAGCCTGTGCAAGGACCTGCCGGCCATGTTCCGCGAAATCTACCGCGTGCTCAAGCCCGGTGCGCGCTTCTCGATGCTCGACTGGGTCAGCCTGCCGGCCTACGACCCGGCCAACGAGCAGCATGCCGAGCTCATGCGCCGCGTCAAGCCGCTGATTGGTGCTGTCGGCACGCCCACGCCGGCCGGTCTCGAGCAGGCCTTGGCGGACGCCGGGTTCACGGTGACGCGGTCGGACAATGCGAGCGTCGGCGGTCTGCAGGCGCCGTTGATCGACAAGGTCGACGTGTACTTCCGCGCCGTGCGGCAGATGATCCTGGGCCTCGTGCGCGTGCACGTGCTGCCCAAGCACTTCAAGACGCTCATCAACCGGCTGTGTCTCGACGGCCAGGCGTTTGTCAAGATGGACGAGATGCGCCTCATCTCGACGAGTTATCGCATCATTGCGCAGAAGCCGCTGGACACGCCGTCGGAGGCATAGATCAATGCATCTCTCTACGGGTTGATTGTAGGAACGGCGTTTTGGTGTGTTTCTTCTTTTTGTTATTCGGCGGCTGTTTCTCTTCATTCACATCTCTCGGCATCATCGCATTTGCCTCTGAATTCTGTCCTTCCTTTTGCTTCCGATCGGCATTCTCTTCTTGCACTCTTTACTCTTCATTTGCCATTGAACTTGCGCGATAGACTTTAGAAAGATATCCACGGCGTCTGGGAGCTTTGGACTATCCTTATCTTAATTCACAGGCGGGTTGCCTACAATAAAAAAATATGAATGCAAAACATCGTATCGTGGATATTGGCTGCAATGCGAATCATTGCAGTGACATCACAGCGACAGCCCTAGGCCTTGTGGTCGCCCCTCGGGCTAACGTCCCCCGTAGGACCTTACAGCGCCGAAACCTCATAGGCGGCTCGCGACTTCGCAATGTTTTTCCGCCTCCCGGACATGCATTAATCATCAAGTCGAGCCTGCCATCCACACCTGCCTTCAACAGGCGCTATATACCAATAGCACCTGCCCTGGAGCGCTTTTGGCTAACAGTTACGACAGCACTAGCAGTAGCAGTTACGAGTGGCAGTCGCGACTGGCACCTCTTCAACGACTCTCATCTTCCAAGTCAATCCAACATGCTTCAGGCGCGACCAAAGCACACAGGACAGCCCACGATTCAACCCGTTCTATTCGTGCCGCTCGGCGTTGCCTCGTAGGACACCGGTCGGCAGATAGGGTTGCATGTTGCATGCCCGAGGCAAAGGACGGAGAGACCACAGACAAATAGAGCAGTTCGGCACCTCCTCTACTTGACTTGCTTGACTTTCTTCAACGTGTCGAATCAACTCGACGAAACACGACGACGGGAACGGAGGCAACGACAGAGACAGTGCACATGAGACTGCCCACGGGCAAGCCCATTGAGAGACCTGGCACCAGGACGGCCATACACGGTACGGCACAGCGCTACCGTCGACACATCACATCGGCGTAACCACCAGCATCGTATTCCCAAGCATGGGCCGTGCGCCGACCAGTGGCAACTGCCACACGTGCCGCAAGCGGCGTGTCAAGTGCGACCAAGCACGACCGGCATGCGAGCGCTGTGTGCGCGGTGGCTTCGCATGCCAAGGCTACGAGACGGTGCTGCGGATGCAGAATCACGCGGTAGTGGCCGGTGTGGCGCCCGGGTCGGTGCGGCTGGCCAAGGTGCAGGACATGACGTCGTTTCCCCGGAAGGAAAAGGAGGTGGCGGCCACACCGACGTCCCGGAGGGCAAGCAAACGAGCCGCCGCCACGGCGGCCCAGCCGACGACCGCTGCCAAACAGACACCGTCGCCATCACCTCCGTCGATGCCCCAGGAACTCAGCCTCGTCGGTTTTGTCGACGACATGGCCTTTTCCTACTTCTTCCAGGCCTACGGCTGGATCAATATGCACAGCATTCTGCTCCAAGACAGCGCCATGCGCGGCCACCTGCTGGCGTCGGACAGCACCGTCCACAGTCCAGATGCGTCGTCATCCTCATCCTCGTCGTCATTTTCATCCCCATCCTCTTCCTCGCTTTCTTCTGCGCACTTGGCTGGCGGCATGGCCCAAGACAGCCTGCGCGCCCTCTGCTACGGCCTGCTCGGCCGCGACAAGCACGTCCCCGCCCTGCAAGACGCCGCTCGCCGCGCCTATGGCAAAGCCATTGCCGACCTCCGTGCCGCCATCGCCACACCCACCGCCGAAGCCGCCGACCTTGCCTTGCTCGTCAAGCCCATTTCGCTGCTCGGCGCCTACTCTGTCGCCATCGAGCGCGACCGCCGCTTCACGCACCATGCCGGCCTCGCCCGCATTCTCGAGATCTGCGGCCCGGCGGCCTTCCAGTCGCCCACGCTGCTGCCCGTGTTTGAGTCGGCGCGCATGACGCTGGTGGCTGATGCCGTCGTGCGTCGGCAAGAGTCGACGTTTTTAGACAGCGACGAGTGGAAGACGGTGCCGTGGGCACGCAACCCGGCGGCCAAGTCGCCCACCAACCGGCTGCTGGACGTCTTGTCGGCCGTTCCCGCGCTCATCCACGGCGCCTGGGCCGTTTTTAACGACCGCGTAGCATGGCTGGCGGCGGGGGGTCCAAACGAGCTGCCGCGGATCGAGAGCCCAGACGCCGTGCCGTCGTTGTTGGCACGCGTGCGCCAACTACGAAGCAAGGCCGCCGCCTGGCATCGGTGGTGGACCGAAGACGCCTCGCCCGCAGAGCGCCTGGCCCGCCGTCGTGTTTTGGCCTGGGCCTACGCCCACACCGGCGACGACTCCTACCGCCCGGGCATCATGGGCGTCCAGGGTCCGGACCATTTCGAGACATCTCTCTACAGTGTTCTCCAGGGATGGCACGACGACACCGCCTTCTCCACCGTCTCCCTTCGCGATCTGGAGGACGATCCCCGTCTTCCCACGCACATGCAGGACGCCGCCCTCTACACCACGGCCCTCGTCTGGGCCGACCGGCTCGACCGCTACCTGGGCCACGCCGCCCGCTCGCCTACCTGCACCGACTTCTTCAGCAAACCCTTCCGCTCGCCCTGCCCCTGCCGCAGCACCATGACGCCCACCGTGTGCCAGACCGTCCCGCCGCGCATCGACACGGCCCGCGCCAGCCAGGCCGTCGCCTGGAATGCGGCCACCTGTACCATGGCCGGCGGGCCTGTGCGGTGCGTCAATGCCGTTCGGCCGGAGATGGAGTGGCCGGCGACGGCCTCGCCAACCGCCTCGCCGTTGGGGTCGGGTTGGGGTCGTCAGAGTCGCACGCCACGCTCGACCCCATTACAACCGTCGACCCGGCCGAGCTTACCAAAGGCGCCTCCCTGGCATCCGACCATGGCGCGTTGGCTGGCGACCTCCTCCTGCCCGGCGACATTCGCTTCGTCGCCCACATGCGGATCTTGTCGTATCTCTGCGCCCGCCTACCCACCACCCGCGGTCCAATGCTTGCCACCTTGGCGGCCGTCGGCCTCGCGCACTGCTCCCACGACGTCCGGCCGTCTGAGGGTCATGCGGACATTGCTGCCGTGGCCGTGGCGCGCGTCTTTGAAGGCACTGGCGTCGATGGAGCGGCGGACATTCTGCTGCGACAGTACACCCCAGCGACGGCTGCAGTGGCAGGTTGAAAAACTAAACGAAAAAGTATATTTGGATAAATCACGATGCGGATATTGCACTACATACAATTTGATATCACGATTCAAGGACAAAGGTCTGTTTCGTGACGCGTTGTTCAAATCTCCACCAGTTCGCCCATCGATCCACTATCCACTACCAAACGCACTCCGCTGCCCCTACGTGTACTGCCACGCGCCGATCGTGCCCGAGGGCTGCGGGTTGACCTTGAGGTTCACGGGCGTGCAGCCGGCCAGCGTCGCCTTGTTGTCGGCATTGACGGCGAAGAGGGTGTAGCCCGTTCCGCCGCCACCGGCCGCCGTCGGCGGGCAGGCCGCCCAGCCGTAGCCGCCCGAGTTGAGGTTCACAAACCCGCCGCCGCTGTACGGCACCAGGCCGCCCGTGATCGACCCGCCGGGCATCTGCGCCGAGTGCGCCTGCGTGTAGCCGACGGCGCCCGACGGGTCCAGGTACACGGCCTGGCCGCCGGGCACGACGACGTCCATGGCGGGCGTGGAGCTGCCGGCCGCCGTGTCGGGCGCCGACACGACGGTCGTGTTGCCGACGGGGCACTCGACGCCCGTGGTGGGGCAGTACGAGCAGGTCTCGATGCCGAGGTTCCAGCGCAGGTTGCAGGCGTCGACGGCGAGCCCGTCGACGGCCGCGGCCGTCGGGTTCGAGACGGTCAGCGTGAAGGGCGTGCCGGCGGCGAGCGGCGTGAGCTGGGCCAGGGCGTTGTTGGTGCACGTGTACATGAACTTGCTGTAGCAGGCGCCGCTGCAGTACGAGAGGCCCTCGCCCGCGACAATGGGGCACAAAAAGTTGCCGTCGTCGCAGACGTACTGGGACGGGTCGTACTGGGCATCGCCGCAGGTCTGCAGGTCCGCACGCGCAGAGCCGGCGGCGGCGAGCAGGCCAGCCAGAGCGAGGCCAAGAGTCTTGGTCATGATGGAGGATGGAAGATGGAGGGAGGTGCTTGTGATGTGGTGGTTGTATGTTGATGTGTGGAGTGATGTGCTCTTGTGTTGCGTTGAGTGCAAAGTGTTGATGAGGACGAGGATGCGGATGGGAATGGGAATGGGAATGGACATGGGGAAAAGAGGCGGAAGCGTCTTTTTATGTCTGTTTCTCGAAGCAAGTCATCTCAGCCAACGTCTGTGTACGCATGGGCAAGCAACTTTGCCGTCGCCCGCGAAAACCGGCCGCGACGATATCGTTAACCGAGCTGGTCAATCGAGGGACGGAAACTGTGGAGAGACTAGGCTGAATACGAGCTCGGGGAGCATCCTCTCCGACGATGCTGATGAAAACAGAAACGAGAGTAAGCCAGGAAAACAAGAAACAAAACACAGGCTACGGAAAAGCAGACGACGGCCTCAGATGACAGCTCAGCTCCAGGGAGCACAACCTTGCACAAAACCTCGTGTTCGTTGCAGGGTTCGCAAGTCGCCGCTGGTGTGGTGATCGACACTTTTGTGTGGTACGCGAGTGTGTGCACCAGTAAACTGGTCTTTTCCACCCCAACGCCATATTTGGGATACGACCTGAACGACGGACGGTAGCGGCTAAGCACAACTCCATAACGAGCGACGTCAGGCATCGATCACGCCCCTTATCTTCTGGTCGGACGGAGAGCAACGTCGCATTTTTACCCCGGACACCGGTGGCTGTCGTGTCGTGTTTCTTGTTTCTTGTTTCTTGTTTCTTGTCTGCTTGCTCGTCGTGTTCTTCCCGTCCGCCTGGTTGGGCTGTGCTCTGCCGTGTTCGTACCTGGTAGTAACATCCCGTGTCTCTTGCGGCTCTATGTCTCTGCTCGGCACTCTCTGTGTATCTGACTCTCTCTCTCATTCTGCGACTTCTGTGTCTGAGGTTCTTCAGAACAGTCTAAGCAAGCTTAAATCGTCATAAGACGAGACTCGAGGTGCACAGAGTGCCGAGAGTACAGCACGTAGTAATACAGAGATAGAGTCTGTTTCACTTCTCATATGTTGCAAAAATAGAACACCAGCTAAATGCAAAAGGCCGTTCTGCCTTGTCCCAAGATGCCATCAACCTTTGCCGAGACACCAGTGCTAGTGGCGGCACTCGTTGTTAGTGCTGCAGACGGAAAGGGATGCCGCGCCTCCTTTTAAAGTCTTCTTTTACATTGCAGGGCTGACGGAACAGAACAGTGGCTCGAATGGATAGCCCTTGTGTGCCTCGTTCCTTTGTTTCCTTTCATTTCTGCTCGTTTGCTTTCTTTCCCGCCGTTGCCGTATTCTCAAAGTTTGTTTTGTTTGTCTTCCTCATCGTTTTTCTCGTTCTTTTCCTTGTTTCTTTTCGCCCTCGTTTTCGTTTTCGTGCAACACCAAGAGAAGCGGAGAGACCCTCCACCTGGCCAAAAAAACGCGTACACACAAACGCTTTTTGGTTGAGATGTCCGCACTGTTACAGTGCTAAATTAAAGATTTCTTGCACTGAAAGACTGCTAGAACATTTTGTGTGTACGCCTTTTTTTGTCCAGGGGGAGAGACCGTCGAGAGTCATGCACAGCCTCTTGTGTCCATGAGAACCCGTAAGGTACACGAATCAGAGGCAAATAATGAACCAAGTTGACCAGGTTTAAGTCAAGTCAAAGGTCAACTTCGCTTACCGCCCACCTCTCCACAAGACAAAGGTCGCCACTTCCCCGCCTAGCATTGAAAAGACGCACCAGTCCCAAGGCAAAACATGGCCCTCCGCGGTCCGCTGGCACACCTGCTCCATACCTTTCTTTCAGGCGATTCAGGGTACTTTGAAGTGTGCCTGGGTGTACTAGAGAATAAAATTGTCGTCACGACTGCTTTCTGCATGTCCAGCATCTTTTACATTTTCTTTACAGTTCCCATGTATTGTATGTGAACAGAATGGCTGTTGATTTTCTTTGACAGCGGGGCATTCAAGGCCTTCAAGTTGGGACGTAAAGCACATTTGCATTTACTGATGAGTTGTCTGACTCGTGTAGTTGGTCACTCTGAGTGGGTGACGTCGCCATGGGTTGGGGGAACACGAAAAGTGAGAGCATCACACACCAAACGAAAACAGTAAAAAGATAAAAATAAGAAAAAAAGTGGAAAACGGGGGGGCAACAAAACGAGATCGTACTTTTGTACGCGGGAACGATCGACACTATTACGGCAGAGCGCTCCCCACAGTACGGGACGCGACCCCAACACACGGCAGGTGATGGTAGACTCGACTCGCTCGCTTGGCTCAGACTGCGAAACAAGCTGACAAGATACAAGATGCCCCGCCGCTTCCCCAGTCGAATACGAGATATGATGCAAGGCGACCAACCTTGTGCAGTCGGGACAGCAAACCGTGTCGTGTCTGACGACCGAACATAAGCAGAGAGCTCCCCGCGGTGACGCAGGCCAAGACTTTAGGACACAGCAGCCAAAAATTAAAATAAAATAAAATAAAATGAAACGACAACCGCTCGGAGCAGCTGGACCAAGTCGTCCTCCGTCGTCCTCGTCGCCCTCCTCGGCAACGCCAGCTGTGCACGGCAGATCATTTACTGTTTGGGAGTCGATGAACAGCACCGCTGTACCAACGTGCGTCGTATAAGAGGACTTCATACAGATGGAAAGCGGTGTGCGCACGGGAGCAGACGCAAAATACGAGGCGGAATTCAACAGTGCCCAATTGCGGCAAACAAATGGCGGCACACATACAACGCCTGACAAGGCTCAGAGCGCGCGATAAATTCCGCCTTATTCACGAGGTCAGTTGCCTGTGGATATTAATAGCTCTGTGCGAAGGAGCTACTGAGCGCTCTACAAGTCTACACGTCTACGGTCTACGAGTCATGTAGTCTTGTAGTCATGCAGTCAAGTAGGCAAGAGACCAATGCATCTTTGGTTCGCAAGACGAGTAACTTTTATTTGAAAATGGGCGCACATGTGGTAATGTAATGGGGCTATGGAAAAAGGAGAAAATGTATGTCTGAACGTCAATGGTAAGTCATAAGACTACGACGACGCGAGGAAGGTGCAAAGTCGACAGACAAGGGGACACGGATCGATGGGAGAGTGTCGGACTGGTTCGTCGAGGGAGAATACAAGAATCGTGAAAGGGAGACGTGGATTCGAGCATGGTTCATGTGCAGTGGCAGTCGTTATGCAGCGGTGTGAGGGAGGGGGTCGAGTGACAAACCGCAGCCGTCTACTCCGGTTTCCGCCCGTAGCAGTAGTAGGCCGGCCAGTATGCGTGAATGTTGGGGTTGCGGAGGTCGTTGCGGGCCTGCGCACAGAGCACCATTGTCTCCTCCTTGGTCATGCCGGCACCGCGGGTCAGCAGCGCCAAAAACAGGCCCTCCAGCCCGGGCTCGACGTTAGCCAGCGTCCAATAGCCAATGGTCTTCATCTTGCGGTCGCGGGGCCACGGGTTGGTGGGCCATTTGTACTTGGCAAACACAATGTCGACGAAGCCGGCCTCCTCCATCATCCTGGCGTACTGCGGCGACACGTCAATGGGCCGGCCGAGATTCGCCGAGGCCTGGGCGGCCAGCTTGGTCAGCTGCAGCAGGGCGCTGTCCTCGGTCAGCGTGCCGTCGTCGCACTCGGGCGGGAAGGTGCCGTCGTGCATCTCGAGGTAGCCGCCGGGCTCGAGGTTGTCGAAGCACTTCTGGACCATGGCCTGGGCGTCGGAGAAGCAGCCGAGCAGGGCGCGCCACCAGATAAAGTCAAAGGGCTTGGTCCACGTCCACTCCTTCTCGATGTCGTCGACCTCGAACGAGCAGTTGGGCGGGACGCTGACAAGGACACGGTCAGTCAGCCATCCAAAAATTGAACTGAACACATACGGCTGTGGTCACTTACAACTCGGGCTGTATGGGGCTCAGGTCGACACCAATGACCTCGGCGTCCGGGTGTTCATCGGCGTACTCCATGGCCCAGATGCCCGTGCCCGTGCCCAGGTCAAGCACTCGCTTGGCACCGGACTCCTTAGGGCAGCGGCAGAGCGCGCCATCAAACGTCAGACGGTGTGCATCTGTGGAAAGGCGTGGTCAGCGTTCTGGATAGTTGGAAGACTGGCAGCCACAAATTACTTACGGTGCTGAATGTCAAGACGGCTGTTCTCGGGCTGTTCAAAGTTCAAAGTCAGCATGAATATGCCACTGCCGTGATGCTCGAAGCGAGACAATCGTTTGACGACATCAAGACATCAATGTCGGGCATCCAAGCACTTACATCGTCGTTCGGGCACCAGTATTCTGTGCAATCAAAGTTAGCACGATGCCATGGGACTAGGAATTGTGTACGCTGTCTGGCAATTCTGGCAATACAAAGCGCACAAACTTACTGCCTGCACTCAAGGAGTGATATGTCCGGCCGTTCTCGTGGCGAAACTCGCGGATGCTGTCCGTCAATGACGTCAGGGACGAGTAGGAGAGCGAGCCGACGGCCGAGTCGACATCGCTGAAGCCGGCCGCGTCATCGGTGCCGGTGCCTTCGGTGTCGGTGGTCTGTTCGCCGACGGGGGCAGCCGGCTCGATTGGAGCCGAGACGGAGGCGTCGACAATTGTAGACGACGCAGCAGGAGCTGAGTGCGCTGCGGGAGCAGCGGGAGCAGCGGCGGCACTCGACGACTCGGCGGGGACGGTAGCTGCCGTCGAAGACTCGGCCACGGCGGGTGTGTTTGTTGCTGCGGGTGCGGCAATGGAGGCATCTTTAGCAGCGCCAGCGGACCCGGTCGCAGCAGGCACGGCCGTGGTCTCGGCTGCCTTTGCGGCTTCTTGCGGTGCGGCCTCTTGCGGTGCGGCCTCTTGCGGTGCGGTTCCCTTGGCAGGCGCGGCGGCGGAGGCTGCGGATGTGGTGGCAGCAACATCCTGGATATCGAGTTAGCGTTGTCTAGATGATCGCCAACCTCTCGCGAGGTCAGCCACGACGACGACGCCCAGAACAACATATACTCACCGACAATGCAAGGCGCTCTTCTTCTCCGGTTCCAGCCATGGTGTCGGTTGTTAAGGAACGAGAGTAAGAGAAAAAAAAAGACGTGGGTTGTGGGAAAGTCAAGTCAAATAAAAAAGGTCGCCGCGCCGCGCAATGTGATCTTGGAGGCTGGTGGTCTGTTTAGAGCGTCAGTGACGAACGAGGTAAGCTCCCGTTGGTGTCGAAATAGTCAAGGTAGGGGTAAAGAAACGACCACGACAAACACAAGGACGAGGGGTAGAGACGGGGGGAAATGAATGGAGAAAACGGAAAAGAAGGAAAAGAAGGAAACGAAAAGAGCATGGACTCAGAACAATGAGCAATCGAGGAGAGGTCGTTGTTCATATTTGTGGGAAGCGAAATCCGCCGTCTACGCCCTGGCCGAGAGCTCGACTGCGTCACCACCTTTGCTTCGTACTCTCTCTTCCTCCCCCGATACATACCCGCCCCCACCAGTCGCTGTCGTTTCTAAGCGACACGGCGATTTTGACGTCGAGCTAGAGGGGAACAAGCACACAGAAGAAGAAAAACAAGGGCCAGCGTGCGGGGACTCGAATGGCCTGGCCCACTGCGTGGCGCGAAACATGAACGTTATGCACCAGCGTCAACGTCCCACCTTTCCTCTTTCCCTTGTTGTCTTGTCGTTTCTGAGCGTGACATCTACTCAAACGGATCCCGGAGCCCCTCCACTCTCCAAGACGTGCAGATGCTATCCTCGTCGATCAATGTCCCACCTGTCACACAGGGCGAGTTCTTGTCTTTATAAAACGCGCTTGTGTTTTTCTGTGCCGTTGTACGCCGTAAGTCGTATTTGCAACGACTCCTCGGCGGCTTGCATGGTCTTGTGTTTCCCGTTCTTTTTTTTCTTTCTTTTATTTTGCTGTCCCTGCTCCTGTTTCCGCGTCACAATGCAAGTAGTGATATGAGATGGAATTCTGTCTCGAGTACGACATACTGAGAATTGGGTTGGCCCTGCCGTAGATTTTCGGGACATCCCGTCCAGCTGGGTGTCAAATAAGATGCCAGGTACGTGAGACCCGACAGACGGGGACGTGATAATGGAATCTAGAGTAATTCTACTCTATACAGTCTCCTCCTTGGGTGGTAATTGGGAAACACCTGTTCGACGTGTTCGACGTGTTCGACTTGTTCGCGGTGGTCCAGATGGTCAAGGCGGTTGTGGTCGATAGGGCACGGCTTGGATGTTCGTTGGGGGCGGTTTGGAAATCGGAGAGGAAAGGGGGGTTGTCAAGATTGGTTCTGCTTGGACGATCGGGTTCGCATGCCGTCGTCGGGCAGCCGTCCGGTCAGTGCAGGTCACGTCTTCTATCGTATTTTATTAGATTGTGTTATGAATGTGACAAAAAGTAGGTTTTGTCAGAGTAGCTGGTTGCAGTAAACGCTGCGTAAATGCTGCCTTAGGTCTGCAGAGTGCGAGAGCAGCGACAACAACGCAGTTCGGATTCCGTGCAGCAAGAAGCATACAGACAAGAGCAACAAAGATACTGACCGTTCCGGTCCAGTCGTGTATTTTGTCGGGATGCGTTGCTCTTCCAGTCATTTCTTGACCACGCTCAACTGGTCGCAGCACTGGACGGATGCGGTAGACGGTTTTGTGCTAAAGCATTGAAATGGTCGCTAGCTTACAGCCTGGCCTAGCCCAAAATGCAGCCGCTGATCGACATGCCTGGTGGGGAGTAGGGGGCGAGGATCATTGGCGACGACAGTATGTCAAGGTGATACGTTATACCTCTCGAGAAGGAAAAGGAGAAACGAGATAAACAGAATATGAGCAAAAAAAAAAATCTTTTTGGGCTACAGGAAGCTACAGGAATTGTAAAGAACGCAGGAGCGATGGAGCAGGGACGGGGCCAGAACAAAATAGGGCAAACCAGTCGATACCAACAGTTTGTAGTACATATTGAATGAAACATGGAAAGAGCAACCGACGCAGCCAAGCAATAGGTGGAAGCCACGACCAACAGACAACTGCAACCACTCTTGGAGGGGAAACAGCGCCGCAAGCTACAAAGAGAAAGGAAGGGACGAGGGGAGGTCGGTAAGTGGAGGGGCACGGAGAGCAGCAATGGCCGTTTTGGGTGTGCACTTCGTAATGCTAAGAGGGAAAGAGCGACGCAAAAAGTGACAGGTAATAAATCCAGTCAAGGAGGCATTTGACAGCAACACATAACTCGATAGGGCAAAGGAGGAAACAGTATGTCGTAGTGGGACAATAGAGCAATGAATGTGGTGGCGATGAAGCAGTACCAGCCGTGAAGAAGGAGTGTGCTGCATTGGGGCTCTTGGCGAGATGTGTCGTATTCACAGATAGTTGGTGATGGTGATGATGTCCAAGGATTGAGGAGGCCGGGTATAATACGCGGCTAGTTGTCGTTCAGATGTAGTACAGACGGGATGAAACGAGGCTTGCAACGAGAGAAGGGGAGGTACCTCTCTCGGGATGGGAGAGGCGGACAGAAAGTAAAAGAAAAAGTAAGGAAAAAAAGAAAAATAGCAAAAAACAGACGCTCAGGAAGTGTGGTCCGGACCGCGGCCGCTACTCTAGTTTGTTGTTTTACAGCAGCTGCATGCCAATAGCGAGCGTCAATAGCGTGAGTGCGTGCAGTTTAGCGGATGGCCGTCGACTGCTGCATGAGACAGTGCGTGGGCCGATCAGAGCGCCCGTCTTTTCCTTTTGCTGCGGCGTCGACTGCGAATTACTATACGGACAGAGCAGTTGGCATAAATCGTACAGCTTATATTTTCTCTTTTGTGCGCGGCTGAACTCTTGCCACTTTCGGCCATGGAGCTGCATACGGAGCCTGGAACCGCTTCTGCCTCGTCGGCTGCAGTCGACAGTCGACAGCCATCTCGCCTCCCTTGGTCGTGCATCGAGCCAAAGCAGGCTAGCGATTGGGTCACATTGGGCTGCCGGTTTCTCTTTTTCTCTTTTTCTCTTGGTCCCTCTTGGTCCCCATCGCAAGGCCACGCGCGCGCTCAAGTGTGTCTTTCTTAGAAGGGAATATGCACATGGGGTCACGATCCGACGCGGCGCTGCACCTGAACTGACCTGTCGTATAGTACGCTGCCTGTCAGCTTGATCTCCCATGATGTGAGATGTGTTTTGTCATGGCTCTCGCTTCGTATAGACAAATGTCAGAAACAAGACGGCCCGTCCTTTCTTGTCCTCTTGCCTTGTTGCCCGCCACATTTTTTTTTCTTTTTGGTCTCTGAGTTTTTCCTGGTTATACCTCGCTTCCGGTCGGGCCAAGACACTGATCATAAGCGAGAATGTGCGGTGAGGAAACGAGCGTGGAAGGGTATGTGACAAAAAGTAGGAAACGCAGGGGTCATCAAAAAAAAAAAAAAAAAAAAAAAAAAAAAAAAAAAAAAAAGAAGATGCCCAGGTACTCGTTGGCTGCCATCGACATGGGACGTTGGCCCCTGGCTCTGCCGGCTTTTCTTGGTCTACCAAATGCTTTTTTGTCGTTGGTCTTAGTAGTAAGGCTCGCAGACAAGATCGAAGATGGAATGTCCTGTCACGGTGCTAGCAGGCTTCTGTCTTTCCTTCGTTTCATTTCAGGGACCCTCCCCGCACCTCAACCTCCATCCGTTTCTTCCCCATTCCGGCGGTCAGCAAGATGGGGAGCGGATGCGCAGATGGAAAACATGCTGGTGGGGTTGCAGCAATGCGACGCAATGGCGTGGTCGATGGGCGCATGGTCGGGGGATGAGGTGGCGGTAGTGAAACAAAAAGAATGGCAGGAAGGCGAGAGAACAGCTGCATGTGCAGCATGCAGACTGCAGCCTGCCACTTATATGTCAAAAAAAGCGGAATGCATCCCAACAAGGAAACAAAAGGAAAACACCCACATCCAGCACCATCCATGCAGGGCATATCCGACACGAATCGTTGTGACGAGGAGTTCACGTTGCTTCTGTATGCTTCTCTTCTGTTTTACAGATTGTACGGTACGTGACCACATTGTGAGTATCCAATATGTACATGTATTATCATAAACTATGGGTTGTACATCATCATCCCAGGGCCACAACCGAGGCTGAGCCACGTACTGTAACGTCACGCAACAATGTATTGCTCTAAAAAGCACTTTTCGGGTATCTGTGTCGAGTCCTAGGGAGAGCATCCGCGGACCATCCTGCACACTGGATCGCCCCCACCGTTCACTTCCCCTTCTCGAGGTCGCGCGTGCGCTCAAGGCTGGCTCGCCATCCGCGGCCGGCGCTGCTCCCTGCACTGTATTTGCGCTCGTGAAGACCGTCACCGCCGCCGCCACTACCGCCAGACATGGCCGCCACCGAGCCGGGTCCACCACCGCCACGTGGACCCAGTCCGCCTCCACTGCCGCCGCCCGTACCGGCCGCGACGGCCCACGCGGGTGGATGCAGCAGCTGGTGCTGGTGCGGGTGCGGATGGAGGGCGTTGAGCTGGCGCTGGTGCGACGAGAGGCGGCGCAGGTCGTGCAGCTGCTGCTGGCCGTCGTCAGTGGACCCGTAGCGGCCATGGCTGGGAGTGTGACTGGGGTTGTGACTGGGGTTGAGGCTGTGGGCGCCGGACATGCCATCACGGTCGTCGTCTGCCAAAGGACCGCCACTGCGAATCGCGGGCCGGCCGCCGCTGGCACCGCCGCCAATGCTCCAGCTGCGGCTCTTCCGCCCAGCACCTGGCGCTCCACCATGGCCAAAGAGGCCGCCGCCGCCGCCGCCGCCGCCGTCCCGCGAGTGGTTGGCCCCGCGGCTGCCCATCAGCAGCGACCGCTTCACCTTCTCAATGGTGGCCAGGCTCTCCACGTCACTGTCGGCTTTGCCTTTGCCAGCGAGAGACACCAGGTCGGCGCTGGCGTGGCCGTCGGCGCCAAGGCCGCCCGGCCGCTTGTTGTGTGGCGCCTTGAGGTGCCCGCGGGTGCGCTGCACGTGGAGGGCAGCCATGACGTTGTGGACGGCATCGTAAATGTCGCTCACGGTAAAGGCCATGATGACGAGCGGGATCGAGATGCCGAGGCCGATGCCAAAGAGGTACTTGGACACGTAGCTGAGCGACAGCTCCGTCGACCAGTCGGTAATTTGCATGGAAAAAAAGGACGAAATAAAGGACATGGGCAGGAAGATGATGGTGACAATGGTAAAGGCCATAATGGTCTGGCCCTGGCGTGCAGCAATCATGGCATGGTCGCGCCCGAAGCGGGCCTCGAGGGCGTTGGAGTGCTTTTGCTTGAGGTCCAGCAGGTTGGTCAGGCTCAGATAGATGCTCTCGGCCTGCCGGTCCATGCGGTCAATGTCCTTTTGGTGGATCTCGAGCAGGCGGCGCTGGTCGCGCGAGCGCTTGCGGATCTCGTTGACGATGCTATCGACGGTAACGGGCGCAGCGTAACCGGCCGCGGTAGGAACGCCGCCGCTTGTGCCTGGACCTGACGCGTAATTGTTGCTATTGGCACGTCGGCCGGTGGCGGTCCCTTCGGGCCGCAGCTCTTCGGTCAGGTGGTTCTCAAACTCGTCGAGGGTCGCCTTTTGCGAGGCCAGCACGACGGCCAAGATGTTGAGCTCGTCGCGGATGTCCTTGATCTCGGCCAGCAGCGACGTCTCGGTGCCAATGTCCAGCAGCGCGTCGGGGAACACGGGCACCGTGGCGTGCAGGCGGCCGTCACCGCTCGCGTCGGTAGGCACAAGCGACGGCTGCGACGGCGAGGACTGCAGGGACGAGGCCAGCCCGCCGACGTGGCGGCGCGAGGGCCGGCGGTGCAGCTCGAGCCACTCGGCCGACATCTCCGAGGCCTTGTTGAAGCGGCTGAACAGCTCGCTCTCCGTGTTGGTGACCAGCCCGACCGAGCTCTCAAACATGTCCAGAAACTGGTAGTCCTGGTCGGCGAGGCGGTAGCGGTCAAACATGCCGGAGCAGCGGTTGGTGATGAGCATGGCCAGATCGTAGACCGACTGGATGGGCGGCCGCGTCTTGGCGTTGGTCTCCTCGATGATGCCGTCGACCACATTGAGCGGGTCGCGCGCCGGCTGGTCCCAGCGCTGCGGGAAGCACGTAATCACGAGGTCCTTGCCCAGCACCCACAGCCACAGCTGGTCGACCATAAACACCTTCTTCTCAATGCTGTGCCGCTTGCAGTAGCGGTAGACGACCTGGTCCGTGTCGCGGATGGACGTGTCGATGCCGTGGTAGAAGAACTGGTCGAGCGTGCGCCGCGGGTGGAGCGGCGGCGTGTTGCAGAGATAGCCCTTGGTCAGCATAATGTCGCGCGGCGAGCCCACGGGCGGGTCCCAGCCGTCGCGCACGAGGTTGATGGCGTGCGTCATGCGCTGCCGCCGCTCGTCCGTCTCGTAGTGCAGGAACGGCATGAACAGCACGACCTTGCCGTTGAGCGCCGGCAGCTTGGAGGCATCCCATGCGGCGGGCGCCAGGCCCGCCGACCGTGCGGCCGCGGCCGCTTTCATGGCCTTCGTGCCGGGAGGATTGCCGGGCGGCCCGCTGGCGCGCTTGGCCCGCCGTGGGTGGCGCTCAGCAATCAGCTCGCCTTTGCTCTTCTTCTTGTCGGACCGCGGCGTCCCCGAACTACCTTCCCCAGCATCGGCCGTGCCGGACTTTTTGGGCGTGGGCGTTGTCGTGCCGTCGGTGCTGGTCATCGTCGTTGTCGTCGTCGAGGACACCTTGGAGAGGTTTGTGCCGGCCGACAGGTTTGTCGACGCAACGCTCGCATCCGTGGGCTCTTCGGAGAGTGGCGGGAAGGGCTGCTTCGCGTCTTTTTCGTTGGCTGGGGCCGGGCCATGGCTATGGCCATGCAGCGAGGGGATGCGGTGGCAGAAGGTGCGCATAAAGTGCGCATGGGCCAGCGGGCCGCGGTGCTCCTGGTCAAAGCACTTCTCGAGCGCCTTGAAGGGCTCAATGTCGCGGTGGCCGCCCTCGATGAACCACTTGGACAGCAGCGTCTCGACCCAGGCAATGTTGTTGGCCGGCAGGTGGATCCAGCGGAAGTCGGGCTGGTACTTGACGTTCTTGATTTGCGTGTCAACCTTGGGCTTGCCGTTCTCCTCGTCCCAGCCGTACAGCACGTCAAACACCGACCGCTTGAACACCTGGTGCTGTTTGCCGTCGCGGAAACTGCCAAAGTCGACCACCGTGGCCTTGAACTCCTGGCACGCCGCGCGCGCCGTCGGCGACAGACGCTGCGCCGCGTGCACCGGCGACAGCAGCTGTACAATGTCGCGGTGGAACCGCTCAGCGGCACACAGCATTGGCGTGCGGTCGAAGCTGTCCTTGACGTCGAGCTTCGTCTCGTCGCGCGCCAGCAGCAGCTTGACGACCGCCTCGAACCCGTTGAAGGCCGCCCAGTGCAGCGGGGTCATGCCGTTGGACAGCTCGGCGTTGACATTGGCGTCCTCGGCCAGAAGCAGCGCCACGACGCCCGCGTGGCCATTTTGCACCGCGTTGTGCAGCGGCGTCCATCCGCCATCGCTCGCGGCGTTGGGGTCGGCCTTGTGCTTCAGCAGCAGCCGCACCATGGCCTCGTGGTTGGCCTCGGCCGCCAGGTGCAGCGCCGATCGTCCGCGGTTATTGGACGCCGACACGTCCGCAGCCACCGCGCCGCCCAGGGATCCGTTCAGCAGCGCCTCGACCAGCTGCAGGTTGCCGTTTGTGGCCGCCCACAGCAGCGGCGTGCGCCCAATGTTGTCGCGCACCTCAACGTTGGCGCCGCCGCGGTCAATGAGCAGCCGCAGCGTGTCCATTGTCCACTTGACTTTTTCTTTTTCGGACGCCAGGTACAGCAGCGGCGTGCGGCCCTCCTTGTCGCGGATGCGCACGTCGGCGCCGTGGTCCAGCAGCAAACCCACGACTTTGTTGTGGCCCCGAAAACACGCCGGAAACAGCGCCGTCTGCCCCAGCCGCGACCGCACCACGACATTCGGGTTGGCGCGGTGCTGCAGCAGTTCTTGCACCACGGCAAAGTGGCCTGCTTCCGCTGCTTTGAACAACGCCGGCATCTCGCTCTCGCGCCGCGGCTCGACGTCCGCGCCCTTTTCCAGCAGCAGCCGCGTCACGGTCAGGTTGCCGCGCGCGGCCACTTTTTGTAGCGACTGCCGCAACGCATCTTGGTCGTGACGCGTGCTCCAGACACTCTCTTCGGCCAGAATCTCGCGCACGCGGGTCTCGTTGGCCTGTGCAGACGCCGCGATCAGCTGCAGGTGCCGCGGATCGGGCGTGCTACTCGCGACGCTGGCCATTGTGTGAGAAGGGAAGAAAGACGAGGAGGTGTCGTAGAAAGGGGATAGTATCGCATCCAGTCGCAGAGGATTCGAGGAGAGACTTCACGGCCGCAGCCCGCAGCCACTGAGAAAGTGCGCTTGCCCGCTCGGCTCACATAGACCGATCCATTCGCGTGGCTGTGGGAGTGCGTGGTCGTGTAATGTAAACTATATGGAAGTCGATGGAGTCGATGGACTTGATGTAGTTTGATGTAGTAGAATAGGGTCGAGAAAGGGGCGATTCGCTTGTTGGACTGCAAATGTCGTGATAATTAAAAAAAAGAAAGAGCCGAACGCTCGCACAGAAAACGGCAAGAAGGGCAACAGCATAGACAAGCTTTCTTGTCGCACGGCCACCAATGGAGAAGGAGGGAACAGCCGACTGGTGGTGTCTCGGTGGCGCGCAAAGGCAGAATCAACAATCTCACTAAGAATAAAAAAAGATGCAGGAGCCCCACAGCTGTGCACCTGCCATTTTGCCATATCCTCGAGAACGCCATTGCTTGCCCCTGCTATTCTCTTTTTGGAGTGCCGGATCCCTGTTCAAAGTTTTCCATCTTCCCCTTCATCTGCCCAGTTGTCGATCGACAGGGCCCTGTTTGCTCTGGGTTTCGTTTCGCCAAGGCACGATGTACTGAACGATTTGTTGATTAGCGCATCTGGCATGCGGCTTGTGCCAGAAAGTTAAAAAGGACAATGGCGGAGCCACGGGACAGAACTCGAAAAAGGATTAAAACGGGAGTTACAGAGAATATGTGATGTGACAATGTACGAAGTATTACCGCTGACTGGACTAGCCTGATATGGCAATTAAACAAGCTTTGCACTGAAAATGCCGTGCTTTGTAGAACATAAGATTACTTGACACGCGAACGCAAACAAGAAGAATCAAAGGCCTAGAACGGCCTGTGGCCTGCGTCTCCAGTTCAAGACAACCTCCGGGTCTCTGTGCCAGACGAAACCACGACGCAAACAACAACCATCAGAACCGGGTTTGCGTTCGAGGGTTGTCTTTGTCCGAGGTAATACATGTACGACGTGTGAACATTCAATGTAGAACTCGGCACAGGTGGACCCGTGCTCAATCGAGTCTGTGCCACGGCAGATCTCAAACAATGTTTTGTAATTATCATAATTTTGTGTTCTGTCTGGACGGTGCGGAGTACACCGTAATTTCTCCTTTCCTATGCCATGCTCAGTACAGCCAAACGATGACGTCGGCTATTAAAGTAACAGGACTTCGTTTAACACTACAATTCCCACGTTCTCATGTCCATAGCTGATGTTGTGCCCATAGACTCGTCTTCCTAACAATGCCTAAAGCGAACTTAGAAACAAGACCGTGTCTCAGCTGATACCTCGCTCCGTCCCGTCCCGCCGCATTCCATTCTTTGTTCTTTAGCACTGCTTCCTTCCCCTCCATAACGTACGTCGATGCTGTTTCGTCCACCGTCCATCAGATTGCCGAACGGAATGGTCTTGTCGGAAATGGCATCAGTCTAGGCCGTGATCGTCCGCACAACGGACGACTTGGTGAGGAGTGGCTCGGTCTCGGATGCAGAGGAGGCAGCAGGCAGCAGCCCAGTAACTGGCTCGGCCACCGTCTCAATCACCGGCTCAATCCCTTGCTCGATCACTGGCTCGGTCGCCGGCTCGGTTGCTGGCTCGGTCGTCGCCACGGCCGTCGTCGTTTCGACAATGGTGGCCTCCTGCACGGTTGCCGAATCAAAGCAGCAGCAGCAGCAGCGACAAATGGCTCTGCAGGCCAGGAACGGCAGGCAACAAAGGATGCCCAAGCCACAGTGGTGATTGCAATTGCAGCAGCCGCAGCAGCCGTCGCTGTCACAGCAATTGTCGCAGCAGCTGCAACACTTGCAGCACTTCGTTTGACAAAGATGATGATGCGGGTACCAGGAGCGGCGGGCCAGCTCTTGTTCTTCAGGATGCCCTCCGGAGGTGAGGATTGCCTCGTGTGTTTCAGCTACTTCCACGGCCTGCTGAGCATCGGCAGGCGGCTCTTGGGCGGACTGACCGGGGGCCAGCGAGTCGGTGAATTGCTCAGCCTCCGAAGAAGCAGTCTTTGCGGCGTCGCCTTTGCCGAACGGGAAGAGGGTTCTGAAGCAGCCCATGGTGGTCGAGAACAGGAAGGATGTGTCGCGTATGGGATTGTATGAAGGCAGATTCAAAACTGTATCCTGTTGACAGCTGGACAAATGGACAAGAGTTTGTTTGCGAGAGGAGAGTCCATGTACATATTGCTCGATATTGAGGTCGACATGTTGACAGATGAAAAGGAGGTGAAGACCGAGGCAAGTGCAAGTCAAAACAACGACTAGTGCGGAAGGAGCGTTGTAAACAAGAGATACAACATCAAAGAGCAGCACCTTCCTTGACCAAACATCACTAGCAAGGAAGGTGCGGTGCAAAGGCAGGTGCAGGCGGCAACAATAACGAAGAAGGAGCTTTGGCAAGTGGTCAATGAATTTTTTAAGGTATTGTCGTAGCCGTAAAAATACGGATTTTGTGGAAATGTATCTGTAATATTTTTTTTTTTTAAAAAAAAATAACAATTTAAATTCGTCGAAATTCATGTTTTTGTCCATAAAATGAGCGAAGCCATGAAATAAACATTTTCAATAGGCAATCAACGCCTATGCAGTGGGAGTGGATTGCAACGTCAAAAAGAAAAACAAAACTAAATGTGACCTTGGTAATACAACAGCATATAATAAAAAACAGCACCGTATAAACGCCGTTACAATAGCTGATGCTCCGGCGTCGTTGATCGCGACAGATACGTGGAAAGACGAAAACAAGAAAACAAGACAAGAAAATAGACAACGGGGAATCAACGCAAAATACACGTCGTAAACCATCATGACAAATTGCAATGAACAAATATCTTCCGTTAGTAAAATCCCACACATTACTTCGTCGTGGTCGGCGCAGCAGCCTCAACGTTAATCTCGGTCTCGGTCTCGGCCTCGGCCTCGTCCCCGCCAGCCGCCGGTTTCGACATGAGAGGATGAGATGGGTCGTAGCCCACGGATTTGATGATACCAAGACCCTTTGTGCGGCCCTCGCGGAAGAGCAGGCGGTCGCCCGGCACCAAAAACTCGGGCCGCTGCAGGAAGCGGAACGCAACGAGGGCGCGCTCACCCGTGCGCAGCAGCGGACGGTCCATGTCGACGATGGCGCAGGTCTGGTGGACGGGGCCGACGTGCACGGTGGCCTGGTACTTGTGCTTGATGGTGGTGGCGTGCGACAGAATCAGCACCTCGGCCACAAACTCGCGGTAGACGCGGGGCGGCGTGCTGTCGTCGGTGCGGTGCAGGACCACCTGGCCTTTGCGGACGTCTTTGCGGCGCATCTTTTTGAGGGCAAAGGACGCGGACTGCCCGGCCGACGCGGCCGGCACGCCGAGACGCTTGCGCTCGATGGAGCGGATGCTGGTGGGGGCAAAGTGGCCGTTGGTGTCCGGGCCGATCCAGATGGCGTCGCCGGCGTGGGCGACACCGGACTTGACGATGCCGCTGACGACGGTGCCGACAAAAGGCACGGAGTAGGTGTCGTTGACGTGGAACTCAAAGGCGCCGCCCGCGTCGTAGCGGCCGTGGTGCGGCAGGATGTTGAGGAACGTGCGCACGAGGTCCAGGTTCTGGCCGGTCACGTTGGAAATCTGGAACACGGGGCAGATGCGCTGGCTGACAAACTGCGTGGCCGTGTTGACGCAGTCGTCGCGGTTCTTGATAAAGATGGGAATCTTGCGGGCGCCCGGGCTTTTGAGGACACGCGTGATCTGCGTAATGGTCTCGGCCAGGATGTTGGGCGGGCAGATGTCGATTTTGGTGATGATGACCATGATGGGCACGTTGAGGGCGAGGGCAATGCCCAGGTGCTCTTTGCTCATGCCGATCAGGCCGTTGTTGGCTGCCACCATAAGCAGACAATAATTGGGCGCCGTCGACATCATGCCGAACATGGTGGTGCGCAGGTACCGCTCGTGGCCTGCGAGATCGGTAAACGTGATGACTTTGGCGCTGCGCTTGCCAATCTCTTCCCACGACAGCTTGCGGCCCGGGGTGTCGGACGCCACGACGCGGCCGCGCGTGTCGAACCCGAGAATCTCCATGCCGACAGAACTCGTGCGGCCCGTCTCGAACTCGTGCTTGTGCCGGAACAGATTGACGCGCGCTCGACCGCGGCCGTCATCGAGGTCGCCCTTGACAAGCACGCCCAGCAGCGAACTCTTGCCGGCGTCGACGTTGCCCACGACGGCAATGCGCGTCTCAATGACGTCCTCGACTTTGCGCGGCCGGCGGCGGATCATGAGCTTGCCCGTGCAGTCCGTGGCCGAACCCACGCCCGTCCCTGCGCCTGCGCCTGCGCTTGCGCCTGCACCGTTGCCACCCTCCTGCACGACATCGAGTGGACCGCCCAGGTTGCGCGTCAGCAGAAGCTCGCAGTCCGCGCCGGCGCGGTCAGCAGCGCGCTCCACACGTGCGAGCGCCACGGCCCACTGGTCGCGGGTGAGCCCGAGGGTATCCCCCGTGTGCTCGAACCCCAGGTCCAACACAGCCTCGCCGTTGCCCTCGTCGATGCGCTCGGCGAGGAGGGTGCTGAGGGCCACAAAGTTGGCATCGGCGTCCCCTGCGCTGGTCTCGTCTCCGGGCGCCGTCAGCAACTGCCGCATGGGGATGAGTGGGACGGCATCGTCAAGGTCGAGGGCGTCGAGGATGTCGTCGAGCTCGTCGAGCGTGTCGTCGCGGTTGGCAGCGGAGGTGACCGAGGTCGGTGCAGTCGAAGTTGTCGAGGGCGAAGCCGTTGTGGCGGCCGAAGCACCGGCGGCGCCCGCGTTTAGCGGATAGCGGACGGCTTGCTGCCGCTCAACGTAGTCGGCGAAATCGCTCAAGGCCTGGTAAGGTTAACAATGCGAGACAACAACGTCCAGAGCTTCTCCACGTCGGGTAGATGTCGTACAGATTCGCCTTTTCGCCGCTCGTGCGGCAATACTGCTGATCTAGAAGTCATGGCTGTGGCGTGTGTGTGGTCTCGGCCAAGGCAATGCGAGACCTATGATGATGTGGCGTTCGGCGCTATAGAGTGAGCAACATGAGAGACTGCGGTCGGTGCGCAGCAGCAGAGACAGGTGTTGTTTATTGCGGTATTCGAGGAATCATGGGTGCTAGTTTTGGAGGATGCGACACGAATATGGAGGTTGTCGAAAGCAAAGAACGATACAAGAGATGACGGGCGAGGATGATCCGTGGTATCCTTTATAAAGCGTTCGAGGGTGGCGGCAGCAGGCCGAATGGTGAAGGAGGGAGATGGATGACGATCCAAGTATGACTCTTTCGACGTGTCTCACGAAGGAATGCCTCACACACACAGACAGCCTTATGGGCAGGATGGAAGAAACGGCCATTGACTTGTCGCAGGGGAAAGAGCGACCAAGGCGAGGAGGAGAACAGCCTAGCGAATGAGTAATTCGGCGGGGTTGTTCTGCTCTGAGGCGCGTTAATGGCCAACTTTGCGGGGCCAGTTTAGCACCTCGTCCAGCGCGTTCAGCCTCTTTCTAATCGATAAGAGATATAGTGGAAGCTCCGTGTATATATCCAGTCTGTACATATTATAGGTCATGCCGTTTGGTCTTTGCAAAAGTCACAGTTGACAAGACGCTCCATGTAGTCATTGTTTGCAGGGGTAGACGAACATGTTTTAAAATGTTTTGTATTTAAATATTTGATAATTAAAAAGTAGTAAGTTATATCCAGTTCAATTTCCAGGAAAGCCTCGAAATAGACATCAATAAACGCCGACTGTCCATGCCCGTTTTGGTGGACCAGTATGCTCTGAGTTTTTCTTTTGTGGGTTTGTCAACAACTCCTGAACGAGGTATATATAAGAAACAGAAAAGCGACTTTTTTCCAATCCAGACGCGCCCAAAATGATAAGCCAAAGACGAAAAGGGAAAAGAAGAAAGAAGAGAAGAAACAGCAGGGCAAGTCATGACCAAATAAAAATATTTTAAAAGTTAAAAGTTAAGGATGGGCTGCTGTGCTGTCGCTCGCTTCGTGAGAATAAAAGGGACAATGTAAGAAAAACAAGGGGTATTAAGTAAGGTCGTATGCATGTAGGATTGGGTAGATGTCCTCGCAGGTCCTCGCCCTCGTGGGCTCTGGTCATGATCGGACAGTGTCGAGCGGCTCGATGTAGTCGGGCAGCGCGGCCTGCCCGCCGCGGATCTCTTCGCTGTAGCAGGGCGGGCTGGGCGGCACGTCCTGGTAGATGGGCGGGGCCTCGTTGTCCCAGGACACGCCGATGCCGCCGCGCTGTGTCAGGATGTCGGTAAAGTGCATGCGCAGGATGCGGCCGACGCCGGTCTGGGTGACCATGGAGGGCTTGTTGGCGGGGGCCCATTCTTGGGAGACGACCATTTCGAGCATGAGCTGGTGCGTGACCTCGGTGCCGTCGCGGGTGTGCGTGTCGCACGAGTACTTGGCGTTCTTGCCGAGCAGGTAGTCGAGCTCGAGCTCGACACTGGCGTCCTCGGCCCCGCTGTAGTTGCTCTTCCAGCCGCTCAGCAGCGTCTTTTCGCCAATGATGCGCGTGTCGGCGCGCTGGACGCCGGTGGGGGGCGCGGCAGACGCAGACTCTGCGTCGTCGGCCGGCCGCGGGGCGTGCTTCTTGCAGGCAGGGGCGATGGTCTTGGCCGTCTCTTCGAGGCGCCAGGTGAGCTTCTTGAGCTTCCAGAACTCGAGCGTCTTGGACCTTTCGTTGAGGCGGGCGACGCCGTCGATGCGCAGCGACAGCGTGTTCTGGCCAATGGGGTAGATGACCTGGGGGAAGTGCACGCTGGCCTTGATGTTGGTGGGCGGAAAGATGCGAACGGAGTGGTGTGGCAGCTCGGGCGCGGGCAGCGAGCGCTTGACGTCAAACAGCTTCTCGAGCTTGACGGGCAGGCCCGAGCCGGCCTTTGGCACGGCCTCGGCGTGGAACTCGTAGGCAATGGACACCAGCTGGCCGTCCATGCTGGCGGGCAGGTGGCCGGCGAGCAGCACCGAGAAGGGGAAGCCGTGCCGGCCCTTTGTGAGGATCAGCGGGCCCTGGACAAACGACCACTTTTGCAGTTCCTGGTACTGGTGGATGCAGTTGTGGCAGTGTGCGGTGTAGGGCCGCTTCTGGGTGGTGTGGATGTTGAGGGTGGCGATAAAGGAGTCGAGGTGGACGGGCTCGTCCTTGACGGTCAAGAACAGCAGGCCGGACACGAGCGCACCCGTGCTGTTCTCGGCGTCACCGTACAGCACAATGGGCGGCGACTCGACCTTCCAGTCGAGCGTCATGTTGGCGCTGACGTGCGAATCGCGGCTGGAGCGGCCAAAGTGCAGCGGCCCAAAGGACAGGCGGTGGTGGACGCCGTGCTCGGCAGCTGCCGCGGCTTCGCGCCGCTCGGTAGAGGACGCGCGCTGGAGCGACGTCATGGTCTTCATAGTGCCGTGGTGCCCCGGCTGCTGCTGGTCGTGTGCCGTGGATGCGTGTGTGGATGTGGATGCTGGCGGTGTTACCACGCCGCCGCTGCTGCTGCTGTGGTGATCGTCGGATGCGTCGTCGTCGCCGAGAGAGGAGGCGTACGAAAAGGTGCGGTGGCCGTGGGCGGCGCGGATGGACGAGGAGGAGGACGCCGAGGAGTGCGGCTTGGGCGAGGGGCGCCGGACGGTGGCTTTCTTGAGGCTGGCGACTTGTGCTTCGAGGGAGGCCGAGGGGTTGCGGAGGAAGCTGCTGACCCGGTGTGGCATTTTTTGGGTGAAAGGGGAAGGGGTGTTTGTTTTCATGAGGTGAATTGGGAGGGTAGGATCGAGGGGGAAGAACAAAAAATAAACGAGGAAGGAGGGGGGTGGTAAATAAAAGGGGCCAGTGTTTTATGAGTATATGTATTGAGTCGCGGTCCAAAGAGGCGATTGGTTCTCCACCACTTTTTTGGTCCTTCTTTTTTCTTCTTTTTTTTCTGTTGTTCTTCTTTTTTTTTTACTGTTTTAGTCGCCCGCTTACACGAAGCCGACCAGGGTATACCTCCCAAGAGGGGAACCGTCGAAAACGGACCGCTCTAAGAGATGGAGGGGCGTGTGCCAATGGCGAATGAATGACACTGGCGCGGAAGGCCCTTTGCTTTTCCCAGTAAGAGTGGGGCAAATTTTTTTGGACTGTGGCTCTGGCGCAGACTATGACGACAAGGCGCAAGGGAGTAAACGCAGAAAGGGCGACGCAGCGAAGGTGCTAGAGTCTAGACGTTCCAAAACGGTGTGCGAACTGGCGACTTGCCCAAATTTGGATGGTGCGGGCCAATTACCTTTTGTCCGGTGTGCTGTTTCCCGTGTTGATTCAATTTACGGCCTCTTCGTTGCGATTGAGAAGGCGCGCGTTGTGAAGATCGCGTTGCTCTTTCCTTCTGGAATGTACTTTCGTAGGAAAGTGCTCTTTCCCTGTGCTAGCGTCTTCAATGACATCGATCCCTGGGAAAGAGCGATGAGCGATGCGCGGAAGGAGCTAAAACGCGGAGACGAGACGAGGTGATGAGGGGCTGTCCCTGTTGTTGTAGGATCAGGTGCGAAAGATCAAGCATATGCAGGTCGAGCCGTCCTGCTGTGCGCGAGCGTGCGGGGCTGTGTCTTTGATACTCGCAAAACGCTCGTCGGTTGACCTCGTGGACAACGTTCCACTCTCTTTTCCTTTTTCTTCTTTTCTTTTTTCTTCTTTTCTTTTTTCTTCTTTCTTCTTTTTTTGGCTTCTTTTTGTGTGTTTACCGTGGTGTGAGTGGCTCGTCTGGGGAAAGGGAGAAAAGAGTAAAGCGGCGTTCGCGGAGGCGTCGTTGTGTCCGGCGGCAGCGACGGGTGAATGATTGGTGTGGCTCGGCGTCTGCTGGTTTGCTGGATCGAGCGCAGTTCCTCTGGTCAGGCGTCGACTTCCCCAGGATATCCAGACGCTTGAGCTGGTTTGGGCTGGCGTTGCAGGAAGAACCGGGATCTGGTTGCGACCGGCGGCGGCGGTTGGCAGATTTGCGGATGGTGTGGTAGGGTTTGGCAAGTGGGATGACGTCGAGGACGGAGAAGATGGCGAACTGGGTCAGGCGGTGGGCAGACGAAGTGTCGAAGAGTTTGCAGTACGACTGCGTCGGAAGACAGCGCAGGGCTAGTTGTGTGTGGAAGCGTGAAGCTGTAGGCAAGAAGATGGTTGATAGATAAGCGTGGTCGCGATAATGCGTGATAGACGCAACGACTGGGGTACGGCGTAACGATGGTATCCGAAGGGGTGTGAAGCTTAATGCAGACCAGAATAAAACACACTGGTCGATTAAGTAAAACGAAAAATATCCAAATCTCGCGATGTCAACAAAAGAAGATTCAAGAAGAGGTTCGGGAAAAAGAAAACAAATCAACGTCTAGAACCTTTCGACCTGGGCCGCCCTACGTATTTATTTCACACATTATTTTTATATGTCTTCTTTAACATGTCTGGTATGTGACCATTCATGTGCTGCAAGGCGTGCCTTTGAAAACGTGCCTCCGAATTAGGGTGCAGCCTCGATTTCCATCAAGTAATTATGTGTCATGGTTTGCTCCTTCCCGCCCGTTTTGCAACAAGCGGCCGCTCTCCCTGGTCCTCGTTCCTGGGAAAGTCCAAAAGACGGTGCGCCGTCAGCCCAAAACAACGTGCGTTTTTGTGATTTGCATCTCAACGACGATGTGTTGGATGCCCATCATCCATCTGCCAGCGCCTCCTTTGTCGGGCTGAGCAAGAACGGAGCCAAGTTAGGTACGTGTAGCCAACGCGTATCAATGTCTGACAGCGTTTCCTCTTTGGGGCTTGTCGAGACTTGCCCTATTGTAATATTTTTTTTTTTAAAAAAAACAAGAATGGAATAAAACTACAACAACACGAACCTTCAACAATGGCATCGTCACATTTGGATGGAAGACTCGTCTGTGACGCCGCACGGCTGATCGTTTCCAGAGCGCAGCCGACAAGAGTTCACTGCATTCTCCGTACGGTCGTAGCGATTACACAAACCCATTATTACGACGGCCTACATGTACGATGCAGTCCCTCCCTTGGCCCAGGTGACTTTCCACTGCCCATCTCCGCTTTCTAGGCAGATGAGACCAACTGCCAAAAGCAAAACAAAAGCGAACAGAAGCGAGACGAACACAGCCAAGTGGGTATAAACACTGGTTCACAACAGCACCTGTGAGTCAAGGACCGCAAACATGATGGAGGCGAGGGAGGCTCGAAGCACCCGGATAGCCCAGGCTTACTCAAAAAGGAGTTGGTATACGGGCGTAATGCTCGCCGTCGGTTACGTGCTTTGGCGGCCACAGAATGGCGCACGAACGGGGAGAACACGCCATGCACGCCATTCAGCCCCTGTCGAGTGATCAAGGCCCGAGATCGCTGCGGTTAGCCTGATTGAAAGGTGGCCTGAGCGTGTTGGTGGTCTGGTCTCGGGCTCTGGCCTCTGGTCTGTCAAAACATTCTGTCTTGCGTCACGAGTGGACAGAAACACTTGTCCCATTGGCCAATCTCTGAACAAGGCGGGAGGGGGGGTGGTAGTCTTCTTTTGCGCTTGGCTCGTTTTATTCTTTTTTTGAGAGTCAGCTGGCCAGGCCTAGAAGCGGGCTCTTTGCCTAGGGGGTGTTAGCATGCTGGCGTTTTGGCGTATTGCAAGGCCAAAGGAATGGCATGATGCACCACCTGAAAAATTTTCATGACCATCGGCGCTTTTGTCCCTGAAGGGTCCTGGTGTTGTTTTGTTAGGAGGATCTAGTGGCCGAGAGAAAATCCACAGGAAGAATACCCACGACTAGCCTTTCCTACCCGTGTTAATGACCGTTTTCCAGTTCAACCCCTGTTCTTGTTGCTTCTGAACTTTGGTAGGAGCCGAAGACGGAGGGGACAAAGAAGAAAACGGTAGACGCCATCGAGATCGATCAGAATGGATGGGATGTGGAATTGTGTATTATTTTGCCAATGGACAGCTCATGACAATGTCAGGCCATGCTACAAGTATATCGATCGCACCGTATGACGTCCTCTGTACGGTTCCTCTGAAAACGACAAACACAAACATATGAACGTGGATGATCAGCAGGAAAACCGCACCCTATCCCTTCTCCCTTCTATAAACATCCATTTTTTCACATTGTCTGCTTCTGTCTGGATCGGCACAGACAACGCTAGCCGCAGAAACAGTACGTAACTAGGGGCCTGTATTTGATACAAACGAACGACAGAAAAAAAAATCGAGGAGCATGACATGTTTAAGGAACTGCGGTCCATCGGCACGAACCTCCCAATAAGTGTGCTGCAAGATCAAAAACGGACAACGCAAAAACGCATAACCAAAGGTGATGGACTTATTCGCAAGGTCCAGCTGACTTATTTTGTGCCCCTTCTCCCTGTTTCCCCTCATCAACAACTTTTGGGTGATTGGTTGCAAAACGAGGCTAAATCGAGAGGACGAGAAGATGCACATGCACTTTGCATCGCATTGTGACGACTGGCTAGGAACACGGCATCGCAATGGAGGCACCAAGCTACCTCGACGCCGTCGCGTGCCATAAAATGCGTAGCTTCGCGGCTCGACTTGGCCCTGGCACTGTCCACGATTGGCATGCATCGAAGCAAGGATTGAAAGGAAATACGCACCTTCCCATGGTCATGTGTTCTCCGCCAGACCTCCAACACGCAGATTGTACTCGCCGTTTTGGCCATCTCCGCGGCTGTCGGAGTATTCCCGGGATTGGTAGGACCATGTGGATGCCGAGACGGCTTAACCCGTCTTTTGTCCGTTTCGTCATAATTTATATGCACAACGTAACTTGTGATCTCATGATGTCGATGACGGTGTATTCAATGTTCGCAGACTACTGGCAGCAACTTTGACAGCTCTCGGCACATCAGACCGCATGCATGCCGGCAATACGTAATATCTGCGAGAGTTTTCCGGCGTGCCTGGGCCGGTGTCAACCAGGCGAACACCATGGGCCGGCTCGACTGGCACAATTGGCGGAGCTAGTAGAACGGAGAAAACGCAAAGGAGCATGTAACATGCCCTTTGCAAAAACTGACATCGTAAGATTCTAGACTGGCGACGTCGTTCCCACAGCGGCCCACCGCTGCGTGTCCCGTTTCGTTCGTTCCGTCGGGATCGTTTCGTCGCCAACACTGGCTTCCTCCGCCTCGTTTCTTTCGCGTCTACCCGCTCTTTGGCGCCCGTTCTTCCTTGTCCGTCCTAGCGGAACGGTACGTGAGGGATTCAATTTCAAACTTCAAGTTCGCCGCCTCTCTTGTTGTTGCGCATACGGAGTAGTCATACGCTGTAGATAGCGAAAGAAGCAATCGCGGAAGCAAAGACGAGGTACGCCATGCAAAAGTGGCCAGATCCTGCACATAGATGGGACTCAACAGCAAAATGGAACGGCTTTCCGCCTGATACTCCGATCAGGAACCCGACATGCAGTTTCCAAGTGAAAATTTCACCACAACAAGGAACATACTCCGAACAGAGTGGATGCCGGGCCTTGTGGATGTGGCTCACCGTTTCTTCGTGTTAGGCCACCCACTCGTATTGTTGCAAGGGGGAACGTGAATTCAAGATCGTGTAATGTGTCTGAGCGAACGGCGATCCAGGATCAGAAAACCTTGCAAAATGTGGATGTGCACTGTCCTCAAAGAGGAAGAAACGAAACCGTCAGACGGGAGCTGAGAAAGGCAGGCTCCACAGAAACTGGCAGATGGATGCGGCTGGACGCGGTGATGGAGAGTTGAGGCAATACAGCCTAGACAGGCAGTTGAAAGGGTTTTACGAGAATCACCATATACGGCAATCTTCACCACATGGCCGTCGGACTGGGAACACACCGTATGCTCTTGTTCCTCGCAGCACGGCACAACCAGGCTTCCTTTGCTATTTGTCGTCTCCGTTTTCAACGCAACCTCTCGTATGTTGCTCTGTAAAACCTCCACATATTGATCAACGGTCCCGCTTCTACACGGAGTCCTCATAAAGATACCCCATTATGGACTCCATCTTTTGCCGCGTCTTTCCATTGTTTTGTGTCTTCGGCCTGTCTATGTATCCCAGTGGGCATTGCCCGCCCGTCTCCATATACCAATTTTATTTTTCTTGTCCCGACTTCTAGAACGTCCATGGCAAACTATGGAGGAACGAGTCCATGACAAAAATACGGTGAAGGGCAATTTCTGTAAGCCTCCTTCCCGATACGGTGTGCCTTCCATTCGTGAAATTAACGAGAAAACTTTTTCGCCCTGATTGCCATTTTTAACAGTATTTTCCTTACTGAGAACCGGGCAGCAACGGGCCCAGTGGCGCCAGTGGCCACAAAGCCCATCGGCGTTAACAAAAGTACCCGTCTCGACTTTCCTGTTTGGGCCAAAAGGCGAGGCAAAACTGTTTTGCCATTGTAGACTATCGGAGGTCACCGATGCGGGCGACTGACTCAGTCTCATCCGCCGCCTTACACGTGGCTCACCATACAAAAATTCGTCGTACGGAGTGCACAAACAAGACGAGGCTGATGGGCGCGCCCGATGATTTGGTAATGGCAACTCACGATAATTTTGTGTATCCTCTCTTGCCCCCATTTTGCCTCCTCTTTGGGGTGGACCATTTCACCGCCAATTTCTCCTTTGAATGTGATTTACATAATACAAACGCTCTCTCACCGTACTTTTCGGTGTTGCAACACCGTCATTTCGTTGGCAGCGGATCGCAAACGGCCGGGAGAATTCGTCGCCGCCCGAGTGTAGTATTTGCAACATGTATGTCGAAGGAGTATAGTGCAATACGTTTCTATGCCCTCGCTGCCGCACGTCGCGCTCCTGTACTTGGATTCCAATGGAGATCCGAGCGGCTGTCAGCGGTTAAAACGGCGAGGCCCGTGTGCATCTGACTTGAAGCGCCTCGGCCGCTCTTGTCCGCCACGTCCGGCGCCGCTCGTCTAGACTTGTCATGGCCACCGTTGAGCTCCACCTCTTTCGCCGGCCTTTTTATGTCCCCCCAGCGGCCGGCTCCTAGCCTCCTTCGTATGTTTTGTTGCCTTTGGCTTTGTTTCCTTGTCCCGCCCGGAACAATCCTTCTGGAAGCATGTACCCCAGATCATTATGCACGTGGTCTGCATATCGCCCATCTGAAGTGGTGTCACCGGTTGCCATCCGCGGTGTCCAAACTGTCGCATCCGCACACCACCACTCCTCTGGACATCGTTGGCCGCCGTGGACCGATGTCTCATCTCATGGGGTGTACCTATCGTCGGTCCATCGTTGCTGCCATCGACTGGAAGCACAGCACCCGTGTCCACGGTTCCGCACCAATGTCATCTTGCAAGGCTGTTGGCGTGATTTGCCATGCGCTTATGCGGCTCTTGTGTAACCATTGCTGATTGGTGGGATATGCTGCACAGTAGAGAAAATGTGGCGTGCCTTTCACACACAGTCGACACGCAAGGCAATCGCCGACGAAGAGGGTTTGTCCAGAAGGTGTATCAACTCGTGACGGGCGAGATTGACGACAACAGAGATAGTGTTGATCGAAAGCACGGATGGAGATGCTTTGTGAGCAAGGGCACGCTGGTGGATGTGTCGCTCGCACATCCGATACTAGACACGGGAGGCAGATGATAGGCAGACAAGCTGGCCAAGCGGACGACGATGGCGGAGACTCCGTGACCGTAGCGTACAGCAATCGTCGTTGTATGAGTTCAATTGACTCGAGACGTCGCCTCGACACATCTCTGGTGCGACAACGTCGAGACTCGAGTCAGATAACGGCGTTCCATTCGTTGGGCTACAGCAGAGTTACAGCAGAACGCAAACGGCCTGATGGGTCTGTGACGTTGCCTGGCGACAGACCGCGTGCATCTCCACGCAACCAACCCAATCCCTATATCGTGTAGCCCATGAGCTTCATGTAGCCGGCGGCAATGGCGAGGCTCGGCACCGCCCATTTGAGATCTAGCTCAATCACGGCCCACACCCACAAGCATCCAATCGGCGGCGCCTGCTTGAGGACGGCAATGTAGCTGTACTCGTTGGTGATGTGGACCAGGTAGCAGCCAGTCACCGAGCTCGTGACGAAGAAGAGCAGCTGCCGCAGCGGGTCCTGGAAGCGGGTGGGCAGGCCCGGCAGCAGGCGCGGATCGGACGGGTGCCGGTGCAGGTTGTAAAAGATGAGGGAAAAGACGCCGAGGGCCTGGAGGGCGCGCGTGATGACGACGTGCCACTCGATCTCGACGGCGTACTGGTTCTGGACGAGCACATCGAGGGTGAAGTGTAGCATGGTGAGGCTGACACACCACAGGATGGTGTCGAGGATACGCTCGGCGCGTGGAGAGACGGTGGCCGCATCGTTGTCGTTCTCGTCCTCGTCCTCGTCATCGTCGTCATCATCGTCGTTGTCGCTGTCTGCTTCGCCAGCCTTCTTCGGCACGCCCCTCTCCTTGTTGAGCTGCCGCTGGCGGGCATCAGCCTGCTGGAAGAGGTTTTGGTCGCCGGCAAAGTCGAGCAGGGTCTTGCCCTGGGGCGCCGAGCGGTCCGGCTGGACGAGCTTGATGCCGGCGGCGTCGATGTCAGCTATCGAGGAGGCCGCTGCAACGCCCTTGCGTGTCTTTTTGGCCATTGTCGGGGTTGGATAAGCTTGGAGGACGGATGTAGGCGTATCGCATTAGACGGGATGATAAAGCTATCTATCATGGGGAGCTCTGTCGAAGTGTGGTTACCAGTCTTGGGGAGCATGGGAGTGTATGGGAGAGTGTAAATCGTACAAACACGTGTAGTCAGTCATCTTACGGTCGGATGAACAGGGAAATGCGGACCGCGTCAATGCACGGCCACGCCAAATAAGAATGCGCGCTTGGCTTGGCCCCTCTCCCCTGTTACCATGCCCTTTGGTGCCCTGAAACCGGGAATTTTTGGCCTGTTGGGACCAACCAGGTATGAAATCATGCGGTGCTGCAGTGGTCTTAGCGCGAGATCGCATGCTGTCAATTGGTGTCTTGTGCCTCGTTGTGCCGGGTGCTGTAATTAAAGCCCCCGCTCCACGCGCCTGCCTTAGAAGCCACAGTATCGCAGCTTGGAGCGTGTAATTGGAAGCTGCGTGTCATTGAATACAGAAGGTACGGCCGAGCCGCCGACCCAACAAAATTAGCTGTGCATGGCAAACTGGGGGCCGTTAATTACAACGTACAGACTGCGCATTTTCGTCTGTCTCTCCTTATTTCTCGCCAGTGCACGACCCGAGCCCGCAGTCCAAGCTGTATTCGAATTGACCAGGGGTGTTGGATCCCGTTGTCGTTCCAGGCCAGGTGGCATTATCGTGTCCTGTCTAGTGTCGTGCGCCCCGATCGCGCCTTCCTTCTCACGAGACCACCTGTCGACGAACGCGCCTGCCCTTTTCGCTTCTCCGACGCAATTCCAATTGCCGCATCTATCGCGGGCACGACGCCTACGGACGACTGTCGACTTCTCACCTCCCTCGTGCTCCCTCGTGCTCCCCGACAGCCTCCCACAACACCCCCACCGCCATGAGCCTTCTGTCGCTGCTCGGCGCGCTCGTCGTGCTCGTCCCCGTGCTCTACATGTACACTGTCTCCGTCGTCGGCGGGCGGTTTCCGACCTTGCGCAACAAGCGCATCTGCCTCCTGATTGCCCACCCGGACGACGAGGCCATGTTCTTTGCGCCCTCGGTGCTCGCGCTCACGCGGCCCGAGACCGGCAACCACGTCAAAATCCTGTGCTTGAGCAGCGGCAACGCCGAGGGGCTCGGCGAGACGCGCAAGCGCGAGCTCGTCAAGAGCGCCATGACGCTGGGGCTGCGCCACGAGGACGACGTCTTTGTCGTCGACAGCCCCGACTTCCCGGACAGCATGACCACCGAGTGGGACAGCCAGACGATTGCAACGCTGCTGGCGAGCGCGTTTACGCCGCCGGGCCCGGGGTGGCGTCCAAAACTACCAAACCCGCCAAACCCGCCAAACCCGCCAGTGCGCCGGACCAGCCGCCCGCCGCCACCATTGACGTCCTCCTGACGTTTGACGACCGCGGCGTCTCGGGCCACCCCAACCACATTTCCCTGTACCGCGGCGCGCGCCGGTTCGTCGCCTCCTTGGTGCAGGGCAAACCCGGCTGGCGCCCGCCCGTGGACCTGTACACCTTGACAACGGTGTCGCTGCTCCGCAAGTACACGTGGGTCTTTGACCTGCTGCCGACGGTCGTCTCGTGGGGGCTGCGGCTGGGGTCCAAGGGCACGAGCGCGGCCAAGATCAAGGAGCACCCGCCGGCGCTGGTGTACTTGGCGGACCTGAACCCGACGGCGACGGGCGGCGGTCTGGGCACGGCGTGGCGGGCCATGACGACGGCGCACCAGAGCCAGATGGTGTGGTTCCGGTATGGATGGATTGCGCTCAGCCGGTACATGGTGATGAACGACCTGCAGCTGCAGCACAGCTTTGGCCCGAACGACATGAAGAAGCCATAGGAGACGCGGACGGGACAGCCTGCTTTCACTTGACAAAAAAAAAGAGAAAAAAAATACAATGACGAGGCTGCCATGGCCAATCTCATCGAGACCGTCACAGACGATGACCAACATCAAACAACAATAACCAAAAAACAACAAAATGGATCCCCCCAAAAAATAAACGAATTTACGACCTTTTCAAATTATTACAACAACGTTTTCACCAACACATAATTGCATAATGTGGTTATCCTTGCAGACACTGCAAGGTGAGATGGGGGAGGGAAGAGGAAAGAAAAAAGAAACGGGCAGAGAATTTTACATATCTGGACCAAGAATCATCGACATGATCAGGTTGCCCTGTATAGTATTTCCTTGCGTCATTTTTGTATACCAGACTGTATCAATTGGAGAATCCCAGCGGAGACATGTACATACCGAAAGGGACAGCAAGTAATGTATGGAGACAGATCATTTTCATACATCCGTTCATTTCAGCAGGAAATGAATATACACAGATCAAAATGCAAACAAATTGAAACTAATTAAACAAATCCAAAATATATTCAAAGAAATCGATTTAAATTCATATACAAGACAAACTACAAACACAGCCATGTTTACGAGAACTCTCGCACCAGCGAGTCCCGGTCCCTGCCCAGTGATCCTTGCAGATCCACCAAACTGTTGGGGAAAGCCCGCTGGCGCATAACAACGCGCCGCAGGTCGGCGTCACGGACAAACCGCCGGTCGTACCACCGCAGTTGCTCCGGCGTCAGGACATTGCCCAACTTGTCCACCACGGAGTCGTGGGCGATGGTGTCCAGGTCGACTCTGACCTTGTACGTCTCCATTTCGTTTCCGGGAGCCCCACTGTACGATTCCTGCAGTGCCGATCCATCATCCGCGGTGGTGGTGTTGGTGGAGTTGTTGGTCGCTGCGCCGCCTGTGGCGATGGCGGACCCAGAAAAGAACTCGGTGTCAAAGTGGTTCACGGGAGGCGGCCGGCCGGCCGGCTCGTCCTCGTCGAGCTGGCTCACATCTCTGTACTGGAACCGGGCCGAGGGCCGCGAGGCGGGGATCTTGTACGCAATCTTTTCCGACAGCAGCTTCGAGTGGTTGTGCGGCTCGCGCAGCGTCACGGTGCCCGTCGGCGTCGGGTACCACGTGTACCGATGCACAAACGGCCGGAACTCGTCAATGACCTGGGGGATGAGGCGTGCCAGGAGCTCGTCGCCGGGCTTGGCACGGGCGCCGTTCTTGAGGATGCGCAGGCACCACGAGTGGAAGTAGTACCACATGCGCCACTTTTCGGCAATCACGCGCTGCAGGCGGAAGGCCGCCGCACCCCGATCCCGATGCCCCAGCATGCGCGTCTCGGCCACCACCTGCATCGCCTCTTCCTGCTTGCGCAGCTGGGCCTGGTACACCGGCTTGAGTTGGCGCATGAGCCGCAGCGCGGGCAGGATCGACGAGTCGTTGGCGAGCATCGTCTTGATCAGAATGTTGTACTGCTCCAAGCCCGGCTTCACGCTGTACGGCTCCGACGTCATGGTCTTCCAGATCCGCTTGATCGCCGTCGGCGAGTTGCGCTGCGAAATGCCAGCAATGCGCGACTCCTGCGTGACCTGCGGCGACGCCAACGCGTAGGCCCAGTTGAGGAGATCGAACCAGACACGGTCTGGGATCTTGACCTTGTATTCGCGCGAGAGATGCATCACCAATTGCATGGCCAAGGCGACTCGGTTGTTGCAGCAATACGCCTGCACAACAGCATCCAACAGAACCTCGGACGGGTACAGGGCCGAGGTCGTCGGGATTTTTGTGCGTCCTCTCACCCTGTATCCATTGGTTCCCCGAATGCGCTTCACGGACACGCCGTACTTGGTGGCGAGGAGGTCTTGGATAAGGCGCATCGAGGCGCTCCGTCCAAAGCCCACCATGGCAGCTGCCTGGACGCGTTCTTCGTTTCCATGGCGTCGCAGAACCGCTTTGTAGTACACCTTCATCAGCGGCTTCCTGCTTCGCAGGATGCGCGTCAGGTGTTCGGCATGGTCGGGGGCGTTGACGTTGTGGCCGAAGCGATGCATCATGCCCCTCTCGGCGCGGATGCGGATGCGCTCGAGGTGGTAGAGCCGAGACGTATGCATCACCTTTTTCTGTCGGTGGCGGTTGACGGCCTGCACCCGCATGCGCACGGGGTCGTGCTGGACGTACAGCCGCTCGGTCAGAAACCGCGCACGCAAGAACTCGGCGTACAGCTGACCATGGCGCATTTCCATGAACCCCGACGGAACCATGGCCTTCCAGACGCTCTTCGCCTGGACCAGGTCTGAGGCGGCACCGGCGGCACGCAATAGGACGATGAAGTCGTTGAGGAGGAGGTGTCCCTGCTGGCCCAAGAGCTGCACCCGCAGTTCACAGATGGACAGCAGGGTGTCGAGAAGGCGCGTGAACAAAACGCGGATGCCAAACACGCTGACGCCGGCGCCGAGCGGGGTCAGCTGAGCCATGCTCGGCGAGACGGCAATGTCGGCCAGCGCGTCAATGTTCTTCGAGACGACATACGGATCGAGCACCCGCAGGGCTTCGGCGAAGACCACGGGCGGAAGACGGGCAATGGCCGCCGCGCGATTTTTCCTCTCTTCCGAGATCTGCGCTTCGTCCACGTACGTCTGGCGACCGTCGGGCCCCGTGGCAACGACGGGGTTTGTCAGCCAGTGGAAGAGGGAGTTTGTATCTTTGGCGCGCAGGGTCTGGAGGACGAAGTCGACGCGCTGGTCGGACGTCGTCAGGCGCATCGTGTGCTCGCGCGACTCCGTCATCTCTGTTTCTTCAGTCGCGGAAACCGTGGGATGGCCAACTTGTGGCTGCGGGGTTTGTGTTTTGCGCAGAGCAAGAAGCATGTTTCGCAGAATCATAATCTCGTCTCCGGTGGCTTCTGGCGCGTAGGCTCTCGATGCTGCATGGTCCAGTGCAGGCCACGATGCTTCGTTGTTCGCGTCACGGTCCGCAGACGACCGTCGTCCCTTGACATTCTTGTTTCCATGGCGTTCCCCTGCTTGGACCAATGCTGCCCATGCCGCCTCGCTGTCCGAGACACGGTTTGCAGACGACCGTCCTCCCTGGACAACCTTGTTTCCATGGCGTTCCCCTGCCTGGACCAATGCTGCCCACGCCGCCTCGCTGTCCGAGACATGGTTTGCAAACGACCGTCGGCTTGTTTTGTCGAGACGATTTTTGAGGATGCGTGATGTCGTGCCCCGAGGAGGGCTCGGCAGAAGGCCAATACGCGACCGTAGGACCAATGGGGCCCAGACGGCAGTGTTCATCGCGAAATATCGTCGCCGTTGTTGTCCTGATGTGTTAGTGTCGAGAGGACGCAGCTTCAGCCGCGCCTTGTTGGACGAAATGGCTCACAATGGTCTACAGCAAAAATAGACACGGGGTGGTTGTCCCCCAAATACGATGTAATTAGTGGTAAGTAATAATCGCGCCCGCGTGGACTGTAATTACAGGGCAAGACATCAGCCTGCCCAGCCACGGAAGGAGTGAGGTGCTCACGCCATGGTCCCGGGGGAGGGCCAGGGCCTCTACTTCGTACACTCCTGCCTAAGTCTGGGGAAACGGGGACGCCAATTCCTTAGGCGCCGTTTCCCCCCATAAGTGGTGTCTTTCGTGCGGGTTTTCCCCCTCGTTTGGCTGCAGCAGTGGGTACGATCTGCCCCCTGTGTAAGTCCTTTCCACGCCAAATGTGCCCTGTTTTGTCGCTAAAACGACTTGCGAAAAGAGGAGTCGTGGCAAATGGGTCTAGTGGGTACGAATGGAATTTGTGCCCGAAAATCGGTGCAAAACAGTGAGAGTAATAGCGCCAGGCTTGCTGTAAATAGAGGATGGTGGAGACATTGTAAGCTGGTGGTCGACTGCTGAAACGGTCATATATTTCTCCGCTGCCGAGCTTTCCCTGAGAAGCTCCGCGTAAGACACCAGTGCGAGACCCCTCGCCGCAAATGCTAGGGATCCACTAAATTGAGGTGCTGAACGATCGCGAAAACCCAATCGGTCGCGAGCTTTCAATTTGCACTGACGTATTGCCTCACTGTCCACCGCTGCGAATCCGCGACCGCTGATCCAACCCCTCAGCGGCACCTCTCGAAACACGCTACCGACTCCTCACCTTCTCACCTATACACACACAGATCATGGCTGACGACGCGTCCGACGCAGGCCCGGTCTCGGAGCCGCTCGACCTGGTGAAGCTGTTGCTCGACGAGCTGGTGTTTGTCAAGCTCCGTGGCGACCGTGAGCTCAAGGGGCGGCTACATGTAGGTTGATCGGGTGGCAGGAGACACGAGAGGACGAGCGCCCCCATCTGGAGCTTTGCTGACGCGCATCACAGGCCTACGACAGCCACTGCAACCTCGTGCTTGGCGACGTGGAAGAGACGATTTACGTGACGGAGGACGACGATGAGGAGGAGGAGACCCCAGACGTTCGGGTGCGTATAGGGATGTGTTGTACGAAGAGGCTAGGAGGATGATTATGCTAACTTTGTCCCTGCATGGGAACAGACTGTGAGCCGCAAGTCGGAGATGCTCTTTGTGCGCGGTACGTCCTCGGCTTCCTGATCGAAATCGAAATATGCCCACTGGGTAGCCACGGGGCATTTTGCTGACAAAAACTGTTGCAGGCGACTCGGTTGTTCTTATTTCTCCCGTACCGCAGAGCTGAACAGGCTGAGATAGCGTACGGCACCATCTATCAACGAGACGCTCGGCGAACCCAAAAGCTCTTTACGCTCCGTACCGGGCAAAAGGCGTTGTCGAGAGAAAAGCAAACGCCTCGACACCGACAATACGATTCGGCCCCAGGAAACCACCCTGAAAGGACCGCAGATGTTTAGCGGTTGGCAGAAGACGAGAAGATATCCGCACTTCATGCCAGCCAAAACATTTTGATTTTAAGCGACGCGAGGCTCTACCGTAAACGGTGGCAGCTCAATAAAATATATCATTTTGTTTTGGTACTCGGACGATGCAAACAGAGCGAAGCGAATGTAAGGGTAGAAAAAAGACAAAAATTCAAGACATAAGAACAGAACATGAAACTACCATTGCTGGCTTTTCCTTTCCAACTTGAACATATCCTTCACAGTGCTGTCTCGGTAACGAGCTCCTAATCCTACTCCATTGCCCAGGAAACAAACGAACGTATTGTAATACAATGAAAGTAGTGGCAAGTAGAAACACAAAGTAAAAGAAAAAACACGGTACGTCATAAGGCGTGAAAATAAAACATATCGGTGGCAAAAGTCATACTATGTAAAAAAGCAATCCAAATCCATGTAGCATGGCGCGGACAATAAACTGCCAACGGCACACCAGGAGAGTTCATCATTCGGAAGGCGGCGGCTGGGATGGCCCCGGTGCTCCGTCGGCCGGTGACGGTGGTGCGCTGTCGGACGCCGACTTGGAGGACTTGGAGGACTTGGAACCAGCATGGCGACGCCGTCTGTGGCGACGCTTCTTGCGGCTACGAATGCGGATGGTGTAGCGGTATCGATACATAAAAGCCACCACGCAGACAACAAAGAGGGTCAAGAGAACGGCGACAACGACACCGATAGTGACGTTGGTCGTCTGTGCGCTCTGCCGCTTGGATAGCACATTGGACGCTGCATTGTTTTTGCTGTTGCCGTCAAAGGAAGAGTGTATCTTTGGTGCTGATTGCCCGCTAAGGATTCGTACAGCTGCCCAGTTTTGCTCGGCTGCTGCCTTGGCAAAGCCAGCTACCGATCTGTCCGTAGCTACATGGCTGTCGACGGTAGGTGGCAGCGCCGAGGAGGAAACCGGAAGTGACGCCGAGTGTGGCGGAGAAGAATCGACGGAGCGGTGTTGCGATGGAATGTACATCTAAGCACCCACTGACGGAATCGAATTCGGAGAGGAAGCCAAAGAATATAAGCAGTCGGAACCGACCGAAGAGCCGTGCTCTTGGTGGATGTGACAGTATCAGTAGCGAAGATGTGCGGCTAGGTCAAACATGGAATGTCGAAGGAAGATGCTGGTGCTGGATTGTTGACGTTGTTGATTGGGCTGCTGAGGTAAATATCAGACGAGCCTGTCGGATAGATACGGGCACTCGATGAGGAATCCGATGCGAGCCAAACAAGCAACCTGGTTGAATATCATGCAGCATAAGTTATAGCCACGACGCATATGGGACAAAGGTAGGGGAGTTGGTTGGTGGTGAATAGCGAGTCTGTCAAAACAAAGACACATGAGGTGAAGCCCAAACAGCAATCCGAAAGAAAAAGACAGGAGAAGGGGGAAAAAAATAAAAGCAGAGGCAACAGAAGGCAAGCCATATGCAGGGCGGCGGAGACGACGAGGTTATAATGCATAGACAAGACGCAGGTGTTTGTCTACCTCCGAGTGTGGGGGTTGAGAACAAAATGCTCACATATCGAATCACGGTGCCACGGCTTCCTGCCGCATCATATCAACGAGACGCAGGAGAAGAGGGGAAGGGACGAGAGGAACAAATAATGCGGCCAGTTTAGTGGAGTAGGGGAGCAAACGAAGACAAACGCCTGGCTGAACCTACAGGCAGAGTTCCACCCAACGGCTGGATGTGCAGTGGGCAAAGAGGGCACGGAATGAAAAGGAAGCATGCAGTGCGACAATTGCTGGCGCTTCATCGATGTCTGCCGATACACCGTGCAAACGTCCATTAATGAATTTTCCGTCACAGCTACCAGAGAACACTCAAGACTGGCAAGAGGGATGCCATCATCCAGATGCAACGCATGCGGTAGCATCAAAATGTACAAATCAGGCCGCCACAAGATAGATCGACTCTGCCGAGGAGTCCGGAAAGTCTCATTTGCGTGCGGAATCAATATATTGAAGGCCTGCTCGATCTCACATACTGGGTTCATTTGCCTCGTGTTGGGCCCCATTGACTTGACGGCATGCTATGCCGTGTTCTGGGGGGTCAATGGACACGGAGAGGGCCTTCCTGTAATGAAGACACTATCTGTCGAGAAGTTAATCGTGAGACAAAGAAGGGGAAACCGACACCAAGAAAGAGCCAGCGCAAAAGCATTGGTCGACAAAATCTGTGGCGAAGCTCAAAACGGTGCCATAGAGGTAAGGCGAAATGCCAACTCGGAGTACAACAGTCGAGGGCATGCCGCATTAGCGTTGGGCAGCTGCAGGCTTTTGCAAACGCATCGACGGCACACTGCATGCTTGGTAATTTGGAAACCGGACGTGATGAATCCTTTGAAAGGAATATGAAGGGATACGGGAAACAGTATTTCCCAGGGAGCACGTCAAGCAAGCCCAGTTGGTGTGAATTTCGGAGGGTAGCCGTGATAAGACTTGACAAAGTTGAAGGAGCGCACATATATACTGAGGCATGAAGACGACTGTTGTTGGTGATGAACGAAGAGAACGCAGAAGAGAAGAAGAGAGGAACCAAAAAGATACGACCGGAAGTGGAAATTTGGCAGAGATGGGAAACACAACTGGACTTAGGAAAGAGCGAGCATCACAACTGCGGTACCTCTGCAATGTTCTTCTGTTCTGTTCCGTTGTTGGCCTAAACGGGTAGGAACCAGTCAACGCGACGATATTTTTGGCAATAGCGATCCAGCATCACGCAAATGGAAACGGTAAGAGCAACCGACACCAAAAGACTTTCTCCAACAAATATTGTCGTACTCCGAACATCTTTTGAGGAAAAGGGTGTACGTCCCTTTGTTCTCAAAGAGCAGCACTGCCCCCCTGCCATCGATTCCTCAAAGACGAGCTTGCATTGTGTCCGCCTCATGCGGGGAGCTCAAGGAGCCCAGGCTGATCGGGCCCCAACGGCGACAATGCAACCTCACGCTGCACGGCGACAGCCACTCGACGGGCGCCGCCTCGTTCTGCACAAAGACCACAAAGGGCATTCAGGGCACAACGAACAGTTCTTCTCTGGTATGGAGTGGGGGCCAGATATTATCCCCAGACTTTTTTGGTATTGCTTCATTTCCCCACAGGCGGCGAGGACGGTAGCCATGCGATTTGCGTCGCACGCATTTGCGTCGGATTCCTGTCCGAACGTGCCTCGAGTCCTTGTGCAAGTGAGTGCAGACAGGCCAATGGCTCGCCTGCAATGGACAGATGGTCGTGTTCGGTTTTCTGCGCGGCGAGTGTAACCTGTAGGATTCGAAAACGAGGCGCAAGAACCCGCAGTTCTTCAGGAGCCAATGGCAGTGCCAGCGCATGACGACGTGGGCTTGATCATTCATCACATTCATTTTTGTGTGGAGAAGGTTTCACGAACAAGGTATCATATTAAATAAAATGGTTGTATGTACAAAGGAACAAACGAAGAAAACAAGAACGCTCTATGTCCATTTGTTATTGCACTTAGTTGTACACAATGCAGTAGACGACCGCAACGGCCGCCAGAGCCGATTGCAGCTGGGCGGCGCCGGTGGCCAACGCGCCGCTCGTGGAGGTGGACGTCGGCTTGGCCGTCCTGCTGCTTTGGCTGGCTTCGCTGGCTTGCGCCTGGCCCGTCGCCAAGCTCGAGGCCATGCTGCCCAGCGCGGAGCGCGTTGCCGCGTCCACGGTGGCGGCACAGGGTGTGCCGTAGGAGGAGGCGGTTTCGACGTCCAGCAGGGTCGAGCACGTCGTGTATACGGTGCTGGGCGTGTCGCTTGCGAACGAGATGCGGCCGTAGACGGTGCTACTCGCATAGTCGGAGAGAATGGCGCCGAACACGGGGCAGTCGGGTGCCTGGGCCACGTCGGCCGGGATGGATGAGTTGTCGGGCTGGGAGGCACGCTGGATGTCAGACTCAACGCGGAACAAGATGCTTGTCATCGCAGTCCCCCCACGGGCCGGATGGTCGCAGAGGTAGGTAAAGTTCCAGAGGACGTTGACGGTCAGCAGCACATGGCTGGTGTAGTTGAGCTTGCTGATCCAGCTGGTCATGTTGGTGTGGCCGAGCTGAATGGTGCCCTCTGTGGTGTTGGCGGGAACAAACAGTCCGCTGTCGAGGTCATTGTAGACACCGAGCTTGTGGTCGGGGTCGTAGACGTCCAGGTTCCAGATGAAGGAGAGCTCGCCGACATTGCGCACTTCCGGCAGGCGCTGGACATTGATGGCGACGGGGAGAATCTCGGTCTCCTGGTAGGTTTCGTTGAGCGGGAAGATGACGTCCACCTCGAGCACGGGCAGGAACGGGCCCGTCGTGGCGCTGCTGCTGGGCGGCGCAGCGGTCGTAGCCGGAGATGACGCTGACGACTGGGCGACTGCGAGGCCCGAGAACGCGAGACTGGCAAAACCGGCAAGGCGCATGATGGACGCGACGGCGCGCCGCGACGATCGGAACACCATGATCGCGGTGGATTTTGGGTTGTGCTGAGGACGAGTTGGAGAAACAAATGAGCGGAGTTCGTGAAGAAAGGAGAAAGAAAACAAGAAAGAGAAAGGAACAACAATTTGACGACGACGGGAAGAGAACTAATACTAACTTCAACGGCTGTGCCCCACAAGCCACTTCGTCACTTCGACTCTGCGGCATGTTTGTGCCGTCTTGTAAGGATCGTCGGTCACAGGCTTGGCGTTTGCTGCGCCTAATCCTCATAGAGCCTTGGCCCACGAGCAATAAAACAGGCGGCCAGGGGTTCTTGGATAATGAAGGGGGTTCTTGGATAATGAAGAACAACGAGATGCTCCGTGGCGTTTAGCAGGCTAACGAGATCGCGTTCTACGATTTAAGACAACAGTAATTCTCGCAGAGAAGATAAAAAGAACCCCGAGAAGCGCATTGGGCCATTGAGGCACTGTCCAACATACTGATCAACTTATGTTGCGACGATCGTGTCGAGGAGCTTACTTTTTGGAGCCTTGCATAGGGGTAATTTCCCATTAGGATTGGCGGATACAGGGCCTCGGAACATCGGCCCTCTTGGAGCGACCAGTCAGAGGAGGTTTGGTGTTGTCGAAGCTGTTACCAAGACGCTTTCTGAACGAATGATGCAACTGAAGGAGCAAATGCAATTGATCGCTTAGATAAGTTGGATGAAAGAAAGTAAACAAGCCTCCGCGCCTGCGAACCTCTTTTGTTAGTGTCCTCGAACCTTCCAAATAAGGCAAAGATTACGACGGCCGCGCTTTTCCCTTCGTGAGGAAGTAGCGATGCTACCACTCTTTGCACCAGGAAAGAGCGACCGTTGTCCAACGGAAGTCGCCAATGCTCTTTTGGGGCCATGGGGCCAAAGCAGGGCCGTATGCTCTTGTCCCTCTTCAGGAACCTTTTTGTCAACTATCGCCAGTTTGTTTTTGATATGTCTGCCTTCCAGCCAGCACCTCTGGCCAATGCACAATCCCAGGTGGGCTGAATGGATTGCTCTGGGAGGACTCCGACGAGTCCCCGCCATGAGGCGGAGTCAAATGCAGCCTCGGAGGCATGACAATCGGTTGAACAGAATAGTCGATTGAAATCTCATTCAGTTCGATTGTGTTTTTTATGGCTTTCTTTTATTTTGCTTTATCTCCCTGTCTTCCTCAATTTCCACTAACGAAGAACCTGGAGAGTATAGAAACAGGAGACACAATAACTACCAGACTTACGACCAACCCTTTCCAGCGATGAAGCTTCTCGATTGCCTCACGAAGCAGGTCGTTGACTTTGTGCAGAACGTGCCGCGCTATGCAATCCTCTCCCATACGTGGGAGGCCGGGGAACTGACCTTTGCGCTCGTCAGCCAAGCCAAAGACACACTGCGCAAGGGCAAGTCCTGTGACGTGACCAGGCGCCAGGGCTGGCTCAAGGTCAATTGGGCATGCGAGCAGGCCTTGAAGGACAACATCTACTATCTCTGGGTCGACACGGTCTGCATCGACAAAAGCTCGTCCGCAGAGCTGTCCGAGGCCATCAATTCCATGTATGCCTACTATCGCAAGGCCGCCGTTTGCTATGTGTACCTCTACGACGTCTGCAGAGGCGTCAGCCTCTTGTCGACGCCGGGGCATGGCGCCTGCAGCTCGGACCGCGTCGTGCCGTTCGACAAGAGCCGCTGGTTTTTGCGCGGCTGGACGCTGCAAGAGCTGATTGCTCCGCAGAACATGTTCTTTTTCGACCACCATTGGAACGAGATCACCACCAAGACGAACGCGCTCGCCTTGCTCGCCCACGTCACGGGCATCGACGAGTTTGTGCTCGGCGGCGGCAATCTGCGACTCGTCAGCATTGCCCGCATCATGTCGTGGGCCGCACGGCGCACAACCACCCGACAAGAAGACATGGCTTACTCGCTGTTGGGTCTCTTCGGCATCTCCATGCCGATGCTGTACGGAGAGGGCAGCGAAGCGTTCCTCCGGCTGCAGAAGCTGCTGATTGAGACATACAACGACCAGACGGTGTTTGCCTGGGAGTTCCCGCCGGACAACAAACTGGAATGGGACGGCGTGCTGGCACCGTCCCCGCACGTGTTCCTTCACTCGGCAAACATGTCCCCGACGGAGTACCGCTTTGCATCAGCCAAGATGTCGTGGCACGTCAAGCCCACGGAGGTGACGAGCCGGGGCGTCTTTTTCAACTCCTGTGTCCACTCTACGAAAACAAAGTATGAACTTCCGAGTCTTCAGGCCACCATCATGCTTGGCTGCGTGGATATGGCACTCAAGGGGTCGATGCAGCCGGCGAGCTTGGTCACCATTGACGTCGAGTTTACCGACAACAGCCGCCAGCGTTGCATTCGCAGACGCAACACGCCGCTGCGCATGCGGTGTGGCCGTACTCTGTCCGAAGTGCACGATGTGTACGCCAAAGCATCGGGCTCCTACGCCACACTGAACCGCACTGCCGACCAGTTCTGCGTGGTGCAAATCTGCACGCTGCCCAAGTGGCCACCGGGGCATTCGTACACACGTGTCTTTCCGACGACAGCTGCGCACGATCAGCCGCCCGGTCTGCATGTGGTGGTTCCTGACTGTTCATTTATTGTCTACCGAGAAGACTCGCGTCGGCGTGCTGTCAGCGACAACGACATCCAACACAAAACACACCATATTGTCATCTACCTCGCCCACGAATCCCACCTGGGTATCGCCTCCGAGTTCGATGAGCTGCTTGCCTCGTCGGGCACAACCCCCAACGGCTTGGTCCTGGCCGTGCGCTCGTATGAAGGATACACAGCTGTCCAAAAAAGCATCGCGGCGAAGGGGACGGATTTAAAGGTGGGGGAACTGTCGTCTCGAGCGATCGAGTTCCAGCAGTCGGGTGTCCGGCTCAACGCACACCTCAGCGTATCCGACACGGACGGGTCATACTGCCTCGACCTCTTTGCGAACACCTCTACCGCTGGTGCTGAGGTCACGTACTCACGGCTGAAAGACTGGCGCGGCCTGCCGGAGCCGTGAAGCGTCGCGCACAGGAAGGCTCTCCAGTGTGCGCGTGGCTAGGTGGAGGTGATCGCCGAGGCTGGACAGCATGTGCAGGAGCTCACTGCGGGCCTCGTCGCGTCCGGCTACGCCCTGTAAGACACGGCTTGTGGGCACCATTGGCACCGGCGGCAGCGACCGTGGTGCGGTGTCGCCACGATCAAAGGCTTGTGCATCCAGCGTGCTGAGGGTCGCAGGTGTGTCAAACTCAAACGGTGCCTCATCTTCAACGTACTCGCCGTCGGATCCGTTCCCCGTCGCATCATAGAGGTCGATCAGACTGTCGGTCGATACGCGGTTGATTTGGTTGCCTTCGTTGGTGGCGGTGTGCCTCTCCATCCTGCTTTTCATGCCAGCCATCTGGACCTGGCCCTTGATCGGCGATGTGGACGCCACCGGAAATGTCCAGTCTTGTGTCCGGTGGCGCATCGCATTCAGTGAGGTTCGATTGGCGCCGGCTTCTCTACCACTCGGGCGAATCGTGTCTTGGTCAGACGTATCCATGGCGGTAGTATCCGTCCTCGATGTGTCTTCTGCCACAATGGAGAGGTCGAGGTCAATCAAGGACTCGCGGTCTGGCTCTCGTCCTGGCTCGTTCGAGTAGCTGCGCAGTGGCAGGTCGGACACGCGGCCTGTCGAAGGCGGCAAAGGCTTGGAGTCGAGGACCAGAGCCGGCGGCGGGCGTCGTCCGTAGGTGGCACGGGCTTTGTCGCGGTAGCTCGTGAGCGTGTTTGGGTCAAACACGCCTTGGAGTGGGACCTGTGGAAGCGCTCGGCCCAGCTGCGGCGGCCGTCGACGAAGACGCGACTGCGGCGGAAGCTCTGGAGGCGGCATCTGGGGCAGCGGGGGCAGAGGCTTTGGTGTGGGCGGCAGCGATGGACTCTTGTCGAGAGAGATGCCATAGGCTTCATACACGGCGAGGGTATTGGCTTCATAGTCGAGCGAAAATGCGTCACCATCGTCATCGTCGTCGTCGTCTTCGTCGTCGCCAAAGTCCCATGCCGGGAGACTAGCGGTCGGACTTGCGTCAGCCACCCCTTTCGCACCACCCGCTGAGAACAACGACACGCGACCACCACCACGGGCCTGCCAGAGCCGATAGGCTGACAGCAGCGCCGACAGAGACGTCGTTGGATGCGAAACAGCTGTACCTGCAATGTATCGCATTTGCTGCACCTGCTCAATCGAGGGCCGTTGTGTCGGGTCGTGCACCATACAAGCGGCAACAAGCTCCTTGAGACCGTCCGAGTACTGGTTGCCGACAAGACGCGGACAGTTCTGCTCAAGATACGACCCAAACGTCGAGAGGTCAAAGTTCCCGCCACCGGCGCCGGCGAGAGTCCGCGTGGCATTGGGCGGCAGACCGGTGGCGACCTCGTACGCCATGGAGCCAAACGCCCAGATGTCGACCTCGGTCCCGTACTGGACATCGGCACGGAACAGCTCTGGCGCCATCCAGTGCAGCGTGCCCGTGACGGTGCGCCGCTTGTCGACGGCGGTCTCGACGAACCCGGCGACGCCAAAATCGCACAGCTGGACCCGGGAGGGTGTGTCTGCTTCGCCCCGCGTCTCTGATTCCGAAAGGTCGGCCACCAACACGTTGGCGCACTTGATGTCGCGGTGGATGATGCCCTGGCCGTGCACCCAGTACAGCGCCTCGGCGGCCTCGCGCAGGATGGGCACAATCCACTTTTCCGGCAAATGGCCCGTCGGCCGCATCAGCGTGGCCACGCTGCCGCCGCCGCAGTACTCGGTGACCATCCACACGGTGGGGCCGACGAGCAGCGAGTCCAGCACGGTGTTGATGTTGCGTGCGCCGCTGGTGCCCAGCAGCTGCAGCGTGCGGATCTCCTTCAGGACGTCGGCAAAGGTGTCGACCACGGCCGTGGGGGCCGCCTGTAGCGTCTGGGCCGTCTGTCCCGGCGCATTGATGTTGATGTCACTCGCACCGCCCGAGTCGTCGGCCGCCGCGGCGTCGCCCTCTTCGATGCTGATGATCTTGACGGCCACCACGCCGTCGGTCTTGGCGGACGTCGCTCGGAAGACGCGGCCGAACGTACCCTTGCCGATGAGCTCGGTCAGGACATAGGGGGGCGGGTCCCGGCCGGCAGCCATGCAGTCGCGTACGACAGCGGCCTGGGTGCGGCGGGCCTCGTCGATGGCCTTGTCCTGGGTCTGTGATGGCAGTGCCGGCATGGCCAGGCTGCGTCGACGGTCCATGGACGCCGTGTGAGCAACGTTGGAGAACGTGTAGTATGCAATGTCTTGTCGTAGTTGAGAAACGTGTACGGCATTTGCGTGGCACCGTTTGCCACTCGATTCGGCCGTGTCAATTGTTGTGATATGTGCAATTTTAATGGGAATTTTTACCATGCTCTCCTCCCCATATGACCTTTTTGTTCATTTCTATACCTTTTCCTATGACTTTTTCCATGACTTTGTTACTATGATTATTATCCCCGTTTTGGCCGATTTTCCCGCGTGTTTTGAATGTCTGTTTCGGGTAGATACATTTTGGGTCTTTATTTTCTGGCAGTTGACGATTGTCTGGGCTGTTTCGTGTCATGCTACAGCCGGGATGCTGGGAGAAGGCGACATTGGTCATGGATAAATGATCGTGCCGGTAGAATTCATGTCACTTCTACCAGTAACAGTCGCGGGGACTGAAAGTTTGTATTGTTCAAAAAGTAAAAAAGTAAAAAAAAAAAAAAAAAAAAAAAAAAAAAAACGAAAAAGAAATGGAAACTGCAAATCAAATCCAAAACTAACATGGATCCAGGTGAAGAGGTGAAGCAACATTGTCGAAACCCAACATTGCCTCTCTTACACTTCTCTTCCCACCCTGGCTACCTGTCACTCCTTGCCATGGCCAGGCAGCTCAGTGAGCCCTCGGACAAGTTAGTAACATGGTCTCGTAGACTTGGATCAGCAAACAACCATCGTCGCGCGTCGTCCCAAATGACAGCCGTCGGTGTCCTCTGCCACCGTGTCCTTGACGGCACACGTGCTGGCCTCCGCCGCCGTCTGGGTCGTGACGCCATCCGTGGTAGCTTGCGTACATGAACTGTAAATGAAGGGTTGGAGAGATAGAATAAAGGTTGCTTGATAGTCGACGGGAGGACACGAAAGAAAAAAGAAACAAGACACAGACGGAGGAAAAGAGAACAAAGTGATGGAAAAGTGTCCGGAAAGTGTCGTCTCAATTAATGCCAAGTCTCGGCCAACACGGCGGCGGACGCGTGCAATATCGTCGTTCGTGGGCATCTCAGTTGCCTCTCGGCAAATATGTGACTTTATGCTATCGTTGCAAGTCTGTCTGTGTTTGGATTGTTTTCAGCTTTGCCGTGACTTGTCAGATTTGTTTTGGCGGCTTTACCGATTTCATCAATTAGATTTGTTCGTCGATCGATGACACAAAATAGGAAGGGCAGCTCACTTTGAAGACGTATCGTAGAAACGAAAAGGAGACTGTAATATTCAAGTTCACCATGGCTCATAATAGAGAGAGAAAGACATCAGACTCTTCTGTAATCTGTCTGCGAGAAATAAAAATAATCAATCAAAAAAATATGGTGTTAGTTTATGTATTTTGTCTCCAATTTATCAACAACAACAGAAAAAGATCCACACAGACTATTTTCCGGAAAAGGAGAGAGTAAGCAAATCATGAGAGCATTGTTGACATAATACCGAGGAGAGAGCGATGGCAATATGAATAGAAAAGAAGAGGGAGTCGAAATAAATCATGTCGCTCTCGTGATCACAATGGCTCTCGTGCTTGCAAACCACCCATGGGATCCACTTGTAGCTCTCCTACTGTTTGCCCGTCTCCAAAACGGATATAAACGCCCTCTCTCTCCTCTTCCCTCGACCTTCTTTTCCTCTCTGTTTTTTCTTTTCCTCTCTCTAGCCATCTCCTTCTTATATTTGCTTTCCCTTATCCTACTCCCACCTCTGGCACTTTGTTTTCATCATCTCACCATGCCATCGACAACTCTACCTACCCGCAGAAATGCATGTGGTGTGCAGTCTGCCTTTGGGTTGACCAATCCCCGTTGGCTACGGAATGAATACCTCTGCGTCATAAACAAATGGTGCTCGTACGGCAGACTGCATCACGACGAGAGAGATGTGTCATGAGACTGGGGACCCATCGGGCCTTGGTATGTTGCAAGACGGGTGCCGGGGGTCATTGTCTCCTACACATCTGCGGCGGTTCACTGCATACTAACGTCGACAGACCAACAAATCTATTGCCAAGATGGAGGATGAACGCTGAGGGTTGTCACGAGATGTCAGCGCTGTGAGAAGAATCACTATTCTTGCGAAGAGACGCCGAGGTTGATGGTGGCAAACGTGCGCGCTGCGCCGCGGTCCATGTATATCCTCACATGCCCATTATGCGTGCCCCTTTTTGCGTCTCTTACGTCGTGCTGACTGTCAGTTTTAGGCGCGAAGGGTCATCCTTTGATCATGCATCGAAGAAGAAGAAACGCCGTCAAGAGAAAACTTTGGGTTGCACTTGAGCATCTGAACGGTGGCTTCAATGTCAACATGACGCCACTCCATGTGGCAGTTCAGATGCATGTCCTTGAAGACTGGCGTGACAGACGAACAGTACGTATTTTCGCTGTATCACGTCGACAGTTCTCCACGACACTTTCATCCATCGAGACGCTGCTGACCGAATCCTCCTTCTCATGAAGTCGGGGAAAACAGATATGACCGACAAGGCCATGTCAAGACTAACGAGGATCTTTGGCTTGGTCTTGGTCGGGAAACAGAAAGGTTATCGAGTTCCAATGCAGCGAACGGCAGAGGCCATGGAAAGGACGGCCGACGCAAAATACCACGCGGGCCAATACCAGTCCATCGCTCGGACGGATGACCGTGGATGGTGGAGTCCAGAAATGTCTGGGATGCGATGAAGTGAGAAGAGCCTGATTGCGTATCGAATCGGTCGCGGTCAAGTTGAGTCTGGACGACTGACAGTAGCTTCATGGAGCTGCTCGAACCCCAATGGTTGTGCCGTAGGGATTCGTGCAGAATGCCTGGTACAGTGGACGTCTGGTACCAAGTCACCAGAACGTGAAAAAAAGGGCAGTGCTGCTTCGGTGGCTTCGCCCAGTTTGAAAGCGACGAAAGTACATGTGCTTGTCAACGACGAGTGGCCTGTGCTGGATGATGTGGTTAGGGGACGTGCGCCTGCGTACAGTCGAGTTCTGGTGATAGCAACGGGTGGCAGGTTTGCAAAACTGAGAAAACGCTGCCAAGTCTCTGCCATTTCTACCCTGGCAACATCCACAGTCCACTGCATCAACGGTTTGGAGCGAAACGCCACGCCACACCATTATATCAACGAGACGTTGGTTGTCACCATGCTGATGTCGTCTGCCGTACGCGGCGTAGACAGAAGCGGTGGGGACTCTGTCTTAGTTTTTTTTTTTTTTTTTTTTTTTTTTTTTTTTTTTTTTCGAATGATTGAGATAATGATCTCGCGGATCTTATAACGTCACTGCCAATGGTAGACAGAGATGCCCGTCGGTGGGACATGGACTGGAACGACCACTTTGCGCCACGTCAAAGTGTGTGGCCGGTAAAGGCGTTTTTGCAAAATCACCAAACGAAAACGCGGGATTCGTCAGTATGTCGTGATGAGACGTGTTCACGCGAGAGACATGGAGGTCCGACATTCTTGAGCGTTATGTATGAAGGACATGGACGCTTGTTCACTCCACGAACACTTTGACGTAATGACAGAATCCAGCAAAGTGGCACACATGTGCACATCTCTCCGGGCTTTGTCGATGGAAAGAATGAAGAATATATGACACTGGAGTTGCAGTTGCGCAATGTCCACAAGTGCCTGTGGCTTGAAGTGTGGAAAGTCAACATTGCCAACTGGAACGAAGACGGGTCGATTGTATGTGGCAGACCAACCAACGTCATCCGGTCTCGAGCATAGCCTCTCTTCGACGTATTGGGAAACCCACATGCAGACGAACGAGAGCTGCGGACTATGTGGTGAGAAGACTTTCCCTGCCTCTCAAACCATGAGCTGTGTCGTTCAGTCTTTCTAACATTCTTCTGCAGGTGGGAAGTCGAGGCGGTCGAATAGAATCTGGACTCGTCGCCAATCACCTACACTGTTGGCGACATTGGTTGATGTCTTGGCTCTTCTGACCAGGAGAGAATGGTAAAGACAAATGCCCGACAGCTGTGTGTGGTCTCACAGACCCGTACAGCCTGATCAGAGTCACCTTGAAGAGCCCTTTGATAAGACGATCCAATTCTGTTGTTGGCCTTCCGGCATGGCAGGACAGCCAGTGTGCTGTTGAAAAAGCTTGGCATCGAATGTCACTGAGCGTGAAACATGTCGAGTCCACAGCCGAGCGGATGCCGTGGGTGTCTCGTTGACTCGTGGACAAAGAATGAGACAACGCAAACCCCAGACCTGCAAGGACTGTCCAAGGAATGTCTCTGGTGTTGGCATCTGAATTGATGCCCTCCTTGCAAGAGGAGAAATCTGTTGATGCAGTTGTGACCGATGCCGCCTCCCACAATGAAGTATGGTCAACGTGTTGGAGGCAAACGTTGACGATATGACAAGGCCCGCGAGCTGGCGCGACTCTATGGCAAGATCCCGCAAATATCGACAAGCGTACAAGTCAATGCCGGTGCGTTGAACACTGATCGTCCGGACGTGGACTATTTCAAAGCCATGTTGACTCCGTTGTACATGTTTGAAATGGAAGTTACCCTTTTCGCGACAAGCAATGCTTGGGCAGTGCTGATGGCAGATGGTTGATGGTCCGGTGCTTGAAAGCTTTCACACTTTGTTCCTTATTTTTGACGAGGAAGATGGTTGCAAGTCGCCCACAAAGAAACCGTTGTCAGCATGTCAAGGTTGGATTCATGGTTAATGGTTAATGGTGGATGGTTGATTGTACAGTCCTCGTGCGACATGGGCAACCGCCGTGTTAGAAGTGGCACGGTAGGACCTTTTCATGCACCCGTACCACGTACGGCGTCTCCTCCTTAGGTTACTGCCTTGCCTGGAAGTTTTTATATTCTTTTTCTTCCACCACGGCTAGGTGTTGCACCATATGACGCAGTAAATCACATAAATCAATAGGAACTAAAAATACAGCCTGCTCTACATTCTACTTGACTATATTGTTCCATCTTTGCCTCCTCTACATACCACGAGCGTCTACAGCCTCGCCTTCCCAGCGTGAAGACGCTCCCAGTCGTCTCGCTTAAACGGCACATACGTGGTGCCCTTGCCGTGGCCGTCGATCCACATAATGACATCGCCCGCCGCCACCTTGTCCGGATCAACGCCCTCGTTCTTGAGTGGCATCTTGTCCTGCTTGTTGTTGTGTGTCGTCGAGGCTTCCTGGACGTGCCGCACAAACACGGGCACGGCGTACTTTGGGAGGTGCTTGCGGGCGTGCCTACGCAAATGTCAGTGATGCGATCACCCGGCATGGGGGGACAGGGGAGAGAGAAGAGAGACGTACGCCAAAAACTGCTGATGATTAAAGTCGGCTCGCTTGGCTGGGTCCAGGTGCAGTGCCACAGCACCCGCCTTGCCGTCGTGCCCCGGCAGCCCGACGCCGTAGACGTTGGCCTCGAGCACGCCGGGGAACTTGCCGAGCACCTCGCCGACCTCGGTGGTCGACACGTTCTCGCCCTTCCACCGGAAGGTGTCGCCCAGCCGGTCCATGAAGAACCAGCGCCCGTCGTCGTCGCGCCGCAGCGCATCGCCCGTGCGGTAGAAGCAGTCGCCCTTCCGGAACACATTGCGCTCCAGCTTCTTCTCGGTGGCCGCCTCGTTGCCCACGTAGCCGCCAAAGACACGCTCGCCGGGGATGCGGATGAGCACCTCGCCGCCCTGCGCGTAGGGCACCCGGTAAGCAAAGCCCGTGTCCGGATTACGCGCAATGTCGCCCGTCTCGGGATCAATGGCCACGGGGATGTACTCGTCGTTGTATCGCCAGCGCAGCAGCAGGCCGTGGTGGCCGACCGAGTGCTTGTGGAAGTCGCCGCGGCAGACGTTGTCGAGCGGGAAGACGCCCTCGGTGCTGTTGAAAAACTCGTGGATGCGCTCGATGCCGAACCGGTCACGGAACTTGTCCCAGACGTCGGGCCGCAGGCCGTTGCCAAAGATGGTGTGCACATTGTGGTTCTTGTCGTCGGGCGACGGCGGTGCCGCCAGCAGATAGCGGAGCGTCTCGCCGACGTACACGAACCAGGTGGCCCGCGAGTCGCGAATGTCCCGCCAGAAGCCGGACACGCTGAACTTGGGCGCAATGCACAGCGTCGTGCCGCACAGCACCTGCGCCATGGCATTGATGCCGCCCGTGCCGTGGTAGTAGGGCATGCACACGTAGTAGCGCTCGTTGGGGCGGTCGACCGGGTTGAGTCCTGTCAAGTTGCTGGCACCGTGGCCAAACATGGGTGCAATCGGGAGGTAGCACGCCTTGGGCAGGCCGGTCGTGCCGCTCGTATAGAACATGGACGACGGCCAGTGGGGTTGCACGCCCGCCCGCAGCTCGTCGCCCGGTCGCCGCGCATCTATGGCATACACTTCGGGGCGCGCGTCGGCCAAATCGACCACGCGGTAGCCCTGTGCGTCCAGGTCGGTCTGGACAGCAGCGATGCGTGCGTGGGCGTCGGGTGGCCCGTCGACAAGAATCAGCTTGGCTGCACTGATGCCCAGGCAGTGCAGCAGCGGCTTGTTCGTCAGGTGGAAGTTGATCATGGCCGGCGCAGCGCCAATGGCCAGCAGACCGAGCCATGCCGTGATAAAGTCGGGCGAGTTGATCATGAAGAAGGCCACGAGGTCGCCGGGCTGCACGCCCTGCTTGAGGAACCACTGGGCGTACTGGTTGGCGCGGTCGTACATCTCCTTGCGCGTGTAGCAGCCGTCGCGCGACCATATGGCCTCATGGTCGGGATTCTGGCGCGTGTTTTCTTCGATAAAGTAGTACGGCGAGAGCCGTTTCTCCTTGATGGCGCGGGCCATCATCTTGCCCAGGATGCGGCGGCCGCGGATGTACTGGATGTCTTTGCGGAGGTGGAAACGGGCCTCGAGGTAGGCCAGGCCGGCGGTGGTGGCCGCAGCTGCAGCCGCCGCCGTCGTTACTGGAAATCAAACAAAGCAAATGTTAGTGAGACGGCCGCGGAGAAGCTTGGTACAAAGTGAAAAAAGTGAAAAAAAAATGTCGTTCTGGCTGGTGAGACGCGAGGAACGTACCGAGTTCCATCTTTGCTGAACCGCGATGACTCCGCGTTAGTGAGGTGCCGTTAATAGTTCGATAGTATTAGTCAATCGTTTGCAGGGACGTTGGTGAGGTGAAGCTCGAGCTGTACGTCGAGATGGACGTTGGCGATAAAACAAAAACAAAAGAGCACCTTAGCAAAACACAAAAACGCAACGTCCAACGGCCAAAGAAATGATGGAACCGAATCCTTTTCTTATCCCTCCCAAACACACAGACGGCAGAGGCGCCTTGGCCGTGTATCGGGGTCCGCGGCTGTATTAAAAACAAAATGGGTGACCCAGTCGCCAGAAGAGATTCCCCTCATTGCAACGGCACCTCTGTCGCTGTGACACGACCAGGGTCCATCATTTTGGAAGCGTTGCTTCTGCTGCCTTGCCCGCTGGCAAATTTGCCGAGAACGACAAAGGAGCTTCTGCGTGCTTCCATGTCACTTTGTCCCTTGCGAGCATTCCCCGTGCATGTTCCCCAATATAGCCTCGTCGTCTGCCTCCCCTTCTGCGTCCTCTTTCTTGTCTGTCGTTGGCGGAGACAACTCATTGGCGGCTGCATTGGGCGGACTGTCCACTCTGCCAACGCTCGACTAACACATTTCCCCAGACAGAGGGGCTGAGCTAGGGAAGTAATGACGGGTTCAGTACGGAATAGGCAGTGGATTGATACAGCTAATGCGGAGTATTGTGACGAGCCGAAAGGTAAACCGGGCGTAGGAACGCGCGAGAAACGGCCATTGTCCACTGCCAGGCCCTTTTTGGCTGGTCGGCAATTGGAACCGCCATTTCGGCAAATGGGAGGCGGCCATATGAGGCTGCAGAATGGTTAAAGCTGGGCCAAAAAAGCTGCTCGAAGAGGTGAAAATGGCTGTGTTTCTTTCAAAAACATCGCCACACGTCGATAGACCGAGGTGTCGAGTGTTTACTCCCAAAACAGTGGTTTTGCTGAATCGTACCTTCCCTCGACAGCTGTCAATATGCTGCTGTTGTCACAACAGTATTAACAGGGGCATTTGTGTATTGTTGAGCACCGGCCTATAAGGGGCGTCGGCTTGTTCAAGCCGATGTCCCATTTTGTGGAGCCCGCTCTAGCCACAAATGCACGGCCGCATTATATTTGGATTATGTCATGTAGATGACATAATATATTAGTTAGCACATTTAGCGGAAGGGTTGGCGAGCCCTAGCTTTTCAAAGTGGGTCCCAACCCTGGCCAATTTTTTCCCAAATTTTCCTGGGCGGGCCCCTCTTCCCAATAGGCCGGCCCAGTGGAATTTTCAGACTTGGGAACGTCCGCTTCTCACGATCCGACTTTCTCTCCCTCGACAAACACTTCCCACGCCCAACGATCTCGACGACTCTATACCCCTTTCCTCCCCAAAACCCCAATATAACCTCTATCAAGATGGGTGGTGTTTCTGTTCGGGATGTCGATGTAGGTGTTTTCCCAGGATGAAGCAAGAAATGATGAAGCAGGAAGATTCCCAAAATCGAAGTCTCCCTCACGTCCGCGACCTCGACAATCGCAACCCAAACGCACAAAAATGGATCGACTGTTACGCAACTCCCTGGGCGGATGGCGGGAGTCTCTCTTCCTCTCTGAAACACGGGGAGGTGTGAGGTGCCGCCGTCACTTGTCCTTGAGACGGAGACACCGGAGCTCCTTATTCTCTCGTTCGCCTTGTCCTGAAAAGGAAGACGAGAGAGTCGGCCAGGCCCTGCGGACCAGCACGACATACAGTTCGATGCCATGAAAGAGACGGGCAACATACTCTGCTGGGCGACGTGGCGACCGTGGAAACATGGGACGGCCATGCGGCAGCAACGGGGCACATTCTGGAAACATTGTTTTGGAGCAGGCGTGAGGGAGTCGAAAGACTTCCTATGACGGAATATTTGCTAATTGGGTTTTCTTTTTTCTCCCTGGCTCTAGGCCCAGAAGTTCATCGTCGCCTACGCTGCTTTCCTGAAGCGCCAGGGCAAGCTCCCCATTCCTGGTAAGTGAAGCCAGAGCTTGACGTCGACAGCAAATGCACGCCCACAGGTACTAACGACTCCAGGCTGGGTCGACACGGTCAAGACGGGCCACGCCAAGGAGCTGCCTCCCCAGGACATTGACTGGTTCTACGTCCGCGCCGCCTCGGTTGCCCGCCACGTCTACCTCCGCAAGACGGTCGGTGTTGGCCGTCTCCGCAAGGTCCACGGCACCGCCAAGAACCGCGGCACCCGCCCCGGCAAGCACGTCAACGCCTCCGGCTCCGTCGACCGCAAGGTCCTGCAGTCGCTGGCCGCCATTGGCATCGTCGAGGTCGACGAGGAGAAGGGTGGCCGCCGCATCACCCAGGCCGGCCAGCGTGATTTGGACCGTATCGCCCAGACCACCGCCGAGGAGGAGGAGGAGGACGAGGACGAGGACGACGAGTAAACGTGTCGTTTCCTGGCCACAGTCTGAATCATGATGAAGATGAAATTAAAATAAAATAAAGGGGTCTGTTTGGAAGAGCGTTCTTTCGATATACGGGGGCTTATTTTTATAAGTCTCTAGTCCACTCTGTCTGAATCGGACAGGGTTTCGGCGCTATTGGGGGTCTCTTGTTTTGCGTGTTCTCCTATTGTTTCGTTGACCCAAACATCTTTCTTACCAATACCACACCAAAAAAAGAAAGAAAACTTGAAAAAGACAACAGAAGCGGTCCCTCTACTTTCTTGTCGTTCACCAGTGCTTGTACTCGTTCTTGTGCTTGTTCTTGTGCCCATCCTTTGTGCCTGTGTACTGTGTTCATTCGTTGAACTGATATGTTATAGTCTTGCTGTTTCGTTGGCAACTCACCGCAACAAGCAGCCAAAGCACTGCCTTCACGCAGACATCGGATGAAATTCACTATTCACTCCTGCTCCTGCCCCTAACGGCCTATTGCTCGCCGGCTGTCCGTGAAAACGCCGTTTGGGGTGTCCTGGTGACTTCGTCTCGTTACTTTCTTGTCACTTTATGGCTCGCTGCCCTTTTCGCCCAAACTCGCGCGCCTTTGTCACGCTTTTTTGACATCGCCAGGCATTGCATCTTTTTGAGCCTGCAACCCGACGACTATAATTCGACTCTTGTCTTTTTACCTGTCTTTTCATCTCTTTTCGTCTCCTTCTATACGGCTGTAAAGTATGGCTTATTTTATTGTCTTGTCTCCAACCAAAGAACATTCATAGACGACATTTGAGGCCCCTTCACTGACGCGTTTCTGAATTTTGACACTTAGGGATGACATGCACCAAGAAGGCCAACAAGGCCAAGACGCGCAGTGTCACGGACATTGCCCGAGAACATCGAAGTTCCAGCCGTGACATACCCAAGAAAAAATGCGGCCGCAAACAGAAAAAGAAGCTGGACATTGCCTTCGCCTGGCGGGATCGAGGCCGAACAATGGTGATTATGAACGAAATCGCCTCAGCTTCGACCGGCCTGCCTGCCACTGACAACGTCCAGGCCACCCCGGCCTGCCTTATTCCCACCGGCAGCAACAAACCGCTCAAGTTTTGCACCAGCGGCTGGCGACAGACTGCCGCGCCCTGCAGCACGAGTCTTGACGGCGCGCGGTGGACGCAGCTGGTCCGTGACTTTGCTCAGGCTGCCGAGTTCCAGCTCACCCTGAGCGTTCGTGACTCGCCCAAGTCGTCCGAACGCATTCCGGAGAACGATGGCCGCTACGATGCATGCCACGCGGAAAAGAAGGTGAGTCTTTGTTTCCGTCGCTGGTTTTTCTTCTTGTTCTTCTTTTTCATGTTCCTTCCTCTGTTCATTAACTGACTCACTATAATGTATTATCAGCTGGGCCTGTTTTTTCTCGCCCACCAGATGAGGTTTACAAAGACCGGGCTCGGTGAGGCTCTCAGCGGCAAGCTTCTCGAAGCAAAACTGCCTCTCTACCGCCGAAGTGCTCGCATTTACCTCGGGCACAAGCCCTGCAAGAGTTGTTGTATGTCGGACCTGACAGAGAAATCAATACACCACTTGTGATATCGATGTTTATTAACGCCACGTTGTAGCTGCCTTTCTGCGCCTCATTAAACGTCGTACCGGAATCGACGTCCGCGCTGTGCCGTGCCCTGTTCTCTCCGAGCACGCCCGCATCCGCACCTTCTTCGACGCTCCTGCGAACAACGCTGGGGCTTTCACATCCGGCCCCAAGAACAGTGACCTGAAGGACGGCAGGAGCAACGAGGGAGACCTCAGCGACAAGGGTGAAACGGAGGGTGTAGATGGCGGAAAGAGTGGCGATGATGGAGACGATGAGGCAGAAGACGATGACAACGACGATGACAGCGAAGATGACGACGCCGACGACGCCGACGACGATAACATCGTCATGATCGATGGGTACGATACCCTCGAAGCCGCCGAGGACGTCCTAGCTGGTTTCCCTCTCGGAAACGTCACTCGACCGCGCTACACCACACCCGTGTCCGGGCTCCACGAGCAAGAGGAGTCGCCCCATTCTGGGCAAGTGGCCGACCTGGACGAGGGTGAGCCCGAGGCCGAGGACGACGAGCCCGACCTGCCTGCCAGACAACCTGCTCCCACCGCGAATCTTTCCGTTCGAAGCTCTCCCTCGCCGTCGGTCAGCCTTGCGTCTGTGCTGGACTCGTCCGTCATTGACCGCCGCGACCGCTTCCCCGTCTACACCTCGCCGTCGCACCGAGGCGGCAGTGCCGCGCCTCCGTCGACGTGGGGGGCCCGTCACAAGCCGCCCATTACGCCGTGCCTCGAGGCACCCGACTTTGGCCAGCACACGGGTGACTACAGCAACAACAACGACAACGGGGGAGTGTCGTCTTCGTGGGTGGCCGCCAACCAACAGTCGTACTTTTTTGGGACCCCCAGTGCTCCCAGCATCATGAGTGAGAGCGGACCAGCCCAAGCAAGTGCTTTTGCCCATGCAAACACAGGCGGACGGGAACGCCAGGACCAGCAGCAAGGTCTGCTACCAGAGGCCTCACTGCAGCAACGTGCTCCGCGTTCTCGGTCAAACCTGGACATCCTCAGTGAGGCGGCTCGCCACGTTGAAGCCAACGCTCACCGTGCCGTCCGTGCCGTTGCAGGTGCCGGACAAGGTGCTGCCACTGCGAGCACTGCTACAGATACTCCCGGGATGGTGCACACTCACATTCGTCAGCGCCATCCGGCCATCGCCTCGCTTGACAGCAGCCGCGTGCACTCTATTTCAACCACCCGCCACAGCAACGCCCAGGCAAACCGGATGCCCATGTCTACCGCAATGCACTCCACCGCCTCTCGCGTCCCGGTCGTCGACCTGACCGGCGACACCGAGGACTACGCCGCCAGCACACGTCTACCTTTTGTCCGCGGCCTACACAATCCGTGGGTGCCGAGACGTGAGGCCCCACCGCCACCGCACCCTGTCCTGCAGCCGCCCCCTCGTCCTCGACAGCAGGTCCACGCCGAGCAGCAGCAGCAGCAGCAGCAGCAGCAGCCGGACGTCATACTCCTCTCCACCCGCCCCGCCACAACTGGCGGTGGCTGCACTGTGCGTGGTGAGCGGCGGCCTAGCACGCCCCGGCCGCCGATCTTGGCCAATGGTCGCCAGACCATCTTCAATTCCGGCCACGGCCCAAACGCCGCCACTGTGCCTGTTCCTGTGGTTTCTGTGCAGGACCAGCACAGCCGTCGTCGTCGTGGCGTGGCCTTGCCGGTGCGACGGGGTGGCCGTAGAGGTCGTGGCGGTCGTGGCTGTCGTGGCGGGCCGCCGTCGTCGACGGCTCGGCCGTTTCCTGACCTTTCGTCGTTTATGTACGGCGACGGCTCGGGTTGGGTGTGAAGGACAGGCACGAGAGGGCTCTCGCGACCGACAAGACCGACAAGAGGGAGATCAGAGAAGAGCATGAATGGCAAGGCCGTCCATTCTCGCCGAGGAGTGAGTGACTGAGGAGGAGTGACGTGCTCGACGGAGAGAGTTTGTTTTCTGAAACGATTTACGAGCCACGATGTGCCATACTTACGTTTCTGTGTGTCTTGCTTCTGTCTCTCATGGTTTGCTTTAGTTTTCCTTTTTCCTTTTTCCTTTTTCTTTTCTTTTCCGGACACCGAATTCTGCCGAATGAAACGACACATTACGGACATGGACAAGGATTTGTTTGCTTTTCAGGGAGTTGACATGGCGTTTTTCAATGGCAAACGAAATATGAGAGGAAAGGGAGGGCATGATATGGAGTGCAAGGACGAACGCATATGGACGGTTTTCACGAGATATGAAATGTCTTCTTCTTGTAAAAACACCAATTTGTCTCATGGACCGATTGAAGGCCACGTCACAGTATGCACGGAACTGGGAACAGGCTGAGCCAATAATCCAATGGGTTTGCTGTTTATCGTTCTATGAGAAATGCCGTGATAAAATCCAACATAAATACCTAGACGCCGGAATCAAACCATGGCAATGATGCGTTAGAAATAAATTACATGAGACAAAATACCCTTGATAGCACCGTCCTCTCGACCCAGAGAGGTTTTTCAAAAAAGGAAAAGATTCCGTAAGAATTGGCATATCCATGCCCCCAAGTCGCACGCTATGATTAGGAAAAGAACAAGGAAAAGCAATAGTACGCAGAGGGCCTACGCCCACTTGGCCAGCAGGGCCATGAGACCGACGCCGACCGAGACGCACAAAAACGCCAGCATCTGCACGCTGAGCTTGGCGTCGCGCATCTCCGGATTGAACATGAACTCGTGGGCGAGCAGCTCGACGAGCGCCGTGTAGACGAGAATGCCCGCGCTGACCGCGTCAAAGATGCCGTTGATGAGCTGCGCCAGGTCGGGACGGGAGTTGAGGCCCGCGTTGACGCCCAGGCCAATGGCGATGCCAATGGGGGTGGTCACGCCGTACCCCAAAGCCATGAGGTATCCCGTCCACGCCTTCCAGTTGGACGGCCAGGAGGCGACGGCGAGCCGCGATCCCAAACCCAGGCCCTCGAAGAACTGGTGGAAGGCGATGACGATCAACAAAACGCGAAGGTTGTCGGACCCGGCCAGACTCAGACCAATGAACAGCGAGTGGAAGATGACGCCAAACTCGAGGATAAGCAGCGAGACAATCTGGCTGCCATAGTTGGCGTGGGAGTCGCCGTTGACGTGTTCGTGGTCGTGGGCGAGGTGGTCTTCGTTGCCTGGTGGATAGTTGAGCTGTTTGGGGAGGCCGCCGCTGCGACTTTGCGTGCGGGTCGTCGCAGCGGCCAGGACGCTACCGTCGAGTGCGGTGCTGCCAGTGGCCGCGGCGTTGGCCTCCTTCTTGTTTTGCGAGGAGGCTGAATCGACCGATAAGCTGGTCGTGCCGGTCTCGAGGTCGGGTTCGTGGTTGGGGTCGCGGTCGCGCTCCAGGTTGGCTGTGGCATAGGCTGCGAGGCCGCTGAGCGCGCTGTTATTGACGCTTTGCCGCCACTCGGTCATACCGGGTGCGTTGTTGTTGTTATTGTTGTTGTTGCCGTTGGTGTTGGCGTTGTAGTTTACGCTACGGACGCTGTGCAGACTTGCGGCGCGACCAGAGGCAAGTTTTGCTTGGTCGTTGCTGTGGCCGTTGGTTTTCTTCGAAATGTCGCTGGACGCTGGAGCCGGGCTGCCGTGCGAGTGGGCTCCGCTCTCCGAGTGGCCAAAGCTAAAGTTGAAGCGCATCGCCATCAACTCAATGTAGAACATGACCATGATGGCAATCAGGCAAATGACATGGCCCCAGTCGTACTTGGGCAGAATGTTGGAGAGGCAGTCGTCCGACAGAGCCTCGACGGCGGGCGACAGCAGGTGCATAAACGCTGTGGCCAGGATGACGCCGCTGCCAAAGTACTTGCAAACAAAAAAGGCCATCTGGGACGACCTGGAGTTGGCCGAGGTGCGGGCGAGGACGATGGGCAGGAAGACGCCGAGCATGGAGCCGGCAAGGATGATAAAAACGGAGGCGATGCGGAGCCCCTTGTCCGAGAGGTCGGTGCCCCAGCCGGAGCACTGCGGGACAACATCGGCGGCAGTGTCCCGCTCGAGGACGTAGTGCCGCATGATGGGCAGGTAGGAATACTCACAAACGACGTGGCAGTCCTGGCTGGCGAGGGAGTGGTGGTATCTCTTCATGGTGTCAGTACTCTCCTCTCTACAATATAGGAATGAAAACAAGTGCATCGACAACGCAACAAAACGTCACGATCGATAATAACAACAATGATAAGGAACTCGGTCAAGATAAAGGAATATGTGTGTGACGCAAAGGTGGTGGGCAAGGCTGAGAACTCTAGATGGCCTTGCTTTGCCTGGCAAGGTAGCTGAGAACCCGGACGGTCACTCAGGGGAGACTTGGACAACTCGGGCAAGACGGGGGCATGGCCGTTCGTGTCGAGCGAGTCAGTCGGTCAGACAGACCACAGAGCCAGACACACCAAACACAGGGCCACATGTTCAGCCTCGTCGACCCGACACGTCACCCTGGCCATCTAGGCTGTCCACACACGCGCACAAACACGAGCCCACGTACGTCATATACACAAGGGTAGATGTGCCCGCGGAAGAAGAGGAAAACAAGGCTGAAGCCAAGGAAACCATGCCAGAGCCAGGGCTGGGGCATGCAGTAGCTGACTCACCTATCGGAAAGAGGGATGAGTGGACGACGGGGTTCTAAGCGTCAATGGTCGTCGATGCTGTCGTCGACAGGCTCAATAGAGCCAAGGATGACGGAACGTGTCGACTCGTTAAAGACGTCGTCTATGGCTCTTTAAGAACGGTAGATGGTGTGGGAAAGGAGGAATGGTGTTATGAAAAGCCAAACATATCGAGAGACGAGGAAGACGGCGTCAGGTGAGCGAGAGTAATGAAATCGCCGCTCGAAATTGGCCACAGACGACGAGGCAAAGCTGGAAGACAGCAGGTGTCGACATCAAAGGCTTGGCGGAAACGAGAGAGGGGACACGGGACAGTGAAGGTGCTCCGTACGTCGTGCCGTGCAGGTCGTCGAGAAAGGATTCCGTGTTTCCAAATAGTTTGTAACGGTTAATTCTCTTCTGCGGCTCCTGTGCAATAATTAATGACCAGTTGTCGTCGCCTTTCGCCCACTTTGTGCCTTTGTGTGGTGGCTGTTAATAATACGGAGCATTGGACAAGGGCGCGGGCGGCAAGCGCAGAGACTGCGCTTTCCTGCTTTTCTTTTTTGGCGAGAACCCGGATGGCCAGTTTGGCTGGCAAAGAAATTCTGCGACATTGCGGGTAAGAACGCAAGAACCACAACCAGCGCAAGCTCCTTTGAGCTATTACGACCACCAGCGACGCCGTGTTGTCTACACCGCATCCAATTCGTTTGCATTCCATTTTTGCGACTTTTTTTGGTTCTTCTACTGCAAAAAGTGTCGACTGTCACTTTAGACCAGTCAAAGTCACAACCTCTCAAATATGTCGTCTTTCAGGGTGTAAAACGACGTACAGGGCAAATGCCTCCTTGGGCAGCGAAATGCCCACCGCTCCTTCTTCGTCTCGCATCTATTCTAATACAGCAGTACTTCCTGTCTCCGTTCCTGCTTATCTGTTTCGTCATCACTGCATTTTCAATCCCCTACAACTCAATATGAGCGAGCATGCCGTATTACTCCATCCGCCACTAATCTGCGTGTTCTGATTGGCTGGTCAGTGCAAGTCATGTCCCAATTCGGAAGGACAAGGCCAGCATTTGCACGGACCAAGAGGCAAGAGCAGTGCGAGGCGAGGGGCTGGCGTAGGCTACTCTGCTGGGCTGGCCATCCGGGTTCTCACGTCACAAATGGCGGCCCGCAAATACAGCAAAATATGGAAAAGAGTCGCCCACTTTCTGAGACAACAGCACAAACGTGCGCAACAAAGAGGGCCAAAGGTGAGACAGAGGAGTCAAAGAGGGTCTCGATGAAAGGGCAGGAAACTCCATTGAGCGAGATACGGAGCCGCGACCCCCACTGCGAAACAGGATTCCAATTGAAGAGCAATGAGCAGTAGCTTACAACTCACGATACTGGTCCTGTCTTGTTTGAATGCTTTTGTTTTTACATCTATTCTTTGTTTATCATGGAGTTTAGTTGCAAGAGATGGGAATATGCCATGGATGTTGGCCGGCGACGGCGTGCGAGGCTCCTGTGAGGGCCTCCTCGGAAAACGCTCTGGATCGGCGCGAATGCCCATTTCCCGCGGGAATGGATGTGCACCAAAGCGATGCCATTTGACAATAACAACGACAGACCCAATCACGACGAAAACTGAATCTCGAGACCCAGTGTGCGGAACGGCTGGTCCAGGCGGTGCAGGTCGATGGCCGACCCGAGACTAAACAGCAGCGATTGGATGCGGCCCTCCCACAGCAGGCCGATCTGGAGGTTCTGGTTGAGGCGCGCCTTGAGCACGCCCTGGTATTTTTCTTCGGAGGACCGTGGTGGTGGTGGTGGTGGTGGTGGTGATACTTCCGGTGGTGCTTCTAAGGAGGGCAGCGATACTGCCGGTGTCGACAAGACCGTGTCATCCAACCGCCACTCCATCTTGGCCTGGAAGCTCCGCTCCGGGATGCCAAACGTGGACGTCCTCCTTGCGGTGGGAGGCGATGGCGGTGTCGCCGCCGCCGCGGCCACCGTCGCCTCCGCGTCGTCGACAGCCACCAGCCCGGCCAGCCGCCGCGTGCTCCAGAGCTCCATGCCCACGGACCACTCGCTCTCGTAGCTGTAGACGTTGAAGTCGAAGCGCGTCGCCAGCGAGCAGTCCTCGCGCGCCACGACGGCGTACGCGGCCGATAGGTTGCCCATGAGGGGGTTGATGGTGAGGGTCGCCGTCAGGGGGGTGCCGGCCACCCCGCTCACCCCGTTTTTGTCGTTCTTTTCGTTCTTTTCGTTCTTTTCGTTCTTTTCGTTCTTTTCGTACCTTTCATTCTTTTCGAGGACCCCTGCCGTCGCCGCCGTCTCAAACCGGGCCCCCAACGACACGCCGCCCGACTTGTTCAGCGTGCCGTAGTAAATCTCGCCACCGGCGCTGAACCGGCCGTTCAGCCGGTCGTCGACGTCGCCGCCGCCGCCGCCACCACCGGCAAGAGACTTGGCCGCGTCCTGCTGCTGCTTGCCGCCGTGGCCAAAATTGTAGAGCCCGCGTACGCCCAGAAGTCCGCCATCCGACGACACCAGTCCCTCCAGGCCGTACCGCCCGCGGTCGAGCTGCATGACGCCCAGCACGGTGCCGCCGTTGGGCAGCTTGGCGTCGCTGACGGCGCGCAGCTGGAGCTGCACAGACGGCGCGAGGCGCTTGACCATGTAGGCCTCGAGCATGGAGCGCGGGAGGTAGAGGCGGCCGTAGAGGAGGGCGGGCTTGTCGACGAGGGCGCGGGCTTCATGGACAGCCGCGGCGAGCTGGTCGGCGACGGGAACGACGAGGGTGGAGGCGAGGACCGTCGCGGCGGGCGGGGACGCCCGCAATGGTGTTGCTGTCGTTGTTGTTGTGCTCGTAGAATCTGTCGTGGCTGTGATTGTCGTTGTCGATGTCGATGCGGTCGTCGTCGCCGGAACGTGTGTATGGACGGGCATCACCAAAAATGGAAAAAGACCCTCCAAGGTCACCCGCTCCCGGGGCGGCGTGACAAACGCGGCATCCAGAACAGGCGGCAGTCCGCTGGGCCGCGGCCGCTGGCGGTACGACCGGAGTAGTGTGGGCAGAGGCACCCGGCTGGACTGGGCGACGACGTTCCCCAGAGGCACAGACGAGTACAGGTAGGAAATAGCACCGTCCACGACGCCGACGGACCCCAGCGTGTAGCCCGTGGCAAAGTGCGGCGTGGCCAGCGACGACAGACTCAGGCGCAGGCCGCGCGGTGTGGGGAAGTTGAGCAGCTCGTTGGCGGCGATGTTGAGGTCCGAGTAGCCATTGTCGCGGCTCCAGCCGGTGGCGTCCCGGAACGACTCGAGGACGTAGCTAAGGAACTCGCGCATCCTCTGGCACGTCCTCGCGTCCTCGCTGCGCTCGCTTTGTCGAGTCCAGCACCCTGGCTGGCAGTTGGGGCTACCGGGCGGCGCAGCTGTGGCGGCTATAGCACATTGGATCGTATAGTTCCTCCCAGGTCGCCTGCAGTGTGGTCGAGGTTGTGCGTGTGGTCAATGCGTGTCGATGCGTGTCGATGCGTTCGTGTCCTCGGCCAGTCCAGGTCGTTTCGTTGTGATCCGCAATCGATAATCGAGATAATCGATTGGACTGGCAATTGGTGGCGAGCCTCAACGCATATCGTCATTGCTGGGGAAGCTGCCAGTTTTGCGTTCGGCGGATAAAATACCGGCCCGCCCTAGGGAGTATTGCCTGATTACGACGGGAATTCCCCCGTTACGCCTCGAGAACCCCCCTGTCTTAGTTTGTTGTGGGGCCTCTGCAAGGAACTGAAGCCGCTGTCGAGGCCAGGCCTTTGCGCAACGCTAAATTGCCCCACGGCTGTTGCCGATTCAGTGGCCCTCGATGGCCTCATTGTCACACAGACAGGGATGCATACTGAGCATTTGACATCGCCAACGGTGACTGGCTTACCTTTTGACGACCCGTCTGTCAGACATGTTGAGGTGTTTGCATGTCTTGACGGAGCGGATTCTGCCGTTGCTGGCCGGTCTCTGTTGCCTCATCCGTGCTCTTCCTCACGCCTCTCCGTCTTCTCTACCCCGTCTTTGCCCTCTCTGTCTGGCGCATGATCGTCCGTGTTCCATGTCCATCGTCCCGGCGGATGTGTATGCGAAATGGGCGATCCGAGTCTCTGTGATGTGAAAGGAGTGACGAAGAGAGAACTGCAGCCTGCACTCCCGTCTCGCGAGGGGCTTACCGTCGTGATTTTAAGGTTTCCTCTCGGAGCCACAGTTTTGCGCATAGAGCGCCCTTTGTTCATACGACGTATGGCATCCTTTGTACATCTGTGCATTTACCAAGATAGTACAAAATCCGTCGCGAAGGATGCCATAAAGCCCTTGAAGGATCTAAAAACTAGGCGACGCGGGACGGGAAAACTGGCTCGGGGTGATTCAAACTGAGCAAGAAGGATTGCGGTGCTCCGGCGTTTGTTGGAGCGGTATTCGTTGTATGTCGTAGTTGTGGAGGAGTCGCGAAGCACAAAGGATGCCGCCAAAGAAAGGCAGGTCCTAGACCTCGCAGAGCTGGCTAAATCGGGCGAGCAAGATGTGCAATGTACCGATGTAACAGGATTGCGCCAGGTAGACGAGGAAGATACATTCGTCTGTTTGAGAAAAGTGGTACTGCTCGGCCGACGTCCTCCATTCGTCTCGACGTTGTATTCAGTCTCTGATCTGAAAACTACATATGCTAAATCATTCCATTTTAAATACCAAGATGGATTTGCCCTTTGCTGTGCCACGCAATAAATTAAAAGGAGCGACCAAACTGAAGCGTATTAGAAGCGAATATACCTTTTTTTTCTCTCTCTCGCTTCGTGCAATTACGGCAAAACGTAAATGAACAAAAAGCAAAGCCACAGACGACGTGGTCCAGTGACAGATTCGGCGGAAAACACGACGAAAGAGGAAAGTCGGGGGCTGGATCGGGTGTGGTAACATGGTGACAAGCGCGAAGGCGTAGCAATGCCAGTCTGACTACCTGCCTGCCTGTCATTTGGTGGCCACCATTGGCTGTCCACGGAGTCGTGGCTGTCCTTGCGGTAGGGCCGAGATGCATTCTCTGCTTTGGCAGAGAGACGCAATGACGTTCAGTTCTGTGGCGTTCAACGAAGCGAATACCAATGCTGTGGTGACATGGCAGACGGTGAGAAAGGTGCAAAGACGGCTCAGCATCTGAGCATGTCTATGTGGAGGAAAGCAATAAAACCAAAACAGCATGGAGCTTGTGTCGATGAGCTTGTTGCCTGTTGCGGATACAGAGAAAAAGCATCTCCGGTGAGGCCTGCAATGCGTCGGATATTGATAGCGTATGACTGTAGGATGGTATGATAGTATGACTGCAAAGCGGCTGGGCGTCGACAAATCGAAAGACGGGAGGATGAGTGAACGGAGATGAGCAGATGCAGGGTGTGCATGTTGGACGAGAGAGTTGGTGTTGGAGGAAGACGGCGTTGCAAAGGGCTATAAGAAAACGGGTATGCCCACGATCGTCCTGTCCATCACCCCCTTTCTCCCGTTTTTTTCTTTTTTTTTCTTTTTTTTCTCCTTCTTCCTTACGTCTTTCTCTACCCCTGATTTTATTATCCGGTTGAGGAGTACTCGTTTGTTTTCATACTAATACTCTCGTTACCTACCCCTACGTCCCGACTCACTCGCTATTCATTTACATTCTTCACTCGTTCATAGCCTTCACCACATCCATTGTTCATACATATTAATTCTGTACATATTTTGCCTTTTCATCACTGTCTCCAAAATGCCCTCCTTCGCTTCGTTTGCGGCCGCTATGGCCTTGGGTGCCGCTGTCGTCCGCGCCCAGGATGCCAACTTTGACTCCGTCACCACCCCCCCCGTCGGCGCCCAAGTCCCAGCCGGCCAACCCTTCACGGTGACCTGGACGCTGATCTCGGACACAACGCCCACTGGTCCGACCACGATCACGCTGGTGGGCGGCGCCTCCTCTGGCGATTTGAAGCCAATTTCCGTCATCGGCCACGTGCAAAACCAGGACTTGAAGTTTGTGTGGAACGTCGACGCCGGCCTGGGCGCCGCCAAGGTGTATGGTCTCAACTTTACGCTGGACGCGGACAACAGCCACTTCCAGTACTCGAGCCCGTTTACGATTGTGAGCGGTGCGGCCAATGGCGGCGGCGGTGGTGGTACCACCGGGACGGCAACCGGCACCGCCACGGGCACGGGCACGGGCACGGGCACGGTGACCGCGACGGAAACGGCCCCAACCATGGGCACCGGCAGCGCCACGGACACTACGGGGACAACGTCGACGACCTCGGCCACCACGTCGCCGACCGGTGCGGGCACGACCGCCACCGTCCCGACGACCACCGCGGCGCCCACGCACGCCTCCAACTCGACACGCAACAGCACAACCGCGACGGCATCGGCCTCCAAGACGAGCGCGAAGCCGCCGACAGAGACGAGCGGCGCTACCGGATTGAGCGGACTGTCGGCGGTGGGTGCGCTGGCCATGGCACTGGTGGCCAGTGCAGCGATGCACTGGGGGCTGTAGACTGGCTGCGCTGTGTTGTTTGTTGTTGCTGGGTTTCCTTGCTGATTTTGTACTGTTTTTGAACGTCCATGAATTTGTTGTATGACGTTGCCTCATCACCCTAGATACTCTTTGTTGTCCAAATGGACTGAGTAATTGTTAATTGCCGTTTTATTTTACTACTTTCTTTACTATGGTCTCAATTTCTTCTGCCAACTTCGTCAAATACACATTCACTGCATTGACGTACTCGGCGGTTGTCACTGACTGACGTCCTTTCCGTCTCCCCTCACGGTATGCCAGGTCTTTGGTCATCAACCGCTCCGGGTCAGTGTCGACCGTCTCGATGCACGCCGGTTCGGCAGCTTGTGTAAAAGGTACAACACACGGTGTGCCGTCGAGCTCGCCGCGCTTGATGAGGACGCCGAAAGAGAAACAGTGCTCCTGGTTCTATTAGAGGATGCGTACTTTCGTTCCTAGCTCCGTCTCGATGTCCTTCAGTAGATGCTCCATCGGCGTGGCGTATGTGATATCATAGCCTTGCAAATGCCGCATAGCGTGGTTCGTGCCCCTAACCACGAGACCGCCAATGCGACCGGTGATGTCGAACACCACCGAACCAGAATCGCCTGCTTCCGTGAATGATTGTATCTTCTTGGCAGGCTCCCGATTTTTATCGATGCCGCTCGCGTGGATTATCGCCCACTCGTAGCTCTCCTGTTCCATAATGCCCTCCCGCAAGTAGGCCCGCGTGGTGGACTGTATATCGAGCGCGAGGCCAACGGTGATGCCAGTGCTGCGGCCTCTTTTGAAGACAATTGGGCGACTGTCATCTTGGCACATAGTTGTCCACGGGTGCAGGATGTGGGCGCCGCGTTGTTCTCGAAGCGGTATGATACCTCTGAGCCGCATCATGCCATCGGCAGGGAGGGCATCAGGAGCACAGCCCAGGACCTTTTCGACTGCCGTTTTGACTGGGGGCCCGGGAAGATCTGTCTCCAAATCAACCACGTTAGGAAACGTGAACTGTGTCGGGAACCTGTTGCGGTCCAGGGCAATCAGTGCCCAATCACGAGTATATCTTGGGTCCGTTGTGATACGAATCGGTGGAGCATGCTCAACAAAGCCAATGACGCAGTTTTCATTAGACTGTGCAAATGCTTCGAGAAGTTCCACCAACTCTCTTTGTCTAAGCAATGTTTTGTGTGTTGGCATTTGCAACGCAGCCTGGAGACCTTGCTGAGCAGTCGCGTTCTTGAATTCGTTTTCGGTGGATGCAACGACGTCTCTCATCGGCTTCAAACAACTCTCGATCACACTGGGCACAGGGAGGAGAACATTCACCCTGCAGGTGTTTGCCGATGTCTGCTTGCCCAGTTGTGACCCGCCAGCCTCTGCCTCTCGATTAGGGCGATTTGCGGGGGATTCCGAAAGATCAGGCAACACGACGTGGTAACACGTCAGTGCCCATATAGCGTCGTCATTCATAGAGGCGTCAGGGGCCAGATATAGACCCAACGTTCCATCGAAATTAGGGTTATTCGCTGGCGAAACGGCCTGGCCAAGGCTCGTCGACACCGCATGGGTCGCTGTAAGTTCCCATGCCGAGTGACTTCTCCTATCGATGTCATGTTGACGCTGACGAAGTCGAGTGCCTGAGGCATGTGACACGTCCGAGACGCGCAACTCGCATTCAACATCCTGCAGCCCGTCGCTGTCAAGGACGTGGCGAACGCGTTTTAGGACTATGCTGACAAGAGACCAGGGAACATGTCCGGCCTCTGCTGCCTGGGATGCAACACCCACCCAGACAATGACAGGCCGTTTGTTTTCCTCGATGGTCGTGCGGCCAATTCGCAAGACGTCAATCGATGTCCACGGAATGGGTGAGAGCGCATTGATGACCTTGCCCCGTGTGCCTGTCTCCCACGAGGCGTGAATCGGATGGGGTCCAACAGGCCCTGCCGCCGTCGCGGAATTGAGAGCGTCCTCCGGACCACTGTGGTAGTAGCGATATTTGGGAGGCCAGTCCTCGTTATAAAACCAAGGCGTAGTGGCACTTGACGTGCGGCCCAATAGACGGGGCTGGCTTGGGAACGCGGCGTAATAGTACGTCGCCTCGTGGTCCGAAGGCTCTTTGAATGCGACTCGATTCACCTCGCGCCCGCTCGTGGGCGACTCCGGGATAGTGATGATGTTCTCATTCAAAGCCTCTGTTCTGTCGGACTCGTCGGCGCTGTGGTTCGTTCGACGATGGTCAGGCGTCTCAGCAGGATTGGACGCCATGATTCGTGGCTCCCTTCAGAACCACATCGCTCAAATGGTTTTGTTTATAACAAGTGTTATGGCTGGTGGAAACAGGTCGAATGGTGGGCGCTGGCGCGGAAAGGAAGTTGTGATAGATAGGTTGGAAGAAGACAGAAGACGAGAGGAATCCAGCAGATATTTTGGGAACTTTATTTTGTCATGCCAACAGAGAGGATCAATCAGCAGCAATTAGTATGTGTAGGAAGTGTAGGGTCTGTGTAACCACATGGCCTTTAGTTCCATTTTGGGAAAGACTGAAGATGGGTAGCTCTTTCCGCGACAGCTTGAATAAAGCAAACAGAATCCACCGCAGGGGACTCCAAAAAAATGCAGTAAAAAGTAGTACAAACGCTCAAAATTCTGAATGAAAAGTAATTCACGGGTTATTCGAAGAAGACGTAAAGCGCACGGAGTCACGTCGAGGCCGTGGAAGATTATTGTTAAAACGTGCTAGCTGTGCTTTCAATGGAATAGTGTGTTTAGTTGAGATGTGCAGCACTATTGCTATATGCACTGTAGTGATTAATGAGACAATGACAATGACAACATAATAACGCCGAACAATGAGGCCTCGTGAACAATGCAGTACACAAAGGAAAGAACGTATTGAAATATTGTGAGAGAACAATGGCAAATAAAGAACTAAGGGCTGGAGGCTTTGTTCTTGTTCTTGTGAACTTGTACGTACCGTTGAGAACAACACAAACCACCATTTTATGAACAAGACATTTTGCTTCAATTGTGCAAATGTTCAAATGTTCAAGGAACAGCACCACAACGTGGCCGTCGGAACTATCGCGACAGTCGTGAACAAAAGTAAAGAAATCAAGTCGGTCGATCATGTATATAAGAAGGCCCTCGCCTCGCCTCAAGAACTGAGTTTGTTTTCGTTTCCTCCTCATCACCACCTACCTCTTCAACAAACCAACCAGATCTCGAAAACAACCACACCTCGTGCTACTTTGGACTCTAGTGTCTCTAACGGTCGTCTTTGCAGTGTTGTAGACCTTGTTTTCTGCTTAGTCTTCTTCCCACTTTCGAGGAAGAAAACGGCAGGTCTCTCTAGGATCATCTTCAACCCTCTACCCAATAACAAACACTGAAAAGACGTCTCGCCGAGACAGGTCCAACATGGCCGATCCGATGGCATGTGACGGAGACCACAAGTGTAGTCTCGACTTCAACGAGGAGCTGGACCGCTTTGTCTGTCGGGATCAAGACTTTGGCCACACGATGCTCGAGCACCTCGAGGACAATGCGTTGGCCGATGAGCGTCTCCCTGTGAACAAGTCCGTGTGGATTGAGTTCCGCGACACCAAGTCGCTGGGCACCACGAATGTGGGCCGCGACCTGCTGGTGGTCATTGCCTGCCCGACGGCCTGCATCGTCGCCCGGTTCGGCCTGCCTCACGGCCGCGTCGACGCCGGTGCCAGCCACCTCGACATGCTCGAGGAAAAGGAGAGCGCCTTCAACTTCATCGCGCTGCTGAAGGAGATGATTCAAGAAGTCGTCGCCGGCAGTCACTTTGAGTGCCCCTCCTCCGACATCGTCTGCGTCGTGCTGGGCCCGGTCGACGAGCTTGACCAGGGCTGCATCGAGCACCAAGTGCTCCGCATCATCAAGTCCGGCCTCGAGTGCTTGCAACTGCAGCCCGTGTTTCGCCAGCTCGATGAGCCGACCGGCGACGTCCGCTGCAACAAGGCCTTGGGCAGCGTAGTCGTCCTGGCGCCGGAGTTTACGCGCACAACCCTGCCCACCCTCCTCATCGATGACGAGGAGTTGCTCAGTCTGCCCCCTCCGCCGGAGTCGGATGTCCTGTGGCTCGGCGATTAAGAGACAAAACGGTACGTTCAAGAAAGAGGTAAGTCATTGCAAGTCGTAACAGCCGCTGGTCGGTCGTAGACGTAGCATTGTAAGTACTTCCCCCGTAGTTGTAAAACTCGGTTGATCTGGTGATCACTACATACATATTCAAACAATACAGGTAAGTCTTTTCTTTTCCCAAAATGAAACTCTTAATGCAACTAACGTAAAAAATGCATGTGGCCGAATCTTTTATTCACTTATTTGCAAATCAGCACTGGAGCATAAGTAAAAGAAATATAAATATTGGTAAGCAAAATACGAATAAACATAAACCAAGGAAAAAAGCCAACAAAGACACTGTGTACTATCCATGAACAACCCGTTATTACCGACAAAAACATACAACACTACATAACGGAGAGGATAAGCGTGATTTTCCATATTGTTCAGGTGCAGTACTGTTTGTTCCTTCATGAGCAAGAAAATGACAGTTTTGAACAAACATAGGATACTCGTACATATGCACAGTCTGTCATATAAATCTGCACAAATGGGCTGTTGAATTGAACATCATTTCACGAAGCACTTTCAAATTGTATATATACGTCTCCTGCCTCTGTCCTTGGACACTATGTTTTCATTCATCTGCTCCAAATTCACAACCACACATTTATCCAGTCTTACTATCTCCTTCCTTCTCACCATCTACACAATGTCTGCTCCTACGCCTCTCATGGAAGTCTACAAGGACGTCATGGTGGTCGTTCCCGTTGGTGACGTCGACGCTGTAGACTTCACAAAGATGCCAGCCATAGGCACAGACTGCCTCAACGGCGGCACCGTCATCGTCCTGGCCTGTCCGCTGGCGGCCATTCTGGCGCACATGCCCCGCCTGCCGCCGTCGCCGTCCGACCATGCCCTGACGGTCTCCATGGAAGAGCTGCAGCGGATCCTGAGCGAGGTAGTTGCACGGTATGCGAGCAAGCAGGCGGACGGCCAAGGCCACCACTTTCGGGCGCAGGACACGGTGAGCATGGTGGTCGCCGCCCAGGACGGCAGCGGCGAACTGCAGGCGCCGCACCACGTGGTGGCGATTGTGTCGGAGCTGCGGGCGCTGGGACTGGCGCCGACGATCCACCCATACGAGACGGAGGCCCTGCCCAAGGACAACAGCTCGCTGATGGTGGTCTCGCTGGACTTTGGCGACGGCCAGGAACTGCCCAGGCTCTACGTAGCGGACGAGCTCGCCACTGGGAGCACTAGATTGAAAGGTGAGTCGTAGTCGGTCACGCGGTGGTGAGATGCAAGGTATGTACAATGCACTTTCTTTCTCTTTAAACAAACTGTTTCTGAATCGACTGCAACGTGAACACATAAATGTGACATTATGCACCTAGGCGTGTCAGTGCAGGAATTGCCATATTAGGAAAGAAAGGCTGGGCAGCACGACCCTGGGATTAGGCTTTACGTGCTGTAGTTGCTCACCGCCTTATTCTGCCGGATTCTTTATCTCAGATCTTAACTGTTATCGGTCTAAAATTGGTGTAAACTAAATCCCAAAACAGGACCAGAAATGCACGGCCTCAATTACAAGCTGCAAAACAAAGACTCTGCACAAAGAGTGTTTACCCTCGAAACACAGCCATCGACGACCACTCTGCACGCTGACTCTTTTCATCATACGTTGCCATACGACGCATTACCACACGACGCAATACCACACAATCTAACGATAAGCCAATGACCGATCAGGCTCCGGGCAGAAAGCCCAACCGGCGGCCGAGACACCGTGGCCGCGGCGGCGGCGGTGGAGCAGGAGAAAACGGTGGAGGTGGTGGCCGGGGCGGTGGCCGTGGTGGTGGACGTGGTGGGCGCAACGGCGGGCCGCGTACGCAGGGCGACGACGGCGATGTCGCCATGACCGACGCCGTCGACACGCTGCGTCCGTTTCCGCCGCCTGTGGCCTCGGGCGTTTCGTCCAACAACATGTCCGGTGTGGCCACGCCGATGCTGAGCGAGGCGGTGCCGTCGGACACGCCGCGGTTCAGCGACATCAACGCCAACGGCGTGGTGGTGGACCCGGTGCTGATTGACACGATCACGCACGACCTCCAGTTTGCGCACATGATGCCCGTGCAGGCGGCCACGATCCACGAGCTGCTGCCGCCCAAGCGGCTGGACGCGCTGGTGCAGGCCAAGACGGGCACGGGCAAGACGATTGCCTTTTTGCTGCCGGCGATCCAGACGATGCTCGACAAGCAGCGGACGCTGGGGGGCGGCAGCAGCAACCGCGCGCGCGGCGGCGCGGGGCGAGGGCCATCGACGCGCCAGGACAACCACATCTCGCTGCTGGTGATGGCGCCGACGCGCGAGCTGGCGATGCAGATTGCCAAGGAGGCCAAGAACCTGCTGCAGCGCCTGCCCGACTACCACGTGTGCATTGCCGTGGGCGGCACGAACAAGGACCGCGAGGAAAAGCAGATCCTGGCCGGCTGCGACATCTTGGTGTCGACGCCGGGCCGCCTGCTGGACCACGTGTCGGGCACGCCCGCCATCCGGGACGCGCTGGCCCGGCTCGACACGCTGGTGCTCGACGAGGCCGACCGCCTGCTGGACATGGGCTTCCTGCCGGCCCTCAAGAGCATCGTCGCGTGCCTACCCGACAAGGTGTCGACGCGCCGGCAGGGCATGCTGTTTTCGGCGACCGTGCCGTCGCACGTCGCGCAGGTCGCCAGCCTCGTGCTGTCGCCTGGCTACCGCTCCATCTCCACCATCCCCCAGGGCGAGGCGTCGACGCACGCGCGCGTCACGCAGCTGCTCGTCGAGGTGCCCACGTTTGCCGAACTGGCGCCGGCCCTCGTGGGCGCCCTCCGCCGGGAGCAGCAGCAGCTGCTGCGCGCGCAGGGCGCCGGCGGCACGTTCAAGGCCATTGTGTTTGCCCAGACGGCGGCCCTCGCCGACTTTTACGGCTACCTGCTGGCGAACCTGCCGGACATGCCGCCCTCCTGGACGCTGCACGCGCGGCACGCGCAGTCCAAGCGCACAAACGTGACCAGCGCCTTCCGCGGCGCCGCCACCGGCATTTTGGTGGCCACGGACGTCGTGGCGCGCGGCATGGACTTCCCGGCCGTGACCACCGTGTTCCAGGTCGGCCTGCCCATGGACAAGGAGTCGTACATCCACCGGCTGGGCCGGACGGCGCGTGGCGCCGCGGGCACGGACCCGTCCAACGGCGCCGGCCCTGATGCCGGGTCGTCGGGCGCCGAGGTGGGGCGCGGCGTGTTCCTGGTGGCCGCGATCGAGTCCTACTTCCCGACACGCGTGCTGCGCGAAATCAACTTTGTGCGCACGGAGCCCGACTTGTCGAGCACCGCGCAGCTGGGCCCCATCATCGACCGCATGGAGGAGTCGATGGTCGGCAAGACGTACCAGGCGTGGCTCGGCTACTACAACGGGCACATGAAGGGCCTGCACTGGGACAAGGCGCTGCTAGTGGCGGCGGCCAACGAATTCGCGCGGGACGGGCTGCACGCGGTGAGTACGCCGGCCATCCAAAAGTCGACGGTGGGCAAGATGGGCCTCCGGGGCACGCCAGGGCTGGTGGTCGTGGCGGATGCGCCGCGGACGCACCGTGGCGGAGGCGGAGGTGGACGCGGCGGAGGTGGTGGCGGCGGTGGCGGCGGCAGACGCGGTGGTCGGAACTGAGAACCGCGAGGGGGGCGCACAAGCTACGACTGCATAACTGTTTGATTCTTTAGAGGGTCCCATGGGACAACGCCACGGTTGTTTTTCGTATAGATCAAGTGGACACAAAAGGCACGGACTGGCGATGGCGACGGAGAACCGGTTTACAAAAAGGAAAGGGATAGATGGGCGGCTATCATGCATGGGCAGAATGCGTTTTCACGTCGTTCTCTGTTATGGTGTTTTTACACGTAATGTGCAGTCATTCATCATCCATGTCAATTCATACCAACGTCAAACATGGCCATGTCTTTTACGGTGCGAAGAAAGTAGGAGCGGAATATAGAACGTTGTCACGACGGTTGTTGACATACCACGTCGATAGTATCGGATCTTGTATGCAAAGCATGGGACGGAAAAGAAGACATCCACGGTTGAAACATGACGCTATACCTTGTGTGGGCCGGTTGTGGACTTTTTTTAGGGTCCTTCCCCAGACTTCTTTGTCTGCTAGTGAGCTTTGTCGCCAAGGCTTCGAAAAGAAAAAGAAAAAAACTCGTGGAAAAACAGCTCTGTTAGATTTGCAAGTATATGATGATATCTATTTTTTAAGGATATTTAAATATGACTTTGATTAGGTTTCAATATTGTTTTTCTCTTTTTTTTAAAAAACAAAATGGAACATATCGTCCACTACGTGATTTTAAAAAATGGTCAATGCCTTCAGGTACTTAAATGAACAAATCATTGGCTTTGTACATAACAAAATTATGCGTAAATTCTCCAATCCAACACGGAAAACGTCCTTTGGGGCATTTCCACAATCCTAAAAGGGCAAGGATAACAGTTGCCGCAATTAGTGAACCAGAGCTGAGGTGATGTGGAATCAACTAACTTACACTTTGTCCCCAGATTATCCCAGGCCAAGAGATACCGGGACGCTGTTTGGGTGGGAAGGCGAAACGAGCTAAAAGACGCGACTGGTGAACAAAAAGATAGAAGAAAGTAAATAGCTACGAGGAGGCAATATAAGCCGACTGATGAAGACAGACAGACAGAGGTCCCAGAACAGCAAAGTGGGCTACGTGGACAGGTGATGTAAAGCAGAGTCTTGTAAAGAAAGCAGAGCTGGCTGATGACTTGAGTCACAGAAAATAGAAATGAGAGCCAGATGAAAAAAAAACAAAAAAAACAAAGGACCGTGCATAGCGGAGGTAACATGGAGAGCTGATGAGAGTCTGACACCAAAGACCAAAGCTTGGTGTTATAGATTTGGCGAAGAGATTAAAAACTGAGAAAACGCCCCACCAGTTATCGTAAAGGGCTGACAGAAAACTAAGTAAAATAAAATCAGATTTCGATGCTGGAACTGCTACAGAAGACAGACAGGGCTGACGATGAGGACAACACTCGAGTGCGTAAAGTTTGAGAGACGGATAACAAGAGTGAACCTGGAATGTCACCACCGGATGGGACAAGACTGAGATGATGAATAAATGACAAAAAACATAACAACGAAAGGGGAAGGAGAATAAGAGAGAACCAAGACGAGGCATAGATTGAGCTACGGAGAGTGGAATGGAGATTGACGCAAAGTACAAGAGTAGACTGACGGCAAGAAGACACAAAGAAGACCTGAAGGAGATACATCAACAGACTGGCTACTTTGTAACGAAAAAAGAAATAAACTTGCCCCGTTCCCCACCTCAAATAAAGAAAGAAGAAGCGATGGGTGGGTGAAGTGCAGCTGTAGTGAAGGTGGTAAGAGGCTGACAAAAGTTGGACAAGAGTAAAGTAATGGACTTCAAGAGTGACTTGACTGCTGGATGCCGGGTCGAGTGAAAGAAAGAAACGAGACCGAGAGAAATCAAAGTAGACAGAGAATAAATCGTAGAGATTCGACGACAGATGAGTCAACAGATACTGACTGAAAAGGCAAATAGAGAGTGACGACAATCAGGAACAGGAAACCAAAAGAAGTCTGAGAATAAATATGGGTGTGATTAAATTTAGTCTGAAGAGAAGACAAAGAAAACATGAAGAAAAGAAAGAAAACAACAAAACTCGGCAAAAGCCAGCAAAAACGGCACTTCAACTCAATCCGAAGGGCGTGTGAACAAACACTGACGAAAAAGAGGAACCTTCACAGCTCCCAGACTGAGCTTTGTCCCAAATGTAGCTAAAGCAATCTTCTGACCAAAAGAAAGAGCAGATTCAGTACAAAAGTGACGGATTGTGCGGTTTCGTAGGGCGCTTTGCATGCGGGCCTCTCGCCGCACCTTTGCGTCGATGTTTGCCCTGCCGATCCGTTAACCAGACTCAGCTCACATGCCCGCCTTTGCCCGCAGCTGTCCTCAGTCTGCCTGCCCAGAAAAAGTATATAAACCCCCTCCCCCCTCCCTCTCCCCCCTCCCTCTCTCCTTCTTCCTTTTCTCTCTCTTCTTCGACCATCACCAAATGTGGTGTTCAGGCTCCCAGTATCTGCGTCTTCTACCGGGTCTTGTTATGGTCTACGACTACATTTTCGGTCCTATGCAGACGCAGGTCAACCATGAGTCCGCGTAGCCCATCGAAAATGGCGACGCCAGAGAAGCATAGCATGCCGAATGATGTTTCACCAACAGACGTACGGATGTTTTTACGGAGCCATCAAGAGGTCAGTCACAGCACCAACCTTCCTTTGCCCTTCAGTTTCGTCCATTTTATTAACAAAGTACAGACAGTCAACCAATCCTCTTTTGGACGCCATGGACCCCCCGTTCGTCTTCGGCCACCGTTCTAACAGTGGTCCATTGTCGCAACTGTGGCCTACTCTATCATCCTCCACATTTTCTTTCACCAATTATGGACGACACTGTGGATGACCGGTAGCATCGCGAGACAGTCACCTCCGAGGCATCACCAAAGTCACTGTGTCGGCTAATGGATCGCCGCAAGGGGACAGCCTGCCACATATGTTCGATGGGCAACACTGAGACTGGGTTGGATCTGAGATACTGCCTTTAATCATCTGACATTCCTGAGAGGACAGGGAAATGAACGAGACGTACTCGAAGCCGTTCATTGGGTTAAGAGACGTGTTTGCAAGATCACACGACGCGCCCCTCGACAGTAGTCGAACAATTGTGATGTGTCCGGCGCTTGAATCTACAACAAGCCGAGGATTCGGTGCGCAAAAGACGGCGGTTGCCGAGGAGTGTCATCGGCTGCAGCAACGGTAGGTAATCGTTTGTTCCGGTTGGCACTACCATCGACACTGCTGAGTATGCGAACAGCAAACAGTGTTTGATCTTCTTTGAAAGACTTGCATGTTGGGCCTGTACTCTTTCAAAGATGGAATACTTGTGCCAGTCCGAGGGGACGGGTTGCCGGATGGTGTGCGTACTACCAACGGGTTGAAAAATGTTGCTTTGTCTTCAATTTTTGAGGAAACAAAGTGCGGTGCGAAGGGACATGTAAGCCCGCCAAATTCTGTTTTTTCTTTCTTTTTCTTCTTCTTCTTCTTCTTCTTTTTTTTCATTTTTTTTTTTTTTTCTCATTCACTTCCGCTGCTGTTTGTTGAAACCGACATGCTGACCAACGTCTTTCTGGAGTTTTAGCTGCCGTTCACGGCAATGATGGACGTGTTATGAAGGGACCAGCTTGCCTGTTGCACTCGTATTTTATGGTCGAGGTCGTACCGACACCACAGCTCCTCCGACGTTGGCCTTAGGCCACACACCGGCCAATGAAGTCCAGGAGAGCGAGCCACGCGTCTCGAGTATCGTGTCGTGGCCACGAAATGGACATGCGCGAGTGGTGGAGACCAGCCGTCTTGAATCTGCCTACAGAGGCATATATGGCCACCAAAAGTTGATTGTGTTTCGTGATGTCTTGTTTTATGAGCCGGTTTGAGGACGACAGTATGCTCGAAGACGAGTGAATGGAAATTTACAAGATTCTGTCCGGAGTCTACCTTTTGCCTCTCAAGTATACTTATCGGCACTTTGATAAGGCTCAGAAAATCGATCGAATGCCGGATGAGTCTCTTAGAGGCTTGCTGGCAGAAACATTGCGCGCTATGTCTGAAGAGCCTCCTCGGCGCCTGGCATCTGATTCAGATCCTGATTCATGTGTCCCGTGGGCTGTACGGTCAATGGCATGTTGTCCCTACAAAGGCTTCATCTTTGATGTGCCGAGAAGTGAACATCCCCACGGGTTTCAGGTACTTCTCTTATGGCCTGGGTTCGACTGTGTGCAACAGCTGTGAACTGTGCATCTCAGCTGCCAAATCCAACAACACAAAGCATCAAAGTTCTTTGCGCTGGTGCTTTTATGAACATCGACATGAACGCTTGATGTGTTTGGCCGATAAGGTTGCCAAGCGGAAGAATATTATTCTCACCGCGCTTTAATGGGAAGCTCTTTCACCAAACTGGGATATCGTCAAGAAATTCAACCCCATGTCATCCACGACACACTGTCGAAGAAGACAGTCGGATTATGAGACACGAAAGAGACCGTTGTGCTCCGGCCCCCGTCGCGCTTATGCCGTCTATTGCGAACGGTGCAATGTCCCCATGAATCAACCAGCTCAAGAAGCGATCTTGCAACGATTCTTGGCGATTCTTGACCAACAAGGGATGATGTCGCAAGAAGATGTGATATTTGTAAAGTCCCATGGTTGACATGCACGACATTCTTTTGGGTAGAATTGACATATTGGGACTCACCAAGCTCTACGACGAATGTGTCCTTGTAATATGCCCTGCGCACCTTACGCTTGGCTGAGATGGGTGACAGAGTCGTCCTTAACGACGGTGTCCCCGAGAGTTCAATCGGAGAACTCGAGCTCGAGCTCGACAGAGCAGAGAAGAAGATCCCGCGGGACCTTGAGGCCATCGAAACGTCGACATGTGATTTGGGTGACGCACGTGTTAAGTTTATTGAAGCCGTTACCTTGTCACTAAAACTGAACACCACGAGGTACTCATGCGCCGTCGGATGATGGGCTACAAATAAAAGGCAGCGTTAATGAAGGAGGCCACAACCATGCGGGCGAAACGTCCGGCTGGGGAGCTTACACGTGTGGAGCAGGAGCCGCCTTTGAACGCAAAGTACAATGACTCGTCTTTTCCGGTGAGATACTTCTTGGCACTTGATGAAGAAGCACGAGGCTAGAGTGTGCACATGTGCACCACGCCCTTCCACCGGGCCCCTGCAAGACTTCAGAAAAATGGCATGTTTAGCCGCCGTGGAGGTGCTCGGTACTGCCACAGTCAAGACCATCCCCAACGGCGTCACGCGCGACAAGGACGAGCCTTCTGTTCAGGAGGTGCAAGATGCCTGCTGTAGTGCTTGTCACGAATTCTACAGAACGCATGGCCTTTCAAGCTTGAAGCCGACAAAGGACACGGTCTGCTTAGATTGCGGTAAGACCAAAGACAACCAAAAAGACTTTTGGTTCATCGGGCTGGGATAGTGAAAGAGGACCATGGACCTTCTACTATTCTGCGCAGCGCGTGTCACCAGCGAGATATATACATCTACACGCCAACAGACAACAGACGGACCAAAATCATGGAGTCTGGGAGAGATTACAGTCTGTTCGAGTTGGGATCGGCCTACCAATCATGGCTGGTGTTTTCACCAGGAGCAGACGCAACCACATGAGGGCCGCACAACGTTTTATGTCAAAGTTGCCACGTTACATCTAGAAGAAAATACACATTTACTTCGATTTAGGTCCGAGGCAAAGACTTGGCCTGTTCTACAATACTTGTAACGGATCATCCAATCTCTAGCGTTGCAAGGCCAGAATCAGCCTACAAGACGTGGATCCGGCGAACGTGATCTGGGGATATGTGCCTGGAACAACTGCGGGCGACAAAAGCCCATCAAGCGTTGTTTGCGCACCGTGTTGCAAGAAAGCTTTGTTTAAAAGGTCGTATATTGCGTTATTGCTTACGAAGTACGGCGCGTTATGAGGCGGCACGTCGGTGTACCTTCTGTTTATTTCAAATACAAAGTTTTATACGATCAATACGACTGCTTATTATTGTTTATGTGGGAGATGGAACTATTTCAGTGAATGTTGTGTTTACAGCAGCTGTGTATACAAGATAAAGCAGACAAGTGATAGTAAGAGAGACCCGAATCGAGACCAGACAGAGACCCCCGCAACCCTCGAGCCGAGCATCAACGCACAACCAGCACAACAACTGTGACAAGCATGCCCTGTCCCAGCCCTGACCAAAGGCGGCCTCTCTGCCTGCTGCCCGCGCTTGCCACTGGTTGGATCTTTATGTGCCACGCGCACCCCCGTCCCTGGCACATGTAGTACGTCGTGGCATACCACCCGGGTGGCACGCTCATCCAGGCCGCCGCGGCATCGGGCGGTGGGCCGCCGGCACCGTAGGGCGGCAGCGTCACGGCCGGGTTCTCGACAATGACGGTTTTGTCGGGGCTGAGGATGACGGTGGCCGAGCCGCCGACGACGACGGGGGGCGGGCCTGCCACTTGCGGCGGCGGGCCGCCATGGGGAGGCGGTGGCTGAGGCTGTGGCTGAGGTTGCGGTGCCAGACTGGGCGCGGACGGCACACCGGGCGTCCAGGTCGGCGTCTGCGAGAACGGGACGGGCACGGGCTCCGGCGTCGGACTTGGACTCGGCAGGACCCAGGCCGTCGTTGGCGGCGCGGCGGGGGGTGCGGCGGGCGGGGGTGCTGGCACGAGCGTTGGGACGTTGCCGACGACGCTGGGCTGTCCGTTGGGTTCCCAGGTGGTGTAGGGTACGGGCATGGGGTTGAATGCTGCATTTGGGTCGGGCTGCCGTGGGCCGATGCTGGTTGTCTGTGCGCTCTGGGAGACGGCCGGGCTGAGAAAGGCTGTGGACACTTGCAGCCACGTCGGGATCAACATGTTGTTTTTTGGTTGCTTTTCGCAGATGTGTATCGGTCGTGCTGTTGACTGGTTTTCGAGGCTGCGTTGTTGTTCGTCGAGAGCTGATCACCAAATACACAAAGAAAGCATCGAGACGATGGATGGAAATACACTGTTTTGATGTGCATCATCAAGTATATTTATTGTGTTGAATATCTGTTCAGCCACTGTTCTTCTATGCCGAGATTATGTAGCCACTTTATTTGTAGGAAAATAACAACATCATGGCCAGGACATAACTTACCCATCCTTGCTCCATGCTGTTTATCGCGCCGAACGTGATTGGTTTGAAGGCAAAGATGGTCATGTTTACTTGAATGGTTGCGATGGTGATGCTTTTGTATTGTTTCCATGTTATTCGACAAGGCGGGAAATTGCCCTGGATAAATGCAAATGTAAACAGGCCAGAAACCAAGATGTTCGAACCCGCCAGTGGCTGGCAACTGCCGCCTGGGCCGCGTCTTGTACTTGGTAAGGGAATCGGGAGAGAAGGGAAGTACGTGAATAAGTGAATAGAAAAATCAGAAAAGGAATGGGGTAGTTTTTGTTTTAGAAGATTGAGAAAAAAAAAGAAAACAAAAAGACACATACAAATAATCTACCCAAATCTCACACCTAGGCTCATCAAAACACGGCGTGCACGGGCATTGCAGCCCTACGGAGGATTAATACGTTCATACGTCGAACATAAGATCATGTGCACAGACTTACAGCCCAGCGCTCCGTGTTCGACCTCCACAGCATATGAGACATGGTCAAGACGCCACACGCCTCAGACTCTTCAGCAGATAAATAGTCGACGCTTACTCTTTGTCGGACAGAAACAGAAACTTGCAAACTTGCCATTTGTGTGAAGCGCCCACAAATATATTGATGACAGCTTGCAGCAAACGCCACTTTGTCGACGATTTGGCGGTGGCTGCAGTCAGCTTCATGTAAGCCCTCCCTGCACACCCGCAGAGAAGGTTGTATCCCGTTTCGGACAGACGTACAGATGACGAAGCGATCCTTCACAATCCAGCCCACACGTCGCAGTCGCCGAGGAGAAATGGCCGAGGAAAATACTTGGAGCGGCCGGCGAGTCGACTGTACAAAGTAACCTCGTCACGTGAATGGCCGGCGACTACTCTCTCTGACTCGGCCGCCGAAAATAGGGTCGCCGACTGCTGGAATCGTTGGGCTGAGCCGCGTGAGGCCCCGTCGCCCCCACTGAAGCACCACTACCAATCCGCCCAGATCCCCGGCGACCACATTATCTTCGCCGTAACTGGTTTTCTCGTTTCCGCCACCCACACCCCAGCAATACCCACTTTTCCGGGCACTAACAACTAACACGCGCAAAGGGGTGTCCTGGAAATGCCGTTTCGAGTCATGCAGCCCAGAGGGGAGTACTGCAGCACAACGTCGGCGATTATGGGGCATCAAGAATGGAATCGACGATGGAAACTGGAGACTGAAAACTGGAGACCGGAGATCGAAACAGCGGCGGACATCTGCCGGCAATGATCTGTGTCTTGTAGACGGCACGCGGTTTTGTGGGTTTGCGGGTTTCGCTTTGGCTCTCTTGCCGTTCTAAACGGCTGTCGGCGGCCAGGCCGAGGAAGAGGCGGCCATTCAGACGGCATCTGGGCGCCCTGGACACTTGGGCCGTTGCCCATGCACGTCTCGGACAAGGGACGAAGGGCGTGGGACGGCCTCGGATAGGAGGACAGCCTGGCGGCGCACAGCAGCATGTCCCACCGAGCCGCGGGTTGTCGGGATAAGGGGCGGCTGACACGGAATATTTGAATAATTTCCCGTTCTGGACGTCGGCGAGGATGCAAGACAAGCTGAACGTGAAGCGAAGCGCGAGGAGCGAGTGGCCCGAGGAATCTGAGACGAGACGGAGCCAAGGAAAAGGAAATCAAGATCCAAGAACAGTGGCCACCGTTCAACGGACGAGACTGCCGCCGAGCTGTCTCCTTTCTTGTTATTTAAAAGAGCCGTCTGTCCTCCTTTGTTGACTCGTGATCCAGCACCATCCACAGATGTGATCGCAAACACGTTCATTTGCCCCCTGAAACCACCCTCCGCATCGACCCCTCCACTCCATTCCCACAATGTCGACGGCGACCACCGACGACATCGAACTCAACGCGGTGCCCTCGGCCCACCTCGTCAACGACGTCGTCGACCACTTCGCCTGGCGCGATGTCCGCGTCGTCGTCAAGGACCGCCAGACCCACGCGCCGCTCTCCATCCTCCAAGACGCCGCCGGCATCGTCTCCGCCGGCGAGATGCTCGCCCTCATGGGCCCCAGCGGCTCCGGCAAGACCACTCTGCTCAACGCCCTCGCCCACCGCCCGGCCGCCGCCGGCGCCGCCACGACGGGCCTCGTGCTGGCCAACGGCGAGCAGGCCACTGCCTCGGTGCTGCGCGACGTGTCCGCCTACGTCGAGCAGGAAGACGCCCTGATTGGCAGCATCACCGTGCGCGAGACGATGCTCTTTGCCGCCCGCCTGGCCCTGCCCAGCACCGTGTCCCGCGCCGAGGCCCGCCGCCGCGTCGACGACTTGATTACCAGCTTTGGCCTGCAGGCCCAGGCGCACACCATTGTCGGCACGCCCATCAAAAAGGGGCTCAGCGGCGGCCAGAAGAAGCGTCTCGGCGTCGCCAGTCGCCTCGTCACCAGCCCGCACATTCTCTTCCTCGACGAGCCCACGAGCGGCCTCGACTCGGCGCTGAGCGTCGAGGTCATCCGCTACATCAAGGAGATTGCCCGCCGCAACCATCTGGTCGTCGTCGCCTCCATCCACCAGCCGTCCACGACCACCTTCCGCCTGTTCGACAAGCTGGCCCTGCTGTCCGGCGGCCGCACGTGCTACTTTGGCCCCGTCGACGCCGCCCCGGCCTACTTTGCCCGCATCGGCTACCCCGTGGCCCCCGCCACCAACCCGGCCGAGCACCTGCTGGACCTCGTCAACGTCGATCTCGACCGCGGCGGCGAGGTGCGCGCGCGCACCCAGGCCGTCGTCGCCGCCTGGGCCGCCTCGCCCGAGCGCACCGCCCTCGACGCCGCCCTCGACGCCGCCGCCCACGCGCCCGCGAGCCGCCCCAGCCTCGCCAAGCTCAAGACGCCGCGCCCGCCCCTCTGGCGCGGGCCCCTGACCCTGCTGCACCGCGCCTGGATCAAGTCGCACCGCGACATTGTCGTCTACACCATCCGCGTCGTCATGTACCTGGGCCTCGGCGTCCTCATGGGCACCGTCTTCCTGCGCCTCTCCACGCACCAGGATGCCATCCAGCCGCGCATCAACTCCATCTTTTTTGGCGGCGCCTTTATGAGCTTCATGGCCGTCGCCTACGTCCCCGCCTTTCTCGAGGACCTGCACACCTTCCGCAGCGAGCGCGCCAACGGCCTCGTCGGCCCCCTCGCCTTCCTGGCCGCCAACTTTGTCATCGGGCTGCCCTTCTTGTTCCTCATTTCCGTCGTCTTCTCCGTCGTCGCCTACTGGCTGTCCAACTTCCGCCCCGACGCCGCCGCCTTTCTGCGCTGGGTCCTCTGGCTGTTCCTCGACCTGCTGGCCGCCGAGTCCCTCGTCGTCCTCGTCGCCAGCATCGTCCCCGTCTTCGTCGTCGCCCTCGCCGTCACCGCCTTCTCCAACGGCCTCTGGATGGCCGTCGGCGGCTTCCTCGTCCCCATGCCCCTGCTCAACGTCTTTTGGAAGTACGCCTTCCACTACATCGACTACCAGGCCTATGTCTTCCAGGGCATGATGGTCAACGAGTTTGGCGCCCGCGACTTCCAGTGCGACGCCGCCGCCCCCGCCGCCGCCAACGGCACCGCCGCGTCGTACCAGTGCATGTACGCCGGCGCCCGCAACGCCGAGGGCATCATCGAGGGCACCGACGTCCTCCGCGCGTTCAACATTGGGACCAACCACGTCGGCAAGTGGATCGGCATTTCCATCGCCATCACGGTCGGCTACCGTCTGTTGGCGTACCTGGTCCTGCGTTTCCTGCGAAAATGAGTAGCGGAGGGCATCGGTGGCGAGAGAGTTGAAAGACGGCATTTGAGTCCAAGTGTCAAATAGTAATACATACCCAGAGAGTATCGAATCGAGACAATCCCATCTTAGCAGAACGCAGACACCGTATGTGAGAGGAACAAGTAAGACAAAGAGAACATCAGTAAATAGCGCGAAACAACATGAGACATAAATCCAAACAAACTGTATACAGAACCCAACGCTATCCGTTATCCAAGAAACACCCAAAACTATATATATATACCCAAAAAAATGTCGTGTCGTTCGTTGGCCGTTCTCGACGGCATGCTGCGTACGCCTACTCGTCCTCGAGCAGCTCGTACCACTCGGGCGTCTCCTTGATCAGGCTCCACATGTACTTTTCCAGCCGCACCGCGCACTTGTTGTACACCGTCGTCGAGTCGTTGTACTGCCGGCAGTTGTTGATGACCAGCTTCAGGTCCTCCACCAGGTCCTTGGGCGTCGCGTACGCGTCGCGCTCCAGCTTCTCCTCCATGGTCGACAGGTCCATGGGCGACTTGATGACGTTGTAGTAGTCGGGCACCTCGTCGCGGTTCACCGGCGTCAAAAACGGCCACGCCTGCTTGTGGTTCTGGATCTGGTACAGGAACCGCCGCAGCTCGTTGAAGTGCGGGCCGTGCCGCGGCACCCGGCCCAGCGCGTCCATGTCGGGCGACCAGCCCGTGGCCTGGATGGCCGGGATCGCGAGCGGGTCAATCGCCGGCAGGGCCTCGCCCGCTGCCGCCGCCGCCGCCCACTGCGCCGGCGGCGCGTGCACCACGTGGCTCTTGCTGAGCGGCCGGATCTTGGCGCGGATCGTCTCCTTTTGTTTGAGGAGCAAACGGCCCACCTCCAGGTACCGCACCCGCGGCACCATGCTGCACTGCATCAGCGTGCCGCCCTCGTAGTCCTTGATGTACCCCATCCACAGCGGCTTGTCGAGCGTGATTTCCTTGGTGAACCCTTGCTTCTGGAAGTAGCCCGTCGCGTAGTTGTCCGCGTACGTCAGGAAATGCATCACCGGCGACGTCGCCTTGACGTAGTCCTTGAGGTGCGCCATCATGTGCGCGCCGTAGCCCTTGACCTGCTGGTCCGACGACACCGCGCAAAACACAATCTCGGCAAACTTGCGCTCGTTGAAGGGCCGGATCGCAATGCCGCCAATCACCTCCAGCGGGTGCCGCACAATCGCCAGCGACACGTGCGTCCGGTCGTACACGAGCCGCGCAATGTAGTCCTTGGGCATCTTGGGCAGCTGCTTCTGGAACAGGTTCTTGAGGCCCGTCAGGATGATCATGCTCTCGCGCGCATTGTCGTTGTTGACCACCTTGAACTGGATCTCGCCATTGCGTTCCTCGACGACGGCGGGCTGCAAGGGTTAGTGGTGCTGTGGCTTTCGAGAAAAAAAAAAAAAAAAAAAAGCAAACAACGCATGCCCACACTGCGTACCTTTTCTGGAAACGGAATCCGCGCCGGCATCGCCGGCTTGCCCGCCGCCGGCGGTGTCGACTCGGCTTTCGCGGCCGGCCCCTCGGCGGTCGCGGCCGCCGCCGCACCGGCTTTCGTGTCCTCGCCTCCAGCCGCGTCCGCGTCCGCCTCCACGTCCTCCGTCTTCACCACTGGCGCCGCAACGGCAGCATCGTCGACCGGCGAGTGCGAGCTCTTGAGCCGCTTCGTGTCCGACGCCGTTTCTGGTTCGTCGGACGCCGCCCGCTTGGCCACGCGCACCGCCGTCGCCTCGGTCTCAATCACCTGTGTCTCCGTGCTCGCCATTTTGGTCTGGTGCGTGCGCGCGTGTGTGGTCGCCGTGTGGTCCTGTCGTGAGCACGGTCCGACGACGACGGACGTTTTCGCGCAACTTGGGGAAAGGAGTCGAGGCTCCCCCGTATTTCGGTGGATGCCAAGCGGTCCGAGGCCTAGCGTGACGTAGTGGAGTCGAGTTCCAGGTGAATGCCGTTCGGAGTGCGGCTTTCGATTGCTCGCGCGTCGGGTTGTACTTGGGTCCAACGGCTGCGTCGCAGTGCATCAAAAGAAAAGAAAGTAACGATCGAAAGCGGCCGTCTGCCAAACAACGACTCGCGGTGTGGTGTGCAGACCGGTCTCGCGCGAGGTGGATGTCGGCATTGGCGAATGCGCATCAGATTTTGTGGATCGGAGTCGCAACGAGATGTCAGGGGCCGATCGCGTCAAATTTAGTGGAGCCCCGCATACCTGCATGTTTTAACTCCTTTAATCGCAATTGTATCACATGCTGTTAAACAGCTACATCAAGGCTGCCTTACACCACCCACAGCTTGTCACTCTCCTCGCTCGTAAGGCCGTCCCTCGTCCCGTGTCTGCCGTTTTGTTTATTCGGTGATGCTTTCGGCTTGTTTATTGTCTTTTCCCTCTTTCCCCACGTACATCCCCCGTTTCCTTCTCGCTTAGCCCTGTTTGTTTTCCGTATCGAGTATTTCGTACTTTCCAATGCGTTTTCCGCTAGCGTTGACCGAATTTCATTCTGCAGGTCATGGCGATCGGCGGAGCAAAGAGCTGTCGACTCGTCTTTCCTCCCTGCATCATCGCGGCACGTGGGCCAAGCCACTCGCTGACTTGCACCGCGCGCTGCCTTGATGGCTTGATGCTGCTCGTTTGTGCCCGTTTCTAGCGACCGACGGCACGAAAAGCTTTAACTGATAGACACGTGCCAAGACTTTGCATCGTGCATCGTGCATCGTGCATCTTTCGCCTCTGTCTAGATTGCTGACGGCCCAATCGACCGGCCGCTTCACGATCTGGGATATTCAGCCGGCTCCGACAGATATAAAAGCCCGCCTCCTCCTCGTGATGGGAGACCATCATTTTGCCAGTCACCCCTCCATCTCCATCGCCCCCTCTCCCTCCACCTCCCATCGTTCATCCTCTTGCCCGCCATGAAGACTGCTGTCCTCGTCTCTGCCCTTGGCCTGGCGGCCTCGGCTGCTGCGTCCGGCCCCACGGTCTACCTCATCCGCCACGGCGAGAAGCCCTCCTCGGGCAACGGCCTCAGCGCCCAGGGTCTGGAGCGCGCCCAGTGCCTGCGCACTGTTTTTGGCGCCTCGAGCAGCTACAACATTGGCCACATCATGGCCCAGCAGCCCTTGTCGAGTGGGTCCCCTGCCTCTTGTCCCTTTCTTTTCTTCCTTTTCTGATGCTGCGTCGTTGCTCGTCGGCATTCTCGCTAACAAGACACAACAGGCGGCAAGCGCCAGCGCCCCCTGGACACGGTGCAGCCGCTGGCCACCGACCTCGGCCTGACGGTCGACACCTCGTGCGACCGCGACGACGAGAGCTGCGTCAAGAATGTCATTGACAACTACTCGGGCAGCGGCAACATCCTGCTCTGCTGGGAGCACGATGAGCTGACCAACATTGCCGAGGCGCTGGGCGCCAACAACGCCCCGACGTACCCGGACGCCAGCTTCGACCTGATCTGGACGGACCCGTCCGACTACTCGTCCATCACCAGCATCACGTCGGAGAACTGCCCCGGCCTCGACAACTAGACGAGTACAGTGCACCTGTCAGAAACGTGCACGCTGCATTCCCGAAAGGGCTGCGTACGATGCAACAATGCACGGGGAGAGCGGACGGCTGCGGTTTCCGTGAAAAGGAAATTGGACAACCTGCCGCTCTACATTCATCGTCTCACATGCTTCTCATATTTCTTCTCTCCTGTACATATGCTACAAAACTTTTATTCCAGAAGAATGTCATATTCCGTAGAACCATTGGCTCCCATCTCTTTTACTGCCCCTGAATTGCTGTTATTCCTGTGTATCGTTGCATAACGTATGACTGCTGTGTGGATGCGAGCATCCGCCTTTGTTCCCGTGATATTGCACTCCTCTCCGTATCCGCTCCGTCCCTATTCGCCATTTCATGCCTTTCGGGTTCTCTTCCTATCGTCCGCGGCCGTCGGCGTACATTTCCTCGTACAGAATACCTTGGCTTATTTCCCATTTTAATCCACAACGCTTGCACGGATTCCCAATCCTTGCGCCGTACATTATAGTTTTTATCTTGTTTGCTGGCTCCACGACGGACAGCTGCAGCGTGTAATTTGCACGTGTGACGGACACGGCTACGGAGACGGCAGTCGACATCGACTTCTCATTCGTGCTCGGGGCCGACGCCTTCAAATTTTTCTTTTTGTTGTCTCCAGCAATGATTTCCGTCTCTCTCCATAAGACGACGCGCACGGTGAGGATGCCTTCCTGTTGGGGAATGGACGGTGACACAAGAATATGGTGTATGTTCCCGTGATGTTATGCCTTTGGTGGCCAGAAGAGGAAAGAGTGATGGAATCAAGGCAGGAACGAAGGGCCACTCTTGCCATTTATTTTGTTAACCGTGAAGTTTCTTTCCCCCTTTACAGCCCCTTTTATGTTTCTCTTTCGTTCACGTCTTTTTCTCACCCTCTTTCCTCTTCTCACCAAACATCCCAACATCAGCCGGCTCGATAGCAAGACAGCCACGGACACATACGCGACACCGACGCCATGACCTCCCCAACCGAACCCCATACCAGCGTGTTCTCGCACATCAACGGTCCCCGAGATGACCTTCTCGACCGCCTCGCCGTCGCCGAGATCTGCAAAGGCTGGCCGGTGTACCGTGACGCGTCGGAATGGCAAAACTTTCGCTCCCTCTTTGCCCCGAAGGCGACGGTGTGGACCAGTACGTCGTTCCCCTCTGTGCTCTCGTCACATTTGTATTGTTCGCCGCTCACCGCAGTAAAGCCTGGTCCGGTCCGTGCGACATTGACGCGTTCATCAACGTGTCCAAAGAAGGCAAGGCCCGTGGCGTGTTTATCCAGCACCGCGAGTGCGGCACACTGGTTGAGCTGGGCCCGGACGCGCCCGGCGAAGGATACGACGTCGAAGGCGAGGAGGCCGTCGCCGGCCACCGCAGCGGCAATGGCACGGACAAGGACACGGGCACAGACGCGGCGGGTGGCAACGCCACCGTCCTCTCCTCCGCTTCGTCCCGCAGCGTTCGCCGCGCCGTCGGCAAGATGAAGGCCACCATCACGCAGCGGTTCGTCAACCCGGGCGACGGTATCGCATTTGACGTCGACTGCGACTGCCGCTTCGTCTTCTTCTTGGAGAAGATAAAGGGCCCCGCCGGCGACGCTGCCTGGCGCACCGTGTATGTCAAGCTGTTTTACGAAAAGGACAAGATCGTGCCGGCCGACGGACACTCGACGCCCGCGCTCACGGCCGAGGAGAAGGCGTATATGCAGGACGAACTGCCCGAAGGATACCGGTACCTGGGCGTGATGCAGCGTCGGCTGGGATACGCGGTGGACGCGAAGCTGCCGACGCCGCGGAACGCCGGATGGGAGGCGATGTACAAGGCGATGGAGGCGTGGTTGGTGGGCGACAAGGCAGAGCTCTAGGTGTGAGATGGGGTTCGCAGGGCTGCAGGCCAGAGGTCGCACGATGAGACGGCGAGGCAACAGATGATGTTTTGGGAGCGGATCAAAAAAGATGTACTCGTAGCTGGCAAAAGTTAGGTAGCAAGGCGCAGACAAGCATGCTTGTGATGGGATGCAAGAAGTGAGAAGGAGAAAAGGAAGATGCATTTACATTAGTCCAACATACCAGGCGCATAAGCAAGGTGAAGAAAATAAAACGTGGTTTGCCTGGCGGAGTTTGCTCGACGGCCAAGGCGTATGTATCTTGAAGAAAAAAGTATGTACAGCAAACGCTACCGACCAGTCGGGTGTAGGATAAGTAAAAGAAAAATGAATATGAGGAAAATGCAAAGGTGCGTCTACTTCTTCCGTCCTGCACACTCGCAAGAGCCCCCTTTTTTGATGCCCCAGTACAGCAACAAACTCATACTGACAAAGATGGCGGCGACTGCACGGTTAGCGACGCCCAAAAGGCACATAAGTCAGCAGACTGGCTTGCCAAGGCAAGAGTAAACTCACCAACAGCGACCACTTCGCCGACGTGGTTGTTTGTGTCTCGCCGGAGCAGGACGTGGCCGACACTGTGCAGGCGGCGGGCGGCGAGGGTCAGGTCGTCGTCGAGGCCCTGCCGGATCGCGTCCAAGTCGATGACCAGCGGGAGGGCGGGCATGATGCAGGTGGCGTGTGAGAGCGGAAAGAGGCGCGTGTCGTTGAAAGACGGTCGTGCTGGTCAAATGCGAGGGTGCCCGTTGGGTATCGTTGTCGAAAAGGAGCAATAAGTAAGTGAATGGAAGTCGAGGCCGGCTGCGAGGAGATGAGACGAGATGTAGATGGTAGTAAACGAGGACAGAAGAGAATGGAATAAAATCAAAGAAAGACAGAGTGAAAGAATATGTGAATCAGTTGGAATAAACGCAGAGACAGGACAATCAGAACGAACAAAGGAAAGAAACGAGAATGTGGCGGGCAGCACATTTCATATGCAGCGAAGGAGACCAACCCCTTGTCACGGAAGGCATTCGTCACGGCTCACGATAATGCGATCTCATCACACATCGTACTCTGTACTGCATTTTCCTTGTCTTTATTTCCTCGCTTCGTCTCTCACTGCCACAGGAACCGACCAGGGTCTAGCCTGCTGTGGGCTTGGTGGACAAGGTGGACGTGACAGTCGCAGCCATGGGAAGCCCACCACCCTGGGCCAGTTTCAAAGAAGGGCGGTGCTGAGGTGGTCCAGTCCCAGCAGCAGCAGTCCCAAAGGTCAAAGAGAAAAGACGTTGGGTGCGCCGTCATGTTCTGGATCGCCGCCAGTCCAGAGACCAGAAAACCAGAGACCAAAAGAACAAGAGCCCTGGTCAGCGATCCCCGGCAGACGAGACGACCAAGACGACCAAGACGTCCTTTCTGGGCGTTCCCATTGGCACAACCCGTCGAGTGGTTCGATGATGTGTGTCCGGGGGTTGTCGTTTGGTGGCATTCACAGGCAATCGGAGACATTTTGGGGCTCTTGAGGTGAGTGGGTCCGGCGCCTGCCGTCGCGGGTGTTTCGATGTGGGTCACTTCTCGCTGTTTTGTAACAGTTGGGGGGGCTTTGGGGGTCTTTGGGGGAGAGGGGGGAGGGGATGTGGTGCAAACTCAGGCCATTTCAGGCCATTCTGCGCTGTGGTAGCGGGTCTTGTCAGAAAGCTACAGGGTTCTTGATGGTAAGATACTCTTTCGTACAGCCCTCTCACCGCGTCATCGCAACGGCCAATCGAGTCCCAAAATAAACCCAACGTGCATAACAATGCCGAGAAAAAGGGGCCGCAAAGCAAAGCGACGAAACAAACAAGAATTTGACTCGGCCTCTGGGCAGACTCGGCAGGCTGGGCAGGGCATTGTTGCTTGACAATTCTGTCGCACGAACGAAATAAACAGTGCCGCGTCGGCATCCACCCCTTTCTCGACAAAAGAATACCATGGTGAAACGGTGGGGAATACGTGACCAGCCACCGCAACAGAGCATCTCTCCTATTCCTCTCCTTTTTTTAATGTGAAGGTGCTTAAACTATTCTCCGTTCCATGGCTCTCCCCTTTGTGCATGTCATCTCCTTCTGCGCACGGACTTGTGGCGAGTAAATTCTCTCTTTTCTTTCTCTTTCAACGACGGGGTTCATGACCACGTTTAGTCACCACCAACACGCCATGAATGGCCGGGATCTAACTCTTAACGATACCATACGGGAGATCAGCCATGCGTCTTGGCTACTTGCTGGTGAGCTCGTGCTCTCGCTGACACTGCGGCGACCTGATGATGGACCGTTCTGGAGCGACGGCAACACTTCATTCTATACCATTTCTAGGGCCTCTTCTCCCTCGCCAGACTCCAGACCAGTTCGAAATACAAGTCATCTTTACAAAGTCTACGATGCGGGCGGCGTTTCCACTGTTTGGCGCGCGGGCGAAGCTTTTATTAAAGTGAAAAAAGCTACCCGACAGGCTACCCGAGAACACATTACCTTGCGTTCTTTCCGTGGCAAGGGCTGTGTCGGTTTCGATGTCCCGGACGTCCATTATTATGGCGAATTCGACGACGTATATTGTATCGTGCTCAGCAGGATCCCGGGTCCGACACTTGCAGAAGCTTGGCCTACATTGGGGGACGTGGCAAAACAAGGCTATGCATATCGAATTGCCAATGTATGCGACACGCTGGCGAGATGGCAAGGCACGAGCATCAGCGGCGTGGATGGTTGCCAGTTGTCCGATGTCTTTTTGACGAAGCGACATTCCGACAAAGACTGCGATCCTGAGCGCATACGAAAGAACTGTGAGGAGCTCGGTATGGACTGTACCGTGCTTGGATTTTATCACTGTGATTTAGGGCCGGGTAATATTATCGTGAACGGGGATACAATCGGGATTATTGACTGGGAAACAGCTGGTTTCGTCCCCAGGGAATGGGTGCGCACCAAATTCTGTGTATCGAGTGGGATGGATCTTGCGCTGGAAGACGAAGCTGCACGGTGCGACTGGAGGATACGGGTGTCCCGGGAGTTGCAGAAGCTGGGCTTCAAAGAAGTTGCGGACGAGTGGATGGCGTGGTGGAATTCGTCCGAGGTTGGCAGTGAAAGGATTTGAAGAGTCAGCCATGTTCAAGATGCGTGTGTACACAGATATGTCCCCCCCCCCCCATGAACTTTATGTACGGTTCATTGAGACCAAGTTGCATTGTCACTCACTCCGCTCGTGTTGCCTCGCTCGCTTCGCTCACTCGTCACGTCACGCATACACCTCCAACTCGGCCAGCTGCATGCGATAGCCAGTCTCGCCGCCGACGCCGCTCAGCTCGGTGGCCGTGACGCGCACGTAGCGGACGGTCGCGCTCGGAAAGGTAATGACCTCGGCGCGCCCGGCCTTGATGCTCGCGCCGTAGCTGGGCTGCGACGAGAGCGTGGTCCAGGCGTCGCCGCCGTCGATCGAGCCCTCAATGACAAACGCGACGGGGAACGCGGTGCCGGCGGCCGTCGAGACGTCGCTGCGGGGGTGCAGGACGACCTTGCCGACGGACTGGCGGCGGCCGAGGTCGACCGCGGCCCATTCGGTGGCGTGCGCCGCGGCATGGGCGGCGGACGACCAGCCGTTGCTCGTGGCCGCGTCGCCGCGGACGTTGCCGTCGGTCAGGTAGGCGGCGGCCCAGCCGCCGCCGGGGGCGCTGCGGTCGTCGGAGGAGGCGGTGACCGGGCTGTGGAGAGCCAGGTTGCTGGCGCGCGTGTCGCCGCCGGACGCGCCGGCGGGCGTCTGGTAGAGGGCCGGGGAGCCCCACTGGGTCCAGCCGTAGACGTCGTTGCCGGTGGTGCGCAGCGTGAAGGAGACGGTCTGGCCGGCCCAGGCGGTGACGTCGGCCAGGACGGGCAGCCAGTGCTTCCAGGTCCAGTAGGTGGGTGGGAGGATGATGCCGTTGCCGAGCAAGAGGCTGTCCCCGTCGTCCCCGCGGATGGCGGCCTGGAAGGTGGCGGTGCCGCCGTTGGGCCCGGCGCCGTCCTTGATGCCGAGGGCGGCGTAAAAGTTGAGGCGCTGGCCGTCGCGAACGGCCGGCAGCGAGACGGCGTAGGTGATGACGCCGCCGACGGCTTCGTAGACCGTCTTGAGGGCCACGCCGCCCGACGAGCCGTCGGCCGCGAGGTGGTTGTCCGGGCCGGACGCCGTGGCGGCCGCAAAGGCGTCGTAGAAATCAAAGACCTTGCGGCCCGGGTTCCAGCCCGGCGGCTGCTGCGGCCGGGCCGTGTCGGCGTACGCGGCGAGGAATTTGTGGATGGTGTTGCCCCAGGTGTCGCCCGTGGTCGGCGAGCCGAAGAGCGCGTACTGGTCCTTGGCCGTGACGTTCTCAAAGGCGTTGGGGCACAGGATCTTGGCGCCGTCGCGCCAGAGCGTCGTCAGCGTGTCGTACGAGAAGGCGTCGTCGGTGCTCAGCGGGTTGAGCTCAAACAGGCCGAAATTGTTGCCGCCGTCGGCGCGCAGCGGCGTGTCGATGCTCTGAAAGTCCAGCGGTGCGCGGCCGTACGCCGTGTAGCCGCCGGCGCCCAGCGCGGCCGTGGCGGTGGTGAGATCGTCGGCAAAGGCGTAGAACTCGAGCTCGGGCGTCTGGTGGCCGTAGACGAGGTCGCGCGGGATGCCGGCCTCGACGATCCACGCCGTCTCGTCGGACGTCGTGTGCACAATCGCCTGGATGCGCCAGCGCTGCCACTCCTCCGTGAGCGGGTCGCCCGTGCGCAGGGGCGCCGGCGGCGCGACGTCGTCCCACGACGCAAACGACTGGCCCGTGGCGGCGTTGAAGTCGGCGACGGACGCAAAGGCGGGCACGCGGCCCTGGCCAAAGTAGGCGCCGCCGGCGCCGTAGAGGCCCGCGTGCTGCATCCACTCCTTCCACTCGCGCACAAAGAGCGGGTTGTAGTCGGCGGCGTCGTTGGCGTACAGCGTCTCCGAGTCCAGGCTGATGCCGGCAAACAGCGCCGGGTGGTCGGCCGCCCACGCGGCAATCGTGCGCATGGACGCCTGCAGGTTGCGCCGCTTGTACGACCGGTAGTCGTCGTTGTACCGCGAAAACGAAAAGTAGTTGGACCCGTAGTCGTGCGCGTACAGCGAGTCGCCCGCGCTGTTCCGCATCGTCGTGTCCGGCTGCGCCGCAATCGCGTCCAGCAGCGCGTCGTTCCACCCGCCGTCCGAGTTGCTCGTGCAGCAGTCGGCCCAGCGGCCGTTGTTGGCGTGCACCAGGACGGGCAGCGCGAGCTCGGCGGCCAGCCCCAGCACGTAGTCCAGGTTCGTCGGGTCAAACGTGTAGTTGGCGGCCGCCGACGACACGTCGCGGCTCAGGCACCACGACGAAAAGGAAAAGCCCAGCTTCGTGTTGCGGCCGCCGGTGCCGAGCATCGACTTCATGCCGCTCAGGATGGCCAGGTCGCTGGCCCGGCTGTCGTTGGCCAGGGCGCCCTCGTAGATGGGCAGGACGTAGGTAATGTCTTCCGAGGCCGTGCCCCAGGCTGCGGCAAGCCGGCCGGCGACCACGAGGGCCAGCCACTTGTACGCGACCATGCTGGGGTGTCAATGGAGGGAAGCCAAAAGAAATGAAAGTCGCAGAGGATTGGTGAGGATGCAGATATCTAAATAAGTGTTCCAGAGTCCAGTACGTAC